GCCGTTATCTCCTTTACATACATGGAGAGCTCAAGTCCACATATGCTCATAAATGATGGTTATATGGTGACACTCTGGTAAATCATGAAATGAAGTTCTGGTCTTCTGAGCCACAAAACGGCTTGTCTATTTAATTTTTCATTCCTTTACTCAGTCCAAATTATGTACAAGTCAGCACAAATCTAGTATCACTTGTATGTTTATTTTGACTCCTGGCATCAACTCCTTTTCTAACTTTCCAGGGCCTCACTGACCCGGACAAGAAAAATATTCTCTGTTCATTTTAATGTTAAGATGTCACCAAAGTCACGAAGTCCTTCAGAAACTGAATAAAATCCTCAAATCACAAGTTTGTTTAAAACATTTTAAGGATTTTAAATAATACATTTTTATTTCTTAGCTGCTGGGTAGCATTTAATGGTAACCCTGAGTGTGAGAAATCCTCTGCTTCCCTGCAAATGGAAGATGAAGTTAACCCTTCATAATGAATACAAACAACACCCTCAAAAGAGGATCAGGGAGGCAGAGTTTGAGGATACCATGAGAGTCAAATGGTCTATCCTCTTTATATCTCTTTTCCAGTCATCTGGGTCCATGCAGTGTTCCCTGAAGTTTCCAATATAAAACACCACATATAAAATCCTGAGTTTTCTTCAATGTTCTAAGATGGACTCATCAAAGAACCATAACAGGAAATTATCAATAGCAAAATAATAGTAAGGATGTTGATTACTTTGCTTACCTCTGATGACTGGTTGGTGGACTGTGTGCACACAGTAAAATTTGTATTAATGTACAAGGAAGTTATTGGAATGCTCTTTTGTGCACTGGGCAATCATTCCATTTCCTTCCAGGGCTGTGCCAATTTTTCTGATCTTATCAAAGTTTGCTTTTTTCATGAATTCTGAGGAAAATTTCAACTAGGATTCTATGATTCTTTTCTAAATCAGCCTCCAACAATCCTGCCCACTTGTACTACTATTGTTAACTCTTTGCCTTCCCAAATCAGCAGGAGCTCCACTATAATTTTCTTACATAAGAGCATAAGCAGAGACCTGAAGGAATATAGGGAGGAATTCAACACTGTGCTTTTCTGACCATCCATCAGTGCAAGCGCTTATGCTTTCCAGATGAAATTATTCCCCCCTCTCCTCCCCCCATGTGGTGCTCTGAGGGTTCTCCTGACCCCCCAGATTGGGGGAAAGCGTGGAGGGATGATAATAATAATAATAATAATAATAATTCAAAAAATTATTTATACCCTGCCAATCTGGCTGGGCTTCCCCAGCCACTCTGGGCGGCTTCCAATCAAATATTAAAAATACAATAAAACATCAAACAGGAGAGGAAGGAAGCCTCAATGCACTAGCAGAATCTCTTCTGCTGCTTTCTGCTAGTATGCCAGGTTAGTTAAGTCCAGGCCAGACCAATGTTCCATTTAGTCTACCATCCTAAAGCGTTTTCTACTTAGGCCAGATGCTACCAGAATGCCCATAAGGGCTTGAAGGCAACAGCTTTTTGCCTGGCAATTTGTACTTGGTGGCTCACCACCACTGAACCTGAAGATTTATTTTAGTTATGATGGCCAATAGCCATTTATTTATCCTCCATGAATTTCTGTAATCTTCTAAAGCCATATTTACATCTGACATACTTTTATACCCCTTCTCAGGCTAGCTTACTGGAGCAAACCCATGTTACCCGTTCTACACAACAATGCACAGCTGTTCCATACAATCTGGATTGCAGTATGAGCCAGTTGTGTGTTGGCAACCGATAGATCACTGGTGGTTAGTGTGATTGTTGTGCCTGCAGCTGCACAGGTTTGGGAACAGTATGCTTTCACATCCTTCATTTTGCTTCTTATTTTGTGTTTGTGTTGTAACAATTGCTGCAGAGAGTGGAGGCATGTTGTTTCTAACATCTCTTTTTTTGTGCCTCTGCCAAATTTTGTTCATATAGTATTACCATGACACAATGTGGAGGACTGTGGAAGAACATTCAAAGTTACTGGGATCAGCAGAGCTTCTGTTTAAATTATCAATCAGTCGATCCCTCAGTCTCTACCACTTTTGGCCGGTTCTAGTAGCTCTGTCTAGTCCCACCAAAGCTTGATTTTTGCTCATAGAAAGCATCCTGATCCTTCCAGTCATATATATGACGTAAATCCTGATCATGTCTGATCCCTGGAAAGTTCCTAAGAGCTGCCTGGAATATTTTATTTTTGCTTCTCTAAATTCCACTAGAATTCCAATAATGTAGCCAGTGTGGTGCTCTTCAGATATTTGTTGGACTACAGCTCCCATCATCCCTGACCATTGGCCATGCTGACTGGGACTGAGGAGAGTTGTTCAACAGCATCTAGAAGACACAGTATTGGCTACCCCTGCAGCAAGATACAGGCTTAGAAGTGCAATTTGTGGAGGAAATTTGTGGAGGAAAAGTAGAGTCTGTGGAGGAAAGTGGAGTCTGCCTTCTATCTTGGGCTCCTTGAGACAACTGGTATCCTGGACTCTATAATGGATAATGAAGGAGAATGCCTGCTCCAATTTTATCAACAAAATTGTGCAGTACCAAGCTAGACTGGAGTGATGAGATGGGAGGGTTGCTGTGGTTCAGCAGTTTATTCTCCATTACCAAAACCCCCCCTCTTCTTTGGAGCAGAACTGTGAGAGGCCTGAATTTGGTGCTGGGCCAAAGAGACAGACCAGGGATGGTGTTATTTTGCCACTCCCCTGCTGCCCAGCAGCCTCCCTGACTGGGCTGGCCAATGTGGTCATTGGTGACTTCAACATTAGGATTGCCATATTTCAACAAGTGGAAATCCGGACTGGGTTTTCCCTGACATTTTAACAGGTTTCCGAAAATTCTGCCCAGATGCCATTTTTGAAGGGCAAATCCTGACTATGTCCAGGAAATTTCTATAACATCCATGCTGAGGATGCCTTGGGTCTAGCTCAGGATTTTGTGGTCTTCATGGCAACCATGGGACTGTCTCCAATAGTCATAAGTCTAACACACAGCAGGACATACCCTTTCCTCCAAATGGGAGGGAGATTGTCTGGAAGTGGAGTGGATATTATCCTATTGCCATGATCCAGCCACTATCTAGTGAAGTTTCGTGTTGCAGCAAGTATTCCCGTCTGCAATGATGAGGGACCATATGATCTGTCCTCAGAGGTTGGTGGATCCTGATTGATTTTTTTATGGCTCTGGGGGATTTGCCAATGGATAGAGCATTGCTTCACTGTGGAATGGTTGGAAGACTTGGGTCATCAACATGATCACTCCCAACACCTTCCCATTCCCTGGCGATGTACAGATTTTAACTGTTAAAAAACTTGTAGACAGTGTTGCAGAGCTGTATACGCCAGTTTTTGTGCTTCACCACGGTCCCTAGTCAAACCAGCTTTGCAGGTTTTGAAAGCACTTTAAAATGTATCCTAAAATAATAAAGAAAAACACCCACAACAATAAGTAGTAATAATAATAATAATAATAATGAAAAAAAGATGACTAATGGCTAAAAAGATGACTATGGTTAAAAAGGAAGAAAAGGGCAATATACTTTAAGGGTAAAATTGACTAGACCAAAAACTTTGCAACATGGTCTAGTTCAGGCATTGGCAAGCTCGGCCCTACAGATGTTTTGGGACTACAACTCCCATCATCCCTAGCTAACAGGACCAGTGGTCAGGGATGATGGGAATTGTAGTTTCAAAAACATCTGGAGGGCCAAGTTTGCCTATGCCTAGTCTAGCTGCTTTCACTATTTGGGATTTGAATGGGATGTAGGGGAAATTGCTGTAAGAAACAGGAAAAATTGACTCCCACTCTGCTTCTCTTCATGGTATTTGTATAGTTGTAAAGATACCGGTTTTGGATCAGGACTAGTGGCATAGTAAAGGAAAAGACACTCATTTTGTTCCGTATAAATAACTGGACACACCCAGAGAGAGCAAAGCGAAGGACTACTTCCAGTGTCTTAAATAGTGGCATATTTTATTTTTGAAGAAGATGTGATTTGAAAAGCTATCTAATTGGGGATATAATCTGCATGTAATAGCAGTGGGGTCAGAGTTCCTGATTTGTTCTGTATTCATAAAGTTCTAGGGGTCCAGTCCTTGAAGTCCCTAGTTTTTAGCACTCGAATTGACTTTTTTCCCTTAAGTGACCCTGCAGAGCTGCTGCTAGTCAGTGTTGGACTGGCTCTGTTTAAGGCAGCACCTTATACATCAGCATTGACATCAACAGCTGCAAGTTACGTAACTGCTAGGGTAAAATAAGGTAGTGAGATAAGGACATGTGTATTTATGAATATAGTACACAGTAATTATGAGTTGGAGCAAAGGAATAGAAACATGGGAGGATTTACAGATCGATAAATAGGCTCATTGATGTGGGAGTGAACTGGATAGGCAATGCATTTATGGTCATGATAGGTCAAGCCTTTCTTAGGGGAAAAAAGGTATTCTGGGATATTTTTCTTTTCAAACTCTTGCTCTTTTCCTTTCTCCCTTTTCTGCTTGCTCTCCCTGATCCTACCTTTCCCCCAACCCCACCTTCCTCCCCGCCAAACTGCTTTGAGCCAGCAACCCAACCCCCTTTTGTGTTTTGTTCCTTTGTCGTCCTTTCTGGTTGGTTTTGATTTCTGACTTTTCTTCTGAAGGGCAATGTCGCCAGCACAAAATTAAAAACAACAACAAAAAACCCTCCAAAAACTGTAAACCTCAAACCGATCAGACGAAAAAAGAAATGAAAAAGTACAACTACCACCACCAAACCCAACACGCTCTCTGCCTTGAAATGATTCCAAAGCGGGAGGGGCTGGTGTTTGTTGGGCTGGTGGGGGGAGGGGAGGGGAGATTGACAGTTTAAGAAAGAAAGAAAAAATGGTTTCTTTAGGGTGCGGGGAGAAACAAAAGCAATTTAATCTCTTTTCTCTTTTTTTTCCTTCTTGCACCTTTTTTTTTCAATATATTTTTCTTCTCTCCCTTCCGATGCATAAAGTAGAAGTGGAACAGAAAGGTAAACAACAACATTACCACTGACCCCACCCCTAACCCAGCACCTTGTTTTTTCTCTGTGGCCATATTTAATGTGACCTTCCTTTACCTTTTCTCCTCAATCCTCCTCCTCCTAACCTCCCACCTCCCCTCCCCTTGGTTTCCCCACCTCTTCTCTCTTTGGTCTCACTAATTCCAATTGGCATCCCCCTCCCTGTCCAGAAACAAAGCTTCCAATAACGAAACAGCACTCAGCAAATAAAGCATATAAAGTAACCCATCTAACAACTGCCCTTCCAAACCTTTTCCATTTCTCCTTGCTCACATGTGGAGTGGAAGCACCATTAATGTCTGGGTACTCTCTCTGGTTTTGCTTCCTTCAGGGGAAATACACTTTTTCCAACCCGTTCTCTGCGTCTTTTATCATTCAACTGATTCTCTCTGCTCCTTTCTTCGTGTTTCCATGGCAACCAACTGGGTACCTTGGCCTACCTCAACCACAACTTCTCTCTTTCTTTTTCTTTTTCTTTTTTTCTAATCCCAATTCCTGATTTTTAAAAAATAAATGCTTGAAATTTTATGGGATTTACATATAAAAATTTGCCACAGTACAGAAGAACAACGGGGAGGGTGTGTTTTTATTTTTTAAAAAAAAATTTATTTTGGGCACTTTCAAATGATACTTCCAGGCCTTCCTCCACATTTTTTGAGATTGTTACATACTTAGAACTTTGTTTTAATTTTTATCAAGGAGCCATTCTGGCTTTAAGCAGCCTGTAAGATTGCAGTGGAAATGTACATCTTAGATCCTATACACTGCAATCAGTGGGGCTCCCCTCCCCCGCCACTCCCAAAGCTATGTGTTCAGGATCAGGATGTAAGGCACAGAACAAAACATGTTTTTTCTCAGTTATTGAATAGAGCAGGGGTCCTCTTTTGAGCCTCTCACCATATTTAATACATTATTGTTTGTGGACTCACTTTTATGTGAGGAACATTCAATTGCACATGCTGAGTGGTGCCACTTTTAACCAGGGTAGCTTTGTTATCTACTACTGTCTGAAAATCAAAGTGAAAAAAATGTGTGGATAAAACTGAGCATCAGTTATTCCACTTGTGATCCATCTTTTAGTGGGAATTTTACCCTAAGCTTAGGCAGTTCTTTGGAGAGAATCCCCCAGCTATTTTTTTCAATTGAGTCATTCCACACACACCCAACCTCCAAGTAATGTTCTGACATGTCTTGAAGGGCCTATTTCTCTTTTCTTAACTCTTTTCCTCTGCTCTACTATCATGATAATGTGAGAATCAGATAAACCCATAGAAAATAACATTTTCTAGAATACATATACATTAATTATACCAATATACTAACCACTTTGATGTGGGAATTTTTAATTTTCTTGCTTACTGTTTCTTTTTCTTTCTTTTCTTTTTAAATTCCTGATCAATCCCGGGTGATTTTATTTGTGGATCTTTTCCCCCTTTTCTGCCTGTTTTGGTTTTTTTTTTAAAAGAAAGCTGCAGTCATGATCATTGACTATCTGTCTGTTATTGGGGGAAGATGGGGGTGGTGCATGAAAGAAGTGGGGGCCAGTCAATGTATTTTTAATTTGAATGTCTTGGCTAGATCTGGAGGTTATATACCTAATGTAAGTATCAGGACTCACAACTGCAATGAGCCTGTCTTAACAAGGGACAAGCTGTCAGGTTAGCGCTAGGAATTGAGCAAATTAATTAATTTCAAAATAGTAAAACTCAAAAGCCAGGCTTGATTCCACCCAACCCATGTCTCTCTCTTTTTCTTTCTTCCGCTCTCTCTCTATTTCTCTCTGTTTAGTTTGTTCTAAAAGCACTGTTGATTTTTTTTTCCTGCATTGGTTTGGAATTTTTTCCCAAGATTGGGGATGGAGGCATATACTTATACTTTTCTTTTCCACAGGTTTCCATGGTTTTGGATGTGGATTTTTACTGATTGTTTCCTTCTCTGTTTCTGACATCTTCTCCCCCAACCCCAGAGCACAGTTGCCCCCATCCCGACTTAGAAGGCTGAGTCGACACTGCCCCATCCATGAGGGATCGGAACCAGTTAACGCTTTGTGCTGTCCCCCCCTCGCCAGCGCTTCATTCTTTAATGGTGTGTTTCTCCTCCCTGCTGCCAGGAGTCATCCATCCCACCCCACCAACCCAGATGGGAAGCTGGGCTGAGCCGAACCTGTGAGACTCCATGAAGCTGCTTTGTAGCGACATTGTCAGGCAAGGTGTTCAGAGCAGGCAGGTGTTAGGCAGGATTAGAAATCTGAAATCTCTTGGATTTTGCTCCCATCCAGCTGCCCATCTGTGTCCTCAGTTCGTCATACGTAGGCAAGAGAGGGTGGCATGTACATAAAAATAGCACAGAGGTGTATTTGTGCAATGTAAACCATAGAGACACACAAATCACACAGCGGTAACAGCCACCCAAGGAACTGAAAGTAATGCATAGAAAACTCCACATGAACACAGCCATATTGATAGCTCTACATTCAGAAAAAGATAGAGATATATGATTAAACACATGCACTTGATAGCACAAACACAGATGCATTTAACACACATTCAGGAGCAAACAAATGCCATCTACACACATACAAATCCATAAGACAACACTAGCCACCTTGAGTGCTTCAGCAGTCTGGTAGATAGTACCATTTAAAACAAAGTTGACATGCTCCTGAAAGCATCTACAGAATTAGGAATGTGGATCCATCTCCATGAGCACATCCTGGGTGTGCACTGACTAGGCCTTCACCCTTTGGCAACTCTACATGCAGCCTCTGGGCACATGCATTGAATTATGGCAAACATTGCTGTTTCCATTCTGGAGACTTCCTCTCTCTTGCCAAGCCACTGCTGTCCTTAACTGGTCCTAAGAGTACACTTTGAGGAAGCTAATCAGAGAGTGGCTCCAGACAGCCTATTCACTCTAATGCTGCTCCTTCCCAACCAAAGCAATAGACAGCTTGACCTTGAGAGAGAAATGAGAAAACTCTTCAATTCATGGCACAGTACTTAGGTGAGCTACATCTAGGTTACTGGGATGGTGGTTGCATCCCCTGCATTTTCCACTATAGATAGAGAAGCCTGTGAGACTAGTTAGAAAAGAACCATAGAGGGCTTTAGGAAGTGAAAGAATAAGCTGACAAACCATGATTCTAGATTCAGGTAGATAGCCATGTTGGTCTGACGCAGTCAAAATAAATAAATAAAAATTTAAAAGTTGTCCAGTGGCACCTTAGAGACCAACTAAGTTTGTTCTGGGTATAAGCTTTCGTGTGCATGCACACTTCTTCAGATACCCAGCTTATACCCAGAACAAACTTAGTTGGTCTCTAAGGTGCTACTGGACAATTTTTTGTTATTTTTTTACTGTCAAACCATGACTGCCGGAGCTCACAGGTTCAGGCTCCACACCCTGGCTTGATGATGATGACTTTTTCAGTTCCGAGCTGTTTCCCTGAAGCATGACCATCAATTTGCAGGGAGAATTGGATGGGTATGGGCATGATATAAGATGGGTCCCTGGCCATGTGGCAGCTTTGATCCCCTGGGAAATAGGGAGGGGAGCTCTACTGACCTGGGGGTTCAAACACTTCCTCTTCCCAGTAAGGAAAAGGAATGACCTTCCTTTCTGAAGGAAAAGAAATGAAGGGTCATGATAAGAGAGTGATAAAGTTAGCAGGCCAGCCACTTTGACCAACTTGGTCAAATCCTCTCTTTTCCCAGCATTGATCTGGAGGTTCCTTCACACCCATGGGCAGCTTGTTCAACAGTACTGTATTTCACTCCAGCCATAGACCATCTTCTGGCCTCAGGTGCCACAAAAGGCAAAAACTTTGCCCTGTTATTGGCTTGTGGGATGTGGCCTTTGGAAAGGTGCAGATATGGGGGGGGTGTTGTGTGTGAGGGAGGATGCAGGTGTCACAAACATGAAAGTGACATGTGCATCCAGCCACTGTGAAGTGACACTGGCACAGTCTTAAGAACTACGGCTTGAGACCGGTGCCAATAAAAATAAAACCTTTGAGGTGGCCACTTTTAGTGAGTCTTGAACGCTTTTTATTTTGAATTGAAAGAGACTCACTATGACAAAGTTTGAGAACTATGGACTAGACAGAGATAAATAGCTAACACAAGGGACACCTTGCAGCCCTACAAAATCCAACTGCTCCACATTAAGCTGTTCTTGTCTGATGAGTCACACCAGAAAACACTACAGGGATCTTTAACAGACCTTGTCATTAACATTTAGGCTAGGCAGCTTCCCTTCCCCCTGACTCGCTGTCATTCACTAGTGAACCCATCCATCACTTTACATCCCTCTGCACCACAGACCATATCAGATAGCCGTACTGTTTTATGCAAGGGGACTAAATAGATGATCTCTGCACACCTAGTATACTAGGATTGATAAGCTCTCTTTCTTCCTAATTAAGGGGGGAAAGACAAGTAATTTACAACCCGTCCTCCTTGGCCTATTTCATCCATGCATTCTTTAAAACAAGTTAAAGGAGGGAAGGCTAGGCAGCTCCTTGCGTTACGGCCCCATAGTGGAACATATGAGGACAAAAAAAAAGACCTCCAAGCTTTTCAAAGGTTAGGGTTTTATCAGATATTCAGTTTGGATCTGTAAGCTGCACCACTAAAATTGTAATGTGTAATGCAAGCCTCAAATGACTTCTGTCTCTCTGAGCCAGGATTCCTGAGTTCTGCCTCTAGCTCTCAAGAGGACAAATAATGTCCATTAGTTAGAAGGTGTTGGGAAGCAAAGAACTCCTGGCTTCTAGACCAACAGTTGTCCATCTCTATGAATCATCTCTTATCCCTTCCATGTGCCAGTACTCCCCCATCACCACGAAAGTTAGAATGTAGAATTTTCCAACAATGACAATGATAATAAATCAGTTGTTTATTATTGCTAAGAAGGATGCAACATGCCATCTCCATGGAGACCAAAATACTGTGAATAAGAGTGAACTCCTCAGGTTGCTGACTCAGCCCTGCTTTCTCCCTCTGAGGTTACCCAAGGACTGTGACCATTGGAAACAATGGGAGCAATCTAGCATACACTTAAGCCCACATAAATCCCACTGGTTTCTATGGGACTTAAGCTTGCTTAACTGTAGTGTAGATTGTGCCAGAGTCATGAGACCAAAGTTTGCCTTGTCCTCTCCCTTCACTTAAGCAAAAGTGGATGAGAAACACATCTCTGGCCACTTGTACTGGTATGGCAGCATAAAGGTTCTGTCTGGATCTGGGAGAGCAGGGGGGGTTATTAATAAATGCTCCGTGGGGGCTTGGCATTGCAAAAAGTGCTGTTCTCCTCCCCCATGGCTGGTGCCAGACAATTCCCATCCTCCCGATTTGCTATTAATTTTGGAACCCTTGGCACACCTCATCCACTTCCAGGTGTGTTGTGACAGGGTTTGATGGTACTGACCCCAGCCCAAGGGAGCAGTCTCTAAATTATGCCCATCCCCAATAAGCTTCAGTGCAAGCTGTGTCCAGAGTCATGTGGCACATCATAGCAACTGTGCGTTATTTAGTAAAGCCAGAGCAGAGAATTCACTTCTGCATTCACAGAATATCCCAGACATTCTGGAGTTGATACAAGGCCCAAGTAAAACCCTGCTGACACTTCGGTGCGAAGTATATTTGATCCCACACGCAGAAGCAGTAAGCCAGCCCCCAGCAGAAACTGGGTTGCTTGGGATCAGGTTCCACCCCACCCCGCTGGCCCTTGTACTGTGACAGCAAACCCAATATACTGGCCTCTATATCATGAGGTGTGGTTAACAAGCACACTGTGCAGCCTTTTAAAGCCCACAGCCTGGATTTAGTGTGATGGCTCCTATGGCTCCTCTATGGCCGCTCAGTGACACTGTTCTGTAATAGACAAGGTGAATTCTCTGCTATGATGCTGCTCTCCTCACCCCACCCCACCTGCTCCTTCCACCACTAAATGCTTTTTTTCTCCCAGCCTTGCTCCAGCTAACCGGAGGCAGACACTTGCAGAATGCCTAGCCTGATTTGTCTTCCTTTCAAACTTTTTCCTCCCGGCTTTTCCCAAGATTCCAGGCTGCCAACTGGGTGGTTGTGGGTGGAAGGGAGGGCTTTCCTTTCCCATCTGCCCAGGTCTCCCTCCCACTGTCACATCACTCCTTCCACCCCCTGCCATGTGCACTAGTCTCATGTCCTTTGCTGATGTGAATCAAACCTGGCTGATAAGTTGCTCCAGTGGCACTCAGGATATGGGGGAAGCAGAAGCTGTTGGTTACTTCATCCTTCTGCTACAATACCTTTAGTTCTTCTTTTCAGAAGGGATCCAGTCCCTCAGCTAATCTACAGCTCTCTGTCCCCAGGGATTGAAAAATAGTCTCTTTCAGCAGGAAGAGGAAACACCCATTCTTTCATATTCAGGGGGATTTTAACTGGCCAAACATTGGATCTTTCTTATGCTTGTTTTTCATTCCCCAACGTCCCGTTGAACAGTGTTTTAATATCAGTAGAGGAAATTTAGGGCTGGAAGCCCCTCACCTTTTCCAACCCCCTCCCCATGGGAAGGCATTCCCACGAAGCTGTTCTAAAGTTGCAAAAAAAAATCTAATCCATTCCATGAAAGTTGGAAGGGTTGAAACAGCTATTTCAAGAACACTTTAAGTTTCTAAAATTGAATTAGAAATCCCTGAGAGAAATTAGAACTATAAGAGTCAGATGCAAAAATAGGGACCAATTTCCATCTGTCTCAGTGCTAACACAACTGGAATTTAAGTGTTGCATGGCGGCTGGCATAAATTAGTCTTGATCCATAGTGAAACAGTAATTCCCTTTGAACATGGAACAGGATAGCTTTTGGATCATCTTACCAGCCTTAAAGGTACTCCTTTGCAGCTCCAAAGGAGCTCCATAGGACAAACAACCTCAGCTGCTTCTAGATCAAGTGGAACAGAAACTTTGTAGGAGTCCAGTTGAGTAAACAACAAACATGTCCCTCCTCTAGAGAGACTCATAGAATACTTGGCTCCACCAGGCCCTCAGACCAGATAAGCATACACTACTCAATGGATCCCATAGGGCAAACAGCCTCACAGCTCCATACTGAGCCCTTCATTTTTAAAAATCTGATTTCCATAGCGTTAGGTGGTATTGCCCCATTTGCTCCAATGAAGAGCATCTGATTTAGATCATGCAGGGTTTAGCTGGTGCCAACTGCTTTCCCATAGCTGTTAAACTGTTGCTGTGTTGACTTCTAGAAGGTGATGCAGAATATGCAACCAGAGAGTAGGAGCTAGAATTGTCAGTTCAGCAACACTCCTGCTCAGATTCATGGGTTTCCCAGATGCTGCCACTCAGATCTCTGCAGGGAAACAATCTGACATCCTCTGCTTAATGCTAGAGAATGTAGCAAAAGGAAGGGAGGGAAGGTTTGGAACCCCTAAATTCCCTTTTTAATTTGATCCGGAGAAATTGTTTCTTTCCTCTGATGCTCCCCTGCCCCCAGTATTTATTTAACTTGTCACTGAGCCGTCTCTGCTCAATAACAGATAAAAGTCTCATGATTGCAGCTGCTCTCAAAACTCAGCGCGGATTTCACTTCTCCTGCCAACAGCCTTTTACAAATTTATCCTTTCTTCTCTCTTTCTCTTTCTCTTTCTTTTTTTTTCTTCTTGCTCTATCACATTCTTTCTGGATTTCCCCCCTTTTACCCAATCACCCTTTCCTCCCTTACATCCCCTCCCTAGTATTCGTTTGCCCGGGGACACTGCACAAGATCCTGGAACCTACCTCGGCCCATGAATCAGAGCACCAGTCTGGAGCCTGGTGCAAGGACCCTCTGCAAGCCGGAGACAGAATATACGTCATGCCATGGATCCCATACCGGACAGACACACTGACAGAGTATGCCTCGTGGGAGGATTATGTAGGTGCCCGGCACACCACCACTTACCGCCTGCCCAACAGGGTTGACGGCACAGGTTTTGTGGTATACGATGGAGCAGTCTTCTACAACAAGGAGCGGACACGCAACATTATCAAGTATGATCTGCGGACGCGCATTAAGAGCGGAGAGACAGTCATCAACACAGCCAACTACCATGACACCTCACCCTACCGTTGGGGCGGCAAGACTGACATTGACCTGGCAGTGGATGAAAATGGGCTATGGGTCATCTATGCCACTGAAGGCAACAATGGCCGGTTAGTGGTGAGCCAACTGAATCCTTACACGCTACGCTTTGAGGGCACGTGGGAGACCGGCTATGACAAACGCTCAGCATCCAATGCCTTCATGGTGTGCGGAGTCCTCTATGTGGTGCGGACAGTTTACGTGGACGATGACAGTGAAGCAGCTGGTAACCGTGTTGACTATGCGTTCAACACCAATATGAACCGGGAGGAACCCATCTCGTTGACCTTCCCAAACCCCTACCAGTTCATCTCCTCCATTGACTACAACCCCCGTGACAACCAACTTTATGTGTGGAACAACTACTTTGTCCTGCGCTACTCACTTGAGTTTGGCCCACCTGACCCAAGTACTGGTGAGATATAATCTTTGCACCTGAACATGGGGTGGGGTAGAGAAATCGTCACTGACTTGAAATCATGGGCCCTTGGCTTCTCCTCCCATTTTCCATTGGGTTGTCAAATACATTAGGGGACAAAAAAAGCCGTGTTCATTTGCTTAATGCCCATTTTTAATTGTACATTTCTGCAAATACAGCATTCACTTGAAATTACTTCTTAAATACATGTATATTTAAAATATATACATTACACTAAAGATTATGTATAGGCAATCCCAAACGTACTGCTTAAGAGTGATACATTTTCACATGAGCTAACCACCAACACACACACACTTAGGATACTCTGCGAGCAATCTCAAGTTATTGAGCCATTGTCTCTCCCAACTTCTACTGTTCAATATCTCTGCCATCCTCTGCCATCCATCACATTTCAGGAAACATCCAACTATATAATGGCAAGTTCATCTTACAAAGCAAGGCTTCAGTCCCAAAGCTGGCTTTTGAAAATATATTTCATTTTTGCCATTTTGCCACAAGCAGGTCTTTTAGTTCCAGTCGTACAGTAAGCATCAGAGAATCTGCTCAGTTCAATTCAAACTCTCTGTGACCCCAAAAGAATTAATGTGTGCCTGAAATTCTGACAGTTAGCATCACGTGGAGTTTAAATTGACAGAGATGGATTGTCTGATGTGCAATATTTGGCAGAAGCCTGGGGTCTACGAAAACTAATTCCTTGAAGCTGGACTGAAGGGGGGGAAATCTGTGCTTATTTTGAATACAGGAAATTCAAGATCAGTCATGCCCAGGTGCAGTGGCAGATTCAGATTTGTTTAGTGCAATATGCAGCTAATTTGTTTCTCTGTTCGCCCCCATTGTACAGCTGCTGCCTGTGCAACACTAACGGTTAAACTTGAATAAGGTTACATTTGCATGTACAGGTTACTTGCAGGGTTGGGGTGGGGAAGAGCGAAATGTAGCCTTCTTTTACCTTGGTCACCAGATGTTGCCCTTTAAACCCGAGGATGTAGCAAGAGAAAGGCAGTCACAGCTCCTGCCACCCACCCCCTCCTTAGACCTGCTGCCTGGCCCCTTCAAATGGGTCTCCAGGTGTGCCAGGAAGCACAACGGATGCTGGAGTGTGTATGCACAACAGGGCTCTGGAGTGGAATAGTTAGGAGAAGCTGCATCTGCCTTTTCTTCCACCAATCCTGTTTAGGTTAAAGAGAACAAAAGGTGATTACTTTCAGAGTGAACAGAATTTTGCTAAACTTCCCAGATAGAAACAATTCCATTGAAATTGAGCATTTGATTAATTAAAAATATTTGGTTCTGAGGAAACGTCATTCAGCATCATGCTCATGAATACTTCTTTTAACATTTAAAATGGCAAGTGAGGATTTAGCCCTTTGTGTCCCATCCCTTCAGGAAGGACCTGGCAGATACATACTTTCAGAGATGTGAAGAATTTAGTAGGGACTCGTCAAGCTAACTGGTTAGAGACCTTTGCTTTGATGCAAATCAAAAACCAGTGCTACCTAAGAGCATAGGAACCTGCCTTATAGTGCGTCCAACTCTTTGGTTTTTCTACCTCAGATAAGAAAAGGTAATTTTACTCTGTGTGCAGCATGTGGTGGCTGAACCTGTGGGGATATTTTGTATGTGGGTGGAAATCTAATTGCCTTTCTACCCACAGGCCCTGTCACCTCGACACCACTCAGCACTACAACCACCGTTCGTCCCACCACCATCACCAGCACAGTCTCACCTGCCGCTACAACTACAACACGGCAGGTGCCCCTCACCACCCACCCCATAGGTGCCATAAACCAGAAGGGTACAGAGCTTCACCCAGTCACCGCCATAATGCCCAGCACCCGGCGTCCACCAGCAAACAATCAGCACGTCTCTCCAGAGCTCTTCTGTGAGGCCAAGGAGGTGCGGCGTGTCCAGTGGCCAGCCACACAGCAAGGCATGCTGGTCGAAAGGCCTTGCCCTAAGGGCACACGAGGTAATGAGCTGGCTTCATTTGAGTCCTAGAGAAGATGGGACTCCGGCAGAGTGTATTCTCGCCAGTGGTGCAAGGAGCAAATGGGGCTTACAGGATATTGCCTGTGACCCCACAGCACTCAGCTCAAGGAAAGTGTGACAGCTTGAACTGTTGCTATGACTTAATTCATTCACACGACTTTCTGCAATGTGAACTCAGAGCTGGCAATTCTCAGTGGGATGAATTGGTCCTGCCATCCCCTGCTAACAGAACTCATCTTGTTATTGCCACAGTACTAAGCCATTTATCCCCGCTCTGTACTCCTTGCTATATTAGTTAGATGTGAGAACTGGACTGTCAAGGAAGAGAGCTCTTCATTCACTACTAAGGTTATGATTGCTCTCTGAGACCCTTAATCTCTGGTCTAGTGTTGGGATAGGGTGGGGGTGGAAGGGGGAAACCAAGCAGCTGGAAGCTGACTGAATTTTCCCCCTGCTGTCCCATGCACAGGTATTGCTTCCTTCCAGTGTCTTGCTTCGGAGGGAAACTGGAACCCACGGGGGCCTGATCTCAGCAACTGCACAAGTCCTTGGGTCAACCAAGTGGCACAGAAGGTATTGCTTTCCCCTTCCCATTACAGTGGTCTTCACTCAGACAGTTCACATTTGGGCTTCATGCATGCACAGCTCCTTTTACCTGATTGAGGCCAGTCTGCATTCCTTTCCCTTTCTTGGCAGATCAAGAGTGGAGAGAATGCAGCCAATATTGCCAGTGAGCTAGCCCGGCATACGCGTGGGGCCATCTACGCCGGAGATGTCAGCTCCTCTGTCAAACTAATGGAGCAGCTCCTGGACATTCTGGATGCACAACTTCAAGCGCTGCGCCCTATTGAGAGAGAGTCAGCTGGCAAGAACTACAACAAGGTGCATAGTAGTTTAATGGCTTAGTTCAGAGGTTTTCAAACTTTTTGAGTCCCACTGGCCAGCCCCAGAGGAACCATTCGCCTGGGGAGCTTGTAGTCAGGGCTGCTGCAACAAACAGCTGTGCAAGACTTTGAGAGGCAGAGATGCAAGAAGGCATCAGAGGAGGGAGGGAAGAAAAGAGGGGCAGAGGCCCGTGTTGCCTGTGACATCCCTGACCACCATTCAAGGCACCCCAGGGTGCCACGGCACACTGGTTGAAAGCCACTGGCTTAGACAGTGGTTCTAGGGCTGGCAGGCAGGGAGCCTGACCCCAGTCAAAAAAATTGGTCTTGGGAGGGGGGATAGCAATTCATCAAGTAAAGCTTTTTGCATGGTGAAGGTGTCACTGGTTGGATTTCTGCTTGTTGCGCAGCTTTTAAAAGTACAAGAGTCCAATAAGAAAAAAGATGGCAACATGGTGTTGGGGGACAAGGAGTGGTAAAGGAAGATTGATGCATATAGGCATTGGGAGCAATGCATGCTGAGGCAGAAGGATGTCACCGAGAGTGAAGGGTTGGAGCTAGAAACCATGAACCTGCATCCAGGTTTTACAATAACCATGGGAGCTAGAAATGAAAGCTGAGATCTCTGAGCTTAGTGAAAGATTCTAGTTCTGTAATGGATGCCCTATTTCAGGGGTCGCCAACTCCCAAGAGACTGCAATCTACTCACAGAGTTAAAAACTGGCAGTGATCGAGCCCCTTTTTGGGGGTTCAGGTCAAAGTTGTTGAGCTTCTTTAGGGGGAGCCAGTTATCTGCCACAGATGTCCAGTGATCTACCAGTAGATCACGATCTACCTGTTGCACATCCTTGCCCTATTTTATGCTGTGTGATGCAATCCTAATAACAAAGTTCCCTATACCCACTTCTTAATAAATAGTCTGATGTGAGACTATTCAGCTTATGCTGAAAATGGCTACTTTTGAGGTGCAGTCCACCAAATGCTGCTGCTGTCCAGCCACTCCAACAGTCTTTCTAGCAAATGTAAATAAATCTTATCTAAATGTAAAATAAGATGTTGCTTTGGATCCACACTTTCATTCAGGATATGCCTTCATTATCTCTTCCTGTTGATGAGTGACTTCATGGCCAGAGCAAATGTGCTTAAGATCCCCATTGAACCTATCCCTGTGGATCCTTCTTGCAGAAATTGCGTTCTAATCATTTTCTCTCTCTTTGTCCACCTGAACCATTGCTTACTTTGGGCATGGCTGTATCACCCTGCAGATGCACAAGAGAGAAAGGACATGTAAGGACTATATTAAGGTGAGTGTGCTTAACAGGTCCTGTGGTTGAAACCCAGATAGGAGCTGCTACCCAAGAAGCAAAGTTTTTCCTCAGTTTTGAATCTCACAGAATAATCCAGGTCCTCAGTCAAACAGGTTTGAGTGGAGCAGAGCTGTCCCCATGGGCAAGGCATGTCCCAGAGCCCCTGTCCAGATGATGGGTGGGCTGGTATTAACCAGTGGAAACTCCCCAAACACAGATGGGGCAGGACCTCAACGGAAATGGGCCCAATCTGGGCCTCTTTAATGCATCAGCATGGGAGCTGTCACAACATAGGGCCATTTTAGAGTATGGACTCATCCAGACTGCATTATTAGGCACAGATCTGCACTTTACAGCTCTGTGTCTGAGCATTTTTTAATTTTTTGGTCCTAACACTTTCCCTGGGAAAACCCACCTCCACCTTCCTTTAAAAATCATGACAGATGCCCATTCCATAACTGGAGGCTGGGGATGAAGAGAAAACACATAGATTCAAAGAATATACCAAAACAATATTTATTTTTTATTTTACTCTAAGAACACCACATAAAGACAACCCTCATAATACTAAAGGAAATCATGGTACATTATCATTATATTTCTGGTTCCAATAATGTACGAATAATAGCAGTTTTCAACAGTACTATCCATTTGTTGTTGATTTTCTTTTACTCTGATATAACTGGATAGCTTCATCATTTCAGCTGTTTTCCATAACTTCCCTAAATAGTCATCAAGTACATAATAAATTCAGCTACATTTTAAAAAGGAAAAGCACGAAATGACAGGGCATTTCTGTGGGCGCATGGGCGATAAATACATGCTCTAGTGAAGAAATAATACAATGGAGAAGTGTTCAGACTCTAAAATGTGAAGGGAGAAAAGCAACCTAAAACAGTTACAAATGGCATAGACATTTAGATACGGGATTGTTCTGCTCATCATTGAGCTCAACAAAGGCAATTTCTAGTAGGTGCCTGTGCAATACACATAACTGCATTACCAAAGGCAGTTGATTGCAATGCCTGTGCTGTTCAGGGGAAGAATTGCTTTTCCCCAGCTATGGAATATTTGGAAAATACTATATCCCCTTACAATGGAAGGGCTGCTTGGAGGGAGAATGTCTAATTCCTATACAACAAAGGAGTAACAAATACGTGGTTCATGCACAATTTTTTATTTTATTTTTAAAATCCCAATACTACTTGTAAAATTATACTCAAAGCAGCCTGGAAAGAATTGTCAGGTGGTGACAGCAATGCCACCACACAAAGACACATGAATGTTTTCTCTCCCTGGGAGGAGGCATCTGTAGCTGGTTTATTATACAATGGGAAGCTAGAGGAAGGGGGGGGTGCTTCCATCCTCTCTCAGAGCTCTGTCATTCTAGGCTGTGGTGGAGACGGTGGACAACCTGCTGCGACCTGAAGCTCTAGAGTCATGGAAGGACATGAATGCCACAGAGCAAGTGCACACAGCCACAATGCTCCTTGACATCCTGGAGGAGGGAGCCTTCCTACTGGCTGACAATGTCAAAGAGCCAGCCCGTTTTGTCACTGCCAAGACTAATGTGGGTAAGTCTTTGATGCTGGGCTCACATAGAAGAACTAAAGGGGGAGGAAAGGAATAGAGGGGATGGGGGGCAAGGAGAGGCTGTTATCCCTACTCAGAGACCCCAATATTTTGCTTCAAAATTTTGCATTGAATGGTGCAGACACAGTGCCTGAGCCTTCTAAATGTAGAGAGGGAGAAATATCAAATACTGGTAGTAAAGGGAATAACTGTCATTTAAGTATGGGAAAAGCCCTTATTTATAAGCACTGGGATTGTCCTTAAAGCACGTCTACTGCTACCATGCAAACGTACCATGGAAATCTGTTGTGTAGTGCATTGGACGAATTTCTTACCTGAACATTGCTGCCATTTAGAAAGTTGCACAGATTCTGATTCCTATGTGTCCAGTAAGAGGTATGTGTGCATTAGTTATTCAGGACAATGTATATGCAGGGTGCACACACCATTTCCCTTGTGAACGCAATGTCTTTAAGAGAAATTTATCTTGTGTAAAGTGGTTCTTTGGACATGAAGCTTACTCAAACAAGTCAACTTCAGCCAACCTAATTGACTAGATTGTTATGATGAGAAGCTGATGAGAATTGGAAAGTGCTATAGAAATAACAATCATAACATAATAGATCCAGTTCCCTGAGTTCCATCTCTTTATTGTGCTTTAGAGTGACCAAGAAATATACTGGTATACCTCGCTTTATTGTGCTTTGTAGACATTGCTTCTTAAAAGGATGTGGAAGCCTGGCCACTTCCGGGGGAAGGAAGCCCCCTGCCACTTCTGGCCACAGGAGTAGAGCTGGCTAGACCTGGAGCTGGGTTCTTCCCCTCTTGCCTGTGAAGCAAGGGGGGGCCTGGCTTAATAGACTATATAAAACATAACTTTTATATACACTGGGAAACAAAATAAAATAAAATTGTGTGATTCACTTTATTTTGGTGGCGTGGAAACGAACCCGCAATATCTCCAAGGTATGCCTATATTGTAAGCACTAGCTTTCAGGGGATGGAAAGAGGCGTTGTATTGAAGATGCATTGTCTCTGCACCCCAACCCAGGAACTAGCTTCGAGTGGGAAAGCAGTTGAAAATGCATTGCCTTGAAACCTGTGTGAGTTTGGGGAGGCAGAGTGTCTAAGCCAACAATAGGAAACTCGTGGCTCTCCAAATATTGTTAGACTACAACTCCCATCATCCCTGGCTGCTGGCTGTGGTGGCCACGGATGATAGAGTCGAATAACATCTGGAGAACCATATATTCCCAATCCTTTCTCCTTGCCTGCTGTGACGACACCAAACCATACTGTTGTACCTGGAGAACCTTCAAGATGGCAGAGCTTCACTGAAGAAATGCAACCCTAGTGCTACACTGAAGACAGTTCTCCTGGGCAGCAGAGTGAAGAGGTGCAGTTTGAGGTGCTGAAGCAAGTAGAGAAGAAAAGGGCAGGAGGAGCTGGAGCACATGGAGGGAAGAGAAGGCTGGAATTAGGGGAGGCAAAAAGGGATAGAGCAGACGGGCAAAAGGGCAAGTAATGCAAGGAGGGAGAGATGGATGTCCTCTCCCCCCCCCCACCCGCTAAATTCCTAGTGCATTTCCCTGCACACATTTATATAAGCACCGGTCTTGTGTGGGTCTCTTGTTCCAGCTGGATTTCCAATGCAGCTCTCTTCTATGGCTGTGCACACACTGAAAGTCCCACATACTGACAGGCACTGTACTGCTTAATAATACATGTCAGTATCTGTTGATGTTCACTTTAAATTGTTTGGCTCTTGCACAAGAAGAAGGAACTGCTTATGGCAGAAGGTAAGGCTGAGGCAAAAACTATAAAATTACATCAGGGAACCAATTAAGCATGTTAGCCTGCACTATTGAAGGAGGAAAAACCCACCCATGTTTTATGCCTAGGATAATCACTAATGAGATAGAATCCATTAGTACAACTATTGCCAAACCTTTCAACAGCATCATCCAAACCATTTTATTACAAGTGAGCATTCTACCAGGTGTTACTAGCTTGGTCAGAACTGTCAAAGAATCTAGACAATTATGGTTGTGCAAGCTAATTCTCTTTTTGTGCAGACAATTCTAGTAGTCATGTTCTTCAGCACTATAAACTGACAGCTTTCTCAAGCATCTTCTGGGGGGGGGGAAGGACTTTCATTTCTGGTAGGAAACCTAACCCAAAGCTCTTAAAACAAAACATTAAAGCCTAGTCTTCTGAAAATCCTCTCTTGTATGTCACTGCTGCTTGGATTAAGTGACCCCAGAGCAGCAGTGCAAGCAATAAAATTCCAAAATAGCTCAGGCTATTTAGACAAAGAAAGAGAACAGCAATTCATAAGTGAGTGGAAATAACAAATCAAAGGAAGAAACAGGCAGGAGTGGTACAGATGCCTGCACAGAATTTTTGCATTTGGCACATTACTTCACCATAGAGATGTGGGCAAAACAAAACAAAAACTATCGCCAAATATACTGTTAGCAGCCACAAAACAGGGATGGCAATTTGGTGTCCACAGAGCATTTTGAGGACAGGTGTATAATTTGAAACAGGTTCGCTCCATGTCTGCTCAGGTAGTCCAGAGATGAGGTAACATGTGAAAGGTATATGCTCCGCTTATGGGGCGGGGAATCAAATTAAAAAGAGGATAATTAAAAATTGTTCCGAATATTGTGCCTATGTTTCCTGCTTGTATTCATCTCGCTCTTCCTCCTCATTGCAGTGCTGGAGGTGTCAGTGTTGAATACAGAGGGGCAAGTGCCAGATATTGTTTTCCCACATGAGTATACCACCAAGAATTCCATCCAACTCTCAGCCAACACTATCAAGCAAAACAGTCGTAATGGTGAGCGGGGAATGAAATTCGGGGAGGGAAAGGGACCCCAGGATCTCAAAGATCTTTTCTCTAATGTGATGAGAACCACATTTGCCTCTTTTTGTGGTCCAATATCATGGCCCTGATTCCCTTTCTTCTCTCTTCAGGGGTGGTCAAGGTTGTCTTCATTCTCTACAAAAATTTGGGGTTTTTCCTCTCTACTGAGAATGCCACCATCAAGCTGGGTAGTGAGGTTGGTTCAATTAGCCCCTCACTTGTTGTCAACTCACAAGTTATTGCTGCCTCCATCAACAAGGAATCTAGCCGCGTCTTCCTGATGGACCCCGTCATCTTTACCCTCTCCCACCTGGAGGTGAGACTTGCGTGACATCTGGAACCAGTGTGCTCATTCCCCCATTTTTGGCACATCCTAGGGCATGCCCCACTATGGCACTTGGTGGTCTGTATCCCATTTCTGCACACATATGCCCAACATTGGAAACTCTATGCTTTGTAAGTGCATTGACACTGATGTTTTGATTGTGTACCAAATCACTCCCATTCTCTCCAGAATGAACCATTTTCCTGTATCCCAACTTCTCAAAGCATAGGGCCCCTCTACTGCTCTGGCTTCGCCCCACTTAATTGACAATTCTTACAGGCATATTTTTTTCCATGTAGGAGAAGAACCACTTCAATGCCAATTGCTCTTTCTGGAACTACTCAGAGCGCTCCATGATGGGTTACTGGTCCACGCAGGGCTGTCGGCTGGTGGAGACCAACACGACCCACACCACCTGTGCATGCAGCCACCTCACCAACTTTGCTGTGCTCATGGCACACCGTGAAATTGTAAGAATATCATTCCCACTGATGGGGGCTGAGGGAAGGTGCTCCAGAATGGTTGGGGGGCAGGGAGAACTGGTTTTCTGCCACCATCCCCAGCCACTGTCAAGGTCCCCCTTCCAGTTCCTTATGCACCCGGTATCTTCTTGTCAATACGGGTAACCCAGAAAATCAGGGTGGTCATTATTCTTACATGAAACACTGGGAGTTGGTTCTTTCCCTGTTCGTAATAAAGATGCCCTGGATTAACAGTTACTTGGAGGGTGGCAGTTTATTAGATGGAGACAGTCCATTGGCAGAGGACGGTTAATTAAGTGCTACCAGTATTACAGTCAAGCTAACATTTCAACTCTACAACAGGGGAGAGTACTTAACAGGAGAGGAAAGCTGTGCACATCCAGCCTCATTCCGCTTTTCCTTTCAGTACCAGGGCCGCATCAATGGGCTGCTGTTGTCTGTCATCACGTGGGTGGGCATTGTGATTTCCCTGGTCTGCTTGGCCATTTGCATCTCCACTTTCTGCTTCCTGCGTGGGCTGCAGACTGACCGCAACACCATCCACAAGAACCTCTGCATAAATCTCTTCATCACTGAACTCCTCTTTCTCATCGGCATTGATAAGACACAGTATGAGGTGCGTGACAATCTCCCCTCAGAGCAACACCAAAAACACCACGGCATATTCCTCTGCATGGAGGGAGTTGAGAGAGTCACCAAGGGGCATGTGGTACAATAGGACAGGATGGAGATCCCACTGGGGAACATTTGACTTTGCCAAGTCAGTGCAGCCACAGAGGGGAGGGGGTAACAGGATTGGGATATCTGCAGGAAGTTTCAGCTCACTCTAGAGCAGACTCAGTTTACCAGGCATGGGCATGTGCTTGTTCATGACAGAAGCAACACCTGGGAAGTGGACAGTTAACACAATTGTTCCCCTCTGCTTAAGTCACCACTGCTGCCAGGAACAGCCAGGTGTCATAGGCATGTCCAGTTGTCATGAGGAGGTACTGCAGACCCAGGGACGAAATTGTGTGCGTTTGCAGGGTACAAGGGTGGGCATTTCCCCCTTGTGGTCACTACACAACTTTTAAAAGTGCAGCACCTTTCCCAATCATCACTGCCTTAAAAAAAAAAAAATATTGTGTGCTCTTTTTTTTTTGATTAGTCAGAAAAACAGGATATTTTAAATTAATTCAATAAATGCATTACAAAAAGAGGCATTGTGCTGATGGGATTTTTTCTGTCTCTCCCCTTCCATCCCAGATTGCCTGCCCCATCTTTGCAGGGCTGCTGCACTACTTCTTCCTGGCAGCGTTCTCCTGGATGTGCCTGGAAGCCATCCACCTTTACCTCATGTTGGTTGAGGTTTTTGAGAGCGAATACTCCCGCAAGAAGTACTACTACTTGGGGGGCTATTGCTTCCCTGCCCTGGTAGTGGGTATTGCTGCCGCCATTGACTACCGCAGTTATGGCACCGAGAAAGCGTGAGTACATGGAAGGCCAAAGGGAGAGGCTAGTGGAGGGTGCATGGCAATGGTAAAAAAAGGAGGTTGAGGCATAACTGGGGGATGGGGGGGAGGCTAGTACACTGCACACATAACTCTATGCTAACTGTGGGAGGAGGAGCGCCACAGCAGAGGTTGCCAATGTGACACTTAGGGACACCCTGGCAATCTTCCCCTGACACCCATGAAGCTTCTGAGCTGCCCTGCCCCCTTGATCATGAGGTGGTGAGGATGATGACCTTCTTCTCTCTTGAAAAGTACATAGTAGGAAGTTGGAAGAGTGACAGTCTCTCCCCCTTCCTCTTTTAGTTCTATGCTCTTTTTCAGGCTTATATTTTCTACTATAGCTGACTTACCCAGACTTCCTCTCTCTCTCGGGGGAGGCAGGGCAGGCTGAACCAAGGGAGTGAGGAGAGATGTGGCCAGAGGGGATGGTGCCCACAGCACTTGCTCAGAAACCCAAATTTGCCCATGAGCCTGAAAAGGTTGGCAACAGAGCTGGCAAAACAAGATTAGAGGTGGGTTTGGGTGACTTGAAAGATACGGGATGAGAAGTCCTTTAAAGGATGTTATGACAGAGGGGCAGGGCAGAAGAATGAGCAGAGAACAGGCAAGGTTTTGACAGCACATTTCTGGGTGAGTGTCATCTCGTGCCAATAAGCACTCAGGCAATCAAGCCTTGAGGTGCTTTTCCTGCTTCCATCTGACACTTCTCTGCTCTCTTTTGGCAGATGTTGGCTTCGAGTTGATAACTACTTCATCTGGACCTTCATTGGGCCTGTCTCTTCTGTCATTGTGGTGAGTCACTAGGGATTGTTTGGGAATAGACACTCAAGGATTTCCCTTATCTGTCAAAGAATCAGAGTCCCAAAGTTGAGGAAAGAACTGGAGCCCTTGCTCTCCTCCTCAACCCATCATTAGACCTTTCTTTTTCTTCCCAGAGTTAGAGTGCCTGGGTGTAGGGTGTGTTTTCAACTTTCAAATTCCAAATATGAGAGGTGCTTAAAAGTTGCAACATGACTTGGGAATTCAAAAGACATTTTGGTTACATAAATATAATTTAGGTTTTCTTGGTAAGCAGAATGTGTGTAAAATTGTGTAGAAATCATTGAAAGTGGTTGCCAAGTACTTGCAGTATTATTATTATTATTGTTGTTGTTGTTATTTACATGACCTGACATTTTCAGAAGGTAAAATTAAAATTCTTTGGTTTTCCTAAAGCAGTTTATTTGCTTCTTCATCAAGTGTAGTCTTGCCAAGCTGAATGTTGTCCAATCACAAAAATAATAGCAGATTTGAATTCCTCACACCCCAAAGCTTATTTTTAAGGCCCCTCACTGAAGAAATTTGCAAAAATTAAGTTTCATCTCCTAAAATGGCATGTCCTAGCCTGGGATGTAATGTTGCTCATTCCTTCCCATCACACACAGACACTGACACTGACAAACCCTTTCCCCTGCATCTGGGGAAAGCCACTAGCAGGGGAAAGTGGGAGGTGCTTTTTTGCAGAGGACTCCCTTTCCCCTGCTCACATCCATCTGTACACATCCCCCAGATCAACCTGGTGTTCCTCATGATCACTCTGCACAAGATGATCCGCAACACGTCGGTCCTCAAGCCTGACTCCAGCCGACTGGACAACATCAAGTGAGTTTATGTTTGGATTCCTTTTCATCCTCTGGCTTAGATGCAAACTTCTCCCTACCTTAATAGCACACCTCCAGTGCCTTTAGATTCCTGTGGTGCCTTGTATTTGGTTCTTCTAAAACAGCTTAGTGGGACAAAGCCAGAGCAGAGAAAACAGACAACTTGGGGTTTAAAGGGACCGGACTCTTGCCCAGACCATGATATTGAGGACCCCATCTGTCTCAGGAGTGTCTCACTCAGCTGAGTGACCTACAGCTGGGAGTAAACAGGCTAAAGGCCAAAGCATAGTGCTTTATGGGCTCAGATGATCCTTTCAGAATGCTGGGATATGGGTTGACTCACTCAGCTTACACTGGGTAACATTATGAAGCTTTCGTTTGATCACTTCACCAAAGGCTTTGGACTGCTGGCCATCTTTATGTCGAGTAAATCTTTCTTTCTTTTCCTTTCTCTTTCTCACGACCCACCACACTGCAAAGGCTCCTGTGAAACCAGCATTCTCTCGTTTTAAGAGAGTGTCCTTATATTCAGGAAAGGAATTGTCACCCTCTCAGATGAATAGAGTGAGGCTGCTTCATTCAGTCAGCACAGTGGAGCTGTCTGAGTCAAGCAGCAAATGAGGTTAGAGTTCTGACACTTTGAGGGAATTTGTCAAGCTCGGTGCTGCAAATAGCCTGCAAATGCCAGTCTGTCAAAAGCCATGCGTTACTCACAAGTTCACATCTTCTTACACTCATTCATACAAAATAATCTAGAGGTGGGGAGAACACCCTGGTTAATGCTGAGTTAAGGTTAAAAAAAAATACTCATAGCTTAAAGTCTACTAAGCAGAGAAATGCAGTTCAGCTAATCCTAACAGCTTTATAAACTACCTTTACCTTGCCCAAGTGACCCAGAACAATACTTAACCCAGGTAGCTGGACAAGTGCTGTGGACAGAGGAGGCTGCTGAACCTCTCAAGAATCCAGAGGAGCCCAGTAAAAAATAAAAAAAGAGAGCTGGGAAGTTCAAACATTAATGAAAACTAAGAAAGTATGAACCTCATGGAACCAAGGAAGGGGGGAAAGGGTAGACCACACTTTCTCTGTGCTATTGCCCTGATCCAAATCACACAGCCCTCTGTATGGACATGCACACAAACGGTTGCTCTTTGTTAAAAAGAAAAATTAAAGTAACAGAACTCCAAGTCACATGTATTTTGATCCTAATTTGCAGGTTACCTCTTACAAAATTTATTAGAGCCTAACTATGTAAACATGGAGTAAGCCTTACTGATTTAAGTTGGTTATATTTCAAAATAACAATATTTTTGATTGCAGCCTTAATTTTGCTAAGTAACACTGTTACCGGCAATATAACCATTACTTCTATCTACCAGCCCAGTTTTTACATGCTTCCTTATCCTGCTCTTTTTAGTTAATTTACCAAAGAGTTCCGGTGCATTTGTTTACTGCTGGTGTGGTTTTGCAGCCTGCTTCCTGCCGTCTTTCTGTGTTTATTTTAGTTGCCAAATCTCAGTCAGAAATAAACACAGCAACACTTTGTGGTTTTAGTTTTGTCTTTTTCATCCGAAGTACAAATAGACAGTTGATCACTTCTTTCCACTCAAAGAGCAAAGATTGGGAGAACTGACAGTAAGAGGATACTCCTGAGCCAATCCTAACCATGTTTGCTTGGAAGTAAGTCTAGCGTCCGTCTCTTGGGCACCTACTAGAGAGTGCCTTTGATCTCACGGCTGACGAGTGACAAATATATGGCCATGCCATTTCACAGCCTTTCATTTTGAAAAGCCCCTTTAGAGTCTGAGCACACTCAAGTGTGGAAGTGCTTATGAAGCTTTAAGAGAGAGAAAACAAAAAACAAGCAAACGAATGGTCGAGCGACCACCAAACTAACATTTGGGACTGTGGTGTGTTGTTAGGAAATGGCAGGTAGTACACAAGTCCCATGATTTGTGTTTGTATTCAGCAAATGGAAGCCCTTTGTAACAACAAAGGTTAGATGTAAAGGAGGCATTTTAGTCAACATTTCTGGGCCAAGAATAACTGGAGGTCTGTAGTGACAATTTGGCTGGTAATTCTTAGACATACAACTCCCTCACTAGCAAACTATGGGAGAATCTCCCACACGCTGACTTCCTTGCCCATCTTTCTCTCTCCATCCCCCTAACATTGTCTCACTGTTTCTTTTGTGCCAGAAGTTGTACAGAGGCATCTATAGCATAACAGCAGGGAGATGTGAGACTAGTTTTGCTCTGGTGAGGACTCCCAATTCCCTGAACTCACTAGTGTCTCCTTCTACAGGTCTTGGGCACTCGGGGCAATCACTCTCCTTTTTCTCCTGGGCCTCACCTGGGCATTTGGTCTCCTCTTCATCAACAAGGAGTCTGTTGTCATGGCCTATCTCTTCACCACCTTCAATGCTTTCCAGGGCATGTTCATCTTCGTGTTTCATTGTGCACTTCAGAAAAAGGTGAGTACAGTGGTACCTCGGGTTACATACGCTTCAGGTTACATACGCTTCAGGTTACAGACTCCGTTAACCCAGAAATATTACCTCGGGTTAAGAACTTTGCTTCAGGATGAGAACAGAAATTGGGCTCCAGCGGCCCAACAGCAGCAGGAGGCCCCATTAGCTAAAGTGGTGCTTCAGGTTAAGTACAGTTTCAGGTTAAGAACGGACCTCCGGAACGAATTAAGTACTTAACCCGAGGTACCACTGTATCTGTAATCCAGAACTGAAGGACAACACTTTTTGCTTAAAGTTGTGGAGAACAATGGGAGCTGGTATTCTGAGGTGCTGGCTGAGGGACTTAGGAGACCCAGGGTCATTGGGCAGAGCTGTCAACCTTGCTTGCATGCTGGGGGTGCAGGGGCCTTAAAGAGAACCATTGACTCTGCAAAGGACTTTGGGTCCAAATTGAAAGGAGTTGCATAGGACAATTGCCTGATTAAAAAACAAGAAACACTGAGTCAGTTAAACAAGTTTTAGTCCATTAATTAGTTAATTAATCAATTAAGTTTGCATAAAAGTAAAGAAAATAGTTTCAGAAGGAAGATGGGTCTTTGTCTGTAAATAACATACCCATGTATCATAGCAGGCATCATCTTAGAAGAATCATTCCCTCCTGTGCGCGAGAGAAAAGGGGGGAGTGCCCCTTTAAGATGATGCTTGCCACCTGCAGTTTTTAATAAGTATTTGTATCTTTAGAAAATATCTGCCTGATTAATTGTGACCCTTTTTAAGTAAATGTTTTAAACTCATAAATTTAAGTAATTAATTGATGGAACATTGCTGCCCTAGTGAAGGTAAAGATTGTGACAAAAAGGCTTAGCTAAGAGGGCAGAACCAGCCTGAATGACCATGTTGTAGCCAAGACAATTCATGCCTTTCCCCCTTCCTTGACTCTCCTCCCTACAATGCGCCAGGTTCACCGGGAATTCAGCAAATGCCTGCGACACGCATCCTGTTGCCTACGGAGTCCGCCAGGGGCCACACTGGGCTCCCTCAAGACCTCAGCCATCCGCAGCAACAACCGTTACTACACTGGGACACAGGTACCATTGGGCAGACTGGGCTGGGGGGTGTGTGCTGCTGTTACTGGTCTGGAGAACAGGAGAGGCTGGGGCATATTCTTAGGCCACAATACCCCTGGGGGTCTAGTTGCCCTACTGAATCCAGAGTGGGGCTGTCTTTTCAGAGCCGAATCCGGAGAATGTGGAATGATACTGTAAGGAAGCAAACTGAGTCCAGCTTTATGGCGGGTGATCTCAACAGCACTCCCACCCTTAATCGAGGTGAGCAGTCACTCTGTATTTTCCATCACTTCCTGCAACTCCTTTGTGAGCCAGAGGGCAGGCCTGTACCCACACACCTGACTAAGAGGTTCCTGCCCCACCCTTAAAGCTGCTCCCCGGCCCCACTCTCTACAACCAAGCAGATGAAAGAGATCCCTACCAAACACCACTCCATATCAGTTTCTCCCCGAGAGTCACCTTTTCTCCTCAGCTATCTCTGGTGGCCTCCAATGTAGTTCTGCTCACATGGCCATGACTCCCCCCCCCCCCGAGCCAAGCTACTCAGTCTCCTCTCCATCTCCAGCCTTTCCTCCAACCCCAGATGCGGAGGCTCAAGTCACTTTCTACCTCCATGGTGCTAACACCTTTGCCTATACTACTTTTTGCAGGCACAATGGGGAACCACCTGCTGACCAACCCCGTGCTGCAGACACGGGGCGGGACCAGTCCTTACAACACACTCATTGCTGAGTCCGTGGGCTTCAACCCTGCCTCACCACCTGTCTTCAACTCCCCAGGTAAGGGCATCGTCACCCAGGATAACATACTTTCCCCTGTAGATTGATGCCCCAGACTGAATTAGGGTTCCATTTGCACACACAAATACAGAGCTCCACATTTTCCTTATTGAAAATGAGGGGTGGGGTAGGTAGAAAGCAGAAAAAACACCTGAGATTTCTGCTTTTGAGTCTGGTGAAAAAGTAATCCCTCAAGCCTGGGCACTGGGAGGAATGGGTCAGGAGAAGTGGCAGTGGAGGAGCTCCTCCTTTATTCTCCCGGTGCATAAGAGCCTGCCTTGTACTGAGACAGACCATTGGTCCCTCTTGCTCAGTATTATCTACACTGATTGGCTGTGGCTCCCCAGAGTCCCAGCTGTACCTAGAGATGCCAGGGAGCAAACAGCTGGTGCTGTGCCACTGAGCTATGGCCACAGGGAGGATTTGGGCCATGTCTTATTTTGCATTACTGGCCCCAGCCACCTGGATAACCCTCTTTCTCTCTTTTCTCTTCCTCTCCCAACTGTTGCTGCCTGCAGGGAGCTTCCGAGAGTCCAGTACGTCCCTCCTTTCCAGTTCCATTTCGCAGTAATGTTTCCTTCATTGCTAGTTTGACTGGCAGGCTGGGGGTGGGTGCAGCACAGACGTGAGCCAAGTAGCGGGTGTGTAGGGAGAATAGGAAGGAGTGCTGGCTTTCTGGAGGGAACTCCTCCCTTACTCATGTTCCCATTTCTCGGAGGGTGGTGGTGCAGCATGGTTTGCGCAATTCTGGCTGTGGGCACTAGATGGAGCTGAATGCATCCGCAGAGCTCAGCGATACCCAACCTTCCCATCCCTGCATGCTGGGTTGAAACCATGGGCCCGTTAACCTAGTGTGCACCCCGTGCTCTAATGGGCTGACTGTACCGTCTCTGACAAATGGTCCCTCCAGCCCCAGAGGCCACCTTTGCTGGGGGGAGACTGCAGGCTTCTTCCATTGGCAGATCAGATAACTTGCGTGCTCCGTGTTATGCATGTGGCTGTGTGCGGCTCAGCAGCCATGCCAACATGGCTATTCCCTCTCACGTCACCTTAGCCTTAGAGGTTACGCCTTAGTTGCACTCTTGCTATCTTACTCAACAAACCACATTCCTCTTTCCCACACCAGTATCAGTACTTTCACACATGCATACCTAACTCACATGTAGTTGAATCCTGCGCTTATTTCCACACTAGACAATAAAAAAGAGAAGTGAACTGCAATCTGATGCTTGTTGGGGAAAAAAGATTAAATTTAACAGAAGAGTATCCCAAAGATCATCAACAAATGCATCTTATTCAAGGACAATAGTTCTATATGTTCTTTTTAAAACAAACCCCAAACCGAAGCCACATCTTACCATGTGCATCAGAGTCCTCCTATTCTTCCTATGTAGAAAGGAGCAGTGTCTGGTTAACCCTGTACTGACAAGAAGAGGAGAAGGAAGATAAGTGGCTGTTGTTGTTGCTGCTGCTGCTGCACAAGCAGCCCTGCCCCATTCTGGCTGGCTGTGCTATCCTGCTGGCAAAGGCAAATGCTAGAATTCTGTATATAGCTGTGGCACCTTCATCTGCTCCCTGGAGAAGAGCTAAAGCTTGAAGAGCAGCTCGGTTAGTGGCCAATTGCTGGGAGCCTGCCTTCTTGATCTGAGCTGGGCCCTGGTGGAAAAGGCTCTGCCTCCCTTCCCCGGGATTCCGAAATGAAGGAATGAAGGGGATTTCTGATGCACATGGTCATTGCCTTGTTACTGTTATTATTTCATTTTTATTAGATTTCTATACCGCCCTTCATCAGAGGATGAGGATGGGGTGGTTTACAATATAAAAACACAAAAATACATAACATAGTAGCAAACCAAAACAATAGCTCATCCCACAGTTATTATTTGTGTGAATCAAGTCTTGGCGAGTACCTTGTCAATATAGGAACTCTCAGAGAAGCCTTACTTGCTTGAAATGTGCACTGACCCTTTCAATTCAGTTAAATAAATTACCCATCAAGCAGCCTCAGCTTCAGGTTCATCTCTCTTAGCTTCTTACCTCCATTTTTGTTGCTGCCATCATTTTCCATACACACAAGCCAGTTCTCCCCGTGTAACAACCCTACATTTTTCTTACACACACTTCTTATCTGCTCTCTTCCTCGCCACACACACATACCACTTGAGCGGACCATCTGCCCAAGTGGAACTTAGTTCCCAAGTGATGGCTTCTGCTCTGTGGCCTAAACATTAGTTGCTCATGACCTCCCTCCCGCCTCCTCCCACTAATACCCATCTATGTGCCCACCTTTACAGAGCACCCCCTGAACAACAGCCGAGACGCCTGTGGCATGGACACCCTCCCGCTCAATGGCAACTTCAATAACAGCTACTCCCTCCGCAGTGGCGACTTCCCGACCGATGGCACCAAGATGGCCGACTGCCGACGCAACCTGAGTGACGCCGCCGCCTTTGAAAAAATGATCATCTCCGAGTTGGTGCATAACAACTTGAGAGGGGGAGGCAGTGGCGTGGTCAAGGGGGGCGGGGGTTCTGCCGAGACCTCCAACCCCCCTGGGCCCCCTCCCCCTCCCAACGTAGTTGCAGGGGGAGGGGGTACCAACAATGAGGATGACGCCATTGTGCCTGACGCCCCTTCCTTGACCCATGAGGAGAACATGGAAATTGAACTCATGTATAAGGCCTTAGAGGAGCCGCTCTTGCTTCAGAGGGCACAGTCCATCCTCTACCAGAGTGACCTGGAGGAGTCGGAGAGCTGCACAGCTGACCTGACAGAGGGGGGCGATGGCCAAGCCCCTTCCCCCAACAGGGACTCTTTATACACCAGTATGACCAACCTGAGGGACTCCCCATACCCGGACAGCAGCCCTGAGGCAGTTGGGGAAGTGCTTCCTCATGCCCAAGCCATCAATGAAATCTACTATACCAATCGGCCAGCCTTGGTGCCGCGCAACCAGCTCCAGGCCTACTACCAAGTCCGGAGACCCAGCAATGATGGCTACTTGGTCCCAGGAAGCTTAGAAAACCCAGCAGTGGAGGGAGATGGCCAAATGCAGCTGGTGACCAGTCTCTGAGGGGCTGAGAAGGGACTGAGGGACCATAACACCCCCCAAAAAAACCCCCAATGCGGCACTGTTGCCGTGACCTGAACATTTTAATTTTTTCCTGGAAGAAAGGGTGGGGAAGAAGAGAATGGCACAGGGCTGGGGAATGAATGGAGGAGAGAAGGTGGAAGAAAGAGCTGAGTGAGGCAGAGGGCTTCTCCGAGGAGAAGGGAGGGGCAGCCATTTTGTCCGTCTTTCCTTCCATCCAATTAGATTTCCAGACAGAAAGTGGCACGTGGCCTATCTGGTTATGTCCGTTTTCCTTCTCCAGGCAAATAAATGCAGTGGAGGAAAGAGAGCTGAATCTAGGCAAAAGGATCAGACTTATTTTGACAATACCTTCTAGACAATTGGGGGGGGGGGATGAACCAAGAAATTAGGGTGGGAAAGTTAAAAAGCTGACATAATAATATTTTTTTTTAATGTTACGAAAATCAAAGCCATGAGGGTTCCACATGCAGAGACTGGGGCACCTGGGGAAATGCCCTGCCCTGCGCCCTGGCTCAGAGCCTGCTCCCCACCCCTCGCCTCCCATAGCTTAAGAGTATGAGGGACAAACAGGGCCATGTGGCGCTCGGCCTAGTCGGGGTTTAGATTCAACCGTTGCCAAAAAAGAGAGACAAAAGACAGAGAAAGGTATGAGGGTGGGGGGAGAGGAAGGAGCTGTTCAGGTAACGCTATGCTGAGAACCTGCCTTCCAGTATTTGTTGGCTGTCACAGTTTATCAACAGGGTTTGCATCAAGTTCTTCCGCTCTTTCAGATTGGCAGGAAAGCTTTGCTTTGATTCTTTCCTCTCTCTCTTTTTTTATTTTTTTAAATTAAAGCCCACATAGGAATGTTTGAAATGCACCATTGCTTCTGGGGAAGGAGGAAGTAGCATTGAGGTGTGGCTGTCCTTAGATTTTTTTTTCATTTGTATGGCCACACATGGTGGCCTTTCCCCCTCCTAGTTGCTTTAGGGCCACCGAGCCTGACGTAAAATTGCACAATAAGTAAGAGATGATGAGGGGTGGGGTGGTGGTAGAGGAGGGGGCATTTCTTCCCGTTTCACTCAGTTCCACCAGTCGCCCCCACGGCCTGCTAAGTTCCAGCTCCAGACATTTAGAAAGTGATGCAAGACTGCTCTCACCTTCCTTCTGTTTCATTCCTGCCCACGAAGTCGCAAACGTCAGGAGTATCCTGCAATGCAAATATGGCTGCCGTCAGAACACATTTGGGACTACATGGGAGAAAGTAGGAGTGTTGAACTCTCCCCCGCCCCCCAGACTGGATGGATTGTCCTTCAGAAAAATGACAAACAGAACAAACAAAAAAAACAGCAACAAAAACACTAACCCAGACTGCACTTTTTTTCCACCCAAAGGAAAAAGAAATAGCAAATCTCCCTCTTCAAGCACAACTCCGACTTTTCTCACCAACTCTCGGCCTGGGAGAGTTGGGGAAGCAACCAGTCTCACCTAGAGGCACCATATTTCCGGGGCGGGCGGCGGGCGGGGTCCAAATGGGTTGGGAAGTGGGGGATGTGATACCAATTGAAATGCTGTAAATATGAAAACCTAAAAACAAATCAGAGAATTGATTTACTCACTTGAAAAAAGGAAAAACAAACCAAGGAACTTTTCTGTCTGGGTTTTAAATATATCTATATCTATATAATATATATAGATATATGGTACTCAGCTCTGCTCTGGCCCCATGTGTGGTATGGGAGCATGGAAGGGAAAATGAGGGAAATGTCCCTTCTTTGACAAAGACAACTGGGGGAAACCCGCCGAGAGCAGATTTTTACAATCAAAAAAGAGGAAAAAAAACATTTTGGTACAATTTTTATGTAATATATAACATATACTGCGTCATTTCTGTGACCTTGAAGCATTTCCCCTTTCCTGCCAGATGAGGTACCTTTTTCATACATCTCCACATGAAGTTGGTTATTTTCTCATTAACTGCCACTTTGGAATTGTGGGTGGGGGAAAAAACACTTTTACTGCAAGACCCAAAGATGCTGTAATGCTGTAGGTTACAGAAAAATCCTTCGCTTTTAATAATTTTAAGAGGGGACAGAGTAGTTTCATTTCATCATCATCATTATTTTTAAGCAGCCACGTCTTACCTATTTAGAAATTTCCAGGCTAGATGTCAAAAAGGGAAATGGTGTGTGGTTTTGCCACTTGGAGCCTTGAAATGTTTGTTCTCCTGCTTTTATTTTATTTTGTTTTTATTATTATTATTGCATCTTTTGTCCTCTCCCAGTTAATGGAATTGCTAAGAGACTTGGTCAAACGCAGAAGGCGAGGGTTTGGCATTCTTAGAAGTGTACCTTCCTTGGAATAGGCAGGGGCTTCCTTTCTCTGTGCCATATTGTGGCAGGAAAGAAGAGCCATCGTCACTCCTTGTTGCCTGCTTACATCTCTTACCCCAGTACCACAAGCTAAGACCCAAGGAGCCCTGTACAGTGGCAGCACAATCAATCAAGTCCTCCTTTTCCATCAGGAGACAGCATTAACCCTGATGACAGTGAGCTTTCTTCTTTCTTTTGGTTTCTTGCTCCATGTTCGCCTGTGTTATCATTGTGCAAGGCCTGTTCATATGGTCGCTTCCCCTAGCAACTGCATGTTTGCAGCATCCAAGAATGCCCCTTGATCATGTTTGGTAAAGAGAAGCTTGTCGTGTGCCCATATTGATATTTTCTGCAAAGAACCCAGTTAAAGGCTGGCCACAAAGAAAGAGAAGAACACACGTTGTGTAACCCTAAAACCCAATACAGCTGTAGCTCACAAAGCTTGATCTGACATCATTTAGATCTAGGGACATGGCATAGACTTTTTCACCTAGAGCCATCTCCCCCTCCACCCAACCTAATGTAATTATACTTGATTCAGAGATAGGGACTAATGGTTTTCAGAAGCATTTTGTTTTATATCCGAGTCATACTTTCAAAGGGCACAGGGAATTGGGTTGTGGGGCTTTTGACGCCCTTGTTGCTGTTTCCACAGGTTTGGGTTGTATTCTTCATTAGGATCTCATTGCATGAAAGTTGGAAGGTTAGTGTGACAAATCCATATTGGCTCAAACTCCTTCCTGCCGCTCTTTCGATCTTGGTCCAGAACCAACTTGCTCACTCTCTTAGATGGACAGCTTACCCTTGTGAGGACAAGGCCCCACTCCCGTTTACCTGATTCTATCACCAAACCATGGTTCTGATCAATCCTCTCCCCAATACCAAATGGCCTTATTCACCCCACTTGCATTTGCTGCATTGGCCCAAGGAAGGCCCTGTGTTCAGGAACTGCCTTGGCATGATCACCAAGAGGTACCTCCATTTGGAAACCTCACGTGGAAAACAAAAACAAAAAAACCAAAGACATATCTGCCCTCATCCATCCTGTTGGAGCGAAGCGGTAGAGACTTGAGTCTCTAGCAGCCCAACCTCAAGGCTTTGCGCTTTCCAGCTTCATGTTAGCTATGAGTAGTCCACACTGTACTTGAGATTTGGACTTTAATTGAAATGAAAAGATTGACACGATTATGAAGTTATATCAGTGTTACGGCATGTTCCGTCCTGGCACAAGAGGAAGGGGGCGCTAACACTATTGAAGTAACCGCTGTAAGAATAGTCTTGGAAACCAGCCGCTAGAATCAGCCCAGGTGCTCCCGGGTGCTGGGTAGTTAGTGGCAGCCAGAATCCATATGCGTTGAAGGCGTGTTCATGCTAGTTGCACTTTGCCATTGCCCTATTTCTTTTATTCCTGCTTATCTTGGTGCAAGGAAAAATCTTGGAGAGAGCTCTGTAGAGGCACACCCCTGTTTTAACTTGGACTACAGGTATAGGCCAAGAAGAGTCCTGCAGCCATTACTGCCACTGAGGAGAGAGGTATGCTCACTTGTGTGTTGGTATGCAATAAGGCCAGCCCTAGATATGAGGGGGCCCTTGGCAGACCACCTTCTGGTGAGCCCCCCCCCCCAACTGGAGACCCCTTACAAGCTCACCCACTGGTAGTGGTGCCGGCAGAACTTCTGATCAGTGGTGTGTGGTCCCCAGCTAGGGAGCTCAGAGATCTGCCACAAGGGGTCCCAGCAGCTATCCAAGGATACTGTATGTGGAACCTGAGACTGTCCTCTTTTAAATGTGTACTCCCTCACCTGTTGTCAATTATAGTTCACCGTTATCATACCCTCTGACAATAGAGTGTGCATCCAGAGAAAGTATAGCTGTCCAGCCCAAACTTGAGAAGTAAAGCTACCACTGGGATAGAAGGGGGCTGCCCCCTCCAGTTACAAAAATATATATTTAAAAAAATACCCTGACTGGGCTATAATTATTTTGAAAGGTTATTTGTGCTCTTCACATACCTTCATGATTTCATAAATCTCTTCCCCTAACTCATCTTTTTGTTTCCTTTGTGGGGAAGATGCTCCAACCCTCTGGTTTTAGCTGCCCATTTTAACCTATTTTCAACAACTTCCCTTGTTAGATGAGAGTTGCATATTGTATTCTACGTATGGGTGTGCCATAGATATCAAGAATGCTGTAGCGCTAATTGCTGGTTTGTTTTTAATCCTTCTCCTAACATGGAATTTACCTTTCTTCTTTTTAACTCTCATGATATCCTTGCACTTTCCATTTTGACTCCCAAGATTATATTCTTGTGTCATTTGCTACCCCTTTAACCAGTTTTAGCATTTCGGTAGGGAACTGTAAGTTCCCCTCATATCCAACAGTGATAAAAACTGGCTTTTCTCAATCCACAACTTGAAGGAAATGCCCTATTAGCTTAGAGCAAGAATTCAGAAACTGTGACCCTCCTGATGCTATGGGACAGCCCACAGCCCATCCTAGACTTGGAGGGTAGCAGTATGTTCTGTACATTTTTCTTTGGGTCTGCATGGTGCAGATGCTCCAAACGCCATCCAGCAGCACCCACTGCAGAGTCCAGACATTTTGAACGTAAGTGGCATTGTCATTCTAGGGTGGAATGGTGGGCAAGGCTGCACATGTCTGCTCTAGGCCTTGCACAGATTGACTTCTACTGAACTTTTGTACAGAATTCATCTTGTTTTATATCATTGAAGTCTCAATCTGTGGGTTACAGAAAGGAATGAAAGTTATCAAAAGTTTGAATGTGAAATCTGTAGGATAGTAAAAAAAACCTAGGAGGCATCACATTTATCGTGAAGCTTCAGGAGCCAACAGGTGCCACTCATTTTGTATGGCCAGAGGGGGCTCAAGCTTCCCCTCCTCAGCTTCCTAAACAACTCCTGCTGACACCTCCAGCCATCCTGGGCATAGCCAGAAGCCCTCTTTGCTTGCACCCCCATTAAGCCGAGGCACCTGGCCTGTCGTTCTTTTCCTCTACCCATCCATCTAAGACTTATGCAAACCCATGAGCTCAACTCACTTTAGCAAAGTACTCCGCTTGACTTCTCCAGAGTTACATCTCCTTGGCCCAATGAGAGCAGTTGGGCAAGCTAGCCCAAGCTTACTCCCTCTTCAGCCTTCAAACCAGAATAGCACAGAGAGCAGGATAAAATCTAGGACAAGAATATGGCCCATGATTCCTGTGCCATGAAGCTAGTTGGGCAAATTAGCCTCTCTGCCTCACTTAAGTAAACTGTACTCTGTTCATCTAGGCCATCTTTGTCTTCTCTATAATTGGCTGTCTACAAGCCAACATGAGGGGCATTTATGCATAAGCTAGTTCAGGACAGCACTACCTCTAGGGCAACATTTAATCTCCAAATCTGCTGCTCTAAATGCCACTCTGAGCTTAATCCTCTGAAGCAGTGGCAGACATGCCCTGCTCCCCCCATGTTGGGGGAGTGAAAGACACTCCCTTCTTTGCCAGGAACTCTCTCAGGCTGCCTCCAAACTCCTCAAGCGTGGTTCTTTTGCAGAGTCCGTGAAAGGACAGATATATCGCCTGAACTAGCAACCAGCAGAGCTCAGAAGCGGAGAATCACCCATCTTCCCCAAACTGCATGACCAAGGGGTGTGCTCCAATGCAATGGGGCCTCCCAGTTTGTGGGGAGTGAGTTTTTGCATTGGGCTCCCTGCCAGCTAAGGCTGCCATACAGGGACTCCTTATACCAGCAGCTCCTTGCTTGGCACAGGCCTCCACAAGGCAGCCCTGTGCCCTAGATTGGGTCTCCCCACTTCCGTGGGCAGTGGTGGCCTTGAAGGGGTTGGAACAACATCTGTAGGGCCACCTAGTACCAACTGGTGGGCCCAGACGCCAATTATTTTCACTCAGTCATTCCAGTGAAGGTTTGAGCACCAATATGCCACGCCCAGCAAAGGTAGAGAGTGAGTGAGAAAGACTTGTGCTGGAACAGGAAGCGGATGCAAAAAGGGAAAGGGATGCCTAGCAACGTAACGGCAAATGGCAGCCTGCTTTCCATAGCTGCTAGCTGGTTCCCTGGTCAAGCCACACTGCCTCCTTGAAGCTGACCCTCCCTGCTCTCCCATCCTCATTCCCAGCTCCCTCCAGGTTTAGCAGTGAAGCTGTGCCTTTCGAATGGCAGCATGAAGGCCTGAGCCCAGGAACCCAGGGCCTGCTGGGAAGGTTTGCGATTCATTCTCTCCCTTGGCCCCTCAGTGTCCCCCTCCTACAGGTTGGTGCTGATCCATTTCAATCTCCACACCGTTGCTTTTGCCCACTTTGCCTCCCCCCCTCCTCTTTTCCATTTCTCTTGTCTTTCAGTCCCCTTCCCCTCCTTTCAACATGCCAAACCAATTTTGGGTCGAGTGCATTAAACAGAAAAAAAATATAATAATGAAAATTTTAAAAATATTTAAAAAAAATGGAAACTTGTTGAGTTACAAAAAAAAAATAAAACAATAAAGAAAATACAATTTCTTGGAACTGCTGGTAGTTGCGAATATTTCTTTGTGGCCAAGATGTACAGGGGGCATAAAGCGAAAACACAGCCATGGAAAGGGCCTGATGTGAAAAATCATCCCAGGCACTTTGAAGACTGTCCATGGACTTAGCTTCTCTGTAACCAGCCACTGCATTTTCCTTTACTTATTTACTTTCACAAAATTGTGTAATAAGCATAAAATTCCTGATTCTCCTCATCCTATCTCCTACATGGGGAGGAGCAGAGCTAAACTGAGCAACGAGGGGAACCATCCCCACATCCAGCTTAGCTTGCATGAGCTAAGGTAGAAGGTATGGAGGTCGATTTCCTCCCATTTTCTTTGCCATGTGAGCTCTAGGCCCAGATCAGGCCCATTACTAGCAGTTGGATCCACTTAGGAACCAGCTAAGATTGGTCTCTTCCCTGTCTTAGACAGACCCATTTTAGATACCGCTGACAGCTTCCACCCTGTGTCTTCAGCAGGTGCAGTGGCAATGTCCACAGTGATGGAGCTCCACCTGCCCACCCCTCTCAGCAGACCTCTGACACTTCCCAATTCCACGCAGACAAAACAGATTGGTTCTGTTTCATGGAGCAATTATAGCTCCTAAAGAAAAATTATGGAAACAAAATTCTGAATCTCTCAGAAAAGATAATACCACACTCCTTTATTTATTTATTTTAATTCCCATAACATCAATGGCTACAGATAGAAAAGGTACATTCTTCACAGTTGTGTGTTTTATCTTGTGCACCAGCAGAGATTACCATCTCCTAGGTGGACCTTATTCATATGTCTCGTGAAGATATAACCCAAATAATATTCTCTTAGAACTTTAGACAAAGAACAGCATGTAGTAATATGTGCAAGATAGTCTGCTTAAGATGCTTTAAACCACTAGGACAGGCACACTTTGAATACGACCTGTCTTGTATCTTCTAAAAAAGCAAAATGCATCACACTTAACTGGGCTAGTAAAGGCCATCCTATCACTGAATTTTAGCAAGTCCTTTAAACAACAAAAGGAATGTAAGGGAAATTCTTATATTATGGTGCTATTTTAGAAACAGATAAGAGTTGTTTTATCCATCTGGAGGGATAAGTCAAGCAGTCTTTGCCTCAAGCTTCACAGCAAACTCTAAACTCTTTATACAGGATTCAAAAAAGCCTAATTTCACTACCAGAGATAATACAAACACTTCCCTAGTGTGATTGTTCATTTCCTCAAAGGCTATCCTAAGAGGGCAGCAAGGCTCACTGAAGATAATTTTAGCCATTAGTTTCACACAATCTTCACACAAACTGTTTGTATTGCTGCTGTAGCCATTTCAGCTCCACATAAAGCAGGCGGGGTGGGCGTGCGCGCTAATAATAATCACAAAAGTCTGCTGTGAACTGTCTCCAGTGGACTTAAAATTCTCAGAGGCTCCACCTGGGATCCATAAAGACATTGCAGGGCCACCTAACTTCCATAAATAAAAAAATAAATAATAGCAGTACCAGCCCAGGACACAACCTTGGTGAAGAAGTAACAACCCTTTGTGATCCTGATAGAATCAGATAAATTTTCCATGAATGCCTACCTTGGCTGCTGCCAGTCAGTGTGCAGACAGTTGGTCTCACTTGTCATAAAGCTGCTTTCTACAATACTGAGGTGTGCGGGTAGGAAGGAAGTTGGACTAGTGGAATTAATCCAGCAGCAGAGGCGCTGAGTTGCATCCAACATTGGGGGGCATCGTGCCCAATGTGTGTTGGGAGGAGGCCGATAATAGGAGGCCACCGCCGTGAGGCCTGCCACCACCACTACGAGGCCTGGTGCCACAAGGCCCGGAAAGGCCAACCGCCACAAGGCCCAGCACCTCAAGATTGGGGGGGGGGGGGCTGAAAACACCTCAGCTCTATAGAGTTGGCACTTTTGTCCAGCAGGACTCTTTCTATGTTCTTAAACAGGCCCAAGCATGCTATGAAGGGAAGAAGAGCAGTATCCAGAGAGGTACCAGAATAACTCAGGCCTGCGTGAGACGCTTGTCACCTGCCTTGCAATTCTCAGAAATAAGTCTCAGTATATTATTTGGACCTTACGGCCCTGTAAGTATGCCTAGGACTGCAGCTGGATGTGTAGGCTGCAGTTTCCTCAGCAACTGTAAGTGACTAGGAGTGCTTTCCTTAAGCAGGAGAAACATGTCAGAGTGCTGCATTTGCATTAATTAGAGGGTGCTATTTGGGTGTATCTGGTATTGAAGCTGAAACATATAATTGTGCCCTAGACCTGTGTGCAAAATGTAAATAGCAGTCGTGGGTGGGAGCTGGGAAATATTGCAGGAAGGGAGAGTGTAAAAACATATATTTATTACATTTATATCCCGCCTTGGGTTTACTGGAAGAAAGGCTGGGATAGAAACATAATAAATCTTCCAGTGAACTCAAGATGGCATGCATAGCTCTCCCCAAACAGCACCTTTTATCCTCGCAACAATCCTGAGAATTAGGTTAGACAGAGATGGCAATTGGCCCAAGGTCACCCAGTAAGCCTCATGTCTGAAAGGGATTTGAACCAAGATCTCTCTAGCCCAACACTCTGACCACTACACCACACTAGCTTCCCACTAACTTCCTTTGTGGCACAGAGAGCATTCAGGCTGCCTAAGCTGCTGTTTAGTCTAAATCTTTATGCAGTTGGAGATCTGGTCATTATGCTGCTTCCCCCCACCCTGGCTTTGGATAAGGAAACCAACTACTCTTTTTCTATATTGAAGAATGTCAAGGAAGCTCAATTCAGGAGGGGAAATGAGCATGTTCATCACCTGGCAAAATCCAAAGCAGTTGAATCAAATCCATACGCCCCCTTCTCCCAATTTGGTTGTAGGCAGTGGGGTGCGGTGCCAAGGCTCACATGACCTGCAGTCAGTCATGTAGAGGAGTGTGAACCCCCCAGTGGAGACAATCTGCTGCTCCTGCTGGCATGTTTGCACCACACCAACCACACCACCACCTTGCCCCTCCCCTTCTACCTGTGAGTAAGCAGCAGCAACCGACTGGTGGCCAGGTGAGTACTGCTGCTTTACCATAGCACCATAGCTACTGTTTGTAGACCTACTTTGGCCTGTAATAATTTGGCGTCATCATAATTCAATGAGCTCTGACAGAATGAAAGTCTCAAAAACCAAGAGGGAGATTATATTTTGCTAGGAGGACAGATAGAAAATGACACACTTGCAGGGAGGTGGAGGAGAGATTTAGAGCAAAGGAGGATTAGAGATGGTTTTATCTTAAAGCTGGAGGGGGGAACTTAGAGAATTCTGGAATGAAACAAGAAAGCATGGGTCAAAGGATTCTTAGATCCTGAATCTCTGAGTTCTGCTCTCAGTTTTGGTAGAATATAGTTTTGGAGGCACATCTGATTGAACAGTGTGCCTTGTCATCTCATTCTCTGCCTTTCTACTCCCAGTAGAGCAGTTTTAGGCATAGCGAATCAAAACAACAGCATACAAAACTAAGGCTGCACATGAGTGGCTTGAAACACAGCCAGGTCATCCCCTCCCACTGCGTTTTACATTGCTGTAATACTGTATGCAGGGACGCGGGTGGTGCTGTGGGTTAAACCACAGGGCCTAGGACTTGCCGATCATAAGTTTGGTGGTTCGAATCCCCGCGATGGGGTGAGCTCCTGTTGCTCAGTCCCAGCTCCTGCCAACCTAGCAGTTCGAAAGCACGTCAAAGTGCAAGTAGCTAAATAGGTACCGCTCCAGCGGGAAGGTAAACGGAGTTTCCGTGTGCTGCTCTGGTTCGCCGGAAGTGGCTTAGTCATGCTCCAAACTCCTCTTCCATTAAACCGCACATGTGCAATGGGTGTCTGACATGTACACATCTCCGTTTAATCACACTTTCAACTCAGATGGAAGCTCATTTGAGGGGAAAGTGCATCAAACAGTGATTTCTTTAAAAAAACCACGCACAACCTATTAGATACATATGAATTGTGGCTAATGTATGTGTGCTTGGCTTCAGTCACCAGTGGTGGGAGCACACTGGAGTCAGGGTAAATGGTGATGTGTAGTCATCCTAGGGAATCTGGTTACAAGGGCATCTCCAGAGGCTGGAGTTGGAGGGGAAGGAATAAGGTTTACAGTGGAGTTCTGTGCATGTCTGCTTAGAAGTATTCAGTTGCATTCAGCTCAGTGGCTCTTGCCGCAGAGTCCCAGGTAACTGTGCATTGAACCAAGCCTTAGCGATGCTCCTGATCTCCACTTCCCCCTTTCGTGGCTCCTTGTGAGGAAAATACCAAGTTACGGAAGTGACCAGGATTGAACAGCTGAAATTGTTTCCCTCTAGAAAACCAAGAGAGTCTTTCTTGTTCGTTATTATGCACAAACATGCTGAATTCCTCTCGGCCTTTGGATTCTATGATAAACATCAGTTACCCTCTCCAGAATGCAAAAACAATGCGGAGCCATGGGGGGAAGCACACAGTCCACTGAGCACATTTTCTCTGCGACTTCTGCATTGGAACGCTGAACTCCTTTCTTAAATTAGCGCCATCATTTTTCATGGGGTTTAAAAATAAGCAGGTGGCATGTGCTGTGTTGCTGGCCGCACGCATTCAAACATCATGACAGATGGTCTTTGGAAGCAGGAGATGGGCTTGAAGTTATTTTTAATTAGTGAAATTTGGCTCTTTGTTTGGCTGAGCATGTGGGATCTCAGTTCCGCAAAGAGGCTGAGCCATTGAACAACTGGGAAAACTTGTAAGGCTTTGGGGGAGTCTGGAGCCTTGAGAGTCAAGTGATGGCTTTAATTAAGCTTTCTTCCAGATACAAATTACCTACAGGTGCTACTCGGCTGTCTCTCAACAGATGCTTTTCTCAACCTTCATCAAGCCTTGGATTTTCTTAGTCAATTTTCTTGTTTTAAAAAAAATTCAAGTGCTGTAAGATGCTCCAATTTTGAGAGAAGCAGTGGTACTTCAGTTGTATTTCAACTGAAGCTGAAGCAGAGAAAGGGATTTTTAACTGGCCTGCATCTCCCATCACTGTATGTGCATTCTGCTTTCCAAATCTAGAAGGCACATGCACTGAAACTCCCCCAAGCCCTGCAGTGGGGGGGGGGGATGCAGGCATTCTACATGTACCTTTTCCACTGTGGGGCCAATTGAGCTGGGGGGGGGGCGGAATTAGGTCTAGAAAATAGTGCACACTGGAGCACTCACGGATATTTTAAAGTTTTGTTTTTTAAAAAAGGTATTAGTAGATCTGATAATGAGACTTGGGCATCACATATGGGTTATGCCTCAGATCCTTGCCAAATCTGTATCAAACAATTATTTCTGGGGCTAGAATTAACCTAAAGGTCATCCAGTCCAATTCTGCATTCAAGGTTGGAAGACTCAGATCATTCCTTCCAATCTCCCCATCCTAAGCTTTCGGCTCAGCATGACACCCTACAAATGTCACAAGAATTCAGAGATCTTAGGACTTGCGCCTCCAGTCTTGCTCTATGATGTTACATGAATCTGGTTTGTGCTGAGGATAAGGAAGAAAAATGGGGGGAAATGCCATCTCTAACCTTTGACTAAGCATATTAAAGGTAAAGGGACCCTGACCATTAGGTCCAGTTGTGGCCGACTCTGGGGTTGCGGCGCTCATCTCACTTTATTGGCCGAGGGAGCCAGCGTACAGCTTCCGGGTCATGTGGCCAGCATGACTAAGCCTCTTCTGGCAAACCAGAGCAGTGCATGGAAACACCGTTTACCTTCCCGCCGGAGCGGTACCTATTTATCTACTTGCACTTTGATGTGCTTTCGAACTGCTAGGTGGGCAGGAGCTGGGACCGAGCAACAGGAGCTCACCCCATCGCAGGGATTCAAACCGCCGACCTTCTGATTGGCAAGTCCTAGGCTCAGTGGTTTAACCCACAGCGCCACCTGCGTCCCCGACTAGGCATGTTAGGATCTAGTTAAAGTGGGTTTCTAAAGAGAAGGGTGAGGTTCCAATATCTACTGACCAGCCCTCCTGTGTCACATTTCATTCCACCCCTACTCTACACTATCATGACAAAGGTGCTCTAGAGTCTTGTGGTTTTTATTTCTGCATTACATTTGCATTCAGTAAATCAGGATGAGATACATGGGAGGTTTATCCCATTTTCATACAGCAAACTGTGAAATAGCTTAAGCAGACAGATAATGACTGGCTCAAGCTTTATAAAGGAGCAGGGATCCGAAACAGATGCAGTGTTGCTCAACTACAGCTCCCATCATCCCTGACCATTGGCCATGTTGACTTAGAATCACAGAATTGGAGAGTTGGAAGGGACCACAAGGCTCATCTAGTCCAATATTCCTGTAGTGCAGGAATATTTTGTCCAACATGGGGCTCGAACCCACAACCCTGAGATTAAGAACCTCATGCTCTACCTACTGAGCTATCCACTAGGGCTGCTAGGGGTTGGGAGTCCAATAATATCGTTGACTTCAAAAGGAGTTTAGGCAACTTCACTCCCATTGTGACAGCTTTGTAGCCAAAAGCACAAGAGGCAGGAACCTGCAAGGTCAGTTTCAGGCTCTGCACCATGCCATCACTGCCATTTGAAAAATCTCTTACTAAAAAGCTGCCTCAACACCGCAGATTTTGAAACTGCACAGATCTGTATACAAACTGTTGTTCTTCTCAATGTGTTTTTTCTTCTACAACTGTCAGAAATTGCACTATAAATAGCTAGGTCACTTTGTGGCAAAGCCACTGTGAAGGTCCACAGTGTTAGGAAAGTTTGAAATAAACAAGGCACACATCACAGCTCATCCTGGGAAATCTAAATGCCACCTAGTTAAATTCCCACTATATAATCAAGCCCTTCTATATTGGCAGGCAGAACACAACCATCAAGAGGCCCTGTGCCACAACTGGCATAAATGGATACAAGGACAATTTTTGGAAGCAAGCTCCCTAACCTGTCTGATCAACAGCTTGTACAGGGGCCATAGAATAATAGATTCCTAGAACTGTAGAGTTGGAAGGGACCATGGGGTCATATTTTTATTGCAAAGCATGTGCTCTATCAGTGAGTCACAGCCAAATATTCCCACCTCTTCAAAAAATTGTCTGGAAGTACATTGTGCACTCAGAATGCTGTCACTGAAGGTAAAGGCAATGCTTAATTGGGGGTGTTGCATAGGAGGGCAACCATTTTCCCTGGGGGGAAGGCCCATACCTTGATTCGAAGTGGGTGGGGGCAGGAAAGGTACTTTTGTATATGCTTGGTATCCCTAATCACCCAGATCTTTTTTATATTTGTAAAAATAGAATTTACAGGTTAATTTATAGTGATAAATGGGCAGTGCTAAAGAAAGGAAAGATAGCAATACAACACAGACTGTGCCAGCAGAATTTTTCCCCTTCTGCTTACACTACTGCCTTATATAGATTATTAGAGACATTTCAGAGAGCTGCAGTTCCCTTGTAGGAATTCCACAGAAGCTCCTGCTCTTTTGGTATGTTGCTTGTTTGGGGGAATTTTGATCCAACAATCTGAGCCGCAATTGCAGCTCTGCAGAAAGGTAGTTCCTCCCAGGAGTGGGGCTGCATTGCTGACTTTGCTGCAAGGCAGATTTTTATAGTGGGCGAGTACAGTAGCATCCCATATGAGGGCAGCAGAGGACAATGCAGCTCCAGGCCAGAGTGCTGTAGCTGTAGAAAGGATTTGTGGTGTTAAGAGTGGCAGGTTCCCCTTCAGGCCCCAAGGAGGCCCTCTGCTCACTAAAATCAGTTTCACTCAGGCTCTGCTGGATTATTTGGTAGCAGTTCCTGCCCTTGGGTGGCTGTGCAATCGCTTCAAAATGGGCAAAACCTCTTGATGCTGCCTGTGTGATTGATCAGTCCTCTTTATATGCCACTAGTGGGGATGTGAGCATAAGAATGGCTGCCTCAATGCTCTAAAAGCACAATGTGTATGATAGACAGATGGATAGACAGGCACACAGGGAGCTACCTTATACTGAATCAGACCATTGCTCTATCTAACTGAGTAATGCCTGCACTGACTGGCAGCAGCTCTCCAGGGTTTTAAGCAGGGAACCCTACCTGGAGATACAGGGGATTGAACCAGGTGCCTTTGGCATGCAAGGCCAATTCTCTACCACTAAGCTACAGTTCAGTTATATATTCTCTTCTCTATCCCTCCGGTGAAAGGTGAATTCGAGATCCTCTCCTCCTTGGGCTCCTCAGTCCTGCCCCACTTCACAGCCCCACTCATCATGTCTGAGGGAAAGTTGTCATTGGGATCACACTTTGTGAGGGAGAAGAGATGGTTCATGTTTAAAGGAGCAGTGTGATTCTTTCGTTGAATCCTGGATTCCAGTCAGGGGTCGCTTTAAGCAAAACTGTATTGACCTGACCCATTTAACTTATTCGAAAGCAGTATTATTCCTTTCAGGTTTCAGGCCTGAGCACGAGGGGGGGCCCTTCTAGGCGCTACCCGGAGTCTAAAGTAAGAGTGAGGGGCTGGAAAGAATAGGAGGCCTGTTGCAAAATGGGCCTCATTGTTGCCTTTCCTGCCTTTCTTCTGTACTTCATGCCTTTGGGATGGAAACGAGCCTGGTGTTATTAAACAGGAAATAGTTTGGATTTAGTTCTGACTACTAACAGCTATTAATGGCATAGGGTTCTGCTTTTAATTATAGTGAGGCCCAGCTTAAACCACACGGACCCTGATGCCCTCCAGCTTCAACATATCCATTTATGAACATGTAAATCTGGGCCATTAAGTAGACAACCAAAACTAATCTCCTCTTAAAACCTATATGTTACTTGGGCTGACACACAAAAGCTGTTTGCCCCACCAAAAAAATCATCATCATCATCATGTGTGCGTCATAACTATCAGAGCTGCTGCCACCTGATGCCTACATGTTTGTGGCACCGGCTGCAATTTGTGACTTTCTGCGTCTTCCTCTGGCTTTATAAACACTTCTATTTTCTACCTTCCTCCTTTCTAGCTGGGGGGCACCCCCAGCTGGGAGCAAGCTGGCGCCATGCAAAAGGAGAAGTACACAGTGTCCATGCTTGAGAAAGATGTATGAATAATATCTAAGCACAAAATCCACATGGTGTGGAACACACACACATATATGTATGTTTTTTGGCTGTGGGAGGCTTGAGACCCATACAAATGCAGGCAAGGGGCAGCCAGAAAATGATCACATACCTCAGTTGTGTTTGCATTAAAGAACACCCTCCCAAAAAGAAATACATACATGGGCACATTGCATCTGATGCGGTGTGCATCTGTTTTGAATGTGGGTATCGTAGCCAAATACAAAAATTGGAGTAGTTCTAAGCATGTGGGAGAGAGGTTACCCGCTGGGAAGAGACACTCAGCACATGCTCAGAGGCACTCCTTCCTCATTAATATATTTCATGACTCATTCCTGATATAAAAACCAGATTCCAGAGCTGGTTCCAAAGCATCAGTTATATCCCAACCGATTCCATCACAAATAGGCTATAAACAATGCAAGCAGAAGCTCTTGGGCTGGTACAGAAACTTGCAAGAGAAAACACCACTTGGAAAGACACACTGTACTGCAAGCAGCACATAGAAAACGGGCAGGAAAAATGTGTGAAAACAGATCAGAAGTCCCTGGTCTAGGGAGCAATTTCACTGAACACCAAACATTGTGAATGGACTAAAAAAAGGAGAGGTTCCCAGGAGATCATGGTGCAGGCTTGAAAAGTGTCACTCACCCCTGCCCACTCTGTTCCTGGGTTGGTCAACAGATGCCCTGTCCCAACAGAGTCCTAAGTAGCCTGACTTTCTTCAGTCTGTAGGGACTTCTGCCCAAAGGTCTTATTGACAATAAAAGCAGCATGCAACTGAGTTGGCTGATCTTCCCACCCCATGATTCTTTCACTCTTTCAGTGAGTTCCAGCCTCAGCCGTTGCTTTGTTAAAAGCAAAGACACAGTTATGACATAACCCATCCTGTCAAAGCCCCCGTTGTACTTTCTCTGGAGCCTTCCAATGTGAGGCAAGAGGCCAGGGATCCTCTTCATAAGGGGAGTGAACTATAAATAGATTTGTTTGTTTTTTTAATATATATATTAAGCCTTTCTGTCGTTAAAACCAGCTGAGATCACCCACAAATCCCCAACTGTCAAGGCCCATTTGTGTGTACTCTTGGCTCCCGTAAGTCTGATGAAAGAGGAAGCCAGAGGGGAAAGGTTGTGGCACAGATTGAGCTGCAGCAATCAAGTGTGGCATGAGCGGGACGGCCTGGTCACAGCAGGGCTCCCGAGTCACTTATTGCAGCCACACTTGTCTGTGGAGAACTGTGCACCAGTGCGCATTCAGTGCGCTGCTGCTTTGGAGAGCTGAATTAGTTCTGATGCAGCCTTGGAAGGACACGGAGGTCATCTGCAGACCTATAAGCAGCGCTTTTTTAAGGGGGCACACAGTACCGGCACCTCTTCTTTGGTGTTAAAAAGTGTGACACTTACTGTAACAACTTCATGGTTAGCACCGGCACCTACTTTTCTAGAAAAAAAGCAGTGTCTTTGGGTATTGTTGTGTCCACCCCAATCTCCAAGCAACAAGAGACTCCAGGGGTGCCCATGCTTATCCAGGGTTCCTTGGAAGGAAGGCTAATGGAGACTGTGGTTTCCTTAGGATATATCGTTTTATGTATACGCATATAGCAGGCATGTCCAACCAGTAGATTGTGATCTACTGGTAGATCCCCGGCTGATCCTGGTAGATCGCTGGATCCTTATCTATCACGGGCTTAAACAAAGTGTACAAAAAGTTAATTAAATAAAAAGCTCAAAAACTCTGTGGAGTTCCATGCATGCTCCTCCTCCCTCCAATGGCAATGGGTAGATCACTGCCAGATTTTTTTATACTGGGAGTAGATCACAGTCTCTTGGGAGTTGGACGTGCCCGATATATACCATAGAATGGAAGGGCTCACCACATTAACACCCCAACAGTTGTTGCTTCCCCATCAGGTTTCCAGGGAAGCCCCAGTCTCGGCTTTGGACCCAGCACAGAGCAAAACGTGCCTCTGCCTCCTCAGCTGCTAGAGCTTCAGCCAAACTCTCCCTCCATCACTCAGGCCACCACCCCCCTGGCCTATTGTTGTTCCTCCTCCTGGGATGACTTGGGATCCAGACAGGCGAGCTGGGAAATGGCTTTCCGGTTTTTCTCCATGGCAGCATAGCTCACTCTTTTTGATGCTGACACTTTGAGATGTACTTAACTGGCCAGCTAGGGTCATTGCCTTAACCAAAGGAACCACACAAGTTACCTCAGAGTCACAGGATCACAGATTTGGAAGGGATCCACAGGTATCATCCAGGCCTTCCCCCTCCCCCCAGAAAACACCCCTATAACACCATATAAAATCCTTTCTGCCACCAACACTGTCAGAAACAGCCTGGCCATCCCGGACCCTGAAGGGGTTGTAGAAAGGAGCAGGATATAACTATTATCAGTGTCAGAAAGGTTATTCGGGAAGAGAAGGTGGTAGCTGGAAAAATCACTTGCTGCTTAGCTTGGTATTAAGTATTCCAGATGTGAGACTTGTAGGAGGGCCATCCCACTCTTTTCTAACCCTGCTAGGCTCAAAACTGGAAAGAGAACATGGGAATACTGTTCCATCCCAGCAGAACTTGGTGTTTCCTTTCTCTCCCTTTTTCCCAAGCTTAAGTGATGGTTTCCTGTCACCAGAGTGGGAGTTTTCAGCTTACCCTATTTTTTCTGCTTGCTGAGTCTCAGGGGAGGGTTATGGCCAGATTGGAGACTCTGAGGAAGCAGCAATAAATGAAAGCAATTAGACAGGGATATGCCTGTCAGCCAGTCAGTGAAGCATCTATGAAACAGAACGTAGGAATTCTGGGCGCTGTCATTCCTTAAGTGGTCCTGGGAATTGTAACTTTGTGGGGGTAAACCACAGTGCCCAGAATTCCGTGAGGGAAATAATGTGCTTCAGATGTGCTTTAAAGGTAAAGGTGTGTGTGGTGTACTGTACACAGCCTCGAGTCAGATCATTGGCTCCTTTACCTCAGTAATGTCAACACAGAGCATTTGTTTTAGTGTTTTGGGGTGGGTGGGTCATTCATCATGGACAGCTATGCCCCCTCCCATGCCCTCCCCTTCCCGTTCCTCAGTGCTTTTATTTCTTTTCCAGCCATGCTCATAACAGTTTCTGGTGTAAACAGAAAACTGCACAAGCAGAACACATAAAATGTCTTCACCAGATAATGAGCAGCAACATCAATCTGAAAAGTTTCCTAAGAATGTGTGTATGTTGTTGTTGTTTTTCTTATGATCAGTCAGATTTGCATAATCCCAGATTTTTAATGTGTTTTCCCAGAAGCAAAACACATTACAATTGTGTGCTGAGAATTTACAATTGCCTGGCTGTTTGCTTTTGTGCACTTTGGGGTGGGTTGTTTTGTTTTTCTAAAATACAGCATATGGTTATGTAAGACAATTCCACTAGTACGATCTCCCTCTCCCACATAGGCCTAGATGGAACTGATGCCTCTCGCTTCTCAGTAGGAAGGGAACAACACTGAGCCTGTGAAATTTTTGAAAAATGTTCCTTCAGCATTTCCCCATAAGTTGACAGAGAACATAAGTGTCAGTCACAATCTCACCCACATCACATGGCAGGTGAACTTCTGTAAACTCCTGGCTGTAGTTGACAAAAGGACAAGAGGCCTATAAGCCACAAAGTACCGTATTTTTCGCTCTATAACACGCACCTGACCATAACACGCACATCGTTTTTAGAGGAGGAAAACAAGGGGGGGAAATTCTGAAGAAACAGTGGATGTATCATTTTTGCGCCTCATGCTGTAGCCACAGACATGTGATCTGATGGTGAATTTGGGGTGACCCAATGCAAAAATCCTGAGAATCCCTGTGGATCTGTGCTTTGTAACCACGTTTTTGCACCACTGCAGCCCCAGGCAACAGTGGGTGCATAATTTTTTTGGTGCAGGCTGTAGCCATGGACATGCTATGTGATCTGATGGTGAATTTGGGGTGACCCAATGCAAAGATCCTGAGGATCCATGTGGATCCATGCTTTGTAACCACGTTTTTGCACCATTGCAGCCCCAAGCAACAGTGGGTGCGTGATTTTTTTGGTGCAGGCTGTAGCCATGGACATGTAATGTGATCTGATGGTGAATTTGGGGTGACCCAATGCAAAGATCCTGAGGATCCATGTGGATCCATGCTTTGTAACCACGTTTTAAGTGGGGAGGGAAGGAAAAACACAGAAGGGACAAGGAGCACAAGAGGGGTGTGCAGAGAAGCAGCTGGCTAAGAATGCAGGAGAGGGGTTTAACGGGAGGGAGGAAAGGAACGCAAAAGTTTTCCCCCACCCAGCCACCCAAGCCAGCCCTCTCTCTCTCTCTCTCTCTCTCTCTCTCTCTCTCTCCCACCTGCATGTTTTCCGGCTGCCTGCAAGTCCCTAAAATACTTCCCTGGATGCAGGAGCACGGAGTGGAATTAGAAGGAAGGGCGTGATCCTTTCCTTTCCCCTCTGCTTGCCTGGAGGGGTTGCCTGGAGGGGAGGGGATTAGCCTGCTCTTTGTTCTGTTTGAGCAAACAGCAACCAAAACAGAAGCGGGTGGGCAGTAAGACCCTGAGGCAGAATGCAGGAAAGCAACAGCTTCCTCTCTCGTGCGATTGGATTTTTGCCTGATTTTTGCCTCTGCGCCCGGGCCAGTCGGCTACAGGGGCCACACATTCACTCAATAACACGCACAGACATTTCCCCTTACTTTTTAGGAGAAAAAATCTGCATGTTATAGAGAGAAAAGTACGGTATTGACTGGTGGGATAATTCATTGGTATCCTTCACTGGTTGCTGAGGTTTTTTTGGGAGGGGTCCCTCTGTCCTATCTATAATACTTGTTTGTATCCTTCCCTCAAAGTATTCAGAGCATAGTTTTAGCTTCACAACAATCCTGTGAGGTAAATTAGACCAAAAGTGCCTCCAAACTGTCACTACTTTCAGGTGCAGGTAGGTAGCCGTGTTGGTCTCAAGCTGTCGAAATACAGTAAATAAAAAAAATTAAATAAAAATAGTCTAGTAGCACCTTAGAGACCAACTAAGTTTGTTCTGTGTATGAGCTTTTGTAAGTGTGCATGCACACGAAAGCTCATACCTAGAACAAACTTAGCTGGTCTCTAAGGTGCTACTAGACTATTATTTATTTATTTATTTATTTATTTATTTACTTTCAGGTGGGATTCCATCACATACCAGCAAATTCAGTTGGTCAATTGTAGCTGATTGGGAGGTCTTGCACAACCAACCTATTTCCTTAAAAGACTGGATTTCTTGTAATGAGGAAAGTGGTGAGAAATGCAGTGGAATAACCCTTGCTTTGAGGCAATGTCATCCAGCCTCCCAACAAACAAGCTGGAGTGAAAGATGCTCATTAAACAGCCACTGGCAAATCAGGATGGATGCTCTATAACCATGTTGTCTGGAAGCACTCTAAAAGACTTGCTCAAGGGCCATCCAGTATGCTTCATGGCTGAGCATGGATTTTAACCTGGTATTCACTACCGGAACCAGAACTCAATCTGTATAGCACTACTACATCACAATGTTTTGGGGAGTCTGAAATCCTCCCTTCAAAGAATCACAGAATTGTAGAGTTGGAAGGGACTCCGAGGATCATCTAATCCAACTCCCTGCAATGCAGGAATATGCAGCCATCCCAAATGGGGATTGAACCTGCAACCTTGGCATTATCGGCACCACACTCTCACTAACTGAGTCCATTAACTGATCCGGAGATTCATTCCATCCTCCCCCAACTCTTCCTGGGAGCTCAACTCTTTCAATTCAGCAACACACAGACTGGGCAGGTCAGTCTCTGCTGTGTGGTTCTGTGTGTTTTTTTAAAAAAAGTGTATACACAGAATTTTGCATGATTTAGGATAGACCAATACAAACAAAGATAGCTAGATAGAGACAGATGATAGAGATAGGTAGGTAGATGATAGATCATCAGGCAGGCAGGCAGATACACTAGATGGATACTGAGCTTGAGATTAAACTCCAAAATCTTCAGCTCAAATGAGTCTAAGTCTGTCCCTGTTTTCTCTCTTGCCTCCTTTAGGAGGTGGTTCTTTAAGCATCCTAGTCCTATTTAGGACTTTAAAAGTAATAACCAGCATTTTGAATCATACATGGAAATGAGCAAGTAGCCAGTAAAGTTAGTATAGCAATGGGGTAATAAAATAGCAGCACCATGGAGCCATCTTCACAACACTGGCATTGCTGCATCATACATAGACAGCAATGGGGCAGGAGGGTGGTGAGTGGGGCTCCATGGAGGCACCAGCAGAGCCAATCAGGTGCTCCTGTCAGTGTCTTCGCACAGCCCTGACCTGCCCCCATCACATCAGCCTCTGCTGCCCTTTCTAGGCTCAGTCTTTGATGGAGGCTAATGAGCACATATAGACAGACAATTTGCCTTTTCTTTCTCTAAAGCCACACGGGACTGAGCCACAATCATTTGTAGAGTATCTCCCTCCACTGTTCCCACTAAAGTAACAAGAGGTTGAAGGAAATCACCACGAACACTACAGAGCCGCTATACTCTTCACTGTGGTAATCTGATCAAGGCACGAGGTTGACGACAGCACAGCAGAAACCAGAACATAAGCCTGTAGCCAAGGGAACTTTCGTCATTTTCAGGAAATATATGATATAGCCCAAGAACTTGTGGTGAGCTAGTTTGGTGTTGCCAAGAGATTGTTGTGAGCTTGATATGCTTATGAAATTGTGTGAGGAAATTAACCTTACAGTATTATTTGAGGACAAGGCTTGCTCTACTGATGTCCACTGAATCAGTCTGAAGCAGGTGCATGAAAAACCAAGTTCCTTTTGTTGGTCACAAGGACACTTTTGGACCCCACAGCCAGTGAGCAAGGGAGTCATGATTGGTCACTAAAGCAGGGATCTAACACAGATAAACAAGTACGCAGACTGTTGTCAGATTTTCTAAAAGTGAAATTCACTTCAGACTGCAAACTTAAACTTTCTTGCTAAGAAGTAAGTCCCATAGTTCTAAGTTAATGTGTTTAGGATTGATCAATAAGAATAGCCCCTTTCAGAGAAGCCACTCACACATTCAACAAAGCTGTGAATTTCACTACAGTGCCAGATTACCAAATAGGCAGAGTAGGCATCGGCCTATGGGCCCCACACCTTTTAGGGGCCCCACGACAACGGATCGAAACAATATTGAAAGAAAATTACAAAAAACGTAATAGGATATAATTGGCATGGTCCGCCCCCCACCCTGAGCTTTCGACTACTTAGGGGCTTCCACAGGGTTTAATCAAGCACTGCTTCACTACCCTGGCTAACCATGCCCCCAACATTCCCCTCTGGTCACACCCAGCGTCCACACATTCAGTTGAACACATGTAAGGGGGCCTCTATAATGTGAAGCTCTATGTGCACTGAAGGTTCTCATGAATGCACAGTCTTTAAGGAGTGCACCACTTCGTGTATGGAGGATAACCTCATGTGCTAATTATAAAAAGGGAGAAGTCACAAAAGCTACAATGCCAGAGTAATAATGGATTGGTTAAAGTGACACTTGAACTTAAGGGGAAAGTTAGACATCTCAGGCTGGTGCACAAGGCTACACTTTCTCAAAACCATAAATTATTGCTTCTTACTGCAGCGAGGTCTGGGAAGACTGGTCTTCAATTTATTCCTAAGTGGGACGCAGGAACAGATCCAAGATGTAAATATAGCTGCATTTCAAGGAAATAGATACCATAATGGTCAAAATCCAAAATGTGTACACAAGGAGACTCAAAGGGGTGGGGGTGCGGGGGACATTCTACTTAACAGTTAACTTTCCACTCAAAGGGAACAATGCAAAAATGAGGACACTAATTAGAAGACAATGTGAAGGAATAGTTTATAAGGGTATAAATCCCTCAGGAATGCACGAGTAGTGTTTATAAAGATCAATATGACCATATATAAATTCCAGACAGCAGAAAAAGGATACTGGAGTTGTTAAATAGTGCAGTAAAAGAAGCTATTAAAAGCAGACTTTAAAAGAAAAAAATCAAAGTCTATTCCAAATGAGGGCAGAAATCCTGGACCTTTAGTGAAACAAGGCAAAGATGTGGAAACTCAAGTGATATTTTGAAAGTTTAGGAAAGATACCAAGAACAATGTGAAGAATGCATTTGAATGTAGGGACTTTAGTTTGATTTGTTTGTTCTATCCTCCCCATATATTTATGACTCAAGACGGATTATACTGGGCAACAATTTTTTACTTTTTGAATGTTGTCTAGATTTCTACAACTGATTTAGGGTATTTTTGCACTGCTGAATCAGGAAATGGCATCCGTTTCTCTCCATCAGGTCAGGTTATCTGTAAACTGAATGGTGGCCATTGATAAAGGTAAGTACACGTAAATTGCATGTTGCTTCACCATTTTTCAAACTTCAGGGCTTGAACTTCTGTTTCTTGGAACTCCTGGAATGCTCAGCAGCATGGAGGTCTCTCTTCAGAGTCCAACAGTAGTCAGCCATCATGACTGCGTCCCAGCAACCCTGATACCTGGTCTCCATCTCTTTCATGTCCTGATGGAATCTCTCCCCCTGCTCGTCACTCATTGAACCCAGGTTCTCAGGAAACCGGTCAATATGTGAAAATAGGTAGTGCATCTTGACGCTCATGTTGCAGCCCAGGTTTCTGAAAGCAGTCAGCATGTTGTTGACAAGTTCTGCGTAGTTTCTGGCCTTACTGTTGCCAAGAAAGTTCTTTACTACCAGAACAAATGCCTTCCATGTTTCCAGTTCCACTTCGTTCATTGAGTTTCCGAACTCTGGATCTCTGATGAGCTGACAGATCTGAGGACCATCAAAGATGCCAGCTTTCAACTTCTCCATGGTCAATCCTGGAAAAGCCTGGCACAAGTAAATGAAGCAGTCACCATCCTTGTCCAGAGCCTTGGTGAACTGCTTGATTAAGCAGAGCTTGATGTGCAGCGGTGGGAAGAGCATTCTGTCTCTGTCCACCAGAGGGTCGTTGATGACGTTCCTTTCTTTGCAAGGCACTGATTCCTCCCGCACAGGCCAGTCCTTCTTTGTGTAATGCTGAGCACGGTCCCTACTATCCCACATGCACAGAAAACATGGGTACTTGGTGAAGCCAGACTGTTGTCCCAACAAAAAGTTCACCATCTTCAGGTCAACACAAATAAACCACTTATGCTGATCATAACCAATTTTCTCCAGCACATACTTCACCGCTTCATAGTTCTCCTTCAGTGTACTCGAGTGAGCCAGGGGTATAGAGGCAAACTGGTTGCCGTTGTGTAGCAGAACACATTTCAGTGATCGCTTGCTGCTGTCAATGAACAGTCTCCAATCTTTGGGTTCATACTGTGGCACTCCAAGCTTGAGCAGAAGCTGCGCAATATCTATACAGTACACCAAGTCCTTCTCTTCCGAGAAAAAACGGAGGTACTCTTGATGCCTGTTGCGCAAGAAGCTGATGCGAGCACTGTCAGAGAGGAGGTTCTTTCCCTTCAATCTGGATGCCAACAGTTCGGCAGAGTCCTTTGACAAGCTGAGGTCGTCAACTAGATCATTCAACTCCTTTTGGGAAAATGGATGTGGAGCATCATCTTCAAGAACCACTTCTTCTTCTTCATGTCCTTCAACACTGGAGACATCTTCGTCACTAATGTCAGGAAGTTCTCCGAATATAGGCACTGGAATTTCATCACAATGAGCTACAATGAGCTACAGGACGACGTGCTGATTGAAGATCAGGATACTTCGTGGGGCGGCTGCCCCATTAACTTAGTTTTGATCCCCCAACTTTATGCTTTGCTGGACCAATTTATGGAAGATTTCGAGGTTTTATGACTTCAAACTGATCCCTTTTCGACATAATCACCCAGAGCTATCGGACCTGAATACTTCTTGTCATTAAAATAATCATTTCCAATCAAACAATTATTTGACAAGGCATTTTACCTCCACCAACTTCTTCTAAAATGCTCCACACAAGCATACATGTGAACAAAAACGTAAAAAAAGACATGTGGCCATAGCTCAAAAACTTGACCTGATTGAGCAAAACCAATGTGATTTTTGGATTCAGCGCATCAGATTCATCCTAAATCAGCTGAAAAAACGCAGACAACAAATTTGTTGTTGACCAGTGTTATAGTATTTTGAAAAAATATTTTTTATATTCAGCTCCTTGCAAAATGTCATGAGCTACTTTTCATTTTTTTAAAAAAATATGTTGGCGCTTTATTTTATTTATTTGCATTTCATATTAAGCTTGTCTGTGAGCAATTCTGAATTATTCAATGTTTCCATATGAAACTTCAAAAAGCACATGCCTTCTTTGGAACTCCAACCAGCCCCATCAGCAGAACCCCTATGCAAGAGCTTCCACTTGTGCAATGGGGCTTGCTTTCTCCCCTCCCCTCCTGCAATTGGCTCTTGGAGGGATCAGGAGAACCCCCAGAACAGCACATGGTATGGTGGGAGGAGAGAGGAAATCATTCCATCTGGGAAGCTGGAATGCTTGTGGAGATGGAACAATCAGAAGAGAGCAACACTGAATTCAATCCCTTGAGTCTTGTACATGTGCAGAAATGCTCACACAATCAGGCAATATGGCTCCACAGCACTGTATGCAAGGGAAGGGAGAAGAATCTTGAGAGAGGTTTGCATAAGCAAAATCCCCTCCCACTGCACCAACCTCTCCTGTTGCTAAGTCCATACCCTCTTCTACAGCTCCGCCCCACCTACTCAGTGTTGGTTCAAGGGGGAAAAACACATGGAAAGGAGAATTCCCTGGATGCAAAGATCAAGTTTGCGGCAAGGACTCTTTGGTGAGAGAACCCCAACAAAGATTTCAAATCACAAAATATGCAGCAAAGTGCAGCAATATTGGCTCTTAGACCTTTAAAATATGTTCTTGTGAGTTCCAAAACTTCTATCCTCTCTCAGCATAGGAAAAGAAGGCAGGTTTGGTAAGTTAAAAGTTGGTTTACTTACATGCTCTCCAAAGGTCCTGTTCGGGTGCTTTTCCATACATCAGTCAGAAAAGTTGTACCGGCAGTAAGATGTAGTTTAGTTCCAAAGTGGTGAAAGTTCCTAAATTATTGGTATAGGAACACAATAACGGCTTGTGAGCAACCAGCTTAGCCTCTTCACATGCTGAGTTTATCAGGTTGACTGAAGGAGAACCATAAGCTTGATTACCTAGTTCCTCCCAAGGTGAGGGGAAGTGGACATAGCTAAGCCTTGCTGGATAGATTACTCTATGGTATTAACCCCTTCATGCATTAATTAGGCTTAGCATGTTGGTTATATGAGGCTGGTTATCCCACACTCGGCATACTGGGAATATTAATATATCATTGAAGTGTTGCTTTCCTCCTAATTCACAGACTAGCTTCAGCTAACGAGCATTTCCTTTGATGCAACTCTCCATGTAGCAACCCCTTCCAACTGGAGATGCACTGAGGGACAGCCCTGCCAGGTGCAGCTCATAGCATAAGCATTGTGAAGGAGAAGATGCAGCACCTGAGGAAAAATCTCTCTCTGATGTAAGTCTTTTTAAAAAGTGGGTGGAAGTGGCATTTGAGCTGTGAATGGAACTCAGAGGCAGAGCATCTGCATTGCATGAAAAATGTCCCAGGTTCAATCCCAAAATTTCTCCAGGTAGGCAAAGCTCTGGGGTGTCACTACTAATCAGTGTAGACTAGGGGTGACAGTGGAAGGTATCTGGATGGTTTGAAGTAAAGCAGGATGGAGTTGGGGCTCTCAATTGTTTAACAGTGACAACATAATAAATCCCACCTAACACACGCTAACTCTGAAACGAATAGAGCCAAAAGTACAGGGAGAATCAGAAGTGGATATTTGGTTCGGAAGGACTGAGCTAAAAACAACAACCCTGGATTGAGAATATGTTCATTCTAAATTAAAACCATTTGCACCTGACTCTGTAAAACACAGAATAGATCCCACAAGCCTAAAGTCTGTCCACTCCTACTGGAGAAAATACTGAGCTAGCTGAGCCAGTGTTCTAACATGGCATAAGACAGCTGCCTATATTAATGTGATATAGTTTCTCCTTTTAAATATGATACTACAGCAACTCTTCCTTAGGCCCATTTCTCCCCCTGCCCAAGCAAAATACACTCTTCACATGTTCAGAGTGACTGTTTCTTTAAGCCCTTTGTTTTTGTGAAGTGTGTATGGGGGGAATTCAATCCATAGACCAGTCTTCTATTGCCCCTAAGCTCCAGCTGTGGAGGAGAACCTCTAAGTTTATCTACCAGCATCCTTTATTCCACCATCTGCCCGCAGCGTTTTCTGGTTCTCTGGGCATGTTTTCCAGACTTAAAAAATTAAAATAAATCCCTGTTTGGCATTCTGTTCCTGCCTTCTGGTCCTTATGGAAGAACTCCAAAGGAGTTGAAATGCTGTAACAAACAAAAACCAAAAACCAAGCAAGCTTCTTAAAAAAATGTACTCCAGTTTATTATGTAAAATTGTTGTGTCTGCCTGTGACACCAAGTTCCAAACCATCTGCAGCCGGGGCCTCACAGCCCCCACATACCACTGTCATTGCTGAGCCAATATCCTTCTCACAGGCAGACCCAGACCTGGGGTGACAGGACCATGGTGGAAATCACTGAACTAGCATTCACACAAGCACCTCATTTACAGCAGATGCCACCACTGTATGCCTACTTATCTTCTTCCTTTCTTTGTAAAAGGAATTTGGGGTCTTTGCATCTTCGCCGTATTTACTTTTTCTTTGTTCCTTATCCTTGCAGATATTATTTCTGCCCTTGTAAAACTTGTGCAATGCGGCTGAGAGAGGGAAACTTCCATTTCTCATTTACAGATTGACAGATTTCCCCCCCACACCACTCCACCCGCTGAGACATAAGACAGTCCCATGCCTGTGGTGGTTGGCAGACAACCCTCCTCCCTCTCAGACTTCCATAATGTGTTCCTCTCCCACCTCTGAGAATTCTGTAGACCATGTCAAAAGCCTGTAGTACATTTCCCAGCTCAGGGGAAGTAGAGAGATATTAATTAATCCCAGGCTGCAGAGGAGTAGTGGCACAGCAACTGCTGCCTCTTGTTCCATTAATTCTTTTCTGCTAATAAGTTAGAAGAAATGGAACACGTATGGAATGAACACAGAGTTACCTCAGAGCCAATACACTTGTTATTTGTTGATTTATCACCCTTCGCCCAAAAGGCCACATAAAGCAGACGTGCCCAATTATTCATAAATTATTTCAATCACTGTTACCCTCTGGTTGCAATAGCTCTCGCCCCATCCAGAAAAACTAAAAACTAGTCATAGGCAGTTTTTGGGAGTTGTTTACAACTCCAAGATGACTTCCAATGTATCATTATTTATTTAGGCATACATATCCTGCCCTCCAAGAAGGGTCCCAGGGCAGCTAACAATATCAAATTATCTGAAGGCAGCCCTGTTCAGGAAAGCTTTTAATGTTAGGTATTGTAGTTGTTGTTTCTGCTATGAAAAGTGACACCAGGGTCGATTTCACCCCACTCATGTAGAAGTTTAAGCCGCAGGGGACCATACTAGGAAAAAGCCACACAAAATTCATGTAGGGATCTGGGATAGAGAGCAATACCTATAAAGATCTGTTGCAGAAGTTCTGCTTAAGGTTCTCTCAGGCTGGGTGAGAGTGTGGCCCGGGGCCTTCTCAGCTGTGGCCCCATTTGTGTAGAACTCCCTGCCTGGATAGACTTGCCTTAACTTCTAGCCTGTAGACGTTCATGGAGAAAGGTACAGCTTTCTGTTTAAGTGGGCTTTTCACTGTCTTTTGGATTGCATGGTTTTTTGTTTCTATTTTTTATATAGCATTTGTATATAAGGTTGGTGTCAGTTTGTCTCCTATTCTTAGTTGGTCACCAACACCACTAACAACTTTCATTATATGGTCACAGACCTGGTAAAACTCTGGTCAGTATCATATTCATGATTCTTGGAAGTGCTGTGTAAATGTTTTGAATACAGCTTAAGGTTTTGAGTATTGTTGTAATTGACTGTAAGTGACCTTGTTTTTATAGGAATGCAGGACCAAAACTAAACTGAACTAAAATACTGTGCAATTATAAGGGTGTATCATGTTTTAAAGTACAAGAATACTATTGATGTGGGCTGCCAGGCAACCAGAATTTAACTAACCCACCCAGTTTTAAGGCATCTTCCCCACCCCTTGTATGGTGATTTTCCCACCCGTCTGGTTTCCCCCACATTTTTACATTGTCTAGAGATGTATGCCTGCATCGTGCATGTATGTGTACTGGACAAGGAAAGGTGTAGAACTGGGTGTTTGAACATACAGTAGCTTGTGTGTGCAAAATTCAAATGACTTCTGCACTGTATTGATCACTGTCTCCTTTCCTATTGAAAAGAAAAGTGCCTGAAGTGAGTGACAGAGCTGAGGAAGGTATGGCGGGAAGCAGGGGAGGTTCAGCACCTCTGCATCCCTTGTGATGAAGGACCAAGTATTCCATCAACATGAAAGAACCCTAACCTTCATACTTTATGAGGGTCAAGCACCTTGCTAGTTCTCCTCCTGGCTTCTGATTCTGCATCCGTTTCTGCAAATACTTGCAACCAGAAAAACTCACCTTTTTCCTTTGTACAAAGCAGTCCTTGATCCTTCTAGGAACATAGGACACTGCCTTATATCCAGATCATTCGCCCATCTAGTGCAGTACTGTTGACACTGACCAGCAGCGGCTCTTGGCTCTCCAGGATTTCAGACAAGGGACATTCCCATGTCCCAGTATTATCTGGAGATGCCAGGGATTAAACCCATGGCATTTGGTTAGTGAACGCAGAGGCCTGTCTTTAACATGGTTTTTGTTTGTCCAAGAGAAAAGGGGAGAGAAACAAGCTGCTGTGTAAAGCAGGATAGGATCTTTTTTTCAAGCCTCCCACACCCTAAGATGGAAATCCAGTTACGCACAGTATTATAAGGTCAAACCCCTTCTAGTTAGCACTCCTTTAAAACGAGGCCGTGCCTCCTCTTCTTTCGGGTACAAAATATTTCAGCCCCATAATCCCACTCCGGATACATCAGACGCAGCCACGCGCCATACTTCAGCATGGAAATGAGAGGCGCAGCCGAGGGCGCCTCACTTTCCACCTCCTTCCAGGGAAGCCCTGGAGGACCCTTGCGCGACGGCTAGTTTGCGGCGAGTCGAAAGCGTCGCCCAGGGCTGCTCTCTCCATCGTGTGCGAGGGCTGAGCCGTGGCCCGGACTGCAGAGACCACGTTATTCTAGCACTAAGGCCTGGCCCGGGTCCAGACACGTTTCCCCCAATCACCCCCGCCCCGTCAGCTGCCATGCCTTGCGAGAGGAGGCGGCGGCTTCGGCTGGATCCCAGGCTGGGCGATGCCTCTCGCCCCTCTCTCTGCCCAGCCCCTGCGTGTCTGGGCGGGTCCTGGCGGGAGTAGATGCCGCCCCCCGCCCTGCCCCGTCTCACTTCTCTCTTCCTTTCTGGCCGGTCCGGAGCCCTCGCTCGCAGCGCCCGGCATTCCCCGCCCTACGCGCTCGTCTAGCAGGAGCATGGCGCTCTCCCCGCTGGCCTTAGGTGAGTCCCCCGGAGTCGGGGAGCCCTGCGTGGCTTGGCCCCCACTCAGATACGGCGAGGCTCGGGGCCGCCTCTCTGAACGCGTGCCCGGGGGTTTTGTGTAGCTGCTAGGGCTCCACCTGCACCTCTCGGGGACTTGCTGCTGCTGCGGGGAGGCGAGACTCGGTTCTTGCTGTCTTGGGGTCTCGCTTCCCTTCGCCTCCGGAGGGGCTGTGTTAAGGGAAACTCCCCGAAACTTCTCCTCTCTTCGGCTGCGCTAACTCTGCGTTGGTTTGCAAATGCCGTTGCCCCCTTTTTCTTTTTTACCCCCCAAGTGCATCGCCAAGGCACTTGGGAAATATAAATCCCCCGGTAGCAGCAGAAGCCAAACGATTTCTTTCATTGGAGTCATCCCCCACCCCAGCACTTTACGCACATTGTCCCAGAAACAGTTGCAAAACCCCGGTGTTGTAAGCCGTGGTGTTACTCAGGGGCCCGGGGGAGGCGTCGGGTTGAGCGGGACGTCGGCGAGATCCCCTGCTTCTGATCCCCTCCTCAGCTCTCGACCCCGCTCTCCCAGCTTCGAGTCAGGAAGGAGAGCGGCCGCAGGTGTGTGTGGAAGAGAGAAAGCAGCTCGGGATCGCTGATTTTGGAGGGGATTCAGCGGTTGGGAAGGGCCTCAGTTCCCTGCCTCGTGAGGAGTGATAGAATCAGGGCCGGCCCTACCACTAGGCAGACTACGGCGGCAGCTTCAAGCAGTGGATGATGCTAAGGTATTGGAAGATGGAGATGTGGGTGCCACACCCACCTGCCTGCCCTGGGCTGCCCAAACCAGCCTGCAGACCTGAATGCTGGTGGATGATGCTGCCTAATTACCACCTGGAAGTAAGAATCAGCTGCCAGCCCAGGGTTGCTTCCAGCTGAGCTGTTTATTGAGCAGGCATCCTGATTTGTTTGCACAAAGTTTGTGTGGAGGTTCTGCAACCTTGGCTGTTTATTGAGCATCTGATTTGAACTGTTTGTTTCATCAAGTAATTGCTATCCTGTTGTGTTTTCCCATTGCTTTCCTTATCACAAAAAGTCTGGGTTTTTTTGTGGGAGGAGAAGTGGGTTTCTTGTTTAAGAATTGAATCCCACCCAAAACCAACAGTCTGGAAGTGCCATTATTAATTTTTGTGCATTGAGAGGGGGTTGAACTCGTCCGCCTCAGGCAGCAAAATGTCTTGGGCCATCTTTTGCAAATGAGGTCACTCCATGCATTGGGAATGGGGGAGCAGGGCTGGGCCTTTCACCACCCATGTGCCTAACGTATTCTGGGCAGCTGTGAGAAGGAAACCTCAGTGTAGGCCAACATGTTACAGTGGTACCTTGGGTTAAGAACTTAATTCGTTCTGGAGGTCTGTTCTTAACCTGAAACTGTTCTTAACCTGAAGCACCACTTTAGCTAATGGGGCCTCCTGCTGCACCGCCGCTGCACGATTTCTGTTCTCATCCTGAAGCAAAGGATTCTTAAGGTAATATTTCTGGGTTAACGGAGTCTGTAACCTGAAGCATATGTAACCCGAGGTACCACTGTATTGTAAAGCTCTTCCATGCTACGAAGAATCTTGGGGCAATCCTAATCCCCCCTTGTGTGAAGAAGTACAAGCCCTGAGATACACACATCATTCTTGAGGTGACTAAACACATTATGCATGAGGGGGTTTTCTGACTCCCCCAACCTGGGTGTCCTCCCCTCAACCTCAAGCCACCATCAGCTGCTTTAGCTGATATAAGAAAGCTCTTGAGAAACATCTTAGGGGGCTGAGAGCCAAAGACAGAGTAGCTTGTGTATGCCTTGGCCAGGTGTGGGGAACCTTTTGTGCCCCCAGTTGTTGCTGAACTACCACTCCTGCCACCCCTAACCATTGGTCATCTAGCTGGGTCTAGACTGTCCAGTGAGTTAATCACGTAGCTGAGATTTGAACCAAGCTACCTAGTTCATACTTCTAACCACTAATGTTTAATATTAATAAAGTGGTTGGGAACATATGAAGCACAATCAGTAGGGTAAGTTTATGCCAAGTTAGAAAATCTGTTGAAGCACAATGAAAGATTAATTTCTATAAAACTTTATTGGGGCAACTGCGAAATCTTCGCATACAAATGTAATGAAATAATTAGTAGTTCAATCATTCTTTTTTTAATGATTTAAATGAATAATACTTGGTCACAGGTAAAGTATTATACCAAATGAAATACTGTACGGCGAATGCCTTGGAATGCGTAATACACAGTACTTAAATTAGCCGTACATAATTTCAAAAAAATGAGGGTAACCACTCAGAAATGCAAATTATAATGGTTCTGAAAACCATCAAACTTTAAACAGAAATGTAGCACAACTTGTTATAACAGTACAGGGCATTTTGATCTTGACCAAGCCTTTTTTTTTTGCAGTTAACTGCCCTTTCTATATCTTTACTGAAAGGTAGTACTTTTAAATAAAAATGAAAGACTTATATGGAAACAAGACACTTGCAATCAGATCTGTTGAGACATAAATTAAAACAAGGAACACAAAACACATGGCTACATAATAAGCATCAGACGGCTTAATAACGAAAATATTAAGGAACAAACATGAAACACACACCCTTGGGCTCTCTCACTCTCTTTGTGGCTGCATACACATTACTGGCTTAAAACACAGCTTGGTCATTCTTTTTCTCAATTTGAACCAAAGTTGGTCTGGAGGGAAACCATAGCATAGATAAGGGATATGGTTAACATTGTTTGTAAGCCACTTCCCAAACCATCTGTGGGAGTACACAGAATGCAGAGTGAACAGGAGAGTGTACACAGCCAAAGGCTACAGCAACCCTATGCATACATCGGGGAGTCAGTCCCACTAAACTCAGTGTGGCTTACTTTTAAGTAGACACACATGCCTGCACTGTAAAATGTGTTATTTGTTGCAATCCAACCAAATGCACACATACCTAGGAGTGAGTCTCACTCAGCTCAGTGGGACTTTCTTCCAAGTAGACATCTATACGATTGCAATGTAAATCTCCTATTGTATGCCGCTTTTGAGACTTGCTGCCTTCTTTGTGTTCTTCACCCTCTGCTGTTTCCACTTCCTTAAAAAGTAAAAGCAGAATCCCATTAGATCTTGGGCACTGCCCTGTCCTGTATAAGTTATCAGAGTCGACAAAGGCACAGAATGGGCAACCAGATGAAGAGGAGAGAGAAGCCAAGAGTCCTGGTTTCTCATGCTAACCTCTAGTTTGACCCACTAGGCACCACTCGCTTCCCATGGCTAGGTCTATGTTCTTGGCATCAGTCAGGACACAGTTGAGTGGGCCCATGACACAAGCCCGGAAGAATTTATTTTCTACTTTAAGGAGTATTTTGATATTTCTCATGTTGAAGCTTTACTGGAATTTCACATTCTTTGACCCTAGTTGGTCCTGCCAGCTATGTGACATCTAGGGGGTGGGTGACATCAGACTTGCTTTAGGAATGACTGGGCTTCTTCACTCCGTAGAAAACATGGGCAAAACATTCCAAACCTGGGCACCTTTTGTTATAGTCTGAAGTCTAGTCCTGTTTTCAAACTGTGGCTTGGTTTCTATAGGAGTGACCATCAATCAGGATGTCTCTCCTGGCCAGTGTATCAAGTAGATCTAGATGCTGTTTCTGGACCACACTGTTTGGTAACGAACTGGGACACATTTCCATCTATCTCAGATTCTGTTCTCAACAAATGTTGCTGTTGAGAATTAAGACTGTCCAACACAGGATGTAGTTTAACTTCGGGCTACTACAACAACATCCAGGCATGGAGCATGCGTGTGTGTGTGTAAAACTTGTAATGAATGCAATACTATCTGATGTCAACCTAAGATAAGATTATTTTTAAGATGCTTCGTTTTGGAAAGTGTATATGTTTGTTCCCCCCGCCCCCCCAAAGGAGAACTGTGTTAGGGTCTCAGCTTGGGATGCTGTGCATGAGCTTTGATGAGTTGGTTTTGCACATCTGATTCTGGGAAGCCACATGCCACTCTCTTGAATAGCCCAAAGTGGCAGACAGGTGAGTCATAGGGTTATGTATATGACAGGCAATGTTCATAGTCAGGCAAGTAATGTATAGCATCCCCTTCACCATTTTCTTTTGCTACTAGACATGAAAGCAAAAACTGGTTGATTTTCAACGGAGAGTGTGGCTGCTAATCAGGAGGGTGGCAATGTTTGCAGAGGTTGGAGGGGAGGCAGATTTCTTGCGCAGTAGTGGCAAATCCATTTTAATTGCGCAACCTGAATTGTCTGCTGTGCCATTGAATCCTACATCAAATTAGCAGCCGCCAGGAAGCGTCTCTTGCTCACATACACACCAGGCTGCTGTTAAGATACAGCTGTAGCAGAGTGTTGAAAAGCTGACAACTCTAGATGTGAGATCTTGGAAGTAGGAATGGAAGGACCTGTCAATTTTGGTTCTCTCCGTTTCTCTCTTTTTATCTTAAATTCAGTTCTCCACATTTCTACAGCAATCAGTGACTTTTTTTAATGAAAAAATGTTCATGAAAATTATCCAGCATCTTAATGTGAATTTCTCCTAACGAACACATTTTTGTGTGGCTTTGATTAATTTACATATTTTTTGCAAGCTGTTTTCCATGATACAATGCATTGTTCCATGTTTTTTCACCAATATATTCATTTTTATGCATATTTCCCCCAATACATGTATTTTTATAAACATTAGTTGGCTGGCGAACTACATTACAACATTTTGAGAACTGCAAATTTTGGAGGATAGTTGTATTTTGGGTTCCCATACTGTTTTGGTGCAGATTAAGTAGGTCTGGCTTTAAATGCAAACTTGAGTTGATTTTCTCCTCTGTCCCTACCTGCGAGAACAGCCAGCCGCACGAGTTGGGAAGCAGTTTTATGTGAGGCCCTGCTTTCTGACCGCTGCTATACTTTGGACACAAATGTCGCAGGCTTGAAACGCAAAGAATTCAGAACGCCTCCCTGCCGGCTGCCAATTTATAACAGCAGGGAATACCCGCTAGAGGTCTGACGTCGGGACTCAGTGCTATTTCCAGAGCCTGGATTGATGTCTGCCACACCTGCTCACATGGCATGTCCAGGCCCAGGGGGACAGCTGAGTCTAGTCAGCATCCACATGGCAGAGAATGTGATGTGGGGGAGAAGTATTTCGATCTTGAATAGGAAAATGAGCCCTGGCCTCCCACTCATTCAAAAAGGAAAGGTGGGGGTGGCTGTTGGGTATTTCCATGGCATCAGCTGCAAAATACTTGTTTTGTTGTGACTCGATGTCTCACTTTCAGGATGGGATTTCCCTCTTGAACGGAGGCTTGAATGAAATCTCACGAGCCAGCTTCGCTTCAGTAGTTTCCAGATCACTACATTTGTAGTGCAGTGTCAGTCATGGAGAGTGCTGCTGCTCCTCTCTGGTCCATCTTTGTAGGCTTCCTACAGGCATCTTGCTGGCCACTGTGAGAACAGGATGCTGGGCTGGATAGGCCTGATCCTGCAGGGCTCTTCTTATGTTTGTAATGGGCAAGGAGGCTGGGGGGAAAGGGCGGAATGTGAATGTCTACTTTCAGGATATTGGCTTTTTGTATTAAGTAACTCAATGAATCAACTCAAGAGCTGATCTGACTACTTATATAAATGGTGCCAGCTCTGTATCTAGTGTAGATCTGCAGCAATTCTGTTAGGGAATGTTTTCCACTGGGAGGAAGTGTGGGCTGGCCTGGGAAGAGGGAGAATGACAGATCTGTCACTAACAAACAGCAACACTCTTGGCCTGCCATTGTAGCAGCCTAGCCGGATTTGGCCTTCCATAGTTTATTCATATATAACGCAATGCAGTGTGGGCCTTAGAATGCAGGTGGCCTCACAATGTCTTCCAGGCTCTCTTGCAAAAGGAAGTATCTCTTTGGGGGCTTTGTGGATACCGCGGTTCTTGTTTTTCCTGCCCAGGAGTAAATTATGCTAAAAACAGGCCATGTGGGTGGAGAAGCATCTGGGTTTCTCCACATACCGCTTGTTAGTTCTCTTTTCTTCACATCACTCAGCTCAGGAAATGAATCAGCCTTGCCAAGTGGGTTACACAGTGATTCCATAGCTACTCTGACCCTCCTCTGCCTTTCCTCCTGGAGTTCGATGGCTCATTCTCAAATGGTGTGTATTTACAATGAATGAAACAGTGTGCCTGGGCTCATAAGCAGATCTAGGCATGGAGTTTTCCTTCTAAGATGCTCATCGAACTTTCAGTTTTCCCACCAGGAAGCCTCTGTCCTTCTCACTGTAAACAGAAGCTTTTCTCACATCACCAAGCCAATTCACCTTACAGCCATGGCTCTGTAGGAATGAGGATGTGTAAGTCACAGGAGTCTATGAATTCTGCTGCTAAATACTCCAAGATGCCTGTGTTTACATGTTTACTGAGAAATAATCCCCCCTGTATTTAATGGGACTTACTCCTCAGTAATAAAAGCCACAGTGTGAAAAACAGGCAGCAATTCTTGCACAAGTAACTCATCAGCTGGCTGGGGTGGTAAGTGAAGTGGGAGTATGAAGAGTGTATGAAGGGCTTATGTATGCCAGCTTTAAAAAAGGGTTTTGTTTTGTTTCCACTTAGCACAAGCAGATCTGGCAAATGACTAACTAGCATGGGTTTTGTCATGTTAATTGGTGTTGTTAAGACGTTTTCAAAGAATGTAAGCAGAGCCAGCCAACTCACTCCCTAACTTTCAAACTAGCACAGATCCAAACTCTTGATTGTCAGGGGAGTATTACTATGTGTAGCAGGCTCTTCTCTGGCCTTTGCCTCCCCTATGATTCTCCCTGTGGGTTCACATGGCCCACCACTGCTTCCCTTTCGATTTGCTCTCATGACAAATACTGAGAGGTGAAATACCGAGAGTTTTATTTGTAACAAAAAAGTGCAAATGCTGCTTTCAATCTCTCCTTTTCTATTTAAAGTTTTGCTGAGTTCCCCCCAACCCCAAGGTCAGAATGCCAGTATGAAAAATGGAATGGTAAATGCATTGTGTTCTTGACCAGGGTGTATTCTCATGATACATTTAGGGTACTATGATAAACAGTTGTTGCTTTCCACAGTGAAATCTGAGAGATATGGTTTGTTAAAAGTTCTGAGAGCTGTTAGGAGGCCCTTATTCCCATCCCGGGGGACGCGGGTGGCGCTGTGGGTTAAACAACAGAGCCTAGGACTTGCCAATCAGAAGGTTGGTGGTTCGAATCCCCGCTACGGGGTGAGTTCCTATTGCTCGGTCCCAGCTCCTGCCCACCTAGCAGTTCGAAAGCACGTCAAAGTGCAAGTAGATAAATAGGTACCGTATAAATAGGTACCATAGGTAGCTGCAGCAGGAAGGTAAATGGAGTTTCCGTGCGCTGCTCTGGTTCGCCAGAAACGGCTTAGTCATGCTGGCCACATGACCCGGAAGCTGTACGCCGGCTTCCTCGGCCAATAAAGCGAGATGAGCGCCACAAACCCCAGAGTCGGCCACAACTGGACCTAATAGTCAGGGGTCCCTTTACCCTTCACCTTTACCTATTCCCATCCCAGAGATATAATTCCCAGAGTCCCCACGAAAAGGGACTGATTGTTAAACTGCTCTGGGAGAGGAATAAGAATATTGTTTCCTAGGTTCATATGAAACAGGTGGTTCGGATTGTTTCCTGCAAATTGCTATCTGGGATCCTCTCATCTTGGTGAATGAACAGAGGACATAGTGAGGATTCTTCTTTGGCTTGGCATTACATGTGGGTGACCCGACAAACTTGTCCAGTCCACCATGTTCTTCCTCCACTGTTGAGGGCGGTATGCTTCTGAATACCAGTTGTTGGAAACCATGGGAGGGAAGAGTGCTGTTGTACTACATTTGTGGTGTGATGTCATTCACAGAGAGTGCTGCTCTGCTCAGGTCCTTCTTGTAGGCTTCCCACAGGCATCTGGTCGGTCACTGTGAGAACAGGATACTGAACTCAGTGGGCCACTGGCCAGGTCCAGCAATCTATTCTTATGTTCATCGATCAGCTTTGTTCTCACCACATTCTACCCACCAGCAAAGAAGAATGAAGGTAATCCCAGCTCACACTGAATCTCCCAAAGAAATACGCCCCTCAAATAACTTTCCTGGAAATAACTTTTCAGGACAATGATAGAGAGGGTAGACTAGGGATAGCAATGAGTCAAGCATTTGACTCAGTGTACCCTTCAAATAAATAATCAATTTAAAAGAAAATCTAAAAGACATTTTCACAGACTGAGTTGGCTGACTCCAGAACTTTTTTTGTTGGTTCTTGGGCAAGAGACCAGCAGTGAGTCTTCACCAGGCTGAAACCTTTGCATCCTGTAGCTGCATTGGTAGATGAAGATTCATCTGCTTGCTCTTCAACCATTAAAGGCACCAGAGCCCGGCCAAAAGGGGGGGGGATGTGGCAGCTCCAAGCCAAGTTGGATCTGAAAAGGGGTAAGCTAGTCAGTTTCAAGCTGCTGTGGAGCTGAATGGAGTCATCTCAAGAAGAGCTTATTTTTGCTCAGCTTGGCAAACCTGCTTTCCTTCTAGCAGCCTGTTGGCTCTAATTTCCCTACAACCCCCATATCTTTGAGTGGCTGCATTGTGGTTCATCAAACAGAATCAAATGCCCCAGTTGTGCTGCTGCATGCTATGGAAATGTGTGGCCCGGTGGTTTCCGCTACGGGTTTCTGACATCTGCAGCTGCTTTTCTCGGTACATTATGTAGTGCTGGGTTAGCACTGGGAAATCCCAGTCTTATATGTGCATATCATACATAAGCTGTATGCTAGCGATATTGTGAGCTGACCCTGTTAACAATCTCTGTGTGTTTAGCCAGCCAAATAAATGCAATCCAGGACATGCACCAGCACTAACTACAGGTTAGCATGCCAAGTGGGAACAAATAGGACCTATTAAACAGTTGCCACTATGCTTTCATAACTTCGATTTGCCTTGGATGACATTTCCCAGGTCACCTGAAATTTAAATTGACAACAGGGAAATGATGAGGCTGAGCGGTTAGGGTACAAGGTTATTTGGCTAACGGGAGAAAATGTCTCTACGATAAAGGCTATAGCTGTAGACACTGGGCCAGGGACAGAGAGGGAGGGAATCTCTACCCTGCAAGTTTTGAGCTTAGCTACATGTTGTACACAAACATGTATAATGATGCCTCTGTTGCCCATATGCTGCTTTAGGAGTGGGGTACCTGGGCAGGGAGAAGTTGGAGGGGCATGAAGTAATCCCTGTAACCTCCCCCTATGTGTTTCTCCCCATGAATCTTCTCCACTCCAGCCCCTGAATTCCAAAAGTGTGTTCGCTTTACACCAGTAACCTTCATGATCTGTCATCTGTTGATGGTGCTAAGAACTCACCTGTCTCCCCACCCTACTCCAGCATCCATAATTCTCCAGAGAGCAGGAACAGAATCATAGTTGCAAAGGGGCTCCGAGGGTCCTATAGCCCAATGACCTCCAATGCAGGAAGATTAAGCTACTTTTAAGTCTGCTATATAAAGAAGCACAGTTGAGCGCAGCTTGGGAGGTTTGAAACCAGTAGGATTCTTTCTTGGTTTGTATCGAGTACTTGGACTTCATCAGTTTATAGACCGCAACCTAGAGACGGATGTGCCCTTCAGCAACGTTTGAATTCTTTCCCAGTAAACTGGGACATTTGGTTATCACAAGCAGCATCATTCATGCTCGGAGTTAGCTTTGCATTTCAAGCATGCATCAGTGCCAGAGTCATTATTCTTTCTCATCCTTAGAACTATGTGCCAGTTCTTCACAGCCCACTGAACTTGGCCAACTCTGGCCGCTGAGTAGCCTGGATTTCCCCCTCATCTTCTGGCTTAGAAATCTCCTCTTGTCTGTTACCTTTTTTGTTCTGTTTTGTTGCTTTACATGCCCCACCTATGGACTTTCCCTCCTGACTTGCTCACTGTACAGTGGTGCCTCGGGTTACATACGCTTCAGGTTACATACGTTTCAGGTTACAGACTCCGCTAACCCATAAATAGTGCTTCAGGTTAAGAACTTTGCTTCAGGATAAGAACAGAAATCGTGCGGCGGCAGCGGGAGGCCCCATTAGCTAAAGTGGTGCTTCAGGTTAAGAACAGTTTCAGGTTAAGAATGGACCTCCAGAACGAATTAAGTACTTAACCCGAGGTACCACTGTATTTGCCCTGACAATAGGAAGGAGAGCTTGGTTGCCTAGCAATGAAAACTATACGGATTCTTCTTCTACAGCCTTGCGGAAAAAAATACTCTGATCACATCCGCACATTCCCTCAAAGAATCCTGGGAACTGTTGTTTGTTGGGGGTGCTGGGAATTGTAGGCTCTGTGAGGGGTCTCCTGGCAACTTTTAGCACCCTTAACTCGCTTACTGAATTGTACTAGTGTTTCGAATGCGACCTCTTCTCAAAGTAAAACTGGAAGTTGCATTGCAGCAGCAGCCGTTCTGTTATCATCTGGTACCAGAACCTCAGTTGATGCAGGTCTACACACTAATCCCAGGGTCTTATTGGCAGGGCCTTCCTCTCAGACATGGGCGGAAGAATGTGTGCGGAAGCTCCTTGCCGAGTTCCCAGGGCCCTCCACGTCATGTCACAACTTCTGCTGCAGCTGTGATATTTTCTTTTTCTTTGTTGACATTACTTGCATCATGCAGTTTTGAGAACTTCCGAGAAGATCACTTACTACCCAGAACCCTTGTGACTCTCTTTGTGACAAAGTAAGTGTTTACACACAAAACACTGAGTCTTTTCTGCAGTTTAGGGTCCCCTCCCCTACATGTGATTATAGATAACTGGTACTACAGAGCATCATCGTGCACATATTGAGTACATTTAAAGCACATTGCCCCCCCCCAAAAAAAAAGATTGTGGGAACTGCAGTTTGTTAGGGGTGCTGGGAATGGGAGCTCTTTGAGGGGTGAGCTACATTTCCCAGGATTCTTCTGAGGGATGCTCTTTTAACGTATGGCATGCACATAGCCCAGGTCAATGGACATTTTGAAAAATGCATCACTAATTCAGGCCAGGCAAAGTCTTTTGACATTTCCAATGTCTCTTTCATACGTCTGCTTCCTTGGACCATTCCAGCTGCCTGCCAAATTTGTCCTGCGTCTGGTGTTAACCAGCTCTTTAGCACCTGCTACTTTTAATTTCCCACAGGTCTGTTTAGGACTACTCTTACTGAGCCTGTTCCCACTTCATTGGTTAGATAGCGGTGCAGGAAGCTGGCCAGTCGTGACTTCCCGCTTTTGCAGAACTTAGCAAAGCGGATATAAGACCAGTGTACGACCTTTGATGCTCCCAGCCCTAGTAGAGAGAGCTTTGTGCTTATGGAGTGCACAAGACTTGCTGGTCAGCTAGCTGCTTTGTGGCCTCGAGGGGTGTTGCTTTCCTTGTGATGTGCTTCTCTTCCCCCTTTCCTTAAATTTATTATGGCAGTTCAAACCTATCTATATACCTGTTGCTGAAATGTGGAGGAAGCAAAAGACCTCCTTAAGAGCTTCAGGGTGTTACAATTGGGCCCCAAGGCACTGGACTGGGCTGCGTGAGGCTTGTCAGTATATTTTCACTCCCCCTCCTGCCAGTTTGCAGTGGGATAGAGGGAGGGGGAGTTGTTGAGGAAAGCACAGCGAGTCTCCCTGAAAGTTCAGAAATGAAACCCAGCTGAACAAAACTAGCCTTGGGGAACTTCCAAGGAGGGACAGAGACATGCAAGTCATTTTTAACCTCTTGTGGGGACAGACTTGGTCTTCGTTGATGGGGGAAAGGGCATGGTGTTGCTATTTCCAGAGCAGATCTGCTTCCAGGCACTCTGTGGCGCTGGGGGTTCAAGTTGCCTTCCCCTCTGACTACTCTGGTGGAATCTCCAAAGAAGGCCGGCCTAGTCCATTTTCCCAGCTGTCCCCTTGATCAAGTCCCACTGACCTCTTCCTCTTCCACACCCTAAAATCTTGACATATTTACAATTGCAATAAATTTGTAGGTAGTGCTCCTCAGCGCTCTCTGTGTGTGGCATTGCCTCCCTGTTTCCCTAAGGTGGCTAGCCGCATTTCCCTTTCTGCAGAACTAGGAGGCGGAACTTTCTCTTTCCTGTCACCTCTGGGTTGCTTCAGAATTTCCCCAGAAGAGCTGGAAGGGGAAGCCTTACTTCTTCAGGAGGTTGGGTATCTGGGTGGGGCTGTGTGTGTTTGTGTGCATCTCACACTTTCACATGAGGCCTAAAAGTGGGGGGGGGGGGGGAGCACGAGTGACTCAGGCTTTCTCTGCCACCATTTCTGTAGGAAGTGAAGTTTACCTTTCAAACTTACTGCCTCAATAAAGCTTACGGACTTTTGAAATGCACATTCCTTTTCTTAGGCCCTAAGAGAGATTTTTGTTGTTGTTCCTTGGAGACCATTCCTGGGGTTGAGTGCTGGTCTAGGCACAAAGGAGGCAGACGGCACCTCAGTGGAGGGAATCATTTCCCCCTCAGCAAGGCCTTCAGATCCTAAAGAGATAGCTGGAATGGGGGGGGGGGGCAGTTGTGTTGTGCTACCAAGGAAGCCAAAATGCCTGTATGCTTTCCTGGGCCCTTGATTCCTCATCTTTATTTTTATTTTTGTGCACTGCTCAATTTTACCTATGGAATATAGTATGGATGGGGGAGCTGTGCCTCTCCAGATGTTACTGAACTACAGCTCTCTTCATTCCTGTCTGTTGGTTGCGCTGGCTGGGGCTGATGGGTGTTGGAGTGCAACATGTCCTGTCCCACCCACCCCCCATGTATCATTTTACTTTCTTCTCCTGTTTTTAGCGTTAAAAAACTCTGTTTTGAATGTTGTTGTTGCATTCTTACATGAAATAATACTGATTCTGACAGGTTGCATTTCATACATCGTATGAAACTTTTGTCCTAGAGTTCAGTTTGATTCAGGTAGCCCAGCATATTATCTTACCTTTGGCATTCTTAATTTGTTAACCATCTTCAAGAACAATGATTGTGTTGCTTTGTTTAGGAAGTAATACATGCTAGATATTTGCATGAGCAGGGTAGAAAGGCAGGAGTGGTTTTCCATACTCCCAGGGTTGTTTGTGAGGAGCATAGAAATTTGATCTTGGAGAGGTGAGTTACTAACAAAGGTTACGATAATGGAAAATACAGCTGTGAGAGGTGATCTATGTCCATAGGTGGCTGGTTCTACAACAGGGGCCAACACCAAACAGGGAGGAGTCCCAACGAGTTTTCTTACCTTGGCAAAGGCTTACCGTATTTTTCGCTCTATAGGACGCACTTTTTCCCCTCCAAAAATTAAGGAGGCTTCGCGTTGCTTTCGCTGAAGCCTGGAGAGCGAGAGGGACCGGTGTGCACCAACCCCTCTTGCTCTCCAGGCTTCAGAGATAGCCGTCTGAAGCCTTTGGAGCGCAGCGCGAGTTCCCACTGCGTTCCGCAGGCTTCAGGTTCCTTTTGCTGAAGCCGGGAGAGCAAGACTCTGTATGCGCATATGTGTAATGAGCTTGTTTGCTGCCATCTCTTCCTCATTCCTGTGGAATATCTCTTATTCTCTTGAATAAATGTATTACATTTTTACCTTACATTGATGTGCACTAGTGCAGTGTAATGAAAGAGATGCTGTCTTGTTGGTATGTTGACTCCGTCACGGCCTTAATGAATGCTAAGTACTTCAAATAGGTCCCCATGGTCCAAGATCTACTTGCTGCTTGACTGGGAAGACTGAGGTGGAGGCAAGGGGTTGTGACCCAGAAGAGGTCTGCAAAGCACAATTCTCTTACCCGTGTCTCAGGGAACAGAGTGTCTGGGCAGCATTTAGGTCCTGAGGATGTGCCACGCTTGCCAAATATAAGGTTGAGAAGGAAATAGGTTAGCGCAGGGGTGGAGGAAGGGGTGTGTGGTAGGTGTGGGCCGCCCCAGGTGTCACCACTGAGGGGGGGGATGAGAAAATGCTGGGCGGAACTCACTGTGCCAAACAGTCCACCCGGTGCCTCCCCCCAGCTGTAGGGCGGCTGAGTGGGAGAAGTCAGGCAGACTCCGGAGGCCCAGTGGTGCACCCCGCCCCAGGTGCCCGAGCGGCTTCCTCCGCCGCTAGGTTAGTGTGCTGGCTTTGTTGATTTCTTGCCTCTGGTTTATTTTCTTTCTGCAGGAAGCACTCCACTCCAAGGAATAGAGCAACCATTTTGATGAAAGCATTGTTTGCTGCTTTTTGGCTTTTCGTTCCGTGTGCAAGTTTGTTTACAGCTGTTGAAAGAATGTGAGTGCATGACCCATCAGCATCTCATTATTACTGTTAAGCCTGTTCCAGGCTCTGTCTGTCCTACGGACAGCAGTTTCCTAGGGCCAATGCACTCAACTGTGATGGAGAGGCAAATTCAAAACCTCCCACTCCAGTCATGCCAGCCATTGTCACCTGTCAGCATGGTCTGATAAAATGCTATTTCTTATGTGTCGATGGGGATGCCCAACATGGAGGGCTTTAGAGGGACCAAAGCACCTTATTACATGTGGCACTTGGTCACAATAAATGTGTTTCATGAGGTTGTTTCCACCATCACTCAGCATATTGCAAAAAGCTGCAATATGGACCAAACATTTGTGCATAAAGGGGAACAGACACATCTTTCCATCTAGATCTTTCCCCCTTCTTTCTTGATTATATAAGAGCTGAGGGGTGCTCCTAACTTTTCCTTAACAAGGCAAGAAGTAGCTAGGAGGGGGTGGTTTTGATAGGAAAACCAGCCTGCAGGGAAAGTGGTGAGTATAGTCGTACCTTGGAAGTCAAACTGAATCCGTTCTGGAAGTCCATTCAACTTCCAAAATATTTGGAAACCAAATCGCAGCTTCAGAAGCCCCGTCAGATGTTCGGGTTCCAAAAGAATGTTCGCAAACTGGAACAGTCACTTCCGGGTTTGTGGCGTTGGGGAGCCAAAACATCCAAATTCCAGGGCATTTGGGATCCGAGGTACGACTGTATCCTAATGCACGTGCACTTATGATCAAGGTTGCAGCTTCTTCCAACTGCTTGATTGTTGTAAACAGACAAACATAAATAAAAATCATTCCTTTGGGGACAGGTATGTTGCTGAGCATCAATAATGCTTTGACCTTAATGAAATTGATCCTGCTCTGTATAGTAGATCTTGCAGTATGAAGATTGTGGAACCTGTGTGTGATTATTAATCATATCTAGAAACTGAGAGGATTTCCATCAATTGACCTTGAAGACAGCCAAGGACAATCCTTCTGGGCAGGCAAGGAACATGAATCTTGTGATACCTATTTGTTAGCTCAGGTCTGACTCAAAGCGCTGGCCCTCTCCCCTCCCATTATTGAGCATAGTAAGCCTGATCTTTGGCAGGATAAGCACAATTGCCAGTGTTAGCCAGCAAACCTCTGAGGTCAGTCCCGATGGTAGAGTTGAAGAGGAATATTTGACACAGAAAAGGGTCCCTCTCTACCTTCATTTTTTCTGTTGCTTATGGAAAAATAACTGTAAAATGAAAAAATGAAGCTAAACCTCTCCGCATAGAGACATTTACAAAAGAATTCTTTCTACAACACATAATGGGAGGTGTTTTTAATTTTATTTCTTCTCTCCAGCAAGTAATAAGAGGGAGAAAGATATGGCTGTTTTGCAGTCTGCATACAACTGTGTGATAGCAATCAAGGCAAGTGAACTGGAGATTTCTGTTCAGTCAAAAGATATACCCTGACCAATAATTTTTGACATGTTATCTGAAACCTAGGAGAGATAAGTTAGTAAAGGAAACAAGAGGGGCAAGAGATTAGAGGAGGAAACAAGAGGGGCAAAAGTTAGAACAGGAACAGAGGAAGATATGAACTAGAAGAAAGAGCAAGATAAAAAGAAGATAAGGCTATTCTATTGGTCTCATTTCAAAATACGTTACAGAAACTTGATGATAGAATGAAGGAATGTGCAAGTAATGTGATGGATAAGACATTTGAGACATAATGTGGGCATGATGGAGTGAAAGATAAGCATGTGCTTAATCTCTTCAGTTGAAGTTGCTTCGACTTACAACATATTGTAATTACTGTACAAGAAGTAGAAAAATAATGAATATAAATCAGAATTGATAAAAATGAGAGCAGAGGAGATCTATAATGAAGGCTGAAAAAAATAAGATCAGAATCAGATGAGTGCCTGAAAGATTTGACTGACTCTCCAGTAACATTTATTTCATTTTTAATTTGGAAGACCCAAATGTGAGATGCATAAAATACATGCTTGGAATAAATTCTGCTACTCCGAAGGAAGTGCCACTGAGTTCAGTGGGACTTACTAAGCAAATGTAGGCTTGCCGCCTAAATATACTGTATTTTTCTGTCTATAAGATACCCCCATGTATAAGACACCCCCTATTTTGGGGGACTCTGATTTAAGAAAATGGGGGAAGATCTATCTGTGTATAAGATGCCCCCAAATTTTGGACATTATTTTTTAGGGGGGAAAACCTGGTCTTATACATGGAAAAATATGTACTTAGCGACAATATAGTAAAATTATAAAGTACTAAAGCTAGCTTTCCTCTAGTACTTCAGACAAGAAGTAATATCAGTTAATCTACCAGATGATTCCTGGTTTTAATCCCACCATTTTAATTCTGTCTGAAGAATTTAACTTCCTAGTAAATTAGTTGAAAGAAATGAACGCACGCTATCATTGGGGAATAGGAACACAGGAAACTGCCTTGTCCCATGTGAAACCATTAGTCCACCTACCACAGGCTGCCCAGAGCTTCAAAAAAGTGCCCATTTAGAATCAATTTTCAGCAGTCTTCTTCAGCTGCTGAATACAATTGTTAGAGGAAGGAAGAAAAGAAGCAAATGTGAACCTGGGATGGAGATCCTGTGGATATCCAAATGCTGATGGACTACAATTCCCATCACCCCCAGCCATTGACCAGGCCTGATGAGAGTTGGAGTCCAACAACATCTAGAACACTACAGCTTCCTCACCCTGTTGTAAAAGAAGATGATGATGGTCTCTTAGCTGTAAGTAGAAGCTTGATTTTCTGTTTCAGCCATGCATCGGAAAGAGTTCAGAGAAAAGATGGCAGGCATCAAACACTCTGGGTGGTATTCAGCCAAGTATTGTTCAGAGTAGACCTATTGGAATGAATGGACCTAGCCATGTGCATTAATTTCAGTGGATCTGCTCTGGGGGAAAAACCCGTAGTTGACTTCCACCTTCTGTTAATAATAATAATAAGCTGTGTATTGGGTTGCAGAAGATGGGGAGGGTCTGTGCTTGCCAGTACTGTATGCTGTTGAGTCTTTCCAGGACCAAGCATCAGATGCCTGTCTTTCATCATCAACTAAGCTTCTAATATTGCTGAAGGATTTTGCCACTCTCTTTTGCAGCCCCAGGCTTGGCTAAGCAAGCTTCTGTAATTGTATATGCTTAAGTTATTTATTGACACATTTTCGGGACTTGTGTTTGAACCGGGGCTGAGTGCCAGAACTTGTGAAGTAACAGTAGAGAAGAAAGTAGCTAGGAGCCCTTGCAGGCAGCATTTCACATACCACTGTAACCACAGCCTGCTCTGGTCTACCCTGTATGCTGACTTCTAGGTGACGAAGTGTAACTTACAGGCGGGTTGAAGACTAGAAACCACTTCTTGGAAATTAACCACTTGCTTGTGTTGGTTATTACCCTGCACAAACAATTGGCCCTCAATTTGCACATTGGTTCTAAGCAGAAGAAAAAAATGTTGTTGGATACGCATGAAACGAGAATCTGTTGTGCTTGCAGATGCCGTGTGGATTGAATTGCAATACAATGAATAAAAATACAACACATGCGAGGCAATAAAACAACATCTTAGCACAATGTTTGTAAATGTTAGGAAGTTTTAAAAAGGCAAATCAAGAAATGCAGCAGACATCTACCAAAATAAAATAAAATCACAACCATCTGTTTCTCTTTATTAATATAAATGAATATGCCTCATGCCCTTAAAATTCCATGCTTCTTTAACTGTCTGTAGGGGAGAAACTGCCTCCTTGCCATAGAGGAAAGGACTAATTGGGTTTGTTTGTTTGTTTGTTTGTTTACATGGGGGGCATGTTGCACTCCAACACCCATCAGCTCCAGCCAGCACAGCCAATGGACAGGAATGAAGGGAGCTGTAGTTCAGTAACATCTGGAGAGGCAGTATAGAATGTTTTAAATATAAATTTATGACTCGACAGTCGGTGAAATGGTCGCAACACGATTTAATTAAATCAAAAATACTGGGGCCTCTTGCCACTGAACTCCTTTCCTTGAATCTATTGTCGATTCAGCCTTTTATTCTGGAGGGCCTTTGACTGGAGGGCTGTTCTGTCACAGCTGCCAAGATGGGAGTCGCTGTAATCTGTTAGCAGTTGTGTAAGCCATCACTTGAATCTGGCTCTCCTCACGGAGCTGCCCTCCTTTGAGAAACCACTGCTTCCAAGAGAGCTGTGCAGTAAGGGGAAAGAAGGGCTGGAATAACCATGACTGGAAATTATCTTACTATTCATTCAGAGTCAGCCACAGAACCAGATCCAAGAATTGCATCCTGATGTAATAATATGAAGAGCTGAATTCCTAAAGAGGTCACCTGGTGAAATACAAATGTGTGCTTTCCCTTATGTTATCCCCCTATCTCTGAGTGATGGACAGTCCTGGCTGATATTACAGATCCTTCCTTCCTTCCTTCCTTCCTTCCTTCCTTCCTTCCTTCCTTCCTTCCATAAATGTCCTGGATTTAGACAGGGTTTTAACTGCTGTACAGGCCTTCAGAGGCACCCTGCCTCCAACTGTGAAGGTAGAACATAGCCATAGCCATTGTGGCTAGTAGCCACTGATCGCCTTGCCCTCCATTAAATACCCATGGAGTTGTTTGTGAAATCCACAAAGATTTTACATCCTGGTGGGACCGAATGAGTTCTGAGAAGGCTGGGACTTGCAGGTGAGTAGAGCCAGTGTGGTGTAAGAGGGTTAGACTAGGACTGGGGAGATACAGGTTCCAATTCTCTCTTAGCCATGGACTTGCCTCACCTATCTCCTAAAGTAGTTATGTGGATAAAGAAAGGTGGGAAAGAGAACCATGTGTGTTGCCTTGAGCTCTCCAGAGCAATAGCAAGGTATATATTAATGGTAAGTCTGACACTGGGGCTCTCTGTCTTTCAGGGCTCTTCATAATCCTGATTCAGTCTAGAGGTGCTGCCCTGGAAGAAGGAGCAGAAGGTGAGTTCTCTCTGGATTAAAAAGCCTTCAGAGACGCAATAGAGGGCCAGTTTAAAACCACCGCTTGACCATGTTGTTTGTTTGTGGAGGAGTGCAGTGTGTGCTGAGGACACCAAAAGCAAGAGCTGCCGTATGGCTGGGTGCAGCAAGCAATCCACAAAGCGGTGATAGCCAAGACAAGGAGAACATCCTACGGGTCAGCTCATGGGGTTATGCATAGCACTGTGGCTGCATTTTGAAGAAATGTCTTTCCATCCATCCATCCATCCTGTGGGTCGGTGGTTTCCATGTCCCAGAGATAAGCAAGTTATTCGTTCTGGATGGAGTCACTTCCCCTTGAAGGAGCAAGTGCACATCTTGGGGGCACCCCTAGATACATCTCTTGTCACCAGAGGCCCATGTGTTCTCTGTGGCTAGGAGTACTTTTTACCAGCACCACCTGGTTTATCAAGCCACGGCTGTTCCTGGACAGGGATAGCCTGGCCATTGCAGTGCATGCACTGATAACCTCGAGGCTGGATTACTGCTGTGCACTCTGTGTGGGGCAGCCCTTGGGCCTGGTTTGAAAATTATTGCTGATGCAGAATGAGATGGCCAGACTGGGGGCACATGACCGACACCTGCCCTGGCCTGGCTGCACATTTACTACGGAGCCAGGATCAAGGTTCTTGTATTTGCAAAGCCCTGAACAACTTAGGTCCAGGGTACTTTACGGACTGTCTAAACCCTATAGCCCAGCTTGATCATGGAGATATTCTGTGGGAGCATTGTTGACAAGGCTCATCTGACAGCAACAAGAAACTGAACCTTTAAAGTCATCTGCCCAGTCATGTGGAATGTTCTGCAAGCACCTTCTGGTTTTTAAAATTATTATTATTGAATTATTAACCAAAAGAAGTGCAATCATAACAAAGAATAAAAAATGTAAACCATAAAGCATCACAACCTGGAAGGCCAAAACTACAAAGGTACAACGCACCTCCAAAGGGAAATAAAAAGGCACCTTCTGTTTTAATCTTTAATTGTCTGCTGGAAAAAAGTATGCTGTCAAGTTTTTTCAGGCAATTAAAAAATATCCATGATAGTTGATCTCCAATTTTAAATGTTTTTTATTGTATATTTCTAAGTTGGTTGTAAACCAGCTTGATAGTTTTAAAAATATAAATAGCAGTATACAAATATTTTATGAATACATAAATGTAAGGCAGCTTTCCATGTTCCTATATCCTTTATATTATAGATAAACTTCCTTACAAGTGAAATAGCAAATGCTTAGGTAGTAGTCTAATAGCACAAATTTGCTTAATGCAGTGTTGGCCAATGATTTGTCACCTAGGACCACTCTAGAAACCTTTGCAATTGTGCAAACATGAAGGCTAGAAATTTGTCTTTTAAAAACATGTTCGTATTTTACTAACTTTTACTTAGAGTAGACCCATTGAAATTAATTGACCTAAGTTAGTCATGGCTATTTATTTCAGTGGGTTTGCTCTGAATAATGGTTGGTTGAATGTAACTCATAAATGTATTAGGGGCTCTCATGCCTAAATGACTTTAGATCCGTCTCAACTCAGAATGAGAATTCCCTGGCCTTCCAAGCAGGTTTTTTTGCCTCAGGTTTTCCTGAAGCTACAGGCTCATCCTCCATATATGTTGGGGATTACTGTATTTTTCTGTCTATAGGACGCCGCCATGTATAAGGACGCCCCACCATTTTTGGGAACTCAATTTTAAGAAAATGAGGGGAGATGGCCCAAAGTTGTTCAGCTTCTCCCCCCCCCCCCCCCCGTAGCTGCGGGCAGGAAACACTCCCTAGATCGTTTCCCGCTCACTGCAGCATCAGAGGAAGCCATGTTCCTGCCACCAGTGTGCCACTTCTCCCCCCCATGCCACTATCCGTGTATTGGACGACCCCAGTTTTTTGACATGATTGTTGAGGCAAAAAACCTCATCTAATACACGGAAAAATACGGTATTGTTTCCTGGAAAAAAAGAGACTTAAGAATAACTAAATTGCAAACTCTGGCACACATGAAAGCTTGGATTCTCAAAAAAAAATGAAAGAAATAAGAGTTCTGGAGTTGCGGCTCCTGCCATAATATATTCTGACTGCAGAATATTTAATTCCCCACTCTGCATGGATGGACTAGTTGTTTTGGAAGTATGTAGTGGGGAAAGGGGAGGTCCGATTTGGGGGAGGTGGGCTTAAGTGTTGTTTCTCTGGAAGGAAGTGAGAAGAATGGGAACTGACTGTATGGCATAGGCAGAGACTCACCAGTTGCTGTTCTCCTCTGTGTCCTAACAGACTACCCACAGAAGGGAAAGGTTGGTGACACCTATAAACTTCATAGCTCCGATGAAGATGAGGACGGTAAGTGTTGTGGTAATTAGACTTGCTTCCCAGATCACAGTAGTGATTTTAAAGTAAAATACATTTTAAAAAAAACTCCAACCCCAACAACTTTGCTTTTTCTTTTCTGGCAGTTGCCCACAATGAAGAAACAAAAGCAATTATAGCAACCAGTTGGCCACCTTAAATGATCTGGTCTTAAATATTTATAGAATGTATATGTCATATATTTAATCTTGCCACGCTCAGAACACCTTCTTGGAGCAGCATCCAAAGCCAACAAGCTCCCCCTACAGGGGTCTGCAGCTTTTGGCTTGAATAGCAGAGCTAGCCCCAAATTATAGGACCCTGTTTTAACAGGAAATGTTGAATATGAAGTCCCAGGCACACATACCAGAAACCTCCTGCCTCAGTGTTAAGAGAAACATTGCCAACCCTTCGTCCTACTAAGGGCGCTCACTTCCAAGCTCTCAGTATGACTTGATTATTTGTGTGAGGATGTGGGAGGCTACAAAGGAGACACCTCTGCAATGGATGCTTTAGTTTAGTTTCCTGCATTGCAGGGAGTTGGATTAGCTGACCCTCCGGTTCCCTTCCAACTCTACAATTCTAGGATAAAATATTGTGTTCAGCACTCTTGGGTTGGAGCAATCCCGTGACCCAGCTATGACACAGAATCAGATTCCTCAAACCCGGGTCAGAAAACCTTTGACCCTCCAGATGCTGTTGGATCCCAACTCCCATCATCCCGAGTCAGCGTGGCCAACAGTCAGGAATGTAATACAACAACATCGGGGGGGGAGGGGCAACACAGGATCCATACCCTTCAAAGGAGTTCCCAGGCTTCAGCCATTTGATGCATGCAGGAGACGGTTAACAGCCAGATTGCAAAGTGTATCCTTGTTTGTTGCATTCGTAGATGTGGATCTGTGCCTTGAGAAGAAATTAGAATGTGGATACCATGCCAACTGCAAGAACAACTCCTGTATATGTGTAGATGGATTTGAGAAGGTCCCCGAGAAGGGAAATGCCTGCGAGGGTAAGGGCTTTCTTGCTTGAGATGCAGCATGTTCGCTCCAGGCACGGCAAGGACTTGACATATAGAGCTGAGAGCTACAGCAAGGGCACAAGTCTGGCTGTACATGGGGCTGTGCACAAGTTTTACAACCAGCACCAAACCTAAGTGTACCATCTGGGAATAAAAGAAGGAGGGCTTCTTTCAAGCAAACGCAACACTCCTCTCCTGGGAGTGGGGAGCCTGCACCCCATAGCCTAAATGGGGAGCCGGTAACTGCTGAAATTTGCTTGTTGGGGGAGATGTCATAATTTAGTCTTCTTAATTTACTTCTGGCAGCTGAGTCTGTAACACAAGAGTGGGGAACGGCACAAAAAGCAGCAATTGCTGCTGCAAAGTGAGGCAAGGAAGACGGCCACATTGTTTTGCAGCATCCGCATCACAACATCCTCTAGCTGTGCCTCCAGTTCATTACCTTCTCGCTTGTCGCTTCTGTGGCTGAAACTAACCTAAAAACTTGACTTGTTACTCTCTCACCCTCTAAGCTGGAGGTTCCTCGAGTTGTTCCAGATGGCAATTGCCGTTGAAATCTGGTGTACTCAGCAGACATCTATTAACGCTAGCCATTTTTTTTACTTGAATGGGAAGCCCTCTTGTCCCTGCTAACAGCCTGGCATGCCAGCTACGATGCTCTTGCAACCCAGCACTTGAGAATTGCTGCTCTAAGTGAATGCTAACAGCATGCTTCTTTGAATGGCTTAATCAAGGCGGATTTTCTAGAATGGCTTGCCTTTCTGCAGCCATAAGCAGTTTCCTGCTTATCATGATGTGATGGCTCAGGTTGGGGGCCAGTTTGCTGTGTTTCACCTAGAAGCAGATTTCTCATTGCAGACATTGATGAGTGCCAGAAAAACACTTCCATCTGTGGACCTTATGGAAGTTGCATCAACACCAAAGGGGATTACGTTTGTAAATGCAAGCCGGGATTTGTGAAGAGCATACAAGATGACAAAAAGCTATGTAGAGGTACAGCTCAGAGAGAATGCAACATTTCTTTCTTACCCGGCCAAAGGAATGCATGGGCAATGGCACTTCTTCATTTACCACAGAGTTGCAATTAGCTAGTGATGTTAAATATGTTGGGGCCAGAGGATGATCTGAGCACATCTGATGCTAACAGACCTCAGCATGACCAGTACTTGGAATAGAGATTGCTTGGAGGGCTTTCTAAGCCATTCTGAGCTCCCTGGATGAAGTTTGGTGTACAATTCACTGATAAAACATGTGAAGTTGAGCTTCTGTAATGGGCATGTTTGGATATGGAGGATCAATGAGGCCATATTTCATATGACTGTTTGTAACATACCTGTGCACAAACCTACCATATGTAAGATTTCTGTGTTCTTATATCGGTTATGTGATGCCAGAACAATCATCTGCCTTCACTGTCATATGCACTGTTACACATTTTACAGGGATTAAAACTTTTGTGCATGTAAACTGTGGATTTCTGCATGGCATAATTCACATGCAGTTGCCTCTTGTCAAGTCAACACAATTTGTAGAGTCTTCCTGGGGCCATATTTCCCAGATGGATTGCCATGTCCTCCCTTTCTGTGAGCCTTTTTGAAGGAAACCTGGCAATAGATGGCTTTAATCTAGGACATTTTTTTTATCCTTCCTATCTTCTCCAGTATCCTCATTCCCGTCCGTTCAAGAGGTGCTGTAGGGATGAGAAACTTGCTTCTCTTGCCAACTGGGCCAAAACTCAAAGGAGAAGCTGCCATCAGGGTTGACTCCAGTGTACTCAAGAGACTTCCATTGTGTATGTGGAAGTTTGTGCACACAGGGACTTTCCAATCCTATCAACAGGAGAGGATTTGGCATATTCAAATGGGAAGTCCTTGTGTGAAGCATCTTCCAGGCTCAAATAATAATGCGGACCCTTCCTTTGTCAGTATCATTCTCACCCACGTGACACTGGAAGACCGTCCCACAATAGTTTTGCAGTTCAGCATCAAGAGGCCCTTCTGATGGAGAACTAGCGCCCAAAGGAACGGTTCAAGGCATATACTTTAGCCTGGGTGCAATTCATGTGGCTGCACTACACTGCAGATTTGTTGGCACCCAAGTTGAAAACCTATCTTTTCCAGAAAGCCTTTGTAGATGCCTATTTAACTGCACCAAGTCTTAACTCCATTTGTCAATGTTATTTTATTGTTTATTTGTTCTGGATCTGCTGTTGCTGTATTTTTATTTTAAGTCTGTGATTGTGCCCTGGTCTGACAGCATGCTCTGATGAAGGTCAGGTGAGAAATATAAATGAATACACCATTTTACAGAATCATCGTAAAAATGTTATATGGGGTGATAGTCAACTAAGTTTAACTCAGAGTAGACCTATTGAAATTGATGGGCCTGACTTAGTTGTGTTCATTAATTTCAATGGATCTGCTCTGAATAAAACTTGATTGAATTTCAGCCACGGAATAATGCGGAATGCATTGCAGCAGAACTGAATTCACACAGTTGCGATTCTATCTAGTTGCCTTGTCCCCAAAGACACCCCCGGTTGGCTCAACAGATTGCTGAATGCTAGGAGACAACTTGGTTGTTTCTTACTTCCTCCTCCCATTTCCCTTTTCATATTTCTTATTCTCATGTTGTTGTTGTTTCTCCCCCACTCCTTTTCAGATATTGATGAATGTAAACAAAATATTTGTCATGAAAGTGCCAAATGTGAAAACGTCGAGGGGAGCTTTCTGTGTACGTGCCCATCAGGGTACTTCCAGTATATGGATGTTGGACCTTTGGGTAAAAACATCACAAAATGCAAAGGTAAATTCTGGTGGAAGAGGCTAGGAAATGGGGGAGAGGGCAGGGGGCTGTGTTCTAAGGGGAGGGGGGAGGCTGACATTGTCAAAGGCCACGATGTGTAATAACATAGACCTAGAGTCTAGATAATGCAGGGTGGAGAGATGCATACATTTGCCTTCTGTTCTTACTTTAATGTAGCACTATTCCCAGTTTAAATCCGCATGGGAAGAATTGCAGAAAAGGTCCATTGATTACTTCAATACACTGAAAACACTTACCTTGCCTTCCTTGCCTCAGTCACTGGCTCCCTGCATGCAAAGACAATTTGATTCCAGATGTGTTAACAGTGATCATTTTCTGCTCAGACAACATCTAACTAGGCTACCCAGGTGCATTATTTCCTTACAACTTCCATCAACGGCTCATCTCCACAGGGGTGTCTAGTTTCCACTCCCCTGGAACTCTGCTTTGACAGATTCCCCTTCCAGCCTGAGTGATTGACTGACAACAATTAACCACCCTCGGCTCTCCACTTCTTCAGGCTCCTTCAGACCAGGTAGTGATGAGGAGCTTTGTTTCAGCAGCACTCCCGGGGCTTGTGGCTCCAGAACGGCCAATCCTTGCTGTGTAGGGCCTGTATGGCCAGGACAGCCAGGTGTATCCCAGGGGAAAGAGGCCTTTTGCCAGCACTCTTCCCACATCCCCAGGTGTGTGCAGCAGCACTAAGCCGGGAACTCAGCAAACCACAACGGGAGGCCACACGCCGCCCTTGAAGAGGGGAGCCTGGTGGGAAGGATGCAGAGTGGGAGGGGTAGAATGGGGAGCCAATCTGGACGGGGAGGAGCAGAAGGGGAGGGTAGGCCTCTGCAAGTGGTTAGGCCAGACATCTGATAAGGGCTGTCTGTCCTGTTCTCTGGCAGCCCAGTGTGTGAGGAGGAGGCCAGAAAGAAGAAGAGAAGGAAGGGGGTAGCAGAAACAGAGAGAAAGGGGTATGCCGGCATGTGGGCCCCAGCTAAAAGAAGGATCCCCATCTTTCCCTTCGTGTGCTGTCGCAGTTCCCAGCCCGTCCTTAAAAAGTTGGGGCTAACTCCTCCACCGCTGTGGCCAGCATTTGAAAGCATGGAAACAAGGTTCCATGGCTGTGAGTTCTTGTAGTCTGAATTCGTCCACATGTGCTGGAACCTGTAGGTCATTTCTAAACAACGGACAGCATTCGCCAGTGGATTTATTTTATCCTTTTCTTGCTCAAGGGTGGAGGATTCAGGAGAGACCAAGGGAAGTACTTCTTCACACGGCATCGTGGCTTTTGCTTCCGCAAGAGGCAGTCGTGGGTGGCTTTAAAAGAGCATCAATAATCATCATCATCATCATATTTTATTTATACCCCGCCCTTCCCGGTTCAAAAACTGGACTCAGGGCTGCTAACAACAAATTTAAAACACTTAATTGTAAAAGCAGCATAAAATACAGTATAAAAACATGAATAACAATAAAATTCAAAGTTCAGAAATCAATTTAGGGGAAATCCATCTAATAAGCATTAGATAATCACCAGGGCTAGCTGGCTGAATTAGTCCTGCTTGGGCCAGCGAGGAGGCCAGGGGAGAATAAAAGGGGAGGGGAAGGGAAGAGAAGGGAAATAAAAGATCAGGCTGAATTCAAATTAAAGGCCAGGTGGAATAGCTCTGCCTTACAGGCCCGACGGAAGGAGGTTAAATCCTGAAGGGCCCTAGTCTCATGGGCCAGAGCATTCCACCAGGTCGGAGCCATCACTGAAAAGGCCCTGGCCCTGGTGGAGGATAGTCTGACTTCTTTAGGGCCTGGGACCTCTAAACCAAGGTTATTCATGGACCTTAAGGTCCTCTGCAGGGCATTAGACAAATTCATGGAGGGGAGAGGGCTATGGGAGGCTCCTAGCTATGGCGGCTACGTTCTCCCTCCACAGTTGGAGGCAGTATGCCTCTGAATGCCAGTGGCTGGGAATCGCAGCCAGGCAGAGCACTGCTTTGCTCAGCTGCTGCTTTGGGGCTTCCCATAGGCATTGTGTGAGAACAGGGTATTGGACTAGATGGGCCATCCAGGAGGCTCTCCGTAGGTTCTTAATGTTCTCCCAATATGTTATTTTACTCTTTTCTAAGAAACAAAACCAAGCTGGCTGGGGAAAGACCCAGAGCTGGGGAGGGGAGGGGAGTAGAGGTGGGTGGGAAGGAGAATCTTTCACTTTGGAAAACAGAATGTTGCTTTCAATCACAGTGAATTATTTTCCCAATGTGCTCTAGTCACAGTGACTTGGGGGATAGCACCTCCTCCATGTCCCCATTTTTGCCCACAAAAAGGAGGGGAGAAAATTTACCCACCCCCCAAAAGTAAAGTCTGCCATTGCAGAAGAACCACCACATATATATATTTCCGAGATTTGACAGGCTTCATCCCCACAGAAGGAGCAGCTAAGCCTGCGATTTGCATCCAATTCTGGCAGAAAATAACAAAGTTAGGGACTTTTATTCTTTAATAAAAAAGCAACCTTTAAATGTTCCCTAAACAAAAAACCTTTGGATGGATCTACCTGAAATTTGGCAGGCTTAACCCACTGTTTAGGGGTTCATTTTCCTGCAAATTTCATCCATTTATGTGAAAAGGGAAAGAAATTATAGTTATTTTTCTATTCCCCATTATAGTCAACGGGGACAAAGCAGAGCTTTGGATTTAACAGATAAGTTTTGGACCTAAAAATTGAATTAAATTGGAATGACACAGAGCAGATTTGAAGTAGACCAATCTGCTTCCAAGCACTACAGAAAGAAGCTGAATCTTGTGGTCGCTGCATGACCCTAATACATATCCGTTGTTTGGTTCAGACATATTTAGCTACTGCCACTCAAACAGGAGCTGCTGTAGCCATTATGGGTTACTCAGTAGAAGGAACAATGTATTGTGCCCCTGGCTCTCAAAAACAGCAAGCAGAATGTGAAAGGCTTTTTGGAAAGGGGTGGAGAGCAATACCTTCTGATAATTTGTCCTTCTTTCCCCAGAATTCAGCTGCCTGGAGCCTTCAAGTGATAACTGTTCAGATGAACAGGTGAGTCCCTAACATTGGACCTTGGAAATCAAGACCAAATTAATTACATGCATAGGCTTTCTACTGACTTGGGTAATTGGCTGCTGTGTCGAGAACTGCATATATCTGGTTATTTGAAAAAAGAACCAAATCCATCAAAATTCTCTAAGGAAAGCTGCATTACATTGCATGTATAAATGATACAAATTGTGAAGATTTGGATATAGTGTTTAATTGGCATACTTTACATTAGCTATGGGAAGAGGCAAAAAGTTGTTCATGGCACCCTGTAACCATTGGAAACTTGGTTGCTGTCATACACTGATGGTGGAAATTCCCTTGAGGTACTTCCCACATACACTTAATCATGTTTGCACTGCCATCTTAAGGACTAGAAACTTTACCAAAAAAAAAAAAAACTTAGCTGAGATTCTCAGGAAGCTACATTTCTATAGAAAGTCCTGTTTGTCCATTGAGACAGGGCAGAGGGGGCTATTCGTGATTTTTAAAATAAGAGCTTGTGGAATTTAAACCCCAAGAATTTCCTACAAAGATAATTAGGTAAAGGTAAAGGGACCCCTGACCATTAGGTCCAGTCGTGACCGACTCTGGGGTTGCGGCGCTCATCTTGCTTTATTGGCCGAGGGAGCCAGCATACAGCGTACAGCTCGTAGAATCATAGAATCATAGAGTTGGAAGAGACCACAAGGGCCATCGAGTCCAACCCCCTGCCAAGCAGGAAAACCATCAGAGCACTCCTGACATATGGTTGTCAAGCCTCTGCTTAAAGACCTCCAAAGAAGGAGACTCCACCACACTCCTTGGCAGCAAATTCCACTGTCGAACAGCTCTTACTGTCAGGAAGTTCTTCCTAATGTTTAGGTGGAATCTTCTTTCTTGTAGTTTGGATCCATTGCTCCGTGTCCGCTTCTCTGGAGCAGCAGAAAACAACCTTTCTCCCTCCTCTATGTGACATCCTTTTATATATTTGAACATGGCTATCATATCACCCCTTAACCTCCTCTTCTCCAGGCTGAACATGCCCAGCTCCCTTAGCCGTTCCTCATAAGGCATCGTTTCCAGGCCTTTGACCATTTTGGTTGCCCTCCTCTGGACACGTTCCAGTTTGTCAGTGTCCTTCTTGAACTGTGGTGCCCAGAACTGGACACAGTACTCCAGGTGAGGTCTGACCAGAGCAGAATACAGTGGCACTATTACTTCCCTTGATCTAGATGCTATACTCCTATTGATGCAGCCCAGAATTGCATTGGCTTTTTTAGCTGCCGCGTCACACTGTTGGCTCATGTCAAGTTTGTGGTCAACCAAGACTCCGAGATCCTTTTCACATGTACTGCTCTCAAGCCAGGTGTCACCCATCTGGTATTTGTGCCTCTCATTTTTTTTGCCCAAGTGCAATACTTTACATTTCTCCCTGTTAAAATTCATCTTGTTTGTTTTGGCCCAGTTCTCTAATCTGTCAAGGTCGTTTTGAAGTGTGATCCTGTCCTCTGGGGTGTTAGCCACCCCTCCCAGTTTGGTGTCATCTGCAAATTTGATCAGGATGCCCTTGAGTCCAACATCCAAGTCGTTGATAAAGATGTTGAATAAGACCGGGCCCAAGACAGAACCCTGTGGCACCCCACTAGTCACTCTTCTCCAGGATGAAGAGGAACCATTGATGAGCACCCTTTGGGTTCGGTCAGTCAGCCAGTTACAAATCCACTGAGTGGTAGCATAGTCAAGACCGCATTTTACCAGCTTCTTTACAAGAATATCATGGGGCACCTTGTCAAATGCCTTGCTGAAATCAAGGTAGGCTACATCCACTGCGTTCCCTTCATCTACCAGGCTTGTAATTCTGTCAAAAACGAGATCAGGTTAGTCTGACATGACTTATTTTTCAGAAATCCATGCTGACTATTGGTGATCACAGCATTCCTTTCTAGGTGCTCACAGACTGTTTGCTTAATGATCTGCTCCAGAATCTTCCCTGGTATTGATGTCAGACTGACTGGGCGGTAATTATTTGGGTCCTCTCTTTCCCCCTTTTTGAAAATAGGGACAACATTTGCCCTCCTCCAGTCTGCCAGGACTTCGCCTGTTCTCCAGGAATTCTCAAAGATGACTGCCAGTGGTTCTGGCAGCTGCTGGGTGACCTTGGGCCAGTCACACTTCTCTGAAGTCTCTCAGCCCCACTCACCTCACAGAGTGTTTGTTGTGGGGGAGGAAGGGAAAGGAGAATGTTAGCCGCTTTGAGACTCCTTAAAGGGAGTGAAAGGCGGGATATCAAATCCAAACTCTTCTTCTTCTTCTTCTTCTTCTTCTTCTTCTTCTTCTTCTTCTTCTTCTTCTTCTGAGATCACATCTGCCAGTTCTTTTAATACTCTTGGATGCAGTTCATCTGGCCCTGGAGACTTGAATACATCTAAACTAGCCAAGTATTCTTGTACTATCTCCTTAGTTAATCTGGGCTGTGTTTCCTCTGCTGAATCATTTGCTCCAAATTCTTCAGGTTGGGCATTGTTTTCTTTATCGGAGAAGACTGAGGCAAAGAAGGCATTGAGGAGTTCAGCGCTTTCTGTGTCCCCTGTTTGCATTTCACCATCTTCTCCTCTGAGTGACCCCACTGTTTCTTTGTTCTTCCTTTTGCTACGAACATACCCATAAAAGCCTTTTTTGTTGCTTTTAACCTCTCTAGCAAGCCTGAGTTCATTCTGTGCTTTAGCTTTTCTGACTTTGTGTCTACACGTGCTGGCTATTTGTTTGAATTCCTCTTTGGTGGTTTCCCCCCTTTTCCATTTTTTGTACACATCCTTTTTAATCTTAACTCAGTTAAAAGTTCTTTAGATAGCCACCCTGGCTTCTTTAGGCACCTTCCATGTTTCCGTCTCATTGGTATTGCCTGACGTTGTGCTTTTAGTATCTCCCTCTTAACAAACTCCCAGCCATCATGAACTCCCTTTCCTTTTAGTATTACTGTCCATGGGATCTCACCCAGCACTTTCCTAAGTTTTTTGAAGTTGGCTTTCTTAAAGTCAAGAAATTGAGTCCTAGTATGCTTGGCTGCTCCTTTCCGCTGTATAGTAAACTTCAGAAGAGCATCATCACTCGCGCCTAATGATCCTTCCACTTCTACCCCACTAACCAGGTCATCAACATTGGTTAGGACCAGATCTAAAATGGCTGTTCCTCTTGTTGTTTCTCCCACTTTTTGGACAATGAGGTTGTCTGCAAGGCCAGTGAGGAATCTGTTTGACCTTATGCTCTTGGCTGAGTTTGACATCCAACAAATATCCGGATAATTGAAGTCCCCCATTACTACTATCTCCCTTCCTTTTGCATGCTTGGCCATCTGTTCCAGGAAGGCATCATCTATGTCCTCCGTTTGGCTTGGGGATCTATAGTAAACTCCCACAATGAGGTCACTGTTATTCTTCTCTCCCTTAATTTTGACCCAAATGCTCTCACTTTGGCTTTGAGGTTCTAAATCTTGGATCTCTTCACAGGTATACACATCCCTGACATTTAACGCCACTCCTCCTCCTTTCTTGTCTGGTCTGCTTCTCTGAAATAGATTGTATCCCTCCATTATTACATTCCAATCGTGGGACTTATCCCACCAGGTTTCAGTGATGCCTATTATGTCATATTTAGTTTGCTGTACCAAGAGCTCAAGCTCATCTTGTTTATTTCCCATGCTTTGCGCATTAGTGTACAGACATTGAAGTCCATTAATCATTCCCCGTGTCTCTTATTTAAGGATTTTTTCCTCCCACCACTAGGTCTGCGTGCTGTTTGCTCCATTTGGTCTATGACATTTGGATGATCATCTTCATCAATTGATAGACTCCTACCTTCAGGAGCACTGTCTCCCTCCCACACATTAGTCAGTTTAAAGCCCTCCTGATGAGGTTTCTGAGATTTTTGGCAAAAACATTCCTCCCAACCATTGTGAGGTGCAGCCCATCGCTTGCCAGAAGTCCATCTTCAAGAAACTGCAGTCCGTGATCTAAGAATCCAAACCGTTCCTGTTCACACCATTTGCGAAGCCAGCTGTTCACTTCCACTGTTTTTCCCTCTCGTCATGTGGTACAGCTGGTCATGTGGCCAGCATGACTAAGCCGCTTCTGGTGAACCAGAGCAGCGCACAGAAACGCATTTATCTTCCCACCGGAGCAGTACCTATTTATCTACTTGCACTTTGACATGCTTTTGAACTGCTAGGTTGGCAGGAGCAGGGACTGAGCAACGGGAGCTCACCCCATCATGGGGATTCGAACCGCCAACCTTCTGATCGGCAAGTCCTAGGCTCTGTGGTTTAACCCACAGCGCCAACCTTCATGCTAATGCCCATGAAACTACCAATCCATCCAAAGGCTTTACGTTTCAGCTGAGGGGTAACAATTAATCCATGAGTTATGTAGCCACAGAGTTAAAACATCTGTGATTTGCTTCCCTGAAAGCATCCTCATAAAGCCCCAGCTTAGTGAAAGTGGGAATGTTTAAACTACTTTAGAGGGAAATTTGAGCATTGCTGTTAAATGTCAACAAAATACTGGCTGTCACTTTGTGCCCACTTGTCCTAAATAGGTGTTGTGCGCATGTAGCTGTGTGCTGGATTATAGCCATTTGTCTTGAATCTCGCTCTCTGCATTTCCTAGGGCCTCTTTCCTCTTGCATTTGTGACGCAGCTGCTCAGTCCACAGCATTAGCCCTTTGCAGCTTCCCTCTCATTGCAAAGAGCTGTTGTGGGGGCCGTCTGTTCAGTCTGGGACTGAGGCCGGGGCAAAGGACTTAAAGTACGTCTCATGCCATGACCCTGATCTGGATCAGAGTCTCCTGGCGCCAGCTGTTTGTTATTTTAAAAATCAAGTGTACCAGCACTAAAGAGATGTGAATGCTGCTTCCTAGCTTCGCCCGTAGGCTTAAACAGGCACAGCAATTTAAAGTTTTGTGGGGATTGTTTTCCAGGCACTCCTCTGTGACTTCAAAGCAAAAAGGAAGCATCTCTGCGATTCATTGCTGGAAACGCAAGGGGCAACAGACGCAAAGAAGCAGCTGCAGGTATGTTTCAAGCTGGTTTCTCCTTTGCCTTCTCTAATACTTTACTCCAAAGGTCAAAGCTGCAGGGCTTAGCAGAATGTGCTGCTCTAAAAATAAGTGGAAACAGAGGCCAACATGTAGTGCTTTCTAGCCAACCATCACTTCCTGTCAGAAAAATGGTGCTTCATACATTTTCCATGAGGAGAGGATATGTTTTCCCACTGAAGCAGTAATTGCAACAAATGGGGAGTCTCTGCAGGGTGTACCCATATAGTACAAGTCTGCACAGTGCAGGAACACATGCAAATGTTGCACATGAAGCTGCCTTTAAGACCATTTTAGTAAGTGACTCTCAAATACACACACGCACACACACATACATATGTGTATCTATATATATATATGCGCATTTCCTGCCCCTGTAGAGCAAGTGAATGAGGGAAAGCATATTTTTTTTAATGACCTGGTTCTACTTTCCATTTCACACTAACAATATTTGCAAGTGAAACATCCCAGACCAAAAGGTTGTCTAAACAAAATGGTTGTGGTCTAGTTCTGGGTGCAGGACCTGTGAGCCCTGCAGACATTGCTTTTGACATCAGCTGCTACATCACAGACCACTGGCCATGTTGACTGGGACTGACGGGCATTGGGGTCCAACAACATCTGGAGGGCCAGAGACACTGGTGTTGGGAATGTTTAGCAATGGGTCAGATAGAATAATAATACCAAAATACAGCACTATCAGTGATTAAAGATTCTTCTTAAATCTTAAGCGCAAAATTTCATTCAGTTTTCCCCCATGCACATGTGCAGCTGTGCTTTTCTTCTCACACACGCTGGTTGTGACCTTCTCTTCACCGGCTGTTCTACCTAATATCCTCTCCTCTCCAGCAGCAGTTTTTCCATTTATTTTACTTTATTTATTGTTGAACTATACACAGCCTTTTAGGACTCATGAGCCTTTTAGGACATGAGTGGTGTACAGAATTTTGGGGCACCTCCAATGTTAGTCCTACTCAGAGCATACCAGTTGAAATGATTGGATATGACTGACTGAGGTCCATTCATTTCAAAGGATCTTCTCTTGAGTATAATTTAGCTGGAAACAACCCTTCATAAATCATCGTCATCATCCAGTTAAAGCCATATTGTTCTGACTTAATCCTAAATAATAGCAGCTAAACACCACCAGCAGCAGCCATTAAAGAAGTATACTGAAACAAAAACATTTTAAGTTTACATTCCCTACCACCGCACTGTGTACATGTTTATGGAGCCCTCCATCCTCCCTGTACTCATGCAAATGTTTGCACAATATTGGCAAGACCAGTTCAGTTTACAGGGCTGAATTAGATCAATCCCATCTGCGCCAATTTTTGTTTATTTACGAGCATTAAAAAAAAAATGGAGAGGAGGTTGGACAAGCTTCAACTAGTAGTCGGTAGACAAAACTTCTATTCGCACATCAAAATTTGGTGCATTTCCATTGGTAGCTAAGAGGTTAACAATAAGCCACCATTGGAACAATTAACTACCAGAAAGCTATTGCTGTTCACAACATGAGCCAAAATAAACATTACTACTTTAGTCAATTGTATTTCTTCTGAAATGCAAAATATCAAGTGAGATAACACTCAGACCATATGCTGGAGGTGTAAATGACTATCAGACTTTGAAAAGCTGGTATTAGTGGATCAAGTTCATTAATTTTGAATTTAATTAATTTTGAATTAATTAAACAAAATAATTCAAATTTAATTTTGAATAAATGTGCAAATAATTGTTCCTGTATTGAACTGCCATAATGGTGGCAGCTTTTTCCCTTGAGAGCTGATGACATCCTATCTTCCTTCTCAAGAGTCTGCTGGCACTGCTGGATGACCTCGTGGCTCTGATGCCAAGTGGGAACAAGGAGCAAGGGCACCGTTTCGTCACTGAGATGATGGAAACTGTGGAGGTCCTGCTCAGAGTTCTAGCATTCGCTTTACCCAAAAACACTGTGAGCACCGGGAGCAGCAATGGAACAGGTTGGTGTGCAGAGTGTTTGCAGGTGACCTGAGGGTTCCCTCGGTGACAGAGGTTGGGATTTTCCTGTCCGTCGCCCCCATTGCAGGTGTATCTACCCTATCTCCCAGGCGTAGCCTTCCAGATGTTGTTGGGACTCCAACTCCCATCAGCCCCAGCATGCATGACCCAATGACCAGGAATGATGGCTATTGGAGTCCCTAAGGCACCTGAAGGGCACCATGTGGGCTCCCTTGGCTGTGCACCCTGTGACCCTTTCAGGGTGGGTGAAATATACTCAGAGTCGCAAAGTGATTTCATGCTCTTTATTCAGCTCATAGTGGTAAGGAGGAATGAATGAAAGTCCCCTCAAAGTATCTGCTTTATATACATTATTTACACAATGGGCTGCACATGGTTGGCTAATTCTGGAATTCTACTGTAAGCCAATCAGGTTGTGGATTCACTTATATCTGGAGCATGATTGGGTGGTTCCTGCCAACCAATCATACTGCTGCATTGTTCTAGGACCAGCTTTTGAGGAAAGTGACACATGTTCCTGGGGTGTTATCTTTTCTGCTGGCTGTCAAACTTGGCCTGGGTTTTTTTTCATTCACTCCAGAGTTGACCATGGACATCAGGACAGCTGGGAACCAAAGCCAGAGCCCAGCATGGCTGCTGCAGGATTCTATCCAAATGAAGCTAAACTGGGAAGCAGCAAGCAAAGAAGGTGAAGGTAAGGGAACCCCATGTACACCACAAAGGGGCTGGAGTGCAGATGCAGCTGTGGCCCTCAGCAAGAGGCCTTCAGCTGACAGGAAAAGCTGGGAAGAGGCAATGGAGAAGAGTTAGCTTCCCTGAGGATGCAACTTCAATGGCCAGGCTTTGTATTTTGTGGTGGGGTAGGGCGATAGAGATGGGGAATCCACATTTCAAGGCACAGCTAATTTATGTGTGTTCACCATCTGCAGGTGATGTCCACATGCAAACAAGCCTGTGTATGCCTGTGGAGCTCCATAACTAGATCAGAACTATGCCATTTCATTTTATTGTTACTATTTTGAATGGTACTGTTTTGTACAGTGGTACCTCGGGTTACATACGCTTCAGGTTACAGACTCCACTAACCCAGAAATAGTGCTTCAGGTTAAAAACTTTGCTTCAGGATGAGATCAGAAATCGTGCTCCGGCGGCGCGGCAGCAGCAGGAGGCCCCATTAGCTAAAGTGGTGCTTCAGGTTAAGAACAGTTTCAGGTTAAGTACGGACCTCCGGAACGAATTAAGTACTTAACCCGAGGTACCACTGTATATTGAATTTAATCTTGTAAACTAACTTGAGGGCTGCTTGGGATGATGGAATGCAGCGCTTAGAAATCCCTATGCCAGAGAGTAAACCTGAGGCGCCTGAATCTTGTTTTACAAAGAATGCAGAGTTTCCCCAGTGCCAGGGATGGGGAGCCTGTGGCTCTCTCGAAGTTGTTTCAGCCCCCCACCAGTGCTAGTTAACATGGCCTGTGGTCAGGGATGATGGGACTTGTAGTCCAACAGCAATTGGAGAACCACAGGTTCTCCACAAATAGCTCTATTGCTGTCAAGGTGTGGGATGCAGGTGGTGAATGCTTGAGAGCAGCTCCCTCGATAGCCAGTCTAAGTATGTGTTGGGAGAAGCAGAAGTGCTTGGGGCATTTCAACTTATGAGACAAAAAGGAAAAAGACAACTGAGTGGAAAGGCCTGTTAAAAAGCTTTATTTTAAGAAAAACAAATGGTATGGAGAGATTTGCCCCCGCCCTTCCTCTCTCATAATAAGGGTTACCAATAGGATTGGCAGAATATTTAGGGTGGGCAAAAGGAAGTATTCTTCTTCACATAGCATATACATAATTTCAGGAACTTCCTACATAGTGGGTCCACCTTTGATAGCAAAATGCAGCTTCCATGTTCAGAAGCTCTGAATGCGTACCACATCCCAAACAAGAGTAGACTCTTAGCGTCCCAGAGGCATGGGCTTCTGAGGAGCCATCTTTTTGCAGCAGTGGCCAGGCAGATGCTCTGAGGATCCCATAAACAGAGGAAGAAGGAATTAATCCTCTTCTCTTCTCTTGCTCATACACACCATCTACAATTCCAAATGCTGGACTAGATGCACCTTCAGCCTGCATAGGAAACTGTTTTACACTGTTCAGGGCCATTGGTCCTTCCAGCTCAGTCCTGTCTGCACCCAAAGTGGGGAGTCGGGGCTTTTCTGTCTAGCCTTTGAAACTTTCCCACACTGGACCTGTTTTGTACCCTGATTGCTTTTGCCTGGCCGGAATGTGTCCTTGAACTCTTGATAATGCCTTGGCTGGCTGGAGGGTGTGTGTGTGTGTATAGAAACTAGCCTACTATACAAAGGTGAAATTTGCATTCATTGCTCCACACACTTTTGCCTCTTGCCTCACCAAGTAGTCACACCAGTGAGTACTTAATTCTCCCTTAGGTTATCTAGGCAGAAATGTAGCCCTCAGGCTGTAAAAGGCTCTCCATCCCTGGTTGACAACTAACTGGCAGTGGCTTTCCAGAGTTTTGTACCTGGAGATGTCAAGGATTGAATCTGAGACCTCCTGCATGCGTAATAGGTTCTCTTCAACTGAGTTACAGCAACCCTTCCTTAGCCACAGCTTGATCCAAGGAGGTTTGTACATTTTTAAAGGGAAGCAGGGGGAGCTTTCCCTGTGTTGATATTTCTTAGGCCTAGTCCACACATGCAGCACAATAGGGTGAAAGAACAGACCATACCACAAGTTTGTGGGTGGGGATGTCTCCCCACCTCCCATAATGTAAAATATGTAAAATATTCCCTGTAAAAAAACATTTTTTAAGCATATGGAGCAAGTGGGAGGCTGCACCCCAACCCAATTCCTGCTGTTCTAGTTGCAGTGTTTTTTCCTCTATCTTCATAGAGAGCAACTCAAAATTCTGATATCCTTCTAGCTGCTAAATAAAACAGTAGAATCTTTTCTCCCCTTTCAGGATTCTTGTCACCTCATTCTGCTGCGCATAAAGACCGGCCTTTAGTTTTCATCATACCAGCACCTGTTTAGTTTTTCAGTTCCGACTAACACTTTTCTCTTTTCAGCTTTGGGCCTGGCCGGCCTTCTCTCCTACCACAGGCTGGGGCCCATCCTGGCTGATGCGCACGTTGAAGGGAAAGAATGGGAGCGAGTGGGGAAGTCCCCACAATGTGCACAGGTGCCAGGCAAGCCCAACTATGAGGTCCTGTCCACGGTGGCCTCTGCTTTTGTGGGCCACAACGAAACCACAGCCTTGAGGGCCCCTGTCTTTTTCAACTTCAGTCACCGGACAGCAGTGAGTACATAATTCCCTCTTTGCCCTCCCTAGCACCAGCCATCGCCAATACGGGCCATTTTTCTGTTCCAACCTTGCCCTTTTACACGAGGAAGCAGACGTGCCAGAAAAGAAGGGCCTTCTCAGTCCTCTTCTGTCCATCTCCCATGAGCAGATGTTGACATCTCATTGATCCATATTATCAGCATTAAGTTCAGACTGTTTATGCTTCCTCCCATTCTGTGTACATGTACAGATCTGTAGTATCAAGTTACCGAGAATACTACTCCGCTGCTCCTAACCTCCAGGTACCTCAAGATGCTTCCCTCCCACTTTTCTTCTTAGGAATCAAAGCCTGACCTGCAGGTGATTTGTGCCTTCTGGAAGCCTGTCAATGGCAGTGGGCACTGGTCTCAAGAAGGCTGCAAACTCCTGGACACCAGCACTGACACCAGCACACACTGCCAGTGCGACCACCTCACCAGCTTTGCTGTCCTCATGGCCTTCTATGATGTGGAGGTGAGTCCAAAAGCCCTTTCATTTTCCTGGCCACTGACACATTATCTTCCCATGTACTGCAGTTAGGAGGAGACATTAGAGTGGGTTGTATCCAACACTGCATGAGTGGACTTCACTTTCTCCCCCTGTATGCACTCAAAATATTTCCCGGAGTCCCCCAAACCTCTGGGGCAGAGTTTTGAGGATTACAGTGGGGAGAAGAGGAACGGGAAGTCCTGTTGCGTAAGCAGAAGCCTGTTTCGCTCCTGCAACAGCAGTGTTGGATGCAAGCAGTGATTCAGAGACTTGACATAAGCTTGAGAGAGGTGGAGTGACAGAGACATTACAAGAAGTGTCAAAGTGAACATGATTGATTCACTATTTGTGTTCCCAGAGGAAAAAACCTATAAAGGGAAAACTTGCACACCTTTTCCTGTGCTGGACTGCGTGCATCCCACACATACTGAGTGACCACAGCCGTATCACAGGGGAGATGTAGATCTTCCATTTTTGTATGTTATACCACAAATGTGTGGGAAGCAGAGAGTTGTCCTTGCTGTTTGAGGGCTGCATCTGAAGTCGCCCTGAAGGAGCTGACTTTGCAGGGATATGAGTGTTTCTTCTCTTGATGTCACACCAGCAGCGCAGATAATGGATGCGCATCAGATGGCTTTTTAGCAGACACAGAGTCAGCTGCTTGGCTCACACAAGCACCTGCTGGGGTCCGTGGGGTGAAGCGCCGGCTGGAGGCATGGCCTGCTCTCTTTCTTAGTGTTGTGCACATGTTCAAACCTGCACACAAGGCAGAAACCAACAACGAGAAATGGGGGGGGGGGCACACTGTGAGAGTAGTGGCATTTTTTTAACGGTAGGAAGCAGAGGACACTTGCCACAGCAAGCAACAGCTTCTGGAGCAATTGCCTTGCTTGCTGCTTGCCTGCCCTTCCATTTCCCAGCCCAGAGATGGGATGCCTCTGGCCCTCCAGATGTTGCTGAACTCCCATCAGCCTCAGGCAGCACGACTAGTCATCAAGGGGGAGATATTTGAGGCACCACAGGCTCCCTACCTGTGCTGTAGGCTACTTACGTGGGGCCTAAACCTCCACTGTGAAGGACGGGTGAGTTCAAGATCAGCCTGGCAACAGCAGGAGGAAGCAGAGAGATGCTAGCTGGGTACAGAGAGTAAGGACTGGGGGACAACCCAGAGGAGACATTCATGCTCCTGGCTTTGGCTCAGCTCACTTGACTGACTCACTTGGGAGCATGAAGCTAAGGAGACAAGAGGAAAGGAGGGAGTGTATGCGGTGACTAGAGGGGAAAGAAGAGAGGCTGCAGGTACTCTGAAGCCCAAGGACTCACAACTGTTTGAGGCTAGATCAGAACCAAGACTAGGAGTTATGGTCCCTGGTGTTTTGTGGAGAAGACGTAGGAGTCAAAGCAGGTTGTCCAAAGAGCAAGGAGAGCTTCAGCCTAGATAACAGGACTTCTGACCCTTCTTCCCATTAAAGTTTCCAGTGGCTTCAAAACATTGCCTCCTAGAGACTAGGAACTGAGACTGCAATTCAGCTTATTATTATCAGTGTCCTTGGTGGGGAGGTCCTTTTTGGGTAATCAGCCAGTTATGCCAAATTTCCCCTAAGACTTGGCTTGTATTGCATGGGCTAAGTCTTTTGTCATTGTGGCAGGACTGGGGCCTGGATATCATCACCAAGATTGGGCTGGTTGTGTCTCTGATCTGCCTGTTCCTGTCCATCCTCACCTTCCTGTTCTGCCGTGCCATCCGAGGCATCCGCACCACCATCCACCTCCACCTTTGCCTGGCCCTCTTCGTTGGCTACGTCATATTCCTCATGGGTGCCGGGAACACTGGCAACCAGGTAACTGGCCAGGATTGGCCTGCTAGCATGCACACAGAGAGCTATTTGACCAGCGCTATTCCAAGGGAAACAATTGGGGGGTGGGGGTAGCCCAGGGCCCTTTGATAGCACCCCTGTTGACAGGAGCTCCTGGCTTCTTACTCAGGCTAGTGAGCATCCCTTGACTACAGCCCTTGCTGACAGCATTACAAAGACCCTGTGCTTGGGAGCAGGAAGCTAAGGAGACTAAGGAACTGATGGCTACAGCAGGCTGTAGGATGTGGCAATGATGCGGTGGGAACAGGAAGCACCTTGCAATTCCTGTTTTGTCATTTTTTCCATTTTTGCATCTCCCTCTGTGTGTGGGGGGGGTCTCCCGATGTGGGACAGCTTTATAGGATATGGACACCATGCTGAAGGAGGAGCAAATGTTTTTGCAGAAGGTGAAGAGGTGGAGGGACAAAAGTGCAAGGCACTTGGCTCAACCTGTTCCCCTTGCATCATCATTATGTCCAAAGCTGATGATAGAAATGAGCTGCTTTGTGAAACGTCTATCTAAACGGCAGGGGCATTTGCCAGAAAGGCAGTTTGTGTTACAATGTCAAACTGCAGCTGCCATATCACTTAGAGGCAAGGGAAGGGTTGCTTGATACCGTGGCATGGTAGCAGATCTCCAGTATGGACCATTTCAGTTTGCAAAGTACCAATTCAAGTTCTTCCCCAAACAAGTAGGCAGCTGGATTTTCCTCCCTTTGGATTTGGGGACCTTATGCATTTCCCCCCCAACAAGTAGCCCCTTTCACAACCTCCCCCTGGCTCTGTCTCCCCTCCCAGACAACTTGTGCTGTAGTGGCTGGGCTGCTGCATTTCTTCTTCCTCTCGGTCTTCTGCTGGATGCTACTGGAAGGCATGGAGCTCTACCTGATGGTCGTCAAGGTCTTCAATACTCACAGCCTCCGGCACTGGCACATCTTCCTTGTAGGATATGGAATCCCAGCCATCGTGGTGGGCATCTCGGCTGCTGTCAATAGCGAGGGCTATGGCAACCTAAGAAAGTAAGTCCTGGGGTTTTGGTGTGCACCCATGTGAACTAGGGAGTAATTGTCCAGTAGAATTCAAGATACCAGATCCAGTGGGGACAGCTAGGTAGCATGTTAGTAGTGTGTAATAAAAATGTTTGATTTTATACTGAGGTAAGAGGGCTCAGCATGGACAAGCAAAGCACAGCTGCTGTTCTGGAGCACCAAGCCTCTGTATGTGCATCTGAAATACCAGGTTCTCAGCTTTGGAGTACTCGTTGATCCAGCTTGAGGCACAGGTGGCATGGAAGGCCTTTCTAGCAGCGTATACTACTTTGTCAACAGCAACCCCTGCAGGGCAGGGAGTGTTTTTGCACTAGGTATTCCAGAGTCTGGTGCAATTTCATTTAAAGTACTCTACTGGGGCCGCCCTTGAAAATGGTTGGAAAAAGGTAAGTAGCTCAAAATGTAGCAGCCAACATTTTGATTAGGGACAAGGTATGAGATCACACCTTGCCAGATTTGAGAAATGTATGTACATTGCTTATTGGTTTACTTCCAAGCTCAACTCAAGATGCTGGTTTTGATATTTAAAGCCCTTCATAGTTTGGGACCTGTGAACCTTAAGGACAACCTTCTCCCACATCAAACTGACTGTGTTAAAAATTCCATGAAGGACGTTCTCAGTGTACATTAGCAATAGGTGGCAACAAAGGAGAGGAGCTTCTCATCTGTAGCACTCCAGAAATACGGGGCAGCAACCATATTTCGATCATTTTATGCATTTTAATTGCTTGTGTTTTAAAAAGTACCGGGAAGTTATATTTCCTACAGCTGTATTTTAAAATACATTGTAAATTGCCATGGGATAAATAATTGTGAAGGGTAGTATACAAATAGCTGAAACAAATAAATGTTTAGGAGTGAGATCACATGTGAAGGAAAGTCCTTTTCTAAGGGGACAGGGGAAACAGATTCATAATACGCAGAAGGTAAGACAGTTTGATCCCAAACGATTCACCCTCTGCCTTTCCCCCACAGCTGCTGGCTTAAAATGGATAAAGGGTTCCTTTGGAGCTTCCTGGGCCCCGTTGCCCTCATCATCATGGTAAGCTTAATGCATCCCAGGAATAGCCATTTAGTCTTTTTTTCTTGATGACAATCTTTACCCTTTCCTTGCATGTATTAGCACACTTCTATCCAATCCAATGCTTACAAAGGCATCAGTGAGTGGTGGTTGGTTTTTTTATTCAACTTTGGATGCAATTCTCCACCTACTGCTTTGAATCCATTTCTCATCAGTTTCTCAGCTGTCTGCAGTTCACTCTTTCCCCACACTGCCAACCAGAACTGCCTTGATTCTCAGCTACATCCACTTTCCAAAGGCATGGCTTCCAGAGATTGGGGGTGGGGAAAGAGAGGTGATTTTATGTATATCAGGGAACATTTTTTTCCGGCCAAGCTGTGTTTTGTGACAAATAGTACCCACCAAAGTAACTAAACCCCATTTTAATCATCCAGGCAACCCAACCATTTGATCCATGAGTTTTGGCTTACACAGATATGTAGGGGTAAATTGTGTACATTGTGTGTAAGAAAACTGGCAGGTGGAAAAACTCGTGTGTGTGCAGCAGATGCAGCCCAAAGACCAGCTCTTATCTCTGCATCTTGTTAACTTCCATCTCCCATCTTTTCCGCACAGCTGAATGCCGTTGTCTTTGTGGTTACCGTCTGGAAGCTCTCTCAGAAGTTTGCCGATATCAATCCCGATATGAGTAAACTGAAAAAGCAGAGGTAAGCAGCCACAGAGTCCCCCTGGAGTCTAAGACGTCAGGCAATAACTAGCAAAAGACAATAACAGCCCTTCCATGTAGCAGTAGGATTATGCTAAACAGTTTACTGGGCTGATTGGGGGAAAGTGATGTTATATTTTTCAAAACTACACTAATTCTACCTTGGCTGTGAACAAGTGAAACACATGCTTTTATTCTAGGAGTGTCTCAAGTTGCAGGCCCACTCTAGCTCCTCTGCCGAGGCTAATCCTGACTGTATCCTCCACAAGCCAGCACATAAATTGTGTTCCTTTTCTTCTCATCCCTGCAGGGTACTCACAATCACAGCCATTGCCCAGCTCTGTATTCTGGGTACTACCTGGGTCTTTGGCCTGTTTCAATTCAGCAATCAAACCCTCGTCATGTCTTATATCTTCACTATCCTCAACAGCCTGCAAGGACTTTTTATCTTCCTCCTGCATTGTCTGCTCAAGAAACAGGTACCTGCAGTAGGAGAAAGGCAAATGGGTGGGAAGCCATCTCCAGTACTGCAGTGCTATACACAGTTACCTGAGAGTAAGCCCCATTAAACACAGGAGGACTTACTTATGGAAAAATGCACATAGGATTGGAACTGCAAATTTGACAAAGGGGTGGTTTGGGCAGGTTGGGGCTGGGACATGAAACCCAAAAGGCAAATTGCTTATGTTTGTCTGGCTGTAGAAGGGGTACCATACAAACATTGAACACCATGAAGACAATTAACAACATGAGCCTGTCAGCTGCAATTTTACTTTTGTGCCTAGGTGCGTGATGATTACTACCGCTGGTTCTGCAAGGACAAACATGGCAAGCCCCACAGCAGTGACAAGTATTCCAACTTCAGCTCCACAGTGGGTTCCAACACATTACAGGTAAGCGAACACAGCAGGTGCTGTGGCATAACCCCCCCCCTCCACAGATCATCACTCTTCCCATCAAGCTTGCAGTTGCCCTGCAACAACAACATGGCTCTCAGCCTGGCACTTGCAAATCTTCTAAAAACTACCTCCCATTTCCCCCACTGTTCTTCATTAATACTGCAGCTTTCCTGAAACAGCAATAGTTTTCTTTTGGACCTTACAGCTAAGCTCCACTTAGGGGGAGACAACCAATTCCCTTAGAATCATAGAAGTGAAGAGTTGGAAGGAACCCTGGGGGTCATCTATTCCAACTCCCTGCAATACAGAAATCATAAATGACAGCTTAAAAACCTCCCAGGAAGGAAAGTCCACCACCTTTCATGGGAGTCTGTTCCACTGCAAGGAAGGATTTATGAGCAAACAAGCAGAAACAGTTGGTTGCATGTTATAAAGCAGCGCTTTCCAAACCGTATGTCGCAACACACTAGTGTGTTGGTTGCAGTATGTAGGTGTGTCATGCAAACACTCCCCATGCTTCTCCCGGGGCTGCAAAGGGGTTCGTTTAACTTCATTTTTCTAGTAAAACTGAATTGCTGTGTAAAAATGATGCGTGTGTAAAAAGTTTGTCACCAACATGAAAAGTTTGGCAAGCTCTGTTATAAACGATTAATGAAACAGAAGATGGGAAGATACATGGGCTATGATGCTGACAGTGATAAAGTGCTATTAAGACTCCTACCATTGCATCCTTTCTCTCTTACAGGCACCCAGTACTTTGAAAGAATCTGGAATTTAGCAACCAAACTTTGCAGAAGCAAGTTTCAAGAGTGCTGTTTGGAACATGAGAAACACATCTTGTTGTTCCAGCAATCTTTCTTCTAGAAGAGTCACCCACTAAGATGCAGCAAGGACAATTGAACTGCCAGAAGGCTATATAGGGACCCACTGAGCAAACTCAATAACTGGACCAATGCTATTAAGCTGATGTTGGCACAGCCTCTTCTGATTGGGCTCCTCCGTCCTCTACACCAAGACTCGCCTCTCTCAAGAAGAGATGGAGCAAGTTAAAACGGTACTTTGCACACGTGACACTTTTAAAGAGGTCCTTGCAACAGACATTGGCTAACTCTAGTTCTAGAAAGTACACAGGCTGTATACCTTGCTGTTCAATCATCATTCACCAGCTGTAGGTGTTCATCAAAAATCTGGTGAACTTTGCACATTCGGTCCAAAAAACCCATTGAAACAATATGATAGAGTAAATACATCCTTTCCGTCCACTCCTTGTTCTCTATGGAATGATCCGGACAGCCCTGATCACTGTGGTATTTTCCAGGTCGCTTGTTGCTGGCTAGTTTGATAGCAGTCCTTCCTATCAGTAGCTTGTCTTTTTCCACATACTCTAAGCAGCAGCCTAAAATAATGACTGCAACACAAACTGGTCCAACAACCATAGATAAAAGAAGAGCCTCAACTAGGAAGGACAAGGCTGTTACTCGCTTCTCTTGCCATCACTTAACCTACGAAGACTTAAGAAGAGCCTGCTGGAACAGGCCAGTGGCCCATCTAGCCCAACCAGATGCCTGTAATAAGCACTGAGAGCACAACAGTATTCAGAGGCAAGCTAGACCCATTTGTGCAAGGAATAGCAAAAACTGAAGCCTAGTATCACTGAGATGATACAGGTCAGCACATACTTCTTCAGGCTGCAGGTGACAGCTCACATGACTGAAGATTTCCCCCATATAGAGAGCACCAACATAACATGAAAAGAGGAGGATGTGAGGGCAATGCCTAAAATCTGCCTCCTCCCAAAGGCATCTAGTTTTCTACATCCAATAATTTATTTATTTATAATAGGATAAATGTTCAAGCAGTCTCCAGCTATAGCTTAGACACATTTTTCTACAGGATTCAGATGCACAGAGTCAATTTAGGCAAGGAACAATAGTCAAAGTTGTGTTTGGGTTGCCCAGAGTCTACTTTTCTCAGAATTCAGATTCAACAGAAGAAAGTATCTACATCTCATGGTTACAAAAAATGCAATAATGCTTCATCAGTTGATGATTTAGGCACATGAGCTCATTGCTTTCCTCGTCGCCACTTTCAGGGAAGCACATGTGCTCTTAAACTCAACACCTCACTTTTGTGTTTGGTACACTGGAATCCATACTAGAGTTGGAAAACGTCAAATGACTCTTCAGGTTGCCATCATCAACAACAGAAAACTGAAGCGTACACAAGTAGAATCATGACAGGAACCCCACTGCTATAAAGGTCCTCATACGCTATTTCCTTCTAGCTCCATATTCCTCAGCTTAACAAGGAGATGCACATTTCTATGCCCCCCCCCCCGCACTGCTATCCCCCAGGATTTCTGCGCAACGGCAACAAAAAACAAGGGCACAGCAAGCAGTGTAATCTCAATCAGAAAACCCACCAGTCAAGTAGCAGAGAGGCTCTTGTACAAAGACTAAATGATAGCAGCACATATAAAGCAGCAGGAAGGAGAGAAAGCAGACAGTTTTCTGGAAGCCGTTACTGAAGTTAACGGAGACCCATATTGGCAGTTCACATCAAACACTGGAGCTTTACAGAGCTTCCTGTTTAGACTAATTTATTTAGGACTGTTTCCAATTTTGCCAGATTCCTACTGTTCTTGCCAAAGAGATTGGCTATGTATACTGCAATTCCAGATGCTCTTTACTCCTAACGTGTGTGGATAGCCAACGCACATTAGCGTTAACAAATCTTTATTTTATTTAGTTTTAAATCCTAGTTGAGAAAGAAAAGGTGTTGCACAGCAAGCTTTGCATGCACCTGAACACCAGGTTTTGCAGTATTCAAATCAGTGCAATGGATTCAAAATGTAGCGACGTTTCTAATGCTGTGTAACTGTTTCAGAACTTACTCTACTATGAAATATATTCACTCTAAGGATGTCCTTAGGTAAACTTACATGCGGTTTATCCAAGCGTCTTTGCACAAATAAGCTTATGCTCCTCTAACTACCCACCCCGTTATTTGAAGCAACTGTCTCTCAACCACTATTTTTTCCTAACATGTACATTTAATTAAAATATATTTTGGAATTCTGAGTTATACCATCTTTCTAAGCAAGTAACTTTTGGGGAGGTGGGGAGGGAGAAGAGTAATGTGCAATGCGAAGGAAATGGGTAACTACTTTAACACACCAGTTCAAACACTTCATAGGAAAGCAAGAGGAGATAAAAAGCCAGGACAGCTGACACTATCTGATTATATAGAAGAACAAATATCTCATACAAGGGTATGTAGAGCAAGGACATACATATCAATAGTGCCTGTCTTACCTTTCTGTTCTGTGAAACGGTTTGCAATGGAGACATGTCAAACAAGCACACTGCTCAAAGCCAGGACAAAGGTGAAAAGTGGTAGGTCTTGGTAAAGGAAGATGTAGGACATAGGAGACTAGCAGGCAGCAGAAGAGTATCTACGGCAAGTTTAAGAAAATGCACAATCCTGATACACAGAAAGTGGGAGACGTAGCAAGGATGGAAGGCACCAAGAATGTAAATACCCACAACCTGGCTCACTGTGCCTCAAGAACAGCCAGAAAATGACATTTGAAAAATTCATTTATTACGAAACTTAGCCGCAGGGGTTTACTATTCAAAAAATATAAAAGTCTAATTAAAAAAAAGCCCCCAGGCTACAGCAGAGGCAAAATACCACCTGGGCAATTTGTAGGACATTCATTTAACATCAAACACCTCTATACGTTTAACAGTGTGTTTAAAAAAAAAAAAACATTCATCTCACTTCACCAAAAGATAGAGGTATTGTGTTCCATCAGGTTCCATTCTGGACCAGGTGGGAAGGATCCACAAACAGCTACCGACTCTGTTCAACTGCAGGAGACAAAACAGTCAGTCAATACTCCTCCCTAGCAAAACCAGGGCAAAAAACTTACAAGCTACCCCTGCTATGGAGAGGCATTTTGCTATACCCATTACCAGTTCTACAAAGGTGGAGTAGGTAACTCCACCACAACCAAACATGTCCCTCCCCAGTCCCCTGCATTTCAATGGGGCTTGAAAAAGCCTACTGGCTCCCAAAGGCAGCTTTTTTCAATCCATAAACTTGCACGGAACAATGAGAGGATCTTGTGGGGCAAATGGGGATGCCCCACAACTGCATCCGGCCCACATGCTCCCCAATCCTGTACTAGGGTTAAAGTTATTCAGGTAGCCTAATGGTAATTCAGAGTTGTCATCCCAAACACTTCAGCAGGCACTGCTCCCAGCATAGTGCCCTGCTTCCAAGAACCATTGCTGCAACATGTACCACGTACTTCACATTCCACCTCCTCACCCCAGCAGCCTCTCATTGGCACCGTAACAGTTACCTCTGTCCTAACAGCTGCAACACATCTGCCAGAGCAGGGGTTTTTTCCTATCATGTGCCACTGACTCATGGGGCAAGGAGGAAAGATAGAGAATCAGTTGGGGGGCAACTGAACCACAACTTCAAAGGTCTTGCCCCTACCTATCTGTTCCCTTTCAAACATTTGGGGGAGGAGAGACACAGAAATCTGGTGCTTATTAGAAGCCTCCCACTTTGAAGGTAACAAATGATCAGATGAAACTAAGCAGCAAGCCAGAGTCAGTCTAGAAGTGTCCCCAAATCCATGCCCTACAACACAAACAGGGCACAAAAATGGGAACAACTTCCACAAGTGCAATAGAACGTCTCTCCTCCCCACACTCCTGATATCCTGATATGCTCTGGAGTTTCCCACAACCCTCTGGAGCCAATTTGTGGGTGGTGGGGGCAGAGAAGTGAAATTCCATTGCACTTTAAGACCCAGCAACATATACTATCGGTACAGACGAGGATCCACTCGATGGACCCCTTTGTCTTCCTTCAGGTTCCCAGAAATAGTGTACAATGGCTACCCTGATTCTCCCCCACACTTGGGCAGGGTAGACAAAGAACATGCCATCAGGAAGAAAAGCCTGTCCAAGTTAATTTCTAGTACATACTATATGTGGAGATGTCTATCTCTTCAGGGAGCTCAGCGACGTTGACCTCAAAACGATCCTGCACTTCATTGAGGATTTTGGCATCACCTTCATCTGACACAAAAGTAATAGCCAAGCCTTTTGTGCCAAAGCGCCCAGCGCGGGCCACCTGCAAAGAGAGGTTTATATCAAGGACACACAGAAAAAACATCCTTATAATCTCTGAATTCATCACCCCAGAGGTACTATCTCTGCCCTGCACCCTGTGACAGGCTCAGAAAGCAGGCTGATGCTCTTTTCCTCCACCCTGGAAACTATGTAGCCTGATTGCAGAAACATTTGCAACTAAACTACCAAAGTTAAATTATCAGAAAGGATGTGACTAGGAACTAGCCAGGACCTGCAACGGTTAGCAGCTCCCTGCCACAAGCATGAATGGCAAGGTATTAGAACAAATACCTTCCAGAGAAACAAGTCTGACTCTGCAGTTCATTCCCCATCCTATAACTAGACTCACTCTGTGCAGGTAGGTATCCGAGTCCTCAGGCATGTCATAGTTGAAGACTATGTTGACCCGCTCTATGTCCATCCCACGGCCAAACAGATTAGTAGCTACCAGAATCCGACGTTGGAAGTCCTTGAACTGCTGGTACCTAGACAGTCTGCAAAGAACAAAAGAGACATGGCTGACCTCCCCTGAACACATACAGGAGCTGTATGCAGTGCACAGCCCATTATCTCTAGTGCATTAACTTTCTAGATCCCCTCTTCCCCTTAACACACACAACTGATGTCAACAAGCCACATTCCATGATAAAAAAGTGAACTCAGCATTCATGTTCTGCACTATATTTGCTGCTGCCCTCTCCTGACACAGCCATCTCGCTGTACTCACCTCTCCTCCTGAGACATGCCTCTGTGAATAGCAATGGCTGGGAAGTTCTGCTCAACCAAGAGCTGAGCTAATGCCATGCAGCGCTGCACCGACTTCACAAATATCACAACCTGCAAGGGGTGGGAAGAGGGAAGGGGCTTTAACATGGAAGCTCCAGGGACTCCCAGGAGCCCTGCTTGTTAATCCTTGCTAACACAGACCTGGTTGAACTCCAGCACATCCAAAAGGTCAAAGAGCTTGCGGTTTTTCTCAGTGTCCTTCAACTTCACGTAGTATTGCTGCAGGCCATGCAGAGTCAGCTTGGTCTCATCATCCACAAAGACTTCCATGGGCTGCGAACGGAAAAGAAAGCCAATGTGACCTTTTACCAGCAAAGACAGCAAAATGCTCCAAACATATCTAGACAAGTTTTTAAACACCACTTTTCATGTTTAATTGATAGATGTAGAAAATACCAAATTCCCACAGCGATAGGCATTACTTTGATCACTACAGGGAATGTTGGATGCTGGGAGCAGAAATAGAACTATTTCATCTGTAGAAGTGCAGATGAATTCTCTACATGCTCAAAAGCTCCCTCTTCTGCCAAGCACTGAAGGGAGAATTCCCACTACTGTTAATTATCTACAAAATTGCTTTAAGTGCCTGGAAGGAGAGAAAGCTAACTTGGTAGGCATTTATCATGCATTTTATCAAGGTCCCGAGGTAAACATTTTCTAATCTACTGGGAAAACAATGAAGACAAAGAAACATTCAAAACTAGTAGGTCAACTAGATGAGATGTCGCAGTGCAGCTCTCCTTTACAACCAAAAGCATGTAATGATAGCACTCAGCAGCTGTTGGCATCTGCACAGCTTCAGACGGAATTTAACAGTGGTAATGAGAGACTGATGGTCATTTTCCACCCTGAGCTATATACCTGAACGTGCCTAACTTTCTGCCTTCTCTGGCTGGCATGGTACACTATTCCAATCAGTGGGGGAATCAAAGGGAGCATGGAGTGACATTCACTGGTGCAATGAGACTATCCCCTTCCTCCTCTTTCCATATGCACCCTAAGTCTGTTCCATGGATTTTCCCAACCATCTAGAGCAAGACAATTCAGCTCTAAGGGAACTTCCTTTTTTAAACTTTATATGCCAGAAAGTATCAGCCTCAATAAGCAGTGTCTGCATTTCCAATACTATTGATATGCATTCTACCAGGACTTGCAAAAAGGGAGAAAAATGCCACTGTGGTCCTATAGAGAGATGAAACAGAAAACAATGTGTTTGGGTTTTCTAACAGCCACGCTAAGAAAGCATAGGGAACACAACGAAGTTGAATAGGACTATGATCACTAACTTCCCTCCACCTATCGTCACCCAAGAATGATATAATGAGCTGCAAACAATCCAATGCCTCCATGGGCATAGCTGCCCCCCAAATCAATCAAAATCAATACAAATCTTAGGTTCTGCCCCCACCCCACCCCCCAAAATCCTGGCTACACCCATGACTGCCTCATACTACCAAGCCTTCCTTCAACATAAAGGGTCCCTTTTGAAACAAGGCAGTAGGGCAAAACTGCCTCAAAGGGGCCTCTTTAGCCTAGTGTGGAAGGCCTTTTCCTGGATCTCCTACGCTAGTGCAACCATCTAGGACAGTTTCTTAAACTTGGGTCTCCAGCTTGTTTTGGACTACAACTCCCATCATCCCTGACCACTGGTCCTGGTAGCTAGGGATAATGGGGTTTGTAGCCCAACAGCAGCTGGAAACCAAAGTCTGGGAAACTAATCTAAGGGGAGGATGAAATCAAAGGTTTTAGGGCTTACATCCTGCATGAACTTTCTGCAGACAGGCCGGATCTCCTTGCTCAGGGTGGCACTAAACATCATGCATTGCTTCTCATGGGGTGTCAGTCGAAAGATCTCCTGCACATCACGACGCATATCTGAAAGAACAGCAGGAAGAATCAGGTTGCTGTAATTCACCAAATACTGGCTTCTGAAAAGGACATACCAGTCTGAGTTCCACCACCTTGCTCCACTCTTGGTATCCAACATGTCTCTGCTCTACCACATAATCTGAACAGGAACAGAACTTCAGGCTGTAGAAACCGTCCCTTGCTTCCCCATGTTCTTGAAAGAGATGGCTGACTTCCTGACATGCCTCAGGGCAGATTTTTTAAGCAACAGTGCCCTTCCTCTAGCTGGCTGCTCCTCAGTTCCTTGACTTGGAACTCAAGCACCAGACTTTCTCCCAAGGCCAGCAACTCCCATACCCAAATGGATGAATAACCCCAGACCATGAAAACGCAATACATTGTGTCTTTATTATGCCAGCCCCTCTTGTCTCTTACCCAACTGCTCCAACATCTTGTCACACTCATCCAAAACAAAATGCTTGACATTGCGCAAGTTGAGGGTCTTGTTGCGCACCAGTGCTAAAATGCGGCCCGGGGTCCCCACCACAATATGCGGGCAGTTTTTCTTCAGCACCTCTTCATCCTTTTTGATGGAAAGCCCCCCAAAGAAGACTGACACCTGCAGTACAAACAGAAACTACTGTCAGCCACACAGAAAAACCCAACCACCTAACCTTCAGAACTTCAGTAACTCCCCACCAATTTACTTACGTCAGGGACAGTCAACATGGTGCACTCCAAATGCTGCTGGCCTACAACTCCCATTCTCCCTGACCACTAGGCCATGCTGGCTGGGGCTGATGATGAGTTGGTCCACCAACATCTGGAGGGCACCACACCTAACTTGTGCAATAAAGTACTTGGAAGGGAGAGTGCAATTAACTACGAGTGCGGCATACCTACGCTCCGTCTCACCTCTAATCATAGAATCATAGAGTTGGAAAGGACCATGAGAACTGTCTAGTCCAACCCACTGCAATGCAGGAATCTTTCACCCAATGTGGAGTTTGAACCCGTGACCCTGAGATTAAGAGTCTCATGCGCTACCAACTCTCCACCATAATATAACACATCAGATCAACTATTGTTCCGAACCCAAGAAACAAGGCTTTTGGTCCCCATGAAGCAATCAGGTGGTGCAAGGAAGCAGAGGCAGGCTCTTTCAGAATATAGGGACATAGTAAGCTACCTTAAACCAAGTCAGACTATTGGCCTACCTAGTTCAGTATTGCCTACACTGCTGGCAATAGCTCTGAGGGTCTTGATGGTCTTAGGTGGAGAAGCCAGGGAATGAGCCCAGTGCCTTTCATATGCTCTACCAAGTGTGTGCTCTACCAATGAGCTACAAGCGCTTCCCATCAATTTAACTGGGTCTTAAACTGACAACAGGGTCTTAAACTGACAACAGGGTCTTAAACTGACAACATTAGCAAAAGCCTGGGTTCCAACAGAGCTTCTCACCCATGAGCTTTCGTTCTATCTGAAGGTAGGTTCAAGTTTTAGATGCAGAAACTGTCAGTTTCCATTTCTTAGTACAGAAAGTATTGATCTGATGTGTAGAGATCTTTCCTGCTCTACTTAATTCAAGAGGGTTCTGGAAAGTTTTCTTTCTATGTGAAAGAAATAGGTAGAAGGTTCTTGTTTGGGTTATTCCTTCAGAGAAGCTGAGTACAGCTGGTTTAAACTGGTTCTGTTATCTTTTGCTGACTATATTAGGGAGGCCAGGAGGAGCCTGGGTTCTCTCTTACTTTCTCTTTCTGTCTCTGTTCTGATGTGGTGTGGTGTTCTGTATGCTGTGGTGTTAAGGTTTAAACTTATAAGTTATTGTACGTTTTATTGTAAGTGCTTCAACTGGATTTTTTATGGACTGTCCCAATCCTGATTGTATTGGATTTGTGACCATTATGCTCATTTGCCTTCAGTAGCAGTAAAAGCTCTGCTGGATGAAGTATAATTGCCTCTGATCTATTTTCCCCCCCTTCACACGCAATGTGTCAGAAACATCTAAAACCATTCCCACAATAAGGTCACTTCCTCTCTCTCAACCCTATCTACAGGCTCTTTCCTAAATAACTGCACATACCATTTCCATAAGCAAAGATAGCCTTCCACCTTTTCCTGTCATACAGCAATAGCCTGCATTCTGTATATTTCAGACCTAACTGCAAAAGATTTTCCCTTACCTTGACAGTGGACATATACTTTGAGAAGCGCTCATATTCTTTGCTGATCTGGAAGGCCAGCTCCCGGGTGTGACACATCACCAGCACAGACACCTGCCAGAAAGAAACGGACAAATTTGTACAATGGCAAGACAGTACAATGACAAGAAGGGTTTAGGACTCCCCACTGCTACCTGAAACACACATAACACTATACAATGGTTTAGAGCTATGTCCTTGAGATGCAGTGAGGATGAGCAGAGCCTTGGGCTTGAACGCTCCTCCCTTCTTCGCAACCACAATGAGGATTTGTTGAAAATTAGTTTCATTGTCAAAGACCACTGGCTTAAAAATTAAGAAAAAAACACTGCCTCATCCTGGCTTCACAGGAAAGTTGTGTGAACCTAAGGCTTTTCTCTGGCTCACAGCAGTTCATGCAGATGATAATAAAACATCATTTAGTGTTACATGTAAATACAGCCTATAGCTCCAAAACAGAGTTGCGCTGAACATAAGCACAGTACAGTACTATTCCCCATTACATACCTGCCCATCCAGTGGCTCAATCTGCTGCAGTGTAGCCAATACAAAGACAGCTGTCTTTCCCATGCCCGATTTGGCTTGGCATAGGACATCCATGCCCAGGATTGCCTGTGGAATGCACTCATGCTGCACTGAGAGAGCAAGAATAAGCAATAGTTTAGACAAGCCCTAGGCAAACACAGGAAGCCAAAGTAAATGTACCCCCAGAGGACTTGATCCCACCTCTTTCCCAACCCTTTAAATCCAGAGATTCCACACCACACCCTTCCATGAGGTTAACTTTTCTGCACACATACTAGGGGAGGAAAATCTCTTCACATCCAATAGCAGCTGCTGCACAAGCACTGGGATTTTCCAGGTTCATCAGCCTGAATTACAAGTTAAAATGAAAGACATGGCTGTGGAATAGTCATCCTACAGAAACTTCTTACTAGCACACCCTAAAATCCCTCCTTTCTCTTAAATGTTAGATCACACCCCATTCCATGCAGAGTCTAAACCCATTTCCCATGGCTAATAGGGTCTGCTCAGCTGGACTGACAATTATGAAGTCGCTCCATCCAAAGTGAACTCCATTTCCAATAAGGTAGGGCTCTAGAGAGCTATACTAGGCTCAACAAGGACATCCCATTCCAGCATAACCCTCCCACCCTGCTCCCTGCAGCCCCCAGCTCTCACCCTGCACCGCATGGCACCACTGGCAGTTGCTCCCCGGTGGGTGGGCTGGGCTGGCTGACGAGGGGGCCAGGGGCCTTGGCTCAGCTCCTACCTTCTGACGGGTGCTCAAAGCCGCAGTCCACAATGGCACGAAGGAGCTCTGGCTTCAGCAGGAAGTCTCGGAAGCCAGAACTGTGAATGGAGACATAGGAGCCCTTCACATCTTTTTTATTGGGGACAGGGGCAGCATCAGTCACTGCCTGAGGCTCTTCATCCTCCTCATAGTCCAGCAACTCATTCTCTACATCCTGTTCAGCCATGTCCTGTAGAAAAACCAAAAGCAGGAATCAAAGGCTTGAGGAAAGACCACTAAGCCCAGGAGTAAGAGCACCCAAAGAACAGGAAAAGTGAAATCTGGATGAGTTAGGAACTGCAACTGTAGCTGCATCAACTGAAGGATGATCAGCTCAAAGCACTCCATCCACACCCATTAGTTCCAACTAGCACTGCCAGCTAATGGTTGAAGCGGATTGTACCATCTTTCCACAGTTCTCCGAACATCTTTTAAGGCTTTCTAACATTTGCATCAGACATTGCTTTTTATAGCCAAGTATTATTTCCTAACTTAGAATAACAGCTGAGAGGGAGGCAGTGAGGCTGCCCCAGCTCACTCCGCCCAATGGGCGGCCTGTCTTGCCCCCGAGGCGCAGGGCACGCACCACCCCAGGCACCCAAGTGGCCAGCTATGCCGCTGCCTAAGCGGGCACCATAAAGCAATTATGTCAACAGCCCAAGCCGCTTGAATGTTCCAGAGGCTCCAAGCCCATTGGATCCATCAGCCTCTGAGGGGCAACCATCCTAATAGGTCCCCTGCCACTGCGGAGGGAGAAAGGTGCTGGAAGCCTAAAGGCGATATGCAAAATGGCCCAACAAAAGTGCAGTGTTTCTAGATAAGGTGTAGACTTTTTTCGAATCCTTTATCAAAAACTGATACTGCCAGATTATTTTTTAAAATTTAAAGTCTGCCCTGCCTTTCAAAAAGGGCCTTAAATTGGATTAAAACAATTGTGTGTAATAGTTATTGTCAGAAACAGTATATTCTGAATACCAGATAGCACAGCTGCACTTCATATTCTGATTGCAGGCATCCCACTGGCCACTGTGAAAACAGAACACTGGACTAGATGCGCCTCTGGCCGATTCCAGAAGGCTTTTCTTACGTCGTTAGGGCAGCATATAAACAAATTTACCTTTTTCTAAAAAAAAAAAAGTTTATATACAAATAAGGGCCTGTCAATCTGTGTCTAAAGTTTATCGTACATCTATTAGAGGGTCTACCATACAGCAACAACTACAGCACATTATACTAAGCACTTGCAGGTAGTTCTTGTGAAAATCTGGTGATGTAGAAAGAAACAGACCAAATTGGTAAACAGCAGCCCCAGGACCATCACTGTCCAGTAACAAAGCCCTCCAGCCAAAGCAGAACCAATGCAATCTGAAGTCTTGCCATAGTCTGAACAGGACATACTGCACCTTATGAAAGCCTTAGAGCAAAGGCAAGGCTAAGGACTGACTGCAACCTTTACTCCAATACTTTTATACCATGCAATACACCCTATTTTATTATGGCAGGTCTTCAAACAGATTATGAAAAAACCTATGCCTGTCTTTTTGATGTGGAGTGTTTGTGAATGATTAAGAAGTGTCAGTTATTAAGAAGTACTGAAGAGACTTATTGCATGGGCTTATTGCCCCAGCTCTATTATTTTCATCGCCATGATCCTACACAATCTCAAAGGGAAACACTCCACCAGAGTAGAAATCATATATTGAACAGATGGAAAGCTCTTTAATCTGTGTAGGCCGAAAGCAAAGAGTAAGGTTATAATAACTTCCATCAGAGAGCTTCAGTATGCTAATGACAAGGTAGTGGTGGCACACTCAGAGAATGACCTCCAAACCATCCTAAATATCTTTGCAGTGGCCTATCATTCAATATCCAAAAAACCAAAGTGCTGCACCAACAACCACAAAACAACCCCTCTGCAGTGCCACAAATCCAACTCAATGGTGAAACATCAGAAAGTGTTGATCACTTCTCCTACCTGGGCAGTTACCTTTCCACAAGGGCCAACACTGATGCCAAAATCCAGCACTGAATGAGCTCTGCAAGTGCAGCTTTCTCCTGATTAAAGTGCAGAGTGGTTGAGGACCAGGACATTTGAAAGGAAACCAAAATGCTTGTTTACAAAGCTATTGTACTACCAACCTCACTGCATGCTTGTGAAGCATGGACCACTTATAAAAGCCATCTCCAACTCCTTTAAAGATTCCACCAACAGTGTCTCCGAAAATTTTACATATCACTTTGGAAGACAGGCGAACTAATGCCAATGTACTGGAAGAAGCAAAGATCACCAGTGTCGAAGTGATGATTCTGATTCTTCAACATCAACTTCGTTCAACTGGTCATGTTCGGATGCCTGATTATCATCTTCCAAAGCAACTACTCTATTCCCAACTCAATAATGGAAAGTCTAATTCTGGTGGTCAAACAAAAGAGGTTTAAAGACTCTCTCAAAGCAAATCTTAAATAAATGTAGTATAAGCACTGATAACTGCGAAACACTGGCCTGTGAGTGCTCCAATTGGAAAACAGCCTTTACCAAAGGTGTAATGGACTTTGAAGAAGCACAAACTCAGGATGAAAGGGAGAAACGTGCTAAGAGGAAGGCATGCTTGGCAAAACCAAACCGTGATCAACTCCCGCCCAGAAACCTAGGTCCCCCCTGTGGAAGGACGTGTGGATCCAGAATTGGCCTTCACATTCACTTACACGGTTAAGACCGTGTTCATGGAACACAATCTTACTTGCAGGGCCGGATTTAGGTTTGATGAGGCCCTAAGCTACTGAAGGTAATGGGGCCCTTTATATGTCCAACTGTCTTTTGTCAACAACCAATTGTCGCTGTTTTTTTGTGTTGAATATATGCTATATGGTAATTTATGGGCCTAGTAGGTATCTAAATCCATTTGCACTTGCAGAATGTGGGCACCCTATATATAGAAATGAGCAAACCAGTGATATTTGGGGAGCAGGCTAGAAGGGCCTATTACTTACATCATAGGAGCCTACACAACACAAAACACTGTTGTTGTATGTAGGTTTCATTTTATTTTTTATCTTATATTTTGGAAACGTACATCCAGTTTTCCCCCCCTTTAAATTTTATGGGGGCCCCCAAGAGAGTAGGGCCCTAACATGTAGCTTGTTTAGCTTATACGTAAATCCGGCAGTTTACTCGGCAACAAGTGATCGCCAGAGGAGGAGGGAGGAGGGAGGAGAGAGAGAGAGGCGGGACGTCGGCGGGGGCGAAAGAGAGCGCCTCCTTTTCAGGCGCAGGACCCCCAAGGGAGCCTCGGAAGCACAGCCAAGGCAGGGCACTCCCGGGTAGGCCCGAGCGCCGCAGCCACGAGGCTGGCGCGGGCGGAGGGGAGGCGCCGCGACGGCGCCTTCAAGTTCCGCAAGCAGCCGAGGCATCCCGGACTTCCGAGGCGCCGCCATGCAGGCCCTGCCCTCCCGAGCGCCTCGCCGGAGGCAAAGCGACGTATGTGGGGAAGCAATTTCGCTCGTGGCCGAAACGGTCGTCTGAATGCGCCGGCGAGGAAGGAACCAAGAGGCGACCCAAGCAGAGGCGCCTCCTCTCCATGACCGACCGGCGCCCGCCCGCCCGCCCGCCCACCATCACGAGGTCTGAGGGACCAGGCGCCAGGGCGGGAGGCTCGCGCCGCCATGGGAAGCCTCCCTCGCCCGCTCCTCGCCGCCGCCCTACGCAGAGCCCCCTCACCTGCTCAGGTCCGAGTTGCCGAGGCGCTTCCCGCTTCGCCTTGTGCACACCGCGCTCCAATTAGGATAGGACGGCCCAGTACAGGAAGCACCTTCGATTCCTATTGGCCGACGCCGACGCCGAGCGCGGGACCGCCTCTATACGAAAGCGGCGGAAGAAAGCTTCGACTCGTCTTCGCGCCCGCCAATCAAAAGACGTCAGCGCTGCGCCATTGGCTGGATTGAGACCCGGCGATTGAGAAAGAGAATACAGATGGGAGAAGGGGGCTGAGCAAAGCTTCCAGAAATCTATGGTGAGATTGTAGGAGGAGACTCCGCCATTTTGGATGCTGGCGGGAGTCGTCGCAAGCCCTTTACTGTGTAAGCAGCTATCCTATGTTTTAAAGACATCTGAAGGCAGAAGTTTTTAATATTTAATGCTGTATTGTTTTTAACACTGGACTGGGAGCCGCCCAGTGGCTTGGGAAACTCAGCCAGATGGGCAGGGTATAAATAAATTATTATTATTATCAGTTTAAAATGCAGCCAGGTTCCTTTTCTTAGTTTGGATCAAACCTGGTTTGGGTGGGTGGGGGTAACACATCAAAATGCAGTATTTCATGACTTTACAGCAGAATTTTTCAAGAAATTCAAAGAAACCCTGATTCCCTACATGACCCACCTATTCAACCACATCATAAAAGGGGCCCCCATCCCTAAAACCTGGACTTCTTTCAAAATAGTCTCTATTCCAAAACTACTCAAAGATAGCCTCAGAGTAGAATCATACCACCGGATCTCTCATTGATAAACCAAGACTGCAAGACTAAAAAAAAAAGTCCTACACAAATTAATTGCCCCGGACCAGACTGGCTTCGTCCCTGGTCTCAATATAACAGACTCCATTAGGAAATTACTGAATTTGATCGAACACAGCAAAGCAACTAAACTCCCACTGACAATTATGTCCCTAGACCATGACCTCCTTTCCGACCTTCCTGTGCCCCCCCATAGACATAGCCAAGGGGGGAGCTGCCCCCCCCAATAAGTACAAATCAATACAAATCAGGTTCTACTCCCCCTAGCAAGCACCTGCCCCCTAACAAAAATCCTGTCTACGCCCATGCCCTCCCCATCCTACCAGTAGAAAGGTAACTATTTAAATATTTTGTTTGTAGATAGAACATTTTAAAAATATTTTTTATAATTTATACAAAATACAATTACATTAAATGATATGAACATAATGAAATGTTGTTGAAGCAGAAAAACATGGTATCATAGAGCTGGAAGGGACCCCAAGGGTCATCTTTCTAGTGCAACCCCCTGCAATGTAGGAAACTTGGCTAAAGCATCCCTGACATATGGCCATCCAACCTCTGCTTAGAAATCTCTGAGGAAGGAGTCCACAACCTCCAGAGGGAGATCCATTTTGCATGTATTATAAAAAGTGATCCACACTTATGTGACCCCAGTTATTTGACCCCAAGAGAAAAACCTACAGATACAGTCCAAAAGGCGCACAGGGAGTTCTGTATATATAGGAGAATTTTAAAAAGCAAGTGATCCTCACTGACCTGGTCACAAAGATCTTGTCATCCGGAAGAAGCCTGGCAGTCTCGGGCTGACTCAAGTAAGGTGCAGGCACCCCACTGCCCAGCCAGGGGCCCAGCTGACTTGCATCTAGTAATAACTAGTGTTCACCAGTATGCACTGTACCAGTGTCTTACCCAGGTCGTCTCACTGAAACACTGCTTTTAAAATTTCTCCTATATATGTTATGTCTTGAGTTTTTCAAATAAATCACAGGTGCTGATCACCTTGTGCACATGCAAATGGACCTCCGAGTCAGGACTCCTCCTGAGGCTTAGCAGAGGTTACGGCCATATCGTGCCTGCCTACATTACAGATTAGAAGATGACTTTACTTCCAGCTCTATGATAACATGTCTTCAACATTTCATTATGTTCATATCATTTAATGTACTAGAGTTTTATACTATAAAAGATGCAAAAATGCCTATCTACAAACAAAACAGCTTAAATAGCTTAAGGCAGGCATATAATAGATTTGTCTATTAAGACTTGTATTGATTTGCACTCAGCCAAAAGCAGCCTCCCATAGACATAGCCAAGGGGGGCAGCTGCCCCCCCCAATAAGTACAAATCAATACAAATCAGGTTCTACTCCCCCTAGCAAGCACCTGCCCCCTAACAAAAATCCTGGCTATGCCCATGCCTTCCCCATCCTACCAGTAGAAAGGTAACTATTTAAATATTTTGTTTGTAGATAGAACATTTTTAAAAAATTTTTTATAATTTATACAAAATACAATTACATTAAATGATATGAACATAATGAAATGTTGAAGCAGAAAAACATGGTATCATAGAGCTGGAAGGGACCCCAAGGGTCATCTTTCTAGTGCAACCCCCTGCAATGTAGGAAACTTGGCTAAAGCATCCCTGACATATGGCCATCCAACCTCTGCTTAGAAATCTCTGAGGAAGGAGTCCACAACCTCCAGAGGGAGATCCATTTTGCATGTATTATAAAAAGTGATCCACACTTATGTGACCCCAGTTATTTGACCCCAAGAGAAAAACCTACAGATACAGTCCAAAAGGCGCACAGGGAGTTCTGTATATATAGGAGAATTTTAAAAAGCAAGTGATCCTCACTGACCTGGTGCACAAAGATCTTGTCATCCGGAGAAGCCCTGGCTGCCTGGGAGTAAGACCCACTGAACTCAGTGCAGCTTTCTTCTGATTAGACACTTAGTTATTTACTAGATGCAAGTCAGCAGCACCAGATGACCCCCCCCCCTCGGCTAGGCATTGGGGTGGATTGCACCCTGCACCTTGCAGAGTCAAGCCCAGGCTGCCACCAGACCCAGCACTGGTGGCAGCAACAAGCAGCTCCAGCTCACCCAACCCTACCCATTGCCACCCCACCACTGCTCTGTACCACCTGGGGGTTCTGGATCGCAGACTTTACTAGACAAAACGAAAGCCTCAGTGATCGCCCTCTCCCGTTGGAAGACTAGGACTGCACCAAGAAAATGCACATTGCAAAAAGGAGCATGAGATATAGGTATATATAATGAGATTTTTTCCCCTTCACTTCTCACTTCCCTCTATGGTCCCCACACAGCATAAAACTTCCAGATAAAAACCTGGCAAGCCAAAGGCCTATATCACCTGGCAGATTTCTACAAAACAGCAAACCCATATCAACACAGGAAATACAAGACAAACTAGGGGACACCCAAATACCCTGGCTAACACACCACCAATTGCATGCCTTCTTAAACAATCTCTCTGCCTGGTTCCCTGTAACTTGGCTTCTCGCAGTGAGGGAACCGCCAGAAGGCCCTCGGCGCTGGACCTCAGTGTCCGGGTAGAACGATGGGGTTGGAGACACTCCTTCAGATATATTGGACCGAGGCCGTTTAGGGCTTTAAAGGTCAGCACCAACACTTTGAATTGTGCTCGGAAACGTACTGGGAGCCAATGTAGGTCTTTCAAGACTGGTGTTATGTGGTCTTGGCGGCCGCTCCCAGTCACCAGTCTAGCTACCGCATTCTGGATTAGTTGTAGTTTCTGGGTCACCTTCAAAGGTAGCCCCACATAGAGCGCATTGCAGTAGTCCAAGCGGGGGATAACCAGAGCATGCACCACTCTGGCGAAACAGTCCGTGAACAGGTAGGGTCTCAGCCTGTGTATCAGATGGAGCTGATAAACAGCTGCCCCTGGACACAGAATTGACCTGCGCCTCCATGGACAGCTGTGAGTCCAAAATGACTCCCAGGCTGCGCACCTAGTCCTTCAGGGGCACAGTTACCCCATTCAGGACCAGGGAGTCCTCCACATCCGCCCGCCTCCTGGCCCCCAAAAACAGTACTTCTGTCTTGTCAGGATTCAACCTCAATCTGTTAGCCGCCATCCATCCTCCAATCGCCTCCAGACACTCACACAGGACCTTCACTGCCTTCACTGGTTCTGATTTGAAAGAGAGGTAAATCTTTAATACAAATTAATTTTTTTTAAAAAAATGCAGTATTTCATAATAAACCACAGGAAAGATGCAGGATAGATATGGATTGTGGCTATTGTGTACACGGCTTGCCAAGCCAGCATTGGGGTGGGAGCACACTGCATGGAGAGCATACAGGGGTGTGTACACAGCATCAGTGGGGCACCTCTAAGTTAAGTATGCTCCATTTTGCACCAATGAAGCTCTTTAAAGGGCAAATTACTTTGGGATCTCTAGGAAAGTCCCCTCAAGATCCACCAGGATGAGCAGCTTAGAGTACAGCAGATCTTCAGTTTAGCTGGCTGATGCTCAGCTCAGCTAGAATTAAGCTCCCAACCCCAGCTCAGCTGAAGAGAGGCCAGCATAACTTGCTCAGCCAGGGCTAAGCCAAGGCTAGTGTAGGTTCCCCATCCCACCCTCAAAGGATGCAACAGGGATGGGACCAGAGCGGGAGGGGGACTTTGGCCAGATCTGAACCAGTTCAGATTGTTCTGCCCAGATGCTGAGGTCCAGCGCCGAGGGCCTTCTGATGGTTCCCTCGCTACGAGAAGCCAAGTTACAGGGAACCAGGCAGAGGGCCTTCTCGGTAGTGGCACCCGCCCTGTGGAATGCCCTCCCAACGGATGTCAAAGAGAAAAATAACTACCAAACTTTTAGAAGACATCTGGGCAGCCCTGTTTAGGGAAGCTTTTAATGGTTTAATAGGTTATTGTATTTTAGTGTTCTGTTGGAAGCCACCCAGAGTAGCTGGGGAAACCCAGCCAGATGGGCGGGGTATAAATAATAAATAATTATTATTATTCAACTTGGCCATATGACCTGGCAACCCAGCACAGAACACTATTTCAAAAGCTTGTTTTCCCTCTGCCAGGTTTAGGCAGAGCAACTGCAGCATCCCTGCTGTGGAATGGGGTTAAGGATCTTGTGTAACTTTACGCCAGCTTACCTTACACCAGCTTGCTTCACACCAGCTCCTTGAGCATAGTATTGCTCCCTTAGTGATGACTCACAGACATCAGGGAATTCATGTGCTATTTCATTAAAAACATTAATCCTCCAAAAAGCCAATCCATCGTGCAGAACCGTCTGTGCTATTTTTTTCACTGGAATGCATCCAGCTCTAATTGAGCCATTATTCAGCCTTCATTCTTGTGCTAAATGAAATACTATTTCCTGTGCTAAATGCAGTACTATTTCAGCCCACACTGGATGCTGGGCTGGAAAGTCTGCCAAGCACTTAGCAGAAATTTCTAAGCCTGGTTACATCCCCTTTAAACCAGTCCCTTCCCACTGCAGCAGAATTAGGTGGCCTCAGATTGAAAACACCTGTCTGCCCTGTAGAAGTAGCTTGACTACACTTGGAACTCCTTGATGCTTGGTTTTGCTTTTATAGCTGAAGAGTTTTTGCTTTGCAGATACAGATCTATATTGCAGATTATGTCGGCTGAGGTTGCTGTTCTTCACTGTTCAAATATATATATATATATATAAATCCTGAACTGAAGCGGAGATAAATTCTTCTCTTTCTTCTAGCAGGTCCTGGTTCACAGCTTGTCCATTCCTTCACAACTGGATGAGCAACCTCAGAATGCTCCCCTCAAAATATGGAGAGTCTACTCCCTGACAGGCATATCTTATAAAAGCTTAGCGAAGAGGGTTAATCTCTTTGATCATTTCACAAAGAGCGAACATTTGATGCTATAATGAAGACATAAAAAGTTTGGCTCTTATTTTGAGGCAGTGCAATATGGACGATGCCTGTGTACACACTCCTACGAGAGCTACAATTCCCAGCAGCCTTAAGAAATATACTTGGGACAGGGGGAGTCAAGTGCTTTAAATTGTGTTGAAGCCACATTCAAAATCTGGACCCATCTTAGAGTAAACACATCTCTCTTGCTTTGCATTACACTGTAAGCAGGGGGATGTGGTTGTGGCAACTATAGTGTCTTACTGTTCACTAAAGCATTTGATCTATTGTTTGTGTGTGTGTGTGTGTGTTTTCCTAAACTATTATGCTAAGCAAAGATGCGCAGAAGTGGCATCCACAGGTGTTCTTTCTGTGTATCCCACTCTTGGAGCATCTTGGAGAAAGATGGAATTAGCTGTGTCTCTTTATACTACTGCTGGTTAAGGACACACTGAAGACACAAATGAAACTATGAATCATGGGTGCTGTCCTTAGGGGAATTGTTGTGATCAATCAGCAATTTGGTTATTTTTTCCACATGGAATAACATATCTTTGCAACTCTGAATTTCTGAATTCTATTATCGATGTTTATTTTAGTGTTTGTATTGGTGCATGTTTTTTATGCGAGCAGCAGTATAACCTAACTTTGAGATATACACTTTGGGCGCTAGATGGCAGGGCTTCTCTACTCCTGTTTACCTCTGCCTTCTAACTGCATTCTTTCTCCTTTCTGCAAAGGGCCCTTCTTCAGGTTTCCCTAATGTTTAACCAGGAATGCTGCTGGAGCAGGGATGGCCCTCTTCACCAGCTCCTCTGTGTTGGCTGGCCTTCCCTGTTCTACAGGACCTATTATTCCTCATACAATGGTTGTTTTAGTTGTGGAGTTTCAGGTGTGAAATTTTAAAAATCCTTCTCACCAAATCGCATCCATTATTATGGCAGGTGAAGAAAATCCAGTTTTTCTGCAAATTGGCACAATTGTTTTCAATTATTGTTTTTCATGTTGATCTGGGTGGTTCTTTTAAAAAATGGATTATTGTATTTTATTATTTTCTGTTAGAAGAAGAATAAGAATAATCTGGATTTGATATCCCGCTTTATCACTACCCGGGAGGGAATCTTTGGGATGAAAGACGGGATATAACTGGAAATAAGAGTCTGGGAGCTACTTCCCTAAGAGAACACTTCTGCTGCCATGAAACACCCAGCCTGCTTCCCCTGAGGTCTCCTGATTATATCCCATTCAAGGTTCCACCAAAGCAGGAAGTAAGAATAGGAGCAGGATACAAACACTGCTTTCAGCATTTGCTAAAGAAGCTGACACAACAAGCAAAGCCTGTTTATGTTAATATAATATTATTAACAGAAAATTCATATTTAGCGCTTGCATAAAAGTGATAGGATTTTTGAAGCTCTCAGATTTTTGAGTGGGGGCAGAGACATGCTGAAACTCAGACCACCCCCTGAGACAGGCTGTTTCCATGACCACCTCAAAGCTCTGGAAGTTCATCCTCAGAAGGGTGCAAACGCCCAGCTTTATGGGCTCGCTGGAATCACTGCAGGCATTTTTGTATTGTCAAGTGTTTGAACATACAGTGGTACCTTTGGTTACGTACTTAATTCGTTCTGGAGGTCCATTCTTAACCTGAAACTGTTCTTAACCTGAAGCACCACTTTAGCTAATGGGGCCTCCTGCTGCTGCCGCACCACCGGAGCACGATTTCTGTTCTCATCCTGAAGCAAAGTTCTTAACTCAAGGTAATATTTCTGGGTTAGCGGAGTCTATAACCAGAAGCGTATGTAACCTGAAGCGTATGTAACTCGAGGTACCACTGTATATTACTGCTGATTTTTTGGGGCCTATTTCTTGTTCTCTTATGTTAATTAGATCACATTCTAGATCTGTTCTAAATATTTATTTAGACAGCTTTCTAATTTTGTGCACCACCCTAAACATTGTCAAAATGAATTGCCAAGACTGAAACTGAAAGGTGAAAGGATATTGAATCTGAACGTCTCCAGCACCCTTCTACTTCTGAGAAAAGTTCCACACATCAGTAAAGTTGAGCCTGAAAATAGTCACCACTTCTTTATTAAGAAAGCTATACATAGACATTTAAAAAATAAAAAGCTTTCTCGATGTCCCCACTTAGGTATTTCAGATACTTTGACCTGCCTTAAGCCACAAGTGACTAGAGCTCAGAGGGAAACAGGGAATTCAAAGGCAAATGTGACTTCCAGCTCTGTCCTGCTGAACCTTGTAAGGAGGCGCACAAGAGCCTCAGTACTTTGGTGATATGGCTTATCTCAAAGTGGGTTGTACCTGTTCAGTGGCCAGGCATAGGAAGCCAGCAGAAGGGCAGGCAAGTATATTCTTGTTCAAAAAAATATAACTTACATCTCATTGCAAGCAGTGCAAGCACAAGAGGATTAACATTAGGAAGGGGGGACCTCAAAATTTTTCAACTTCAACACAAAATCCTAAACTGGCATATCTGCATGCCAATATCTAGCATGACCTCACTGTGCCTAATGTCCTCACATTAGCATCTTATGCCACATATGTGACATTGGTGGTGACAGGAGGCAGTGGGCTGCCCCTTGGTGGCATACCATGAAGGTACGTTTTTCACTGCACCTGTTCCCCTGAGCTCACCCAGCAGGAGGACTCGCGGTTCAGCAGACTGGCGCTCTGAGCACTGAGCATCTGCACCAAGAGGTCCGTGGCGAGCGTATGGGAGGGTTCCTCAAACCCGATTGTCAGGAGCTGCTGGTAATCCCCCATGGGCTGGCGGCACAAGACCCTGTGGGAAGAAACGGTAAAGGGGGTGGCGGCATTACTGGCATCCATGCTATATTAACGTCGTTTGAAATTAGTTCAAACTCATCACTGCTTTTCTTGCTTTGGGCTCCTGTGTACCACAATTGTGATTCAGCGGTACATAAATGGTTGATATAAATACCTAAACATCCAGGTAAGTTCAGCCCCCTGATTTCAATGAGCAGTCACTACAGCATGGCTACATAGGGTTGCCACTTTTGTTCTGACAAAATACAGGGTTGTGGGAGGGGGTGTTATTATTATTTCCATCTGGTGCTGAAGTGACTTCAAAGCAATCCATTACAATCTATTGCAGCCTAACAGGATGCTCCCTCTGGAATTTGTAAAACACACACAAAGATAAATTTGTAAATCTGTCTGTTCTTGGCTACCCAGAGCTTAAATACATGACCTTTCAAACACCCTTTAAAGCACATGCACTTGGAGAGGACCCCTAACTTGAGAGAGAGAGAGAGAGAGAGAGAGAGAGAGAGAGAGAGAGAAGACTTGAAATACAGGACAAAACTGTATCTATATAGGACGTAAGCATTTTACATTGAAATACGGGACAACCATGTACTGTACAGGACAGGTGGCAATCCTACTGGCTACAGAAATACACAGGAAGGCATGTATAAAGCCACAGGGGAAGCCAATGTGGTCTCCTTCAGAATACTTTGGGCTACAACTCCCATCATCCCTGACCATTGGCTATGCTGGCTCGGCTGAAGGTACTTGTAGTCCAAAATATCTGAAGGGCACCTGGAATACCTTCACCCTGCATGTCACCTTGCACTTCAGCACACAGCTATGACTAAGCTACATTCCACATTTGCCACTGTCAGAATGTGCCCCTTACGAGTACATCTTTTCTCAGAAGCAAGAGGAAATTCAGTGTTTGAAGGTGGTTTGTGGTGTTGTTTTTATTTTCATGCTTGTTTCTTTGCATTCATTCTTACAGAAAGCACAAACCAGCATTCAGGCATCAGTCTTCAGTCATAATATTGAATCAAGTGCCAGGCATCCGCTGCACTTGTATTTACCATAGTAGAAAATGTGTGGGAAGTTTCAACCCACTCATCAGATAAGAGAGAAGCCGCTTGCCATGCTCACATTTCAAGCTATATCCCACAATGCAGAAATGCCTTAAAATTACAACTGTGTTGCAATCTGGAACTGTTGTGATCCCTGGTTTAAAGTTCTTCCTGAATAACTTCCTGTTACATGTCTGGGAGGGTGCCAAAGATAGTGCAGACAGGAGCAAGTGTATTTTTCATAGTGTATGTGTCTGCTTCACTTTCAAAGCTTAAAATAGGGAAATGATGTTAGATGCTACAGCTGGGCATCTTTTCCAACAGTGTTTAAAAGAATCAAAGAATGAAGCCCATGATTTCTGAAAGAAAGGCACGTCCTGAAGTTAACTTGTGTTGCTTTAATAGATTAAATAGATTTTAATAGATTAATAGATTTAATAGATTAAATAGCTATTAGCTTTAATAGATTAAAGTGGTGTGCAGAAAGAAATAGTCTGGCAAGACTGCTGGTTGAAGGTAAGTGTAGGTTTTAAATGTGGCCAAGATAGCATGGGATAGTGTTAATCTATTGGCTCCGATTCATACTTGAAGAAGCAGGAAGGAAGTAAAGCCTGAAAGGAAGCAATCTGCTTTACCAACAAGTACTAAAAAGAGAAGAACAGGTTGTCTTTCTGTCTGTTGCCCCCACCGGGTTCTGGTAGGTTATTGAAAGCTTTGGTGCACCCCCTGTCTTACTTGTTAGGAGATCTTGAGTATGCAATATTGCTTTGTAAACATAAAGCGCATTGGGAGACCACACAAGACTCAAGTCAGCCCACCGCTGTTATAGACAGCACTTTCCTGCTGCATGCTTACCAGGAGAGCACATCGGAGCTGTGGTCACTGTCAGGATCCAAAGGCACCCAGCGCCCAATGGACCAGAGCTTCTGCATCTTTGCTGTTGTCTCATCTCCTGTATCCCTGAAGCACAGGAAGTAGCTACAACAGAAGGACAAGGTTGCAGTTAGGCAGTGAAGAATGGGGATGGCCAGTCAAGCAAGCCTCAGGAAAAGTGGCAGTGGAATAAAACCACACCAAGACCTGCATCAAGTGGAGCAGAGGAATAAGGTGGGGACAGAGGGGGGGGTCAGTGCCAGATATGGCTCTCCATTCAGGTCCCCTCCACCTACACCCCATATCTCCAGGGTGTCCTGCAACTCACTATTCTGTCCGGGGTGTTTGATTCCGGCAAGCAGAACCTTCCAAGATATCGAGGTTCCAGCGCATCTTCTTATAGAGGTTGCGGGGAATATGGGCAGCTGTGTAGGGTGCTGGGATGCAATATTGGAAGATGGAAACTTGTCGCAACTCATTCAGCCAGAACTTTCCACAGAAGAAGCATGAGACACTGGTAGTGATTGACAGACAGACAGGTAAGAGCAGCTGTGCATGAGATTGGATGTAGAGCACATAACTTACAAAACACATGCAAAAAGCTAATGATTACATTTTCCAGTTAAACCAGTTTTTCCAGATGATTTGCAAATATAAAGCTAGATTGCTATAACTGAATGTTGGGTTTGAAATATATTTGCTGGAAACTGAAACCCAAAGCTAAACAATTGGGGAGAAATGTGGGAGGACAATGTAAAAAAGTAATAATATTAAATTATTTTGAAAGAGACTTCATTTTTAAATCTGCTACTTTCTATCTTGGGGGGGGGAATCTAACTGGAAGACCTTATTGGTACAAAGACTCTCCTCCTGCCTTTGGACTGAATCTTGTGTGCTTCATGGTATGCAGAGAGCTGATTTATTTCAATGCTGTGCATTCTATTATTTAAAAATTAATATTATTGTTTGGCATTTATAGACTGCAGGTTGGATCCAACGTAGACCTAAGTGAAAGCCACTTAGCAGTATAGTTGTTCCACTGGTGAAATGTTTACGGCAGTAGAGTATTGCTGTGTAACTGAATGCATAAGCAGGTTGCTGGTGACTTCGTTGCACAATAGATTGCACAATCTGTTTTGCAATGACTTTCCGCTAACGCAACTGCATTGGATTCCCCTGGTGCATAATATGAAAACTTACCCATTCCCTAATGCAAGAAACTTTGTGCTAGCAGACAGGGAACACCAAATACAGCCCTGTCCAATTAAGCATGTGCCTCTGGGCAGCTCACAAGATGAAATCAACAACAATCATCAAGCAGCACTAGCTCAAAAATTAACAAAAGCAGCATGGAACTAATAAAACAGCACTAAAAGCCAGCAAGGGGAGAAACAAAACGGTTGTAAGAGCTAAACTCTAGTGACTAGCAGGCACCAATTCCAGAGCAACCTGTTCCTGCTAGCACTCTGGGGCCACTTGTGCCACACTTGGGCACATGCAAGTCTTGGAGACTGTCTCCTACCTGAATGGGTCAGTGTCTTCTAAAGAGACAAAGCTGAAAGAAGCATACATCAGCACCAGTTGCTCAAGCTGGCAGGCCAACTGCTGGGAGATCTCCAGGAGCTGTGGGGGAAAGTGCAGAATTACAAATTCAGGATGCACAATCGTAGCTGATTGGGAGTTTGGGCACAACACATCCACTTCCTCAAAAGTTTAGACTTTTTGAAGTAAGGAAAGTGACAGACAAAATGCTCTGGAGCATGTGGGATTTGACACAACATCATCTAACCTCCTTGCAAGCAAATTGGGATGGGTGCTCAATAAACAGGTTGTCTGGAAGTGCCCCAAAGGCTTGAAAGGGCAAGTTCTTGAGCAGTGGGAAGTGAGAGATGAGACCTCTGTCCTTCTGGTTGCATACCCGGACATGCCCCTAAGGGGGAAATGTTTTGTGCCAGCCAAGCTCTTCATACCTGGATTTGTTTATTTAATTATTATAAAGGTATACAGTGGTACCTCGGGTTACATACTCTTCAAGTTACAGACTCCGATAACCCGGAAATAGTACCTCGGGTTAAGAACTTTGCTGCAGGATGAGAACAGAAATTGTGCTCCGGCAGCGTGGCGGCAGTGGGAGGCCCCATTAGCTAAAGTGGTGCTTCAGGTTAAGAACAGTTTCAGGTTAAGAACGGACCTCTGGAACGAATTAAGTACTTAACCCGAGCTACCACTGTATATCTACCTTTCTAATGCGTATATATTATTCAAGGCAGTGTATAGTAATTATAATCACAGCAGAAAAATACAATAATAATTATGAATGTAAAAATAAAATACAGTAACAGAGACAGGCATGGCTGATCAAAGTCAGTCTTCAGTAAAAGGCACTTCGACCTTCAGCCTGCCCAAACGAAAACAGAAGGCTGCCAGAGAGGAGGAGGAGGTCTTCTAGATTTCATGAGGCAAGCTGTTCCACAGGTGCGGCTACTGAGAAAGCCCTATCCCTTGTCCCAAGAGCCATCCTTACACAATGGATGGGTATCTGCCAGAAGCACAGAGGGTGGGAAACACAACTAAGTCCAGCACAATTTCACCCTTGGTCAGCTATGAGTTTGTAAAGGAAAGTGAGCGAGAGTTCATCCCTTTAGTCTGCCTCAGATCTTTGACCAACCCAGTTGCTGACCTTTAATAATAATTAAAAATAAAAATTATTGTTTTTACCCTGCCCATTTGACTGGGTTGCCCCAAACACTCTGGGCAGCTTTCAACAGGATATACAAAAACACAGCAAAACAACAAACAAACAAACAAACAAACAAACAAACAAACAAACAGAATATCACACATTAAAAGCCCTTATATTGAAGTGTATTCCTCCAGATTGTATTGGGGGTCTGAGCCATCCCTGCTCTTTGTGGATGTAGGAATCAAATTTTACATGCTAAGGTCATACTACCTTTTCCCATTTAACATATATTGTGTTTAGCAAAGAACCTGCTAGATTCCTTCCTTTCTAAAAGCCCAGCATAGAAATCATAGTTATACCAAAACTATGGGTGGCAATCAGCCCAAGGATTTATGTTGCACAGCTGGGTTTCCTTCCCCCTCTCATTCCCCTCCACGCAGCCTGTGCCCTCTGAAACACCGAGGAGAGAGAGAATGTCCCATGGCACAAGGAGAAATCTTTCTTCAAGGAACTACTTAGTGCTACATTGAATTCCATCCCAACGCTCTTCTGATTTCACTGATTGCCCACTTCACCCTGAAATAACTTGTTTCCATAGATTTCTTCTTCCCAAACTACACACACTTGTAATGGAAAAACAATCTATTTGCACAGTTGCTTCAATGAGTAATATGAGATTTATTATTATTTTAAGCAGAAAAGAAAAGACTCTACGACTGTGAAGAAGAAAGGGAAGGGCATTGGCCAAGGATGGGCTGGATGCGGACTAGAAAATTCAGGTGCAGTTTTGGAATGCCATACAATAAAGTTTGATTGCGAAGGGGAGGAGGGAGCCCTGATTCAAAAGAGACTTTTAGTGTTAATTTCAGTTCTTTTTCCAGAGCCAAAGATTGCAGCCTTTTGATTCCAAGCACTTCTTCCATAGAGCCTCCTCCCCCCACTTTTTTTTGGCCTTTTCAGATCAGTTCTGCAAAGGTGCAAACAGAATGTCGTGTAAGCTTTTTGAACCAGTTTAGATGAAGCGATTGTGCCTCCCAACTCTATGGGGATTTCCCTCCTTGGCCCAGACTCACGCGCCTCCTCACTGGTTCCTGTGGGGGTCTTAAATAAGGAGTGCAGCTTCGCGCTGTGGATTCCAGGTAGTGGAAGTAAGGCTGGCACATCTGCAGGAACGTGGGCATGGCTTTGGCAAATTGCTCCTTCTGCATTCTGTCTCTGCTGGAAATAGGAGGCCCACAATATGGTCATCACACTGGGAGGAAATGCAATGACTCTCTTTGCTCTCCACTCCAAGCCCCTCTTCTTGCTGGGCACATGCTAGACCCACACTGCATATTCTGCTACTGGGGAAGTGCATCATGGCAACAACCATGACTTGAGGATTCTGGCACCGTCCAGCTGCAAAACTAGACCAGACAGCCCCTTGGCTTGCTATCTCTCTGGCAATAATGTAGTATGGAAACTTTCCTCCCAAGCAGCCCATCAACTATAGAGTAGCCCAATAAGCCCTGTGCATTTTCCAGGTCACTCCAGGTACAGTGGTACCTTGGGTTACAGACGCTTCAGGTTACATACGCTTCAGGTTACAGACTCCGCTAACCCAGAAATAGTACCTCGGGTTAACAACTTTGCTTCAGGATGAGAACAGAAATTGTGCAGTGGGGGTGCAGTGGGAGGCCCCATTAGCTAAAGTGGTACCTCAGGTTAAGAACAGTTTCAGGTTAAGAACGGACCTCCAGAACGAATTAAGTACTTAACCCGAGGTACCACTGTATTTTCCCTGATCAATTTGGCCTAATTTGGGGGGGGGGTCCCAAGAAGAGGGCAGGCCCCTGGAGGAGGAAAACTGGGTGTGTAAGTTACACACACACACACCACTGTGGGAGATTAAGAGTTCTCCATTACATTTGCCACTTAGCAAGAATCTAAAGGGTACACTGGTACTCACTCTAAATCAAGTCCCACTAAAGCGGAGATTCAGCAACTAGAAAATTTGAGGGGATCTCAAATTTTGGGTTTTGTAGTTAATGGAGCTACCTTAGACATCACTAGGACTAGCCCAGCCAGCCAGTCAGCCTCCCTCCTTCAAGTCCCTGCTCCTCCCTAATCTGCAGTGGCTTCATAATTACAGTCGCCTCAAAGTGTCTCCCCACCAAACATGTGGCCTGCCCAGATTGCCCAAAGACTGCCCACCTCCTCCCCAGCCCTGATTCAGCCCCCTGCCACCTGTACAGCAGGTACGTCTGGAAGTCCTCTGCTTTCTTCAGCAAATATTTGAGCTTTTCCGTAATGGGAGCCAGGAGTTTCTCCAAAGTTACATTCATTTCTCCAGGCGACTCTGGCTGGGGTGGGGCACTGCTCAGCCAGTGGGTCTCTGCTGTGGGTGTGGAGATCAGGCAGAGCCCAGGGCTGTGAGGACTGAGGCTCAGGGTGCCTTCAGGGCTGGAAGAGGGAACATCCAGTGAGCCATCAGAGAGACAACTGTACCCTTGCTTGCTGGCCATCTTCAGTGACCAGCTTCAGGGAAACTGCCAAGAGAAAGGAAGAAAGTTAAGCAACAGGACAGCTTACCCATTCCCAAAAGGGCTTTAGGTTTCTAGACCGGTCCTTTGCCCAAGCCCCCCCAGTTAGAGCCAGTGAGGTGTAGGGGATAGAGTCCTGTGTTCAAACCCTGCTCTCCTCATGAAGTTCACTGGGTGACATGTGGCTATTTGTCTTATCTCAGTATGTAGAACCTGTGCATACTGTTCTGAACATCCAGTAGTGTTACAAATGGGTTAGACGTTTGACATTTTTATTACGTGTTTCTTACAAAAGATATACGGGCAGACCTGCAACATGGCTTTAAATTGGGATCCTTTATATTTTATTTGTTAGAGATTTCTTAACGTCCCCTTACAATAAGGTCCAAGGATGGCTTACAACAATAAAGCATACTATTATTAAAACAAATAAAACAGTTAAGAGCATAAAACAATAAACGTGCAAAAACAAATAAAAACAGTTCCATATATTTTTTAAAAACCAACAATTAAAAACAGTTCAGTTTATAAAAAATTGAAAGGAGCTCCAGTACAGATACAGACTGAGATAAAGATCAGACAAATTCAGGAAGGATCAGGCTGCCCATGGCTCTGAGCTTTCGTGCTTCCAGCACCAAAGGCAGAACACTTCCAAATACTAGTTCCTGGGGAACCAGGCAGCTCAGGTGATGCTTGTGAGCTTTCCATAGGCATTTAGTGGACCACTGTGGGAAAGAGGGTGCAGATAGATAGGCCTTCAGTATGATCTAGCAGGGCTCCCCTTACGCTCTTAAAATTGCTTTACAAATGGCGACGGCAACAAAATGTTTCAGTGTATCCCCCCCCTTCACCCGGAGTCCTTGTCTAGTCAGAATAAAACAAGGAGCTTTGTAGGTCTCTGATGGGGGTGACCCTCAGGAGTGGAAGTATACCCATTTCTGTTCCCACAGCCCAACTTCTAACACTTTACCTGTGTTGCTATATGACCCTAGAGGCCTGAAAGACTCACACCTGGGCATTTTTTAGCTGAGGTTGTAAGATTGGGGCTTGGTCATGAGAGGGTTAATAGACTGCTACAGGAACTGTTGGGAACTTTCTGATTGTTGGTGGACAAGTGGTGGAGCCCTTCATTTGTTAGGGAAATTACAGGTAAATGGCACACAATGAGGAGGTGCTAGCCAGGGAGATAGGCAAGAGTCATTTTGGCCAAAGGCATCCTTTTCTGTCTCCTCTAATCTAATCTGTGTCTGGGAAAGAGAACAAAGGAGGTGGACTGAGGTTAGACTGGGGTCAGGGGAGACACACAGGGAGAAGGCTGAGCTGAGGTTTTTGGGCTGCTTAAGCATCTCTGGGGATCTGACATGGGTACCTTGGCATTTGCTTTGTTGGCATCTTTGTGTGGTCTGCCTTTACCTATCAGTTTGTAAATAAACTCAAGTATTAGTCTCCACAGCAGAACCCACCTTTAAATGACAATTCTGGAACTTGGGAGGAAAGCTCTAGAATGAAAGTGCTCAACTGAAACTAATTAAAAAGTTGAATTTTATTCATTTGGGTCTGAATTGAGAAAATGGTTTCCTGTCCCGGTGCAAGTGCTCATTTACTCAGATGATTCTGTCGTCACTGCTGCTATGATAGGCCATTTTGCAAGCATTTACATTATGCCTGAATTGTCACAGAGTGTACTTGTTACATTCTATTCTGCTGCCATTTAATGCCCGCCTTTACACATACACCCCTTTGAATTAGGAATGGTGAGCCAGGCCAAAATGGTGAGTGGGACAAAAGTTGATAGGGTATAGGGCCTCACAGAGACTGCCATTTCTCCCTGCTGGCAGGCAGCAAAATAAAGCAATCAGAGCAGCAAACAGGTAGGAACTGCTTCCTATCATTGTATTTTCATACTAGTAAATGGTTAACCGGCTGAATTTCTGCCTTTCATACAGCTGTTAAAGGAACAATAATTAATAGATAAGGTTGTCAATGGCTGCCATCTATGATGGCTGTGCTCTGCCTTCATAATCCACCTCAGTACTTGATTACTGCAATGCACTCAGTGTGGAGCTACCCTTGGACCTGGGCTAGACTGTTGGTGGGGACAGACTACTACCACCAGCACATAATTCCAGTGCTGAAAAGCTTGTACTGGCTGCCTATACATTAATGGGCCAAGTATTAACTGACAAGGCCCCTAACAACTTGGGTTCAGGATATCCTTACTTAGGGGCAGACATCGGTAATCTTTGGTAACATGGCACCCTGTGCGAGGCCAAAATTGGACCTCTCCAAATGGATCTTCTCAATTTTGTGCCCCCTTGGCTTAGGGGAAACTACCTATATTGTCCTAAATCAAGCACTGCCTTATTTCTTATATTCTGGAGATATCACTGTGATCTTTCTGGGGGGGTGTGTGTGTCTCCGTTAGTAGTCCCCCATGGTTCAGAGGAACGGTTCGTCTCCACCAGGAGCCATGCGAGGGTCCAATTCTGTGGAACTCACTCCTGACTGAAAATCAAACAATTTCCTTCCTTGTTGAACTTGCTTTCTGCTTCAGCAGGCATTTTAAGTTGTTTGTGCTATCTATGGTTTTCAGACTGATAGATTGTTTTAGTGCTTGTGGTGGGGGAAAGCAGGCTAGAAATATTGGAAATAAACAAAATATGCAAATCCCCCAATTTTAATGCCTACCCCCCTCTACAATACTCACTACAAGGTGTCAGAAGCCTGAAGAGGCCAATGCCTGCCCTCCCTTTGAGATGGGTGTTTTTTTAACTGACTTCCTAACATTCTATGTTCAACTGCTCTCAACCATAGAGTTAAATCAATAGGCCTGCATAGGCTTCTGGTTTCTTTGCAGCCTCCTGCCCTCCCACCTGCCCGCTCCATCTCTGTAGGATTATGGAGCAGTAGATATCTCTGTGTCGGTTGGGAACCTGTTGAAGAAAATGGAGACATACCTGCCACAGATACTGAGAGTAGTCCACACACTGCTAAGGTTATAACTGTGATGGCCCCACACTTGGCCAACTTGGACTTTTCTAGAAAGTTATGACCATAACAGGGTTCACCTGGAGGGGGCCCATCCCAGCCAATAGCCTTTTTGCCACCTCTGGTGGCAACATGTCCCACCCAGGCAGGGCTTCCTCCTCCTCATTTCAGAATCCAGAACAGGTGACACAATCATAGTGATGAGAAAGGCTAGACGTATGGCTGCATGTGGACCACTCTTCAAGAATGCAAGTGCACAGCTAAGAAACCCGTTTTCTCCTTTGAGTGTCAACATATTGTCCCTGCTGTGGCTGAACAGCACATATTATTGTATGGAAGGCGGCTGGGTAATCCTGAATCCTTCAGTCACACCTTTACATGCTCTGCATCCTACTGTTCCTGCACTAAAACAGAATAGCTTCACCCAGCACACCTAATAACTGAATTATAAAAAAGGAAGTTCTCTCTGAACAATATGACAAATACCTTCATGGTCTGTTTGTATTCACTGCAGCTTCCCAAAGGTTCACAGCCGGGACTTGAGAGTTATCAGCTTCACCATAACTATAAAGCACTAATGGCCTAAGTAAACATTGCATAAAAATGTATGCAATAAAACTGTGGTGCATGGAGTTTTTAAAAGCAAGAAGCTGCTTTAGGGGGAGGCAGCTTAGAGCACCGGGGGAAGGAAGTGCTGAATTTCTTTTCCCCACCCAGTCTTTCTCTGCTGCAATCAGCCACTGCTGCCCCAATCAGCTGCAGCTCCTCCTAGAATCCAGGTGTGCTTGCAAGGATAAATACATGTTTAGAACTCCATGATGGGAGCCCCTGATTTGGAATGAAGAAGTGGCAACATTTCCTCCACCTGCTGAAAATCCTCTCTGAAGTTGCTTTTCTCTTTAAAAATCAAAACAGAGAGGCTTTGTTACTCCCACGTCTTGGTGTGTGGCACCAAGATTGGCTCTAAGTAAAGAGAGATTGATTCCTCTGGCCACAGATTGAAATTTACAGCAAAGGGCCAACTCTATTGTCTCAATGATGTATCAACTTCCTGTTTAGGTAACAGGTCTAAATAAAATCAACAGCAACTATCCTGGGATACATTTAGATCCAGCAGGAAGGCAGAAGTGGGAAAAGGCAGACATGGAACTAAACTCATGACCAGGGTCATGCACCCCAGCAGGCATTGTTCATGTGCTTATGCTCTGCACATGTGATGCATGCTGGTTGGAACCCTTGTAGTGTTTTTTGCATAGGTAACATGCAGCCATCAGACAGTGCGGTGAGGGAGCTGCATTGAGAAACTGGAGGCTGGAGCTGTGTGTGCCCTGTAACCGCCTCAGCTAGACTGCTACCTGCAGGAGTGATGGAGAATTCTGCTTTTATCAGGTGTTGGCAGTTTAGTTCACTTGGCTTCTGGACATGGGGAGTGGACACATTTTCCTTTACTTTCAACAGCAAAATGCTTTGGAGAAGTAGTGAGGATGTCAGAGGATTCAGACTGAAAAAAAGGGGGGGGGCTGAATTGCTAATTGATGTTTGCTTATTTACCCAACTGGAAGTAAATCCAGCAAATAAGATTTGCATTCACTGTTGTTATAGTTTTCAGCCTGCAGATATGATTGATGATTCCTTCTCCGGTTTCATTCCATTTCCTTTGCCCTGAAGTGAATGGTGTGGAGTAACATAACTGAATATATAAAATTCTGCCACAGTAGGCAAGGAGCCAAACAACATAGTTTTTGTCAGAAGACGAACTACAACAAAACCAAAATTAGCACTGCATGCAGCCTACACAGGTTGGAACTGAAATCAATGTCTTCTTACATCCTGAGAACAAATTTTGTTCCAGTACCTCACTGAATTCGCAAGGGGAAGTGTAGCAGGGAAAAGTTGCGTAGGTTCCATCCACCCTGCTTATATCTTGAGCAAAATAGGAGCCAAGCATTCATTTCCCAACATCATCTTCCATAGAAGAGGAAGGCAGTGGAGGTTTAATTTGGGATCTAAGCCTCTGGTTATCTCCTTTCTTTCTTTGTATCATATACTAGCTGCTAAGGGCTGAGCTATCACAATGACAGCGTGCACACACTGTCCCTTTAAAGCACATCCAAAACACATTAGTTAATGATAATTAAGAGTAATAAGAAATGCAGAATAAGTGATAAAGAATGGAAAATCATCAGAGGTGTTGACAGAAGTCTAAAATATTGTATAAGACAAGAAGTTATGTTATATGATTGTTGGAAATGATATGTTAAAAAAAATGTATAAACAACAACAACAACAACAACAACAACAAAGAGTTACAATTCCTAGCAACCCTTAACAAACTAGTGTTCAGAATTCTTTGAGAGAAAGAAGTTGTTTCGGATGTGCTTTAAAGGGATAGCATTTACAGGTTTTAGGAGGGTGGGTCTAACTTACATCTCCCAAAATGCTTCCATGAACTTTTAAATTTGCATTTGAGCCCCTGCTATGCAATGTGATAATTTGTAATGCAAAGGAAAATGTGTGTGGATGGGAAGCAGTTATAACCTGAATAAGCATCCTGTGTATTTTTTCATTCACATTGCAAAGTGCAGCATAGTGCAATCCCAGGGATATTAAACTCGAAAGTAAGCCTTGTTGTGTTCAGTGGGATGTACTCCTGGGACCCTCCCACCCCTGACCATTGGCTGAGTTGGCTGGAGCTGATGGGAGCTGGATTTCAGCAACACGAGCGGGTGACACATTTTCCATCCTTGTCTTTAACCTCCAAGTAATCAGTTTCCTTATGTGCTTTTGGTCTTTTCACAGTCCGCTTTGGGATGTGGTGAACCAACATTTTCCAGCAAACCTGTGAATACTAAAGTTTATTTCAGGGAAAGATACAGACTTATGCCATGCTTTCTCCTTTTGGATGGCTGGGGTGAGGAGTGGGGTGGACATCATGCTGCCCAATTGCAGAGAATGAGCAGCAGTCCTTGCTACTGCTCTAATGCCAATTTCTATGGCTTCAATACTAATACTATTCAGGATGACTCTTCTGAATGCAGAAGGTAGGTTGGTCTAGAACTAGTACTCCCTTACACTCGCTTGACGATGGGGGAACTCAACCTTCCTGGGATGTTGCCTCCAGAGCAGACGCAGGATTCCTATAAGTTAGCACATGGGTAGGCAAACTAAGGCCCGAGGGCCAGATCCGGCCCAATCGCCTTCTAAATCCAGCCCGTGGATGGTCTGAGAATTACTGTGTTTTTACATGGGTAGAATGTGTCCTTTTATTTAAAATGCATCTCTGGGTTATTTGTGGGGCCTGCCTGGTGTATTTACATGAGTAGAATGTGTCCTTTTATTTAAAATGCATCTCTGGGTTATTTGTGGGGCATAGGAATTCCTTCATTTCCCCCCGCAAAATATAGTCTGGCCCCCCACAAGGTCTGAGGGATAGTGGACCGGCCCCCTGCTGAAAAAGTTTGCTGACCCCTGAGTTAGCACTTGAAAGCAAATTGTCCTATGGGGTATGATGAGAGAGAAGCAAAATGTGATGGGGAATATCCTTACAGGCACACAAAAAACTCCCCAAGCAACTGTTCTCGTGTGGAAATATATTGTGTATGACTGTGTTTGTATGTTTCCATACTTTTTAGCTGCTTGACCACTTTTTCTTTGTACTTCAAAATGCTTGCAACTTTCTACTACATGTGCTGTTCCATACCTGTAAAGCCGTGAGACTGCCATTGCCTCTGTGGCAGCAGTACCTGCTACAGTTAATTACCAGTCAAGAGCCCTTTTTGAGGGTGGGGAGGGCAAGGCATCATCCTGCTCCAGGATAAGGAGAAAAGGATCTGAAGGGTGGCACTGGCCATGGGTGGTGGGGAGTTGTCAGAAAGCCCTTCATAACCATTCATTCCCCTTCCACGTGAGGAGGCACCCTGGGGTTATCTGAAGAACCCCCAGTGAATAACAGGTTTCATGGTTTTTCATTCCTCTTACCAAAGCTGCCAAGCTTTGTTCACACCATGAGACGCTTGTTGAATTGCTCCAATCTGGACTCACATCTATACTCCCAACAAGTGCTTGCCTTTTCTCAGTAAGCAGCCACAGTAGTAGTAGTGCAATCTAGTTCTTCACTGCTTCAGCATTTTTTCCTCCCATCCAGCTTTAGTAAGAGTGTTGCCAGGTGGTGTTTACTGTGGAACTGATGCTGCTCATGCATTCAAGGGCTGAGTTTTTCTTTCTTTCTTTGCAACATCCACATGTCGTCAATGGCATCAAAATGCCAGCCTGCATTTTTATCCCTCACTTAATCAAGGTTTGAAAATTCCGTAGAAAATCTGATGCTAAAAATAACCTGTTAACGGTGGCCTGCGTGTGATATATGAATGACTCACTTTACAGAATTAAGCGCCTGTCTAGATGCACCATCATCCCTTAAAGCAAGCAGAGGCAGATCTGACCTTTTCACCTTTGCTGGATTCTGAAGAGGATAAAAAAGAAAAAGAAAAGAACAACCTCTTGCAATGGGCTCCATGACAAAAGGTGGTTAGATCTCCACCTACCTCACACTAACAATGGGCATAAAAAGTCAGTCATGTGGTCCCCAGAGCATAAAGGACAAGGTGGTCTAGCCATGTTACCATCCCCTAAACCTTTTCACAGTATGGATACTGGTTATTGAAGCTTTCATCTTGCAGCCTATTGGAAGTGTCCTGCAGAGTTTTAAGTAGGCAGGAAGATGAAAGCTTCACACACATAACTTGGCTTCACTTCAGTGGTGGGAAAGTAGGTAGCAGGGCTGCTGAAAAACAGGACTGTGGTCCAACATCCTTAATAGTTGCACAGAGGAAGAAATGCTAACAGGGATGTAGCACACCTGCTGAAATTCCTTCTATGCAGCTCTTACAGGTGCAAAGTACTGCCCTCTCTTATAAGCCACCATATCAGTAGCGACTACGTCTTATTGACACAACCAGTTCAAGCCATTTATGACTCACTCCAAATGGTGGCCCAGCATGGATTAGCTGGGGCATTAAGCCATTGATAAATTCTGTGTTTTTCCTTTAGTAAGTCATATGCAAAAAGGAAAAGAGGACACAAAGAAACTTCTGAACATCCATTGCTGATTAACTGCCAAAACATGATGTGTGTCGTGCAATAGAGGTATCACAGCAGGAGGGCTTAATAATTTATAGACCTGCAACATGGACGAAATCTTTAAAGATTAGGCATCAACCTCTTCATTGATTCAAATGAGTTTAATCTAACGGTGAATTTCCATCATCCTACAGCTCAAGCTGTATACAGAATACAGCACATTAGGAAGGAGACCAGAGTGAGCAGGTATGAAATTGGTCCAAAAACATTTTTCAAAGTGGCAACTTCAATATCACACAGATGTACAGTGGTGGACAGGGAAAGAGGTGCTTTAGCCGAGGCACATGGGAAGAAGGGGCTTTCTAACCACCTGTGACAGGAAATGACTACGTGTGCTATTTTGCTTGATTGCTTTAGCTAATTCCCTACACTTTACAGAGAAATATTCTGTACCAGCAAGAGGCTGCAGATGAAGCTGTCCACCTTGGGAGGAATGATATACAGAGGAATGATGTCCACAGAGCTGGCAATTCATGTTATCTTAGTGACACTGTGGAAAAATTAGCTTCAGCCATTAGAATAAGGTAGCATTGTCTAGTAGGGAAAAAGCAGACTCGTTTGATTTAGTTCTGTTAACTCCAATAGTAAAAGGACAGTTTACATGAAAGGAAATACAGGCCAATAGCATAAAGCAATTGTACACTAGCCTATCACCATAAAGTCACCTGCTACAAGACTCTAAGTCATCCCGGCTGCCCCTTTGCATTATAAACCAGGTACACAGATCAAGCACATTTGTAGGCAGAGACGGGAAGGTGAACACAATCAACTTCAGCAAGATTCCCTTTCATTCAACTCTACTCCCAACTTCCTGATAGCATGCTAGTGACTGTTCTGGTATCTGATTATGCTATTTGCGAGAATAATAGGGTGCCAAAGGTCCAGTGAGGAATCAAAGGCTGCTGGGAGCATATATTGCATGGTAGGGTGACTGAAGATGGAAACAATCATGGGATGCAATCTTTTAATTTCTCCTCTATAGTGGAGTAAGCCAAACAAAGTGGACACAGAGTTGAGCCCAGCAGGGGGCAAGAGGGTTTAAAATCAGAAGGAAGTTGACCCTGAGGAATCACCATTGAAGAACTGTACCCGTTCTTTCAACTTCCCCACATCACCCCACAAAATGTCCCCACTAACGAGCAACAGAACGTGGAACTTTCTGCCCCTGCTGCACTCTCCGTCTCCCTCCACAGTAAACTAAGCCAGGGCTATGTGGGTGGAGCATGTGCTTAAAATCAAGATTCTGAACCAAGGTAACCTGAATTCTGTGAGCTGTATAGATCATACAAAATACACAGATTTGTATGTATTTACTTGCTTTGAACAGGCAAAGAGAGCTATGCAGAAAACCGAAGCCTGGGTTACTAGAAATCTTTCGCTTCTCCTTTGGCTTCTGAGATTTCTGTAAGACATTACGTTCCAATTTTAGTATATGTGCTGCCGAAGCGAGCACTCTGTAAGACATTACGGACATGCTTTCAAGAGCATAACTGTGACATTAAGAATTAGAAACTTGATTTTAGGAAAATGAAAGCTGAGGTTTTAATGTGCTGGAGTCTGTGTCCAGAATCAAATTTGAAGCTTGCTAACACAGCCCCAAAATCCAGACTGCCCCAATGTTTCACTACTTTACTGCAGAACACAGTATCTGTGCTTACTGCAACACCCCGCCCCTTTCCAGCCTATAGTTTTAAGACCTGGGAATCATGGTGCTCCATATCCAAATATTGCACACTATCTATCTATCAGAGCCTCCTCCACCCACCCACCCCGCCACATTAGCCACCCCTCTTCTGCCAAAATTTACCCACAAAGTTAGTGTTAGAGTTAAGAACGGAACCCAAGAGACCTTGGATCCAACTCATGGAAGGGCTGGAAACGGAACTGAGTCCTGCCTTTTGCCCGAAGGAGAGCTCTGCTCACTTGCAAGGCTTTTGGTCAGATAGCCTCCAATATGTTAAGGACTAAGTCTACACTTTAAAACTCAAGCTTTATATAAGCAGAGAAGTGAAAGATCCAGACAGCATTTTGTGGCCACAGTGCGATTCTGGTCAGGCAACAGAGGTAGTTACAGTAAGGTAGGAGACTCAGTAGGCAAGACAGAGTTTCAAGTCCACAGCATGATGGTGTCTCCTAGCACAAAATCCATACAGCTACTAAAGTTTGGACGTAGCCCTGTGAAAGATGTAAGAGGCAATGCAAGCAAAGAGGCACAGAGGAAGTTAACAGTGTAAGTGGGAACAGAAGCTACTACTCTCCTTTCAGAGTACAGGCTGAAACACAGAAGCCTTAAAAGCAAGCCCTCCCAAATCTGGGACAGAACAAAAAGCCCTGACTTTAAAGCAGGTTGCACTGCAATTCAAGACAAGTAGGCTCAAATTTGTCGATTGTGTTAAAAGGAAGGGAGATCAACCAGCATGAATCCAATATACATACAAGGGTCAAAAAAGAATGAAGAAAAAACCAAATTCAAGCTGCTTCAGGAAGCCACATATGCTTCAGTTCAGGAGAGACTAAGGGGCAGAGCAATCCCCTCCCCAAACAAAACGCTAGACAAAACCCCGGCCCTAGTTCTCCTGCGGCAGCAACTTGTACAAAACCCTTTGGTACCCCTTTAAGAGGCAAAGCTGGAATTCTCTCCCTCCAACCCCTGTGGGACGGGACCTTCAGTTATTTCTCCAAATAGCCCACAACTCCTGTGTTTTGGTCTCAAAACAGAATTGCGTGAGCCTGGTAAAAGTTGAAGTTGAAATAGGGGAAGACTGCAAATAAGAGGAACATCCCCTGAAAGTAAGTAGGAGGCTGCAAGTATGTTCAGGAAACTGCCCTGTTCTGAAGGCATAAGGAGGCCCTGAGCCCTTGTGCTGATACACTAGAAGAGATGTCCGCTACAACCTCCTGGCCAAAAAGACAGAAATGGATTTGCCTTTTTAAGAATGCATACTCAAAGAGTAACTAATCTGTGTTCAGTGATCTCAATAACCCTTTGATACATGAAACTGCTGAGAGTACTGTAGTAAAAAAGGTGGATTTCCTCATTCTTTTCAAATAGGTTTATGGGCAGAGTGAAACTTCTAAATCTGTCTTCCCCAACCTGATGGCTTCCATGTTTTTTCCAACAACAACTCCCAATAGGCCAAGCCAACCTGTATTAGAGGAGGCCAATGTGAGTTGTGATCCAAAACACCGGGAGAGCACCAGGTTGGGGAAGGGTTGCTAATCAACATTAGAAACCCAAGTAGAGAACCAGGTAATAGTAGCTATGCCAAACTGATCACATATAAAAGGGTATCATAGCGGTCATGTGATATGAGCCACAGAGCATTTATCTTGGATGCAGCTCACAGCACCAGGCAAGAGTTTGCCAGTATTTTTTAAAATATGTAATATCTATCTATATATAATGAATCTCAGGAACATTCGTAGGAAATGAACAAATAGTACTCAGGACAGATTTCTCCAAACAGCCTTGCAGAAAGGAGCAACGTAACTCTGCAGCATTTATGCTCAGGATATTTCCATCAAGGACCGCTAATGGGGAGATGTTGCCTCCATCAAACTTCTTGCACTCGTAAGAGAATTTGCTTGGGGCCCAGGCAGAGCCACACTCACACCAGCAACGGCTGTTCTCAAACTCTTCCCTATATGTGTACATTGCCCCTTTCTCAACAAATCTCTGAACTGCCAAAGCTCAAGCCCAGGCAGAACCCCTTACTCACCCTTCTGTGAGCTATTTTCTCCCTAGCAGAGCAGGGCAAGGAGGATGTTGTCAGCACTGAAAAGGGGAGGGTTCTGGTTTTTTTAGAAAGCTACCCTCCAAAATAAAAAGCAAACCAGGAGCGGAATATGGGGATGGAGTTCCCAAACCATCACCTATTCCTACGTGAGATGTGCTCCCTTAGCATGGCAGCTAGCAGATGTCGCTGCAAAAGCTGGGACACGCGATGGAAACAACAAAATGTTAAGACATGATGGTGATTTCCAAGTGGTAGATTTGAATTAATAAATGTTGCTGAAATTCATTATTATCCGGGCTCAGTGAACTATTCTGTCTAGCTTGCAATACTTGGCTGTATTATGAATCAAGTGTTGTTTCCTCCTGAGAAGTTCCTCTCCAGCTTTGTATGTTAAACAGGACTCTTGAGTGTGCATGGCCAGCAGTCGGCAGAAGAAGTGCCAGAAGTCAGCTGCTGTTTAGTAGGCACAGAAGTTCTTTAATGTTAACTGCTACTTCATGATGAAACAAGCTCTCGTTGATTGCTGTAATCTACGTGACCAAGCCCACCCAACCAAGCAGCCTTTCGTTTGGCAAGTGTGACCTCTACCTGGGTCAATCAATGATCCTGACTGTTTCTTGCAAGCACGTTAGAAGGCTCTCCCCCCCACCCTGCGTATCTTGACTTAAAACCCTCCCTTGGCCTCAGGTGAGTTTGTTCAGGGCATGTTTGTGTGCTTGAATTTCTGCCATGGCTGGCACTGGGGCAGGTGAAACCATTCTATGATTCCCAGCAAGGGCAATATAACAATGCACCTATGTGTTGTGCTGTCAGCACACATGTGCCAATGTTATGAACTGGAGAGAATCTGGGGGGCCAAAGCAGGCAAGCTTTCCTCCCAAAAGCTTACACATTCAGAGCCGGTTCCATTATAGAGCCAAGGGGAATTTGTCTACCACTGAAGTTTGAACAACCAAACCTTTACAGTACATTTTTAGAGAAAAGATGCAAGACAGTGGTGCAAAACAGGACAAAGAAGGTTTCCCCTTCTGGGTTAGGAGTTCAAAACATTGGGTTTCAACAAAAACACCAGAAGGACAAGCCATATCTTTGGAAGATTTTTGTTTTTTTTAAAGGAAGGGGGAAAATCTCAGGCATTTGTTAGGTCGGGGAAAGGCCTTTTGGCTTCTGTGGCTCCAATACCTATGGATTTCTATTCGTGGGAAAGCCTATTTGCTCATTTTTGCAGGCAGTTTGGGAATCAGTGGATAAGCACATGCTATCGCAGAGACTCCGCTGCCCAAGTCTCGGGGCCAACAGCGTCTGTTCTATTGGACTTGGCCGTCTTTCTTTCTATCTCTTTCTCTGCCCCTCCCCTAGAGCTAGCCAGTGTCCGGGTGTCTGCATGAATGATACTGTGTCCTGAAGGGTGCAGAAGTACTTCTGGGGCTTTCGCGGTCTAGGCTCAGAGCTGGCATATGTCGGTGAACGTTAACTCTACACCCATGAAGTTGGCAGTGCTGCTGGGCTGTCCCAGCTCCACTCGCGGAGCTAACAGCAGGGCTAGCAAGCGTCTCGAGTCACTGGTGGAGCAGAGCCCTGCCCCATACAGGGCTGGCAGTGGTGGTGATTTTTCTTCTTTGGGGGTGGGAATCTCCTTGCCCCCCAACTCCTAGAGCTAGCAGGCATTGGAAACATAGTCAAAGTCCTTGAAGGCATCCTGCTCCTTTTGGGTAAGGGGCCGTGATTCACGGGGCGGCGTCAGCATAGCCGCTTCGGCTGTGAACTCCTCGTCAAAGTTGCTGATGTCTTCGCGGCCCTTGACTACTGGCACAAACGGTGGCTTGATCTTGCGGGCCAGCAGGGCTTCCCAGTCAATGCTCTGTGGAGATAAGAGAGGACAGAGAGAAAACCATCAGGGACTTTTGATAAATATCCCATGGAGGGCTGTGAGAGAAGCTGCATGGTACTGGAATGATACAGCGGACAATGCAGTAGGAGCAGCAATATAGACCAGCACACATTTAAAGCAGTACCATATTGCTTTGGTTATTCCCAAATAATCGTGGGAGCTATAGTTTGTTAAGGGTTCTGAGAGCTGTTAGGTGACCCCTGTTCCCCTCCCAGAGCTACCATTCCCAGAGTTCACTGGGAAGAGGGACTGATTTTTGGACTATTCTGGAAACTGTAGATCTTTTGAGGGGTCTCCTAGCAACTCTCAGGACCCTTAAAGACTCCACTTCCCTGAGGAGCCATGACTGTTTAAAGAGGTACAGAACCCAGTCATCAACATATATAAATCTTTGTTACTAGCAAACCAATTTGATATACAGGGATTGAGGGAGGAATGAATAAAGAACGGGAGATCTCAGTTTCAACCACACAGTGGAAAACTGTTTTAAGTGCTATAACAAGGGTGTCTCTGGACCTTAAATTGAGGCTCATACAACAAAAAATATTATTTAGAATATACTGGACCCCCTTATGTTTGTTAAAAAAAAGGGCTATCTAAGGTATCTAACTGCTGGAGATGGAATAGGGATAATGCTTCTCTAAAACATATTTTTTCAAGTGTCCTATATTGAAAGATTTTTGGCAGAAGGTAACTGAAACGATCAACAGAACTGTACGGAACAGCCTTACGTTTACAGAGCAAAATATCCTTTTGAATTATATGCCCAGCACATGGAACCTTACAAAAGGACAATATGAGTGGACTCTCCGTGCCCTTACCACAGCAAAAAGACTGATACTAATGAACTGGAAAAATAAAAAAGTGGCTCTCTTCTACGATTGGATTGAAGACTTATACTGTAATAGGTTAAGATCTGGTGAAGTACAATAACAACTTTGTAAAGAAAAAAAAAGTGGTATGATACTGCTTTAAATGTATAGTGTGGATGAGGCCTGGGGCACGCTTTCCAAATGGTGCATGCTCCATGCTGCTCCATTGCACACCACTAGGGAATGCTGTTGTGCATGCAGAGAAAGGAGCAGCTTCTTCCCTGGTACAGGTTTGAGACAGGAAAACCGCTAGCTAACAATGCTGGGAGTTTTTCATTTACACAGCATGTGTTTTGAGTGTTTTACATAATGGGATAATGTATCCGTAATCCTTTACAGCTCTAACATGACAAGAACCAGACTTGAGTCTTGGGGACAAAGACAAGGTCACTACAAACGCATGAGAAAGAGAGATGGCTATGCGGCCCCTTTTGCAGATGAACATGTTTATCACAGCTTTTGAGGACCCGAGTGATCTTCATCAGATGCATGGAGACAAGACTCTGGGTCCATGAAAACTCCACAATAAATTTGCTTGAGCCATTCAGAAAAGGACCCACAAGTCTTGCTCTTTTTCTGTGACAGATTCTTCCTCTGGAAGAAGTGGGGTAATCACAAAAGCACCATCCCGGCTGTAATATTAGGCTGCCGCATAGTCCCAATGAAGGCCGGGCCCACAGTGGGTGCATTTTAGATGCCAAGAAGCCGGGGCAGAGGCTCTCTCAGCATTACCCTGAAGGAAGAATCTGGGAGAAGCAGAAAGACAGACAGAAACTGACCCTGAAGAATGGCTGCTTCTTCACGTCCTCAGCATCTCGCTCACTAGAGCCCAAGCGACGTTCTGGGTTTCGCCGCAACAGCTGAGTGGAGAGAGAAACAGAGAGAGATCATCAGCACCAGGCTTCCCTGTGAGCAAAACTGCTTTTAACCTATTCCTACCCTTCACAGTCTCTCCCAAAGCCTGGGGCGACGGAGAAGAGTGTGCTCTATTTAGCTCATGCTCGGCCTGGGGTGGGTTGAAAGAATTTGCAAAAGAATGGTGCTCCACTGTGCTCAAGGCCCCCAAACCCTCCCCTTGTTCTTATCAGCCTACGCTCCCTTAAGTAGGAACCACCCCCAACCCTATTTGAACCTCCAGCCCGGAATGGGGGGAAAGCCCCTAGACTCACCCGGCGCATGATGCCAATGGCCTCCGAGGAAAGGAAACGGGGGTAGCGCACTTCGTCATTGACGATGCTGTCAAATACTTCCTCTTCGTCGTCTCCAGGGAATGGGGACTACAAAGTCAATCGAGGCAGGATCAGTGGATGAAGGGTATCATTGATGATCTGTTCCTCTGGGCATCCCTTAGGATGAACTCCAGGACACCCTCGCTTTCATCTGTGCTGGACCACCCCCCATGCCCCAGTGAGAATAAAACACCTAGGTGGCTCACATGGCCTTGTATAGGAAACTCTTCTCAAGTCAGTGCTAGCCCACAGAACTTCCAACCTTGCTCTTCCTAGGCTCTTGTGGAGAACGAGGCCTCTTTAATATCCCTCCTTGGGAACGGCTGCAGTTCAGTGGGAGAATATCTTGCTTTGCAATGGTTTAAATGCCTGACCTAGCCAGGTGGGACTTGGAGAGACTCCTAGGCAGCTATGGCAATTACTGAGCAAGATGGGCCAATGATCATATGTCACCCAAAACATCCAAGTTCTTCTGCACGCTCTCTCTGTCTCTGTGTGCGCAACCCCTCAGCCCCCAAACCTACACACACACACACACACACACACACACCCCACACACACACTCCTATGCTTCATTGCCAATAATAAAATCCTGGTCTCTTGCACTCAACTCACTGTTTTCCTCAGTCAAACAGGTGGGACTCACCTCCCCTACAAGCATCTCGTAGATAAGGACCCCCAAGCCCCACCAGTCGACGGCTCTTGTGTATGATGTGTCTGTCAACACCTCAGGAGCCAAGAACTCTGGAGTCCCACAGAAGGTGCTGGTGCGGTCAGCATAGCCCATCCCTGGCAGAGCAAAAGAAAATGGTTATTAACACGTTCCCTCACCAATGTGCCTGCCAGGGAGGGACAAACATCTGGAAACATCTGAGGGGGACTTTGAAATAAGGGATAGATGAAGCACATTCTCCTTCAGGATTTGTTGGATTTCACATTACAGTGGAGAACTGGGCTAAGAAAGCTTAAGCAAAACAGACCATTCCTCCCCTCTGCATGCTCCCCACCATCCAGGTCTTTTGGGGATCATTGTAGATTAGTTTAGTGCCTACCAGGGCAGTTGTTTTAGTCTGGCATCATTTCTACAAGGCTGTACTTTGTTTGCATTTTGATTTAGAGCAGGAGCGCTCAACATTTTTCAGGTTGAGGGCCAAGGGTTGCAAGCCAGCATGCACATACATTTGGACGCATGTGCACACCCACGGAGCACATAGTGCATACAGTCTCGGGGGTGTGGAGAGAAGATGAAAAGCAGCCTGCACACACACACACACACACACACACACACACACACAGAGTTGGGGGGCATACACACAAACACACACACACACACACACACACACACACACACACACACCCCCCAAAGCAGGCACGCACACACTCAGTTGAAGGGGGGACGGGCTGGCAGATCCAAATGTATATATCTCCCCCCCCCCAAAGTATACTATAAAAAGAGGAATAAATGCAGGGGCGAGGGAAGAAGTGCTACTGCACTTCCTGCAGCTTGGCACCAATGAAAAGATATGCATTCTGCAGCTTCAAGTTCTGGCTGCTCTCGAGATCAATAGCAGAGATTATATCTATTCATTAGGTGTCAGCGTGAAGCTACAGGAAGTGCCTGGGACAAAAGTTACTGAGAGCTGCAGAATCACTCTGTCTAAGGAGTTTTAGTGCTGCTTAAGGACTTCAAAGACTTAAGAAATAATTAAGTGCAATAACTATGTATCCAAGCAAGGCCATAAGGTAAATCTGCAAAATTCTGGGAAAATGTGCTTTAACAAATTCTGGAAAACCCTGAAAATGTCAAATATCGGGTAGGGGGGTGGGGGTGGAGAATGGTCTCTGTGGCCATGAAAATATCTTACAGCCTGCAGGCTGTGGGTTCACTACCCCCAGTTTAGAGGATCCTATGCCTACCGTGGAGGTATCCATCTCACCCCAGACAATCACCTTCTTTGCAGAGGCCGAAGTCTGCAATCTTCACAAAACCCTCTGTGTCCAGCAGTAAGTTATCCAGCTTCAGATCCCTGTAGGGCAAGAGAATTTTAGGCAGATAGAACCACTGCTTTCTGCAGAAACTATTAGCCAACCTCACCGAAGGGAGATACAGGGTTAACTGAAGTTGCACTGTAACACAGGAATCCTGTATTGTATTCCACAGCTCTTTGTTTGGCAGGAGACACCACGATTATCCCACCGTGTATAGGCAGATGAACAACACCCTGCTACGCTATAACGCATTTCAAGAAGCACAGAGCAAAATGACAACACGGAAGAGTGTAGAAGAGACTCTGGGAGGGGAGGAATTTACCAGGATGGTGGCCCACATGGCGTTACCTACCTGTATACAATTTTGTGGTCGTGAAGAAATTGCAGCCCCAACACAACGCAAGCAGCATAAAACCTACAGAGGGCAAGAGAGGGAGAGACCATGACCAGCCCTTCTCTGGTTAGTTAGCAATGACTAACTAACTGCATGAAGGCTTCAAGAAGAGAAACATGCAGTAACAGGCAAAGTAAATAGGACTGGAAAGCCAGACTCGCCACCCACTGCATCCCTGCCTAATTGGCTCTCAGTGTGCTGGCAAGAGAGCAAGTGACCCCAAAACAGCAATGGGCAAGATGCTTTCAGGATGCCTCTAGCCCCTTTCCACTGTCTGCCCTGTGGCTCCCTCTCCCTGACCCATAACTCACGTGGCACGTGGCTCTGTGAATACATCCGTGTGGATGTGCATCATGAGGTCTCCGCCTGCTGTGTACTCCATGACAAAGCAGACATGCTGGGGTGTCTGGAAGCAGGCGAAGAGGTTCACTAGGAAGGGGTGTCGAGCATGGGTGACGATCTCAAAGATCCTCTTCTCGCACATCAGGCTAGTATGGAGGGGGGGGGGAGAAACCATGTCAGGATGGGCGACAACCACACATTGCCTGGTACTCTAAAAACAGGCTGTTGCCTTCACAGCTGCAATTTGTGCATTTGTCACTGCTTGTGTGTGTGTGCATCCACATGCATGCATGGATGTCTCACTGAGAAGACACAGAGCTGTGAAGGCAGAGATCTACCACATCGGAACTGCCCCCTTCCCAGCTCCCACTCCCACACAATTCAATGCATACATGCATTTTACCCTTATGTATAGTGGGGTGTGGGGAGCCTTGATGCTACTTGAGGCAGGCACATGTGGGATAAAGTATTCCCATGGGAGTGATCAAAGAGACAGACACAGCATGGGAGGTTACAGCACCTTTGGAGTAATGGCATTTAACTGGCTAGAACTGCTCCCTCCTCCCCTTTGAGGGACCTTGGGAGTTGCATGAGCCCACGGCTCCTCATGAGAAGTTACATGCTTTTTCAGCTGCTGCATACAAATACCATTTCTCTTGCATACACACATAAACTTTCTGCCAACAGGAACAGAGCCTAGTATGGGGATGCAGGCTCAGTTCTTATCCCAAACTAGCACTATTATGACATCAAAATCATATTAAAAACGCCTAGAGATGCTATGGCATAGGCCTCCAGCCCCCCTGGAACCATGCTTTTCCTTGGCTGCTGGAACAGACTCACCTCTCCACCTCATCCCTTGCAACGATGTCACCCTTCTTCAAGGCTTTAATAGCAAATAGCTCCCCTGTGCGGTGCAATTCAGACAGCAGCACCTATGCCCAAGGCGAACACAAGAAAGGCAGCACAGATCAGTGTCTAAACCAGCACCTAACATTTCTCTGACACTGAAGAGGCAAACTAGGACATCAGGAGAGGTTCAAGCAGAAGTGAGGAGCCAGGGTTCCAGACCCTAGTCACCCGCTAGCAGATGGCCTTATGCCTATCAGGATGGGGGGAAGCAGATGCACCTATTGGAGGAATATAAGATACCTAGAAATATTGAGGAGGAATTACTAGAATACTCACTTTGCCAAAGTGGCCACGCCCCAGCACAGCGACAAATCGGAAGTCATCCAATGCGAGAGGCATTTTTCTCAGGTGGCTGCTGTGAGATAAAAAGAACAAGTTGGAGAAAGCTGTCCCCCCACCTCTCTCCTCCCCCACCCCCAAAAAACCACACACACACACTGAGCTTCTCCACACTTGGGCCTATGAATGTCAGCTCATGTGAGAATCCCCTATTTCTGCAACAGGGAATACAGCACAGTTTGGGCACTGTGAAAGGTGCTGGGGAAGCAAGACATATGTTATCAATGGTGTTACACTTAAAACTTCAGTGGTTTGTGAAATCTGCATGTGCACATTCCAGGCAAGCACCCCAGACAACAATATATTGTTTGCTATCTCCCAAACCGAAGTAACTTCTGGAAATAAGAGGTCAAGAAATGTTGGAACCTGTGCAAGGGATGAGCCACAACTAAGCTTTCATTGCAGTATAGACTGAAGTTAGCCACTTTAGGAGGCAGGGGCAGGGTTGGAACACGGTAAGGAGGTAGGGTGCGATTGTAGTGTGTATATGACATAGAAGCTGAGCAAGGATCTGCATATAGGTGGTGAATGTGGAGCGGGAGGGGGAATGATGATTGTCCCCTACCTGTGAAAAGTACCATCAGATCCTCTTGCCTCCCCTCCTGGGCCCAGCTCCACCTGGAAGGGAATCTCCTCCCCAACTTGTGAGGTCTGAAGAGACAAGCACACAAACAAATTAGAGGCATCTGCAAATGGCAGATTAAGGCAACTCACTGCTGTTCATGACAGAGGAGCGGACAAGGGAGCAACTTCCGGGCAGACAGATGAAAGAAGGGGAAGAACACAGACACTTACCAGCAAGACCTTCCCAGGAAGCTCACTGTCATCCTGGCCCACCTGCTCAATTTGAATTCTGTCCCCATCCAAGCTCAGCTTTTCAATGGCAATGTCCCTGGAGAAAAGGAGAAAATGCCATTCTGGAGAATCCCAGGCAATCACATCATGGGGTTGCAGTTGAGTAAGAAACTGAGGCAAGCAGCACCCAGTTCACTGCCTCCAGGCCTCAGCATCACACTGACAGCACTCTAGGTAGCCTAGGCAAGAGCTAGACCTGCAGGAGAACATCTCTGTGTCTTGGAGAAAGGCAAGTGCTTATTGGGAGGGGAGGAGCTCTGATTGCTTTGTGAACTGGGCCCTGGAAGGAAGTTGTCAAGGGGTCTAGAAACTGCATGGCTATGGCACAGCCACAAATGAGAGCAAGCGCAATCGTGATATTCTTATAATGCTAAACAACACCCACCTGGTGGTACCCTAGTGCCCAACCGAGAATGGGGTACCTCAACATTGCCCCTTCAAATGTATCGTTCCCCTCAAATTCCCTTCTTTCCTTAACCCAGGAATAGGCAAACTCCGGCCCTCCAGATGTTTTTGAGACTACAATTCCCATCATCCCTGGCCACTGGTCCTGTTAGCTAGGGATGATGGGAAGTGTAGTTCCAAAACATCTAGAGGGCCGGAGTTTGCCTATGCAACAAAAGAAAAAAAAGGGAGCCACAATATAAAAGAACTTGTGCTTCCCTGTTGCACAGGCTGTTTACCCACCCAGTCTAGTGGGCACCTACCCAGAGTTGAGGCTGTGCCTGCTTTCGGAGCCAGATGTTGGGGTCATCTGCGTCGAAGGGCTGTAAGTGCCTGTGGTGTTGGCTGTGGGGATGATGCGCCGCAGGAGTCGCACCCAAGTGGCAATGTCAATGTTCATCTGGCGGGCGCGCAGGAAAGCTTTCCCTTGGGGAGAAAAGTCAGACCATAAACCCTGAGAGTGCTGCTGCATCAAAGCAAGCCTTCTGTTTCCAACAGGGCCCAACCAGACAACCCCAGGGAATCCCATATGCAGCGCATGAGGACAATCGCCTTCTTCCAGTGCTGTTTTCACAACTGGCATTCTGGCTCTGAACCTGGGGGCAGCATCTAGTAGCAGCTGGGGACATGGGTGGTGCTGTGGGTTAAACCACAGAGCCTAGGACTTGCCGATCAGAAGGTCGGCGCTTCGAATCCCCGCAACGGGGTGAGCTCCCGTTGCTCGGTCCCCTGCAAGTAGATAAATAGGTACCGCTCTGGCGGGAAGGTAAATGGCGTTTCTGTGCACTGCTCTGGTTCACCAGAAGCGGCTTAGTCATGCTGGCCACATGACCTGGAAGCTGTACGCCGGCTCCCTCGGCCAATAAAGAGAGATGAGCGCCGCAACCCCAGAATCAGTCACGACTGGACCTAATGGTCAGGGGTCCCTTACCTAGTAGCAGCTGACTGCCAAACAAACTGAGGACAAGGCTAATTCCCTTTCAAAGCGACCACCATATCCTATGGGAGTGCATCCACAGGTTAACGTTGTGTAATGAAGAAATCTGTTCTCTTCTGAATCAATCAGATTCTCTGGGTGGCCCCAGGTTCTAGCCATTTGGAATGGCTTTACTTGTTTTATATGATCCCCAACAGTTTTATTTGTCTTTATAATTGTGTATCATATTGTTGTAACCAGCTCTGGAATCACATGGTGAAAGGTGGGAAAGGAATTTTTTATAAATAAGGCATTATTTTATAAATAAGCATTAAGCCAGCAAGTCAAGAATCGTTAGTCACAAGCAATTAGCGGTGACGACTGAAATGTACAAAATACTTCATTTTATAGTGAAGGGGGGTCCTCAGACCTGCCTTCATTAATGCAAGTGCTTTAACAATGTAGTCATGAAACGCTTCTCTCTCCCGAAAGACCTGTGGTTAATACCTTCCAAATTTAAGCATATTGTGTATGTACATAAACACAGGTATTCATGCCGAGACCAAACCCTCCATGTGATAACACAGCTGTTTTGAGAGCTGGTGTAGCCTACAGGCTGAAAGTGAGCAGCGACATATCTGGTTCAAATCTCACTTTAGCTGCAAGCTTATTATGTGGCCTTAAGAAAGCCACTATCCTCTCATCTCCAGCCCTATGCCATACAAGAGTGCCACTGTCCTCTCTTACGGGTCTGTTGTGAGGATCACTAAGATATTGTAGTGAAGCGCTTTTAACCTTGAACTATGCTATATATACACACATGATTAGTGTTACCAGTATCATTCTCTTTCCCTGTAGTGCCTGTACCCATAAAGAAGGAAGACCACCCCTCACTGAGACCACATACATGTAAGTGGACATAATGCTACCAGGATGATGTGATCAGCTTATGGAAAGAAACATTTACATGCAGTGCAGTATTAAATGATAGTTCCTAAGACTATAAGACGATGGGGGTTCCAACCCTTTTCTGACCTAGTTGTGCAAGGGAGTTTTTTCCTGAAGTGTTGAAGGATTTCTGACTAGACCCATCCCCATTTCCAAGTGCCAGTAAGAGCAACTTGAACATTCCTTCTTAAATAATATGTCATATCAAACTTCCACCCCTGACAATACCCCACAAGGAACTCTGATTGCACCTACTTGTCACTAAATTATGACACTGTGGGTGGAGTTCAATGTTGCACTATGGTGCACATCCTGCCAATGCAAACAATGAAGCTTGCCAGTCAGAATGATCTCCCTCTCCTCCTTCCCCCATGCACTGTTTCGGGGGGGGGGGGGAGAGAAACCCCACAAGTCAATTTCATGGGGCGCCAGGGGAAGATACATAGCTGTCAACTTTTCCCTTTTCTTGTGAGGAATCCTATTCGGAATAAGGGAATTTTCCTTAAAAAAAGGGAAAAATTGACAGCTATGGGAGGATAGGAGGGGAAGGCCACGTTGTGGAAGCCCTCACACAAGGCTTGCGCTGATAGGACTCCTTAGGCGGATACCACTGTACGTAGTCAGCAACACAGCTTGTTTTCTTCTCCCAAACTAACCCAGGGTTACCCAATGTGCTGCTACTGGACTACAACTCCCATCATTCACCTGGAGGGCACAACAATGGCTACCTGTGAGCTAAGCTGTTGGCAGAAGGATGAGTGATTCAATCAATCCTTCTACAATGTGTGTTAAGAAAGCACCTAAAAAAACCAGGCAAGGCTGGGGTGGCGAAGATGCTGCCGGCCCTTTTGGCGTTTTCACCCAACCCTTACCTTGCTGCTTGGAGAAGATCTTCTTTTGCCGCTGGAGCTTGGGTATGCGCTCGATGACAGGGTTGAAAAAGGTAACCTGCAGCAGGGGAAAATGACATAAGCTAGTCAAGGGTGAGTTTGCACACTGGGTGATAATTTCTGCTATGAACACTCCTGCAAAAAGAGCCTCAGGGCTGAGGCCGTTAGGGTAGGTTATAAAGCACACCCACATAGAATGGGATAGAAGACGTCTCCACCTTGGAGCAGGAGGGCGGGGCTTAGCCTTTCGCAGCCCCAGGGCAACCACTCCAGGGGCTGCTAGGCCAGTGCTGGGTGTGGCCTTCCCACACTCCTGAACACACACATGTACACTACATACATGCAGGCGGACAGAGGCGTGCACACTCCCATCAGGTGATCTGTGCAAATCATCATCACCATCATCATTTTATTTGTAGGCCACCTTTACATAGTAAAAACCATGCTCAAAGTGGCTTACAACATGAAAACATTTGCAGAATTACAAACATAACAAAAGTAGTCCTAAGCAATAAATAAAACTCATCAGAAAGAACACAACGAAACTGAACCATTTCCATATAAATCATAGTAAGATCTAAAAATATATGAAAAATTATTATCAATAACACAAAACCATCTAAACCAGAGCTTTCCAAACTTTCCATGTCAGTGATGCACTCTTTAGACACACATCATTTCGTGACCCAGTAATTCAATTTTACTAGCAAACCAAAGGTTAAACAAACCCATTTCCAGCCCCAGGAGGGACGTGGAGAGCATTCATGTGACACACCGACTACAGCCGAAATATTAACATGCTGCAATACACAGTTTGGAAAGCTCTGATCTAAACAATACCCCAGCCCAAGAGTCTTGTCACCAGCCTCAGCTTTTTTCCCATCACAGTGGGAAACTTAAATCTTTCCCCACTGCCCAGCCCTGTCATGAGGATGAAAACAGGGACAGCCAAGCACTGTCAGAAAAATCAGAGCTCCATAAGTACCAGTGTAAGAGTGTAAGGCCTTAGATCCCTACAACATTCGTTTTACAGTGGTACCTCGGGTTACATACGCTTCAGGTTACATACGCTTCAGGTTACAGACTCTGCTAACCCAGAAATAGTACCTCGGGTTAAGAACTTTGCTTCAGAATGAGAACAGAAATCATGCTCCAGCAGTGTGGCGGCAGCAGGAGGCCCCATTAGCTAAAGTTCAGGTTAAGAACATTTTCAGGTTAAGAACAGACCTCCGGAACGAATTAAGTACTTAACCCGAGGTACCACTGTATTTAGAAATTTCTACCCTGATTTTCTTTACAAATAAATTCAAAGTGGCTCACAAAGTTACTAATAACATATCAAAACAAATACAATGGAGACAATCTGATGATTATGAAGAACAGCACCATATAATTAAGAGCAGGTCAAAACAAGTTTAAAAGCAAAGAGCTAAAAGCATTAAACCACACTGACAGCTCACTGAAATAAAAAGGGTTTTGGCAGTGCACCGAAAACCTATAGAGAGGCAACATCTATCTCCTTGCTAACGCCATGCTAATTCAGGGTTCACCAACACTGTTTCCAGGCTGGAATAAATGGTTTGGAGATCATTCTTTCATCCTGTCAAAATGAGACAAAACAGAAGCTGGGGGTGCTTTGACTTCTTTTTCTCAACATGAAATCTTTGTGGGAGGAAACTATCCCACAGGAATTGAATTGGCACTGAAAAAGATAGCAGTCTGTTGATTGTCCCTGTAACGAATATTCCATATTTTAGCATCCAAATGAGATGCAATGCTTCAGAAAAAGAACAAAGCCTTTCCAGGTGGATTTCTTTGTGCATGTTCACAGTAACCATACACATGCTAAATGTATTTTCTCAAAGTGGTGCTTTTGTTGTAGGTAAACTGCATTTTCCTAATGATCAAATCAAAGCACTTTATAGATGGCGGGGGGGGGGGACCAACATTAAAATCCATAGGCAACTTAAAGAGTCTGCTTTGGAATTTTGTAGACAATTTTAAAAATTCAGTGCAAGGCTTGTGCTGGTTGCAATCCAGCAACGTGAAACAGTGACACCCATGTTCACTTGAGAAAAATATTCTGGAAGATATGATTAAATACCAAACAGGGGAAATTCCCAGAATATATATATATATATATATATATATATTAACCCTAAATAAATAAAAAACAGAGATTAACAAAGCACGGGTTTTTTCTGCCAATATAGGGAGAATGTATTGTTGCTTATAGGAAACTTCCACTTTTACAAAGGGCTGCATGTTAGCAGTACACTGGACAAGTGCTTAGACTCTATAGAAGGAATAATAATAATAGGAATTATTTTGAGGACTTTCTTAATATTCACAAAAATGATAGCGAAAATGGGGTTGTATTTCTTCTGCTATTATCAGATAACTCTTGTGTTTTGGCATTTCCCATTTTATCTAAGAGTATTCTGCTAAGAAATCTGACTTGCTGGATCTCTAGATGTTCAGATCCCAGTTCTGCCCAGTGTGGCTCTTTTTTATTACCTCTGCCAAGAGAATGCCCTGTGGCTCCAACTCCAGGTGGATTTCATGGCGCTGGTTGTCAAGGAAATCCTCCAGCTTCAGGTATTTCAGGGCACAGAGACTGCGGTAGTCACGCCAGTACACACCAATCTCGAGTTCTCGTGCCTGAGAGGAAGGGAAATAATCCATTTTTTAAAAAAAGGCAGCAGCTTATTGGCTTTGACTCTACATTGTACCCACAACTGCCATACCAAGGCTCAATCAAAACTGACACTGGGGGACAACACACCTTCACCACCTTTCTCTGTATGAAGCACAGTTCAGCAATACGACACAAAAGGTGCCAGAGCTATAGCTGACCAGTCTACTGCTTGATGAGTACGAAGAGCAAAGAATCTTACTGACACTTGCTATGTCCTTGAGATGCACAAATGAACAAAATTCCTCTTTTATATCAGTGTATGAGTCCTGATAGACTCTCTTGTTCCTCCACAAAGTTATAATTTGACATTGGGAGTGTTATTTGAGAAGAGGGTGCCAACAGCAAGTTAAGTAGGTATGCATGTGATTGCCACCCTCCATTCCTTTCCCAAAAGGATAGCAAACGCAGGGGTCTTTTTTCCATTATAAAACTGGTGACCCAACCAGGAACATCATGGAAGGATGCATCTTTCCACATACCCTCTCCAGCTCCACTGCGAAAGTCTGGTTCCAGGCTTGTAGGCCGCTGGGTTTCCAGGCTGTCTGGCCGACAACTACATTATCCAGCTTCAGCACAGCACTCACCTCATCTGCAAGAGGAAGAGTACCGATAAGCTGGAAAAGCGACAGACAGCAAGTAAGAAAGGGGAACAAGTTCAGAAGTGTTAACTCTTAAAAAGTGAAGCAGGAAACAGGGTGTGTGCCCAAACACTCAGCATGTCAGGTACCAGGAAAAGGACAGCAGAGAAAAGAAATGCGTCTTCCGATACCCAACTTAATGTTGACATTTTTCAGCAGATGATGGCACAGCAAACAAAATCTCTTATGAGTGTATCTGAAGAAGTGTGCATGCAAACAAAAGCTTATATGAAGAACAAACTTAGTTGGTCTCTAAGGTGCTACTGGACAATTTATAAAATAAAAATAAAATCTCTTAAATTAGAGATGAATGAGAAAAAACAGAGTAGAAGGATTCCACCTGATGTTGGCTGAGACAAAGAAAGGGACCACAGATCCCCCACGTGGAACTAGTTATGCTAGAAGGTCTCCCTTCTTCCAGTTGACCCTTCGCCCAATTTAGAGCCTGCCAACCCGCCCCGCCCCCACATTACTCACTGCTATTATCTTCTGATTTGATGGTGGTCCTGCCGCTTACGCTGCCACTTCGGCTGTACAGGCCTCGCCCGCTGCGGCTCATGAAAGATGGCCGTGCTTCACCAGGGCTGTTGCACGGCAGGGAGACGGTGGAGCCACGGGTGCGTCCTGGGACATATTCCAACAGCTCGCTGCAGCCCAACAGCTGCACTTCCAGCATCCCTATCAACAAGAGAGACAACAGCTCAAAGGGGAAGGTCCAGAAGGCCCTGCTCAGGAGCATTCAAAGCAGAGCAGCCATAACTCCCTGGAGTCTTCTCAAGGGTTTGAGAGAGCAAGGTTTCTCCCACTACTAAGGTATGGGAAAGGAGAGTGAGGTGAGGAAGGAGTCTTGCGCAAATTAGAGAGGTGCTAACTATGGACAGCCCTGGGGCATTTAGGGAGTGGACAGTGCTGAATACTGCAGAAAACCCCGCCAAAAAATAGCAGTGGTGAGCTGCGAGGGCTTTGGAGGCACCCCAAGCAAAGCTAAGTCCAGTTACCTGTGAGTGGAGATGGCTTTGAGAGGGTGTTGTATTGGTTGTGCTGGTAGGAAGTGGTATTACGGGCACTGAAGGCCGGGGAGGATGCCAGGATGAGCTCTTCCTTGATGAGGCAGCCCTTTGGGTGATCTTGAGGCAGCTCGGCTAGACGCTGCTCCAGGGAGTGCCGCAAAAGGTCCAGCTTCTGGCTCGACTCGTTCAGCTTGGTCTGTGCCTAAAACGGCCAGGGACAAATATGGCTACATCCTACACATGGCACTGATGGCGTTTCATCCGCCACCCCATTTCCCAACCTTGTACTAATACCACAGCCTTCTTGGGATATGAATGATGACACGGAGGCACAGTACTCATTAATTCACAAACATCCCAAGTCACATCTCAGTAGCATAGCTTGCAGCTGGGTGACTCAGTAACCCACCCACTCCTAATTTCAGCAGCAAGTAGAACTGGATGCAACAGGTCACAGGCTAGGGAACCATAGAACAGTCAAGAAGGACAAGTAGATGTCCCAGACCTTTTAACTTATCTCGGATTCCTGCCAGGCTCTGCTTATGGAGACTCTGCAAATTATGATACCTGCCACAACCTCTGTGACAAACAGATGGTCTGCTTGTTTCCCCTAGACAGCTTCATTAATAGTGAATGCTGCAAGAGGAAACCTAAGCCAGGGTGGGGGGAATGGGGAGAGGAGTTTGGCTGATTTCAACCCTATTAGCTGCTTATAGTAGTCCTAGAGAAAGGACCCGTTTACAATTCCCAAACCATTTATAATTATGCATACGTATGTGTGAGTGTATATAATCAGACCTTATGAGACCCGCCTCCCCCCCAGCTGAACGAAGTGCCCATTACCTCGGAGATGGCATGGCGGTCCTGAACTTTGGTGGAGCCCAGAAGGCGCAGCACATTCTTGGCCCCCTCGGAAACAGCGTGCTCCACCCGGAAGTGGTGCCGCAGCTCTTCGATCCTCAACTCGATGGTGCTCAGGTCAGTGTTACCTGCAAGTAACAGGATGGGCGTCAGGCATCTGCTATCTGCATCAGATGGCAGGATTAGTTGTGGAGGGAACCCAGAACACATGCATCCCAGGCACAAGGAAATGGGGGGGGGGGTGTTTCCCCAGCACCAGGTGGAGGTTATTCAAACTGCTCCAGGGAGCATTCTCTGTTAGAATTCCTGCTCCGTGACTGCAGTCATAGGATTGTTGTCTTATCACATGATGTTTTGACTCCACAGAGTGGGAAGTGACGGAGACAGGATGTTTGTGTTACTGTGTTCCATGAAGTGGGACTATTGTCTTTTGTTCTTTTTCTCTTTGCTGTCTGATGCTAGAGAGAGGGGGAGCCATGTTGCAGTGCTCCATGTGTGTTTATATGTAAATAAAGTAGATTAGCCAAAATGCTGAGTTGCTGAGGTCTGTTATGCAAGCTGCAAAGACTCTACAGATCCCTAAGTGTGCCAGTGTCTGTTGGCATCAGTCGCTGTGATGTTTGGGCTGAAGAAAGCTTTTGAAGTTCCCAAACGATCAACCAGGAGGGAGGGAACATGCCAGTCAGGCATGTGTCTCTGCCAGGGTTCTACTCGAGGGTAGGATGAGCTCCTGACATTCTCCAGCTCTCGAAGGGCTCTTTAAAGGTTAAAAGGTGGGAGAAAGGGACATTGGTTTTTGCAGAGCAGCCTGCCGGCCACAGGGACCTTCTTTTTTATCCTCCCCTTCACCTTGCCCATCTTCCATATTCAGCTGCACCTCGTCAGCCTGCATAGCCTTGCGGATCTGCATGCGGATTATATTGATCTTGGTCTTGCTGTCCTGTAGCATCTGCTGGGCTGTCTGCAGCAGCTTCCGATCCTAGAGGGCAGGCCAGGTGGGGGTGGGATTAGCAGGGACGGCAGGAGAGAATTAGTCATTAGAATGCATCCCAATCCAAGGGCAAAGCCTGCCCATCTGGCTCTCAGCGCATCAGTCCCTAGCCATAACAGAAGAAAACACCCCCTCACACACCCCCATGCTTCCTAAACCTGGAGGTATCATGTTCTATTCTTCTGCATACTGAACCACATCCTAGGCATCCAGTCTACGGGGTAAGCCTCAAAACAGAAGCAGCTACAAAATCCCTTTAAGTAACCAGTCTTCTTCCTCAACAAAAGTGGTTTCCGATGTGAATATTGTAAACCAGAAAACCCAATCACAGAAATTGTGAAGGTGTTATTTTAATAAATAACTGTGCGAGCGGAGCAACTGGATTGTCCCTCATTTCCTTCCTCCAAGTGCGCCTCACCCTGTCCCCAGATCTGCTCCAGAGGGTTGGGGAATCCTTAGAACAGTTTTGAACTGCATGGGGGACGGGGACATTCTGTTCAGTGAGAGGAAACCCTTGTGCTGACAGAATGTTTGCCTTTCACTACATTGAATCCCACCCAACTTTTTCTTTTTGTTTTCAGTCCTGAGAATCTGATAACAAAGACGCCAAAATCATCCACAGAAGCGCCTGCCTCCCCCAAAAGTTCAGATGCACAAAAATGTTATTTTCATATCAGTTCAGTCAACTGTTGCCATCTTGGTCCCAAGGACGAGATCATATGAAAATGTGTAACTGCATGTGATATCTGGACCAAAATTTTCCTGGTGCAACCGTATGCGGCACTGCTTAATAGAGCAACTATATTTAGATGTTTTTTGCAGCTAACGGTAAGACATACAGCCATAGCAGAAGAGTTTACTCAGAAAGGTTTACAGGTATAATAGGAAATATGTACACGGACCAGCAGGAATTACCTGCTGATATCATTATCTAGGAACTTTCCCTCTTTTGCAGCTATACATGCAACTAGCCTGCCATTCTGCCTTTGCTGGAAGCAAGAGGCATAATAATAATAATAATAATAATAATTTATTATTTGTACCCCGCCCATCAGGCTGGGTTTCCCCAGCCACTCTGGGCGGCTTCCATAGAAACCAAAAAACACTAAAATATCACACATTAAAAACTTCCCTGAACAGGGCTGCCTGAACAGCTAGAGGAGAGAAGGCTAGCATACTTGCATAGTTCAAAGCACCTTGTGTAGCAGGTATGGCAAAGGCTTTCTGCCAAAGAACTTGGAGAGAACCTGCTGTCTGTCAGAAAGGACAATATTGAGCTAGGTTGACCAATGGTCTAGCTCTGCATCTGGCAGCTTTGCTGGTATATTTGCATTTTAGTGGATGAGCATGTAGGGACTAGCTAAGTTCAGGGCAGGAGAGGAGGCAGCCTGCCAGCGACATCCACATACCTTGGCAGCACCGTTGGCATACATCTGTATCATGTTCTCTGCTCCCTGCTTCACCTTCAGCTCAATATTGAGCTGCTTCTCCAGGCCAGCAATGCGGTTCTTGGTAGCTGTTGATCGGCTCAGGCTGCCTGGCGATTGTGGGGCATCTGGGAAGACAGTAAAGTGGTTAATGCCAAGAGGGCACAAATCCCAGACCACCACTATCAGGGGAACCATCCAAATACATGAGCTAGCAGGTAGGGAACTGGCATCACGTAGCAGGGACCATCAAGAGCATGCAAAGGAATGCATACCGTACACATCTTTATGCCCATCCTGGCTCATTGGCATCTTGGAATCCGTAACCCCCCAGGAGGCACTGGGGAAAAGACTGAATCAAGCCAATGAGCACATTTAGATTGTGTTCTGCTTTAGAGGTTTCTGGACCTCAGCACAGAATAAGACGCATCAGCCAGTCTACTTGTTTGGAGAAGATATCTCGCCCATTTTCATGCTGCTGTACCTACGTGCTGCCCCTTTCTGGGCAGAATTCAAAGCACTGCTTCTTAACCATTAAAATCATGAGGTCCAGGTTACCTCAAGGAGGGAAAGGTCTTCTCAGAGGTGGTCTCTCAACTCTGGAATACTCCCCACCCCCAGAGCTACTTGCTTTGTGCTCAGTTTGGTGAGTTTTAAGTACCAGGCTAAAATGTGAGTGTACTCAGGATTTTAGTGTCTAGGAAAACCTAAAGCAGCAGCAAATAACATCTCCTTTTTGCTGCTTTAGTATTATTTTATGAATGCATTTTTTAAAAAGATATTGCTTTATATTGTGTCATTGCTTATTGTTACTTTGATCAGTATGAGCACGTTGAAATCTTTCTGAATTCTATTCAAATTATATAAAAACACAAATTCACTTGTTTCAACCAAAGGGCCATTTGTTACAAAGAAGTTGTCATTTAAATACTAAATATAAAGAGTTATACAAAGGATGCTTTGTCAAGCCTAGTAAGAGGATTCCCTCATTATGTTTTCTATCCAAGAGCAGATTGCCAATGAGACAGACTGCAGAAAAAAGCTGAATTCAGTTAACCAGTATCTAGTATGTTCCTGGATCCAGAGAAACTTCTACAGGTCTGGTCTACTGCATTTGAGTGTGATTTAATCTATGAAAGAGTTGCATACAATTAGATGCATAAACAATAATATATGTATTTTGTGCAACATCCATGTCAGGGCAGACAACTCTTCACTGAATACATAGGTCAAAGGCTTTTAAGAGAGGCCGTATTCAGACTTTGGCACTTTAAATTCTGGACCCTAGCTGACATCATGTGGAACTAGTATTAGGCAATGCTGCGGTCCCAACACTCCCAGTTTAGTGCTTTTCTCTCTCTCCCAGAGACAAAGAATGGACTATAAGATTGGGGGCCTGTTCTTGAGAAAGGCTGCCAGAACTGCTTGGTATTCACTGCTGTGCAATGTAGTGTAAAGCAAGCCAACTGGAATGAATCCTTTTTAGAAAAAAAGAGAGCAGCTCAGATCTTCTAAGCCAGTACACCACTGAGTAAATCCTAGATTTACAAAGCACTTGGTTAGAAAGAACACTTGAAGTGTTGTCAGCAGCACCACATTACAACCCACAGGCTGAATGAGGACAGGCTTAGACAGTGGCCCATCCAGAACTCTTATCTTTTCTGACCTCTGGTTTGCAGGGGGCTCTGAGCCTACAGTCTCCAAGCAAAAAGGAAACAGACACACCCAAGCCCTGCAGGCTTTCTAGCCCAGATATATATATATATATATATATATATATATATATATATATGCAGGCTCTCCCCCCTCCTCCCCATTTTTGTGGCCTGTGCTTGACGGTGGAGTCAGGTACAACAGCAACCGCTTCCTCTTTTGCAAAGTCACAGGCCGCTGCCTCTCCATAAGGTGCAGCCCCATCGTTGTAACAAGCTATCTTGGAATGGTAGTGGCGCCTTGACGTTTTAAGGTTCTGCCTGTGTGCTCCATGGGCTCCACTGTGCCTTTTTTTCGATTGCTTCATACGGAGGGGTTTGGGGATGTTCCCTCTCCCTGCTGCTGCTTATTCCCCAATGCTTCCTTCCACATGCACAGGCCAGCTGCCAAGTTTCTGCTCTGTTAGTGACTGTCCACATCTGGAGACTGGCATAGCCGGTGCTTATTAGGAAAAAGGGGCTGGGAACAGGCAGGTAGGGAGGAGCATACAAACAGGATTGGCAAAGTGTAAAGTTTCCTCTACCATACAAAGGTGCCAAAAGGCTAGGGTGTGGATCTATTTGGAACAGTTTTTAAACAAACAATGCCTGGCAGCTCAAATGAGTTCTTTCTTTCTTTCTTTCTCTCTCTCTCTCTCTCTCTCTCTCTCTCTCTCACACACACACACACACACACACACACAGTTTCACAGCTTTGTTGATGGTTTTATGAACATTCAAGAACTGTAGGTAGCAACATGTGGAAAGCTGTTTCTCCAATGCCAAATATGAAGCTAACTGAATTATTAATACTCACTTCTATATTCTGAACTTTCCCCCAAAACAAAATGCAGGTGAAATGTGCAAGTTTTCAAAAATAGTAGCTGAAGTAAGCCTAATCTGAATGGTTATTATTACATAATAATAAATGGCAGGTTATAGCTTGCTATTCTATAACATACACAAAGAGGCTAACAGTCATCTTCATCAAAACAAATTAAAATTGTCATATTATAATGATTCTTGCATAATAAAAGGAGAGGGCTACAGCTCCTGACTCAGCAAAACATGCCTCAATGTATACTGTTTGAAGGGACAACCCATTTTTGCAGAATTTGTTAGTGTCTTAAAACATTCAAAGTATAGCCAAATAAGATGCTGCACACTCTGGAAGAATGTACCCTGGGATAAGAGAGACACTTTTCACACTTTAAAGCAGTTCCCACATTTTTATAAAAGATTTTTTAAAATTGCTTTTTCATGTATTGATACTGATATAATTCTAAGAATAAATGCCCTTATTCCCAGTACAGAAGCCTACTGGAAGATCTGTTCTTAATTTGCATTCAGGATGGGTTATCCTATTCTATATGTCACAAAATTATTCTTAAGTGCAGGTAGATGACACCAGTCCTGTTTTATATGAGTGACTTCTTTAACTTAGCTATGCACAGCTTTCGCTAAACCAGCCATTTCCTTTTAAATGCCTCTCACCAAACTAGGGGAAAGTGCACACATTGCCCAGTAAAGTCACAGATTTGGTCACTGTTAGAGGTGTTTAAAAGATTTTATATGTCTCGATCAAGGGAAGCTCACCAACACAATTTAACAACCCTCCCTGTAGTTCTTTAAACGCTTGCCAGCTGAAATCGTCAGGAAGCCAGAGACAGACTTAAATCCACCAATACCTAAGAAAAGCTTGTGCACCCTATCATCAGTTCCTACCCATCTTCGCCCTAAATCTCTGCTTGCTTTTTGGCTCCCTCATAGCACTTGACCCTTGACTTCCCACCCATCCATTGCACACACTTACCCCCCAGCTCTTCAGGGTCTTTGACGACAATATGTGCATTGAGATCCTGCAGTTGGTGGTGCAGGGCCTCCAGCTTGCGGTTGGAACTCTTGAGCAAGTTGTCCACATTGGAGAGGTTCTTACGGTCTGTGGTTGCCTTGCGCAAGTTTTCTGCTCCCTCCTTTATCTTCAGTTCTTTTCGAATCTCACGCTTAATCTTCTCCTTTTCTTCATCCAGCTTCTGCTGTACACTGGTGTCTGAGAAATCTGAGCTCTGGTCCAGGCCCAGCTGCTCCAGCACGGACCAGTTGCCTGGATCACTCTGCAAGGGAAAACATAGAAATGAGTTGTTTACAGGCACTGGAATGAGGTTAGCACTATGATTCAATGGGTGCTACAGTGGTGCCTCGCAAGACGAAATTAATCCGTTCCGCGAGTCTCTTCGTCTTGCGGTTTTTTCGTCTTGCGAAGCACGGCTATTAGCGGCTATTAACGGCTTAGCGGCTTTAAGAAACAGGAAACAAACTCGCAAGAACTCGCAAGACGTTTCGTCTTGCGAAGCAACCCCATAGGGAAATTCGGCTTGCAGAACGACTCAAAAAACGGAAAACTCTTTCGTCTTGCGCGTTTTTCGTCTTGCGAGGCATTTGTCTTGCGAGGTACCACTGTATTCTGAATATCACTAGAATCATCCACAGAGCCTATATGGGTGATTATATATATATATGCATTTATACAACTTATATATACACCATACAATACTCATCATTATCTCTTATCCTCAGACTTCTCCGTCCATCTCTCCATGGCATTCTAGGTAGTCTTTTGTCGGCTGCATAATCTGCTATTCCACCAATTTTCGTCTTAAATCTTCCTTTATTTAATGGAATCTCCCAGTATTCTCTAGCATATTTACACAACCACCACATATGGATCAGGGTTCCCTGTACCTTGTGGCACTTCCAGCATACATTTGACCTTTTTCTGTACGTTTTAACCACTTTGCTGGGTTTCAAGTTACCACCGTTACATCATCTTTTGTAAATGTTCCTTAATAAGGTAGCAGGCAGAGAAGTTCATAGTCCTCCCCCATAGTTTTTCCCACGCTGACATTTCTATATTATCACCAATATCTATAGCGCATTTAATCATTGTCACCTTTACCATTTTGTCTTTAGTTTCCCACTCCAATAACAGTTTATAAATCTTAGAAATCAGTTTCGCATCCTTTCCTATTACAATTTTTTCAAATTCCGAATTCATTTCCCCAAATCCCTTTTCTTTAACTTATTTAAAATAACTTGTTCACCTGGAAGTACTGAAACCAATCTATAGTATAATCTGATACCTCTCCTCTTTTTAAACTTTAAACTCTAAACTTTAAACTCGCTCTTTAAACTTTAGAAAATTCTTGTAAGTAGCCTATCTGTTATTCATATTCCATATGGGTGATCTTATACTCCTACTTTATGCCTTCCAACTATCTAGATTCTGCAATCTGTTCAGAACTCAACTTAGTCACAAATGTTCATATAAACAAAGCAACGTACACAGTGACTTTCCCTTTAACAGGGAAACATAATTTTGTGCAATTGGAAGTACCACACTTACAGGCCAATCCCATGCATGTTGCCTACTATCCTTGCATACATCCACAGAGCTAAGCAGAAGGTCTGGTTCTAAGCAGATATGATTTTGCTGTGCAGGTAGGACACACGATCAATGACAACAAAATGCAGATTATGCTACTAGGCTGTATAAAGGTTCTAATTAGAAGCAAACCATTATGTTTCATTGTTGTAGAAACTTATTGGTATGTAAGTGACATGTGAATGGTTCACCTTCTTGCGGTGTAAAAAAATCAATATTTTAAAAATGGTCTTTCTAGGTGGTTTAAAATCCATTATTTAAGTTGGCATGATTTAAAGTCAATCCACCCTGCTGCCCCCTTCGTAGCCTTGGGCAAGTCACCATTCTTTCTCTTAGTCACCAAACTGCAAATATAGATAAATAACATTGACCTACTTTGCAAGGTTACTCAAGGAATTATTGCTAATGTTTGTGAGCACTAGGTAAGTGTTATTTTCATTATAATTATATTATTAATAAAAGTTTTATTTATATACTGCCCTTCCGCTCAACTGAGGCCAGGACGTTAGCTAAAGCAGCATCCAGCTAGCACTAAAAATGTTCTCATGTTGCTAGACATTTCACGGAAATGCTACTATAAAGAGAGAAAAGAAACCATGCGTAACTGGAGTGAGGAAGCAGGCGAAAGAGATGGAGGGAAGCATTACAGCAGTAGACAGTCTGCCACCGAAATAGGAATGATAAATGGTCCAAGAACCCAGTAGTCCTGGGTGCAACCTCTCCCATTCTGGACTGTGCTCTCTCCTTAGAACTACATGAGTCCATAATTTCAGATTCAGGCGAGCAGCTTCTCCCCCTGCCCCAAGTAGAAAAAGCAAAACAAAAACCCCTCTGACTCCTCTCACACACCCCTTGCTCAAACTACTGCATAACCAACGCTAGGCTGGATTATGTGGAGCTCTTTAGGAAGTTCAAGCAGACCATTACTGCCCTGTTCCTTTGCTTTCGGCACTATGAAGGCTGGATTCTCTTACGACGGCAGGTTCCTTTTACTAATAAGGACAATAGATATAGTTCTCAAACCTTCAGCTCTTAAAATTATTCCCAGAACTGTGCTTGCCATCAGTGGACTGCACCAATAAGCAGGACAGTAATGAAAACTTAGCTGTCCAGAATGGTGCCTCTCCTTGGATGGAACTGCAAAAGGATCTCCATGCTTCCACCATCTGTCCAATGGAGGAAAGAGAGCATCCATTTCTTTGCTGTGTAGCACCATTAACTCCTTAGGCAGCTCCAGTCCAATCCTAACGGCATGACTTTGACGTACTGTATGTGTGCTTAGAGTTGAAGTCTAAATGTGTCAAGTCCTAGTGTGGGCTTTTGTCCTGAGCTGAAAACCCTCAGTCATGTCCATGTGCACGTGTGTCTGTAAAATGTGTATAAATTTGTGATAAGTCGTAAGGGTAAAAAAAAAAAATATGAGATAAGGATTGTGAAGCCTTTTGCAAATTATGATTATTCTATTGTGCCATCAACACACATGGTGCTCCATAGGAATAAGTAACATAAGCATAAGAAGGCAGGTCCATGCCCCGAGAACACTGCAATCTTAGCTATGACAGATTGGGAGCATAATTATAGAAGGAGAAAGGATAGATACACAGTCAACAGGTGAAGGATATGCACAAAAAAATGAAGCTGTGTGCATTTAAAGCTTGGCTTCTATAGGTGGAGGGGGGGAATAAGAGCCAAATTAGAAGCACTTTCTCAGTAACAACAGTTTGAGTGGTGCCAACTTGGAATGCGCTGGCAAATTCTTTCTGGCACTACCTTCAATCTAGGCTGTCTGAGTCAGAGGCTGACCCTGCTGTGGTGCCCCAGCTACAGGATACATGCCCAGGTGGGAACTTGGCACATTGTAGTTAAATATTATCCACATAAGTCTTCTAGTAAGGAAACAGACCTCACAGGCTTAATGGAAGGAATTAAACAAGTGACCTGGGGGAGTACAACACAGAATGACACTCAGTTAACAACTTCCCTTGCTACCCTATGAACAATGCCCAGAGCCTATGGAGTCTGCACATAGGCAGAAGAACTGCTGGGGGTGGGTGGGGGCAATATGCCTCCAGTATGCTATCCGTCCTATCCAGCACAAGGATGTGGCCAGAATATTGGACTGAAATGGATATACTGGGGTAGGGAAGGTGGAGAATAAGGAATTCTGAGCAGGACACAAAGTAGGTAATCTCATTTCAAAGCACTGCAAGGAGCTGCATGTATCTACTCACTGAAGCCTGGCATTAAATGTGTTAGGCACATGATAGCCAGTATATGCAGTGATAACTCATCGGCCAAACCTACAGATATGTTATGGCCTCCCCTAACATTTACATGCCCCCTGCCCCCCCTTTTACACACAAAATATTATATATCTTTTGCTCTTCGTCTCAGACACCTTGTTCAGGAGAGTACAGTGGTACCTCAGGTTAAGAACTTAATTCGTTCTGGAGGTCCGTTTTTAACCTGAAACTGTTCTTAACCTGAAGCACCACTTTAGCTAATGGGGCCTCCTGCCGCTGAGCGATTTCTGTTCTCATGCTGAAGCAAAGTTCTTAACCTGAGGTACTATTTCTGGGTTAGCGGAGTCTGTAACCTGAAGCGTCTGTAACCTGAAGTGTCTGTAACCCGAGGTACCACTGTAAGTACTACAGTCCCTCCCTTCTCCAACGTGTAAAAAATAACATTTATTCCTCAAACACATATTCTGCTACTCTCACATGTGTCTGTGTGTTCCAGACTGAGGCGCATTGCCCACAGATGCCCCACAAATGTTCCTGCTACTTGTACCCCATTGTGCTTTTTTGCCTTTCCTGTCTGTTTCTCTGATGTGCAGAGCAGCAAATGCACACACAGATGAACATCAGTGTATATTGTAACATGCAGAGCCGCTTGTAGATGAGGCAGTGCAGTTCCCAAGCCACTTTCACAACACACGCAGTATTCCCTCATCTTAGACTAGGATTCCTGCTCCCTCGTACTGATACTGGCCTACTGATTTCTACACATGCAATGCCCTCCTCCCCAGTTGTTCGGTTATCATTAAAAAAAGGTGGGGGGGGGGGGAGGAAGTATCCCGATACCACCTCCCTTCAAATGACTGTACCTCTTGGTCATGCTCAGAGTTTGTGTCCGGCTCCGAAAGAGACATCCCGGCCCCAGGAGTGGCACACCAGGCCGCCCGTCTGCTTCAAACTGTGTGCTGGCTACACCCTCATTTCCTGCCTGTTGATTCAAACAGCTCTTCCAGCCTGTGAGCAAACAAACCACTTCCTAACAGAGTTCCTGTATTCGCTGGCAATACCGGAACACAGGCCACGGCTGAAGGGAGCAATGGTGGGGCCTACATCTTCCCCTGCTGCCTTGCCACTTGCCTTCCCTTCGGAGTGAACTTTCTAGAGGGGCAGGAAATCCCCAGAACTGCAGTAGGGCGATACTTTTATGAGGTAAAATACCACGAAACAGCAAGCAAGCTTTCAAGTCGTCCAGAACTCTGCTTCTGGCTGGATGCTCAAGCAAAATGCAGAGCAGAGGAGAGAGGGAGGGAGAGAGAGAAAGCTAGGCATGATTTTGGAGCCCAAAAGTTCACAGTTTGTAACCTTAATGCAGAATGGGGTGGGCAGACTTTGTTAGACTCATCCGGGTGCAAAAGAATTTAAGGATGCACCACAGGCTTATTAGGACAACCAGCCAACTGACCAACCACTGGAAATTCCTCCTTATTTTGGCAATATAAAATCTAGGTAGTTATTTAGATCCGTGTCCAACACAGACTTGAAAACACAGGTCCCCTGTGTGGCAGAAAGCAGAAGTGAGGAGAAATGTGGTAGTCTTTCTATCAGCGATGCTACTGTAAGCTAGTAAACGCCATGCAACCATCCACACAACAGTGACCAATGGCAGAAAAGCATTCCCCCCCCTCTCTCTCTGAGTTCTAAATTAGCACAAGACAAGACAAATACACTGCAACAAGATCTACAGCAGTTGGATCCTTACACTGAGCAGGCAAATTGTGGAACAGTTTTGCAAGAGCAGCACAGATCCCGTTGTCAGAGCTATGCACTACAGAAGCTTTTGCCCTTGACATTACAAAAAATGAAAGAAAAAGGAAGACTTTCTCTGAAGTATTCCTTCTCTCCCAGGATCCAGCACAATCCTCCCTTTGTCATTTTTTATTTTTTAAAAATGGGACATTTTGTGCCCTGATTATTTGTAGCCTTTTCAGGCTGCCTCATTTTAGCAACAATAGACTAGAAAGCATATTCCCATTTTTCACTCTCTTTCTCAAGTTACATTAACTGCACATGTGCCTTTTTGTCATTTGAAGCTTTCAGCTTCCCAATTTCAACCTTCAACACGATGGTATCTAGCTCAGAATTTGCAAGAGCACATTTTAGTCCCATCCCCCCCCCCGCTGATTTTTTTAAAAAAACTGTCAGCATGAAGGAATAGGAAAAACCAGAGTTTTTCTGTCAGTGGTGAATCCCTTTTCAAAATTGCACATTTACTGTAAGGCACTTCAAATACCATCTAGTGGAAAAACCAGATACTAATCTAAATAAATAAAAATGCCCTAACTTAGGTTCCTTGATTTCAATGGGTCTACTCTGCTTTGAACTTAGTTGTATACTGCCAACAATATAAAAATTGGTTAAAATAATTTTCAATCAGAAAAAACAGGGTGAAGTAAAAAGCAGTGTTTAAAATTACCCAGGTGCCAGGCACGTTTTGCTTATTTATTGCATTTATATCCCACCTTTCCCCCCAAGGAGTACATGGTTCACTCCCCATCTCAATTAATCCCTGTAATGACCCTGTGAGGTTGGCTAGGAGGTTGTGACTGGCCCAAGGTCACTCAGTGAGTTTCATGAATGAATTTAATCTTTAAGCTGTTCTTATACACTGCTTTACATGTATATTCTATTCTTGTGAAAGCTGCCCCAGTTGTGCTTTTAGAGCTGGTCTTTGACCGTAATAAAGTATGATGATGGTGAATGAATGGGGATTTGAACCCTCATCTCCCAGGTTCTCATCTAACACTCAAACCACTACACCACATTGGCTTCCTAGAGTACTTCTGCTATGGGGCAGCTATACAAATTAAAAAGGTAAATAAATATGGGGAAAGCAAAATGTCACTTAGAGAAGGATCTGAAATATTTTCCTTGAAGCTTGAATTTGTTTCATTCTGGACTGTTTTATTTGATGTTTTAATGTGTTGAAAACTACTACTAAAGTTATGGATTGAAGATAGAGAAAGAAATTGGCATTTTTGATAACAGAAGACACTCAGTAGCAAAGACTAATGACTTCTGCACAAAGCTGACCAGATCTGCTGTAAACTCATACATGCCAAAAAAGAAGTGGTAGGGTTTTTTTGGATCAGAGCAGCTATAAATCAAATCTACATTACTCACACTGGGCACTGTAACTTCAAAGGAAAAGGAGCTGTGTGATAGCCTGATGCATAAGGTGTTCCCAATGCAGAGTGGGGCTGCGGCACCAGGTGCCTGCTAAAAGTCTTCCCCCCCTCCCAGCTATTATTTCTACAGTGTGCAGGCAAATAGCAGTTGGGACGGTGGGAGCAGATGCAGCAAGAAATCAGTGCAGGGTCCTGATCTAGACCAGAAGGACGTTCAGGATCAGGGACCCACAGGGCCGCTTTAAGTAACAGTAGCATAATTAAAACACACATTTTAATTGAACATTACAGTGGTACCTCGAGTTACAGATGCTTCAGGTTACATACGCTTCAGGTTACATACGCTTCAGGTTACAGACTCCACTAACCCAGAAATAGTACCTCAGGTTAAGAACTTTGCTTCAGGATGAGAACAGAAATCGTGTGGCAGTGGTGCGGCGGTGGGAGGCCCCATTGGCTAAAGTGGTACCTCAGGTTATGAACAGTTTCAGGTTAAGAACGGACCTCCAAAACGAATTAAGTTCTTAACCTGAGGTACCACTGTACACGTAGTCTGGTTGTGAGTTTACAGCAGTCTTGGCTGTAGCAGCCAGAGAAGTCGCTGCAATAATTTGCCCAGAAAATCTGCAGTGTGGACTATAAGTGAAGCAAGCAAGGAGCTCTAAGAAAAAGTCGCTTTGAGAGTCAAAGACCAGCCGAGAGTTCTTTCTCTGAGAGGCAGGTGTATAACAAAGTCCCTACGGAGTCAACTGTCTTGTGGAGATGTGGGAATGAACCCAGCAGTTTGGCGTGACCAACGGGCCTCACTAAACCTACACTTGCAACTCTGCCTTCTTGCAGCCTGGAGCATGTGTGCAGAGCCAGTTCACTCAGCTGTGGGTTGGAATCAAGCCAGGTCACAGCCCAGAGAGCCTCAGTACTTGTTCTGGACACCTCCTGACGCAATGCAGGAAATGGAGCTGCTGACTCACCCACTTCCTTCACAGAAGTCAGCGCTGACCCTAACACAGTGCAGCAGCCCCAGCGATGCAAAGGTCAACACCAGGGAGAGGAGACTTCTGTAGCCAGCACTGGAGTAGTAGCATGACTGGGGCAAGTATTATACTGTGAGGACAGAGGGCACAACACTCATCACTATCCTACGTGCTCTTTCATATGCCTTGGATTGAGAGCAAGCAGCTCTGTACCACATGCCTGGAATACAGGGGTGCCCGTGAAATCAAACGAACCATCTCCCCAACATCTTGCACCCATTTCCCAAAAGACTGCTTTATGGATTTTGCACTGAATTCTGCAGAGGCTTAGTATAAATGTGTATGGACTGTAGTCCTCTCAACCAAATTAATATATTACAGGAAAGCTATGGGGGGGGGAATAATCTTTGGCACAGATTTTTTTGGGGGGGGGAATATTTCATGTATCAACTCTCGAGTCAATAACAGGACCCACAATCTCTATATAAAAACAGCCTTAAGAATAGATGACCCTCGGAGTCCCTACCAACTCTACAATTTTATGAAATCACAATTGCTCCCAGATTTGCTCTACGCTAGGACTTTCCCCTCTGGGACCAGCAAACAGCTATAAAAGGAAAGCAACTATCTTCCACACAATAGCTCTAAGAATGCCCAAAGGCTGAGACAAGCCAGCCAGCTGGCACACAAAAGAATCCTTCTCTAGCCTTCCTTTTTGAGGACACAAGATCAAAGAGGCTGCCTATAGCTTTCATATACCAGAACTGGAGGGTGAGGGGCAAATGTTCAGATGGCAATTTCTAACCTTTCACTACTTCCTTGCTCTAATGCTTGGGCAGCGCTGCCTCCCCTATGCATTCCTCTTCTAAAAACAAAACCAAGATATCCTGGCTTGCAAGCCCCAGCTCTTTCCAAGCAACAGACTCACCACTGCACAATGGGAACAGGGCCAGGAACCCAAGCAGACATTGCTACAGGGCACAGGAATGTAGAATAGCGTGTGCTGCTGATACGAAGGGAGGGCAGCAAGCCCTTGTGCTCCAAGGTTAATTCTGCACCCTTGGTAGGCAGACCTTGGAGTTTCAGAACAAGTCTTTTCTCCCCAATGTAACCTGTTTTTTTCCTCTGCAGGCCAGGCAGAAGATGGGATTCCTTCTGCACGTCTTTCCTGCAGCCAGACCTCCCCCAGTTACTCCATCTCGCATCTGGCTCTTTGTAAACACTGAGTGCTGCCAGGGCCAGAAATCAAAATGGAACCTGAGTGACCCTGCCTGCCTGCTCCAGTGCTTCTGAGCATGGCTAGAGTGAGAAGAAGCCTCATGTGACCCACAGATTCTGAGCCAGTTCCTCCCTAAGCTTCACATGATGGAGTATCCTCAGAATATCACTAGCCCCTATGCTAGGACCTCTATGCTTATGTTCTCGTGGGCCCTCATGCCAGGCTTCCCACAATACCGCAGGAAATGCAGGCACACACCACACACACAGAGAGCTGATAATAAAGACCCATATTATTAGAGACAGGCTTCTATGTTGTTGCTTGAGGAACAGCCTGGATTTAAGTCCATGGTGCCAAGTTCAAAGTCCACGCTGAACACTCAGTGGAGCACTCCTTAATGTAGCACAGCAGGGTTTTGCTGGACTTCCTGACTCCTCCAAGAGCACTGACCCCCCCCCCGACCCACCCCTCCATCAGACACCGATCCCCCTTGGCCTGAGCAACACAACAGCTGAGAACCTGGACATCACAATGTAGCCATTCACTTCTTCCCAAGTCAAGAAACACAATGGGAGCTCAGTAACACAGCCCAGATGGCTTCAGGCCGAAATGTGTGCACCAAGCTGCTCCGAGAACATGGAGGCAGCACAGGTGTCAGCCCTGCCCTGTTATGATGCTTTCCGGTCAAGAGGATCATGCTCATGAATTGGGCCGCTGTCTGGATCCCCATGCACGTGGATTGCATCTTCCCCACTGTTATCATTGAGGCATGGGACCACTTGCAAGAATGACCCCATGGCTTTAAAATGTAACATGCGACTTGGACTCAACACAGTTAGTGCTGGGTGTTTTATGGTAGTGCTCAAAAGTAACCTGACAGAGGATTAGAGGGTGTTCTTAACCACAATACAATCTAAGCAAAACTCGTGTGTTATTTTTGGTCTCCTGAAAGCAGACCTTCTGTGCTCTGGTCCGAGTGTGAGCAAGCCAAACATCCATGTCTGGAATTTAATCCAAGTCCATTTAAACTCCTGCTCTCTGGAGTTGATCAACTGATGACATAACTGGAACCTTCAATTTAAGCCATAATTATTTAGGGTTCTTTGACGAGTCATAGCAACCAGAATGTGCTAGTTTACATCAATTAATCACCCCCCTTAAGCTATGCTGCACTCCAGAGTCTAATTCATTATTGAAACCATGTCCCTCCCCATGAAAAAGGAGTGATATTCCATAGTGTCTGTCTGATGGCTTAGAACTAGGAAGAAACTTGGTTTTTCATTACCCAGCACAGCAAAAGAGTAGCAGCTGGAAAGGAAGGAAGGCCTCCAGAGTTCTAATCCAGTGCCCTACTTTCTCAGGAACCAACTCTGGAGGACTAAGGAGTCTTACAATTCTCTGCACATAAATTTGCTAGAACCTAAGTAAAACTGTGTGTGTGTCTGTGTGCGCACATGCAGACTCTCTCTCTCTCTTCTGCAAAGTAATTCAAAGTTCAGGCTCTACATGTGTCACCAGGTCTTTAGGGAGTCAAGAACTGCTGAACAATCTAAAGGCCCCATAGGAATTGACCATGTGACCTTGACACAGCAAAAGTATCCAGCTGCCTGAAGTGCACACACTTTCAGCGACATCCAGCACCCTCCTAGACAAATCTCAGCGAATGAATGAGTAAGGAGCCTGTAACCAAGCAGTCACTGGGAACCTGCTCAGGTCTCATGCAGTATACAGAGAGAAGAGGCATTCCAAAGGATTACAGAAGTTATTACTTAATTGGAGCAGGGACAAGAAGAAAAAATGGTGTGTGTCAGCAGTTTCCCTCTGGAGACTGGTCATTTCTTAACCAGGATGCAACCAAAGTTCCCTCAAGCAAAAGCATCTGTTCCTAGTAAGTTACATTTTTGCTGATTATTCTCCAGCCACAAGGCTAGCCTCCCCCAGCTCTGTCCTCCATACTGCGGGGTCAGAAATAGACTACCACTAGTACCGGTTGGAACTAGCACGACTTTAGCAGATACAATTCAGACACCTTTGCTGCTGCTATTGATCCGGAAAGGCAATGACAGGATATACTGGGCTTTTAATTTTTAAACACAATGAAGGTTGGGATTTCAGAATGCAAACAGCCAGTCTCTACCAACCTTGTGTTGTGAGCTCCAAGGCGAAGGCAGGCCTGCACTGCACAGAGACAGCAACATCCTCACCACCAAAATAAAGTGTCAACAAGAAGCCTTCCTACAAACACTGGCTCTGACTCCTTTTCTCCACCCCGCTCACAATTGTAGTCAGTTTCCTGAAAGCAGGGACTACAGAAACTCAAGCATGACCTAAGCTCATGTATTCTGTTACATAAACGCCTCACAACAAACACAATGCAAGAGTTCTCTGTAAAGGGGTAAGCTCAGCTAGGCCCCTCTCTAAATCTCTTGAATGCATGCCCAGATGCCTCCTGCAAGCGTTCTTGGTTTTCTCAATTTCTCGCCTCCTCTCTTTGCAGGTCATCTAAGATCAGAATCAGTTTTAAATTTGCAAGAGAATATCTGTACGGTGGGGGCAGGCAGGGGAGTTGCCTTTGATCTAGATTTATAGATTTAAAACTGCACCAGCACCATAGGCAATGTGACTGCAATGATTTGCATCTGCACCCGTGCGAAGGTCAATGTGCTAACTTATGTCATGCCAGCTCAAAATACCTGCCACCAACCGCTTCAGTAACAGTAATGGGAAGGCCACAACTGCTGCTAAGACTACAAGGAAATGAGATCCTAACATGCAAAAAAGGATACTTAAGTGAAGCTTAATCTGAGCACAAACACATCACATTCTCTCCAACCTAGCATCATAGGAATCTCCCTATGCCTCTTCAGCATTTGCTGAAAACCATATACCGTATTTTTTGCTCTATAAGACTCACTTTTTCCCTCCTAAAAAGTAAGGGGAAATGTGTGTGCGTCTTATGGAGCGAATGCAGGCTGCACAGCTGTCACAGAAGCCAGAACAGCAAGAGGGATTGCTGCTTTCACTGCGCAACAATCCCTCTTGCTGTTCTGGCTTCTGAGATTCAGAATATTTTTTTTCTTGTTTTCCTCCTCCAAAAACTAATTGCGTTTTGTGGTCTGGTGTGTCTTATAGAGTGAAAAATACGGTAGTGAAGAAGCCAGACACACATCTGTAGAGAAGGAACCCCACAACTTAGGGGCTGCCACAGTGAATGCCCTTTCCTGCCCCCACAAACCTCTGAGGGAGGTGGAACTATCAAGGTCACCTGGGAGGGTCTGTAGGGAAGAACACAGTCTTGCAGGTACTTGGGACCCAAGTTATTTAAGGTTTGAGAAACTACTATCCTGAGCACGTTGGGCCTGGAAATGAACGGGAAGCCAATGCAACTGCTTTAGAACAGGGTTATATTTATTCTAAAGGCAAACCCAGCCAGCAATCTGGCCACTGCATTGTGGACCAGTTGAAGTTTCTGAGTTGTCTTCAAGGGCAGCCCACATAAAGCATATTACAGCAATCCAATCTGGAAATTACCAGAGCAAGGAGTATTATGGCCAAGAGATCTGTACAAAAGGGGGGGAAGAAGAAGGGGTGGTTCAAACACACACCAACACAGCCTGCTGCTGCCCCTCAGTAAAAACTCAATGACAGACAGTGAGTACAAAAGGGATGCATATTTATACTTTGCTTCTGAGGCAAAACCTCAGTGACCACAATAGTTGGCTACTACACCATCCTCAAACTTGTCCTGATTGAAGGCAAGGCCTTATCTTGCCAGACACCCAGATAATTATCTAGCAGCAATTTCATTTCTGGTGCTCAACAATTTTCTTCCCAGAACTGGCATTATCTAACATCACAAGTAGATTGTGGGGGGGATGGAAAGGGAAGAAATTTCTCCTTGATTGTTATTTTTTAATTGTCCAACAGAGGAAAAAATGAAATTTTGGGAAAGACTGAAAAACATTCCTTTTTTAGAATGAATGAAATGCTGTTAAGATTTTTATTTTTTTGTAAGATAACCTACAGCACTAGAGAATGATAATTATGACATACAGAACACTCAAACCCAAGATGCATTTTTCACCTGGCGAGTGCTGCCATCTTCAGGAGAGGAACACACAGGATCTTCATTACAGTGCTTGTGAATTGCTGCTTGCCTTCTTTTGGTGACCTTTAGTCTAATTTGGTGATGCGAGAAACAATATCCTGTTTCTGCTGTCCTTTTGACCTGGCTCTACCCTTGTGGCCAGACTTTCCATGTCTCCCTCAAATATCTGTGAAAAGACATCCTGATGCAAGACTGTGAAAGGAGCAGCATGTTACCCTGTCATGTTGGAGGGTAAGAGAAAGAGTCAGAAGATGGGGCTAAAACTGCAGGAGTTCTGGCATGAGTGCCAAAGCATCAGAGGGGAAAGTGAAATTTTATCCAAGATCCAAAGAAGGAAATGAGCTACAACTGGGCATATTTGCAATTTTTGCACATACAAAATCAATACATTCACTTTTAAATTTTATAAATATGCAAAAAAAATACACTCTAAATCTTCCTGGCTTAGGTCATAAATGATACACTTTACGTTCTTAAAGCAGTAAAATGAATTTAAGTTTGAAAAGGAAGAACTGTATTTCTTTTGCTTTTCTTAAAAAAATAAATATTTATTTTGTTTCCCTAGGGGGAAAAGATTGGGCCTTCAGAACTTCAACCTTTGTGGACATTTAAAATCTAATCACAAGCATCACTTCTCGCAACAACAGTGCTTCAATTCGAGGTCATGGAAATCAGAGGATTTTGTTCTTCGTTGTTTCATGGAGTGGAGCAGAGTTCGAAATGAGGGGAGCAGATTCTATCCTGCACTACCCACTATGCATATCTGAGATCCCCAGGCACTAAGGCACTGGCAGTTTTATAATATACCCCACCGGGCATTAACCAGCTGCCGATGCAGCAGTGCAATAAATAATTCATGCAGCTTGGCAAAGAGCCCACACAAAGCCACGAGCAACGGGCACAAAGATGTTAACTTTACTGCCAGGATTTCTGCACTCAGCATTTGGAAGCAGGGAGGGGGGTGGAGAAGCAGCAGCAGGACGAGGCAATGCTCTTGCTGCAGTTAGGAAAGCCTTAGATTTCCAAGGCTATCAAGCAGCAATTCTAAATGCTGCAAGCTCCCTGCTCCTACACAAATAATCCTTGATTCTCTCAACACTCCAAACCCCAATGCAAGACAAATGCTGGGGTTAATTGTACTGATTGCTGGGATTTATTTATTTTTTAAAAAGTCAACCGCAGCAACGAAACAGGCACAGAGGGCCAAACAAGATGCGAGGATAAGTTTGCGGCTGTTGCCAACAAAACGGCAACTGCACATCGAATACATCTTAACTTGTGCCATGGTGTCACAATGTCCTGGATTTCTCTCCAGTGTCCGTCCCCCACCCCCATGCCAAGAAGCAGCTGATTAGGTGAATCTAGAATGTTATGAGGTGGAACAAAGTTACATTTCCACATATTACGGAAGGGAAGAGATTCATTGTGCCTGGCTGCCATTTTGGGCAGCAGCTTCACTTTCCCCCTATCATCCATCTTGTCCATAATTCTAGCTGTTGTATGACCTCATCTCCCCCAACTCTCATTGTCATGGTCACCATGGAACCTTTGAAAAGCATCCCTTGGAAGAGGCTCGGCAGCAGCGCCTAAAGCCTGTGGAGTGGGCATTTTCTATTATCTGCCACCCCCACCCCCACCCTTCACAATTCACCACTGCCTTAAAGAATACCCTTTTAAGTTTCTCATGTATTGATTATCACACTGACAGCCACTTTAGAGGCCTGTCGCCAGGCAGAAAAGGTGGGATGCAAATTTCAATGCAGTAAGCAAGCTGCAGACAAACTCTCCATGAGCCACAATCTACATGCTAGACATACACACCAGGCATGAGCAAACCACCTGCCCGGGGGCCTAATCCAGTCTGGCAGGCCTCTGAATCCACCCCCTTCCAGCATTCCCAAGAATACACGCCCCCCCCAACCAGTCCCATTCCACTTCCTCCACAATCATAGTGTGCTTGTTACTGCAGGGTAGAAAGTGATTTCTTTACCCATGGCCAGCTATATCGGGCTGACATCAAGTATGGAAGCTGACTGGGCTAAGGAAGCAATGACAGAAACACCATGTTTCATCAGTGTGATATAGCAGACATCGTGATATATCTCTGCGGCTAGCATGCTGCAACTGTGGAGAGTAGGATAGGATTGGGGGACACACACACACTGATTCAACTGAGTGAATGAGGTGGGGGAGAGAATATAAGTGGGAGATACACATGCATGTGTGCGAGAAAGGGAAAATGAATAGTTTGTGTTGGCCCTGCTGACTTGCAGTGCTGGCCTCTCCTGAGAGCACCCTCCTTGAATCTTCCTGTGCAGCAGCTACAGTGTGAACTTTCCTGTGCTGCTGTCACATATGAAGTTAGGTATGAGAAAGGTGGGTGTAACTTGTCAGAAATGGCTTGATGGGCCAACCTCCAAGATCTGGGAGGGGTGGTCTAATTATTTCCATGGACTGGAATTCCTCACCTCTGTTATAGACCATTAGCAGGAAAGGGTGCGCAGAGAGAAAATGGGACCATGGAGCCCCAACCCCCAATAATTTTTATTTTAATAGCTGGCCCCCACTTTCCTGGAAGAACAAAAAAAGCAAACAAGGAACAAGGCAGATTTCCAGTCCCTGTTTTCCCCTCTACACCAATCATTTATTTAGGCATTTGTAAGTTGTTTGCTCTCTGGCAAGGAGGCTTCTACTAGTCATTCTGACAGATCTTCCTTTCATTCTAGCTTTTGTACAATCTGAAAAGCATCCCAGGAGAACCCTTGCTCAATTCATCCCCAACTGCAAAATGGATTAGAAGCAAAGACAAAATCCCTTCCCTCCTTCTGCTTGGATGATGAATTTGCATACTGCTTGTTTTGTTTTAATAAAAATTATTCTTTGGGACTTTGTTCTTGATATTTAATTTTTCGTTGTTGTTCCACTGATACTGTGCTCCTTTTCTTACAAGACCTGAACACCTAAGATAATCCTGTATATTAAAATTAATTATGCACTTAGGAATTCTGTGTAAATACCATATATCCATTGATTTTGAATTTTATAATTCATACTTCTCACATGATTCCCCTTGATAATATGGTCAAGCATATATGTGTGTGTGTGTGTGTGTGTGTGTGTGTGTCTCCAATCTCTCAGACTTGCCAGGAATTGTGTATCTAGTGTGTGTCTGAAGGAGGGATGGGATGGCAGCAAACAAGTCTCAAGTCACCACCTTAGTTTCCAGAATTCCAGGCTTATTAAGAGAATGCAAATGTATTCTACACAAGTACTTTTACTGCAACAAAGAATGGAAAAAACTGCCCTTCCTTCCTCCCAAATGTTGGAAAACAGGCAGGACAGGAGCTCCCCCACCTTCTTCATCTTGCTCTGACTTTCCCCAGGAGAATTCTGGCTTGCTTATGGAAAGTTACACTTTCAGCTGAACCAGATTTTCCATCAGAAAAGATTCAAGTGAAACTAAGGAGTACCCATTTCCCTAGATCCACCCCCCCCCACCCAGTGCATCATCCAACATCAACAGTCCCTATTAGTATATGGCAGGGGTCTGCAACCCGCGGCTCCGGAGCCACATGTGGCTCTTTTACACCTTTGCCGCGGCTCCGGGGCGGATACTAGCGAGGGGAGGAGGCGCATTGTGCGCCCCGACACTCCCCACTGTGGCAGGCGCTGTACTGGCTGTGACGTCGCATGGGGGCGGTGCGTGCGTTAGTCACGCACCATCCCAACGTCACCTTCCCGCCTGCCCGCCCACCCGCTACATTGTAAGGGGCATGTACGCTGGTCACTGCATTGAAAGGGGGCATGTACGCTGGTCACTGTTTTGAAGGGGAGTGAAGAACACACACACACACAAAAAGGTAACTTGTTAATTCAACGTTTATTTCTATGAGGAGGAGTAATTCTGAGGGGTCAAACAAAGAAATAATAAAAAAGTGACAAAAAAGTTATTTTTATAATGACGAGTTTTGCGGCTCCCAGTTTTTTTTTCTTCGGAAACGGGTCCAAGTGGCTCTTTTTGTCTTAAAGGTTGCAGACCCCTGGTATATGGGCTGCCGAAGAGAGCAGCACATTGACAGGCACTATTCAGAGGCAGAAAGGATCCTTCTATTTCTAGAGAGACTCCTGATAAATATTGCTTTTTTCTTGCCTGGAAAGTCCAAGGTGCTCTCATGCACTTTGGGGTCAAGGAGGAGCTGCCGGGGGAATATTATCCCTGCAGTCCAGTTCCTTGCCACCGTGGTATTTGGCAGGGCTTGTTTGCGTTCTTTTTAAAGAATGCAGCAATCCAGCAAGGAGGGCTTCACTGCTTATCTGTGCTTACATGGGATCTGGTCTAGCAACTGCTTGACATATTATGACCGAATAAGACATTAGCGCACTTTTCCCTCTCTAGCAGAGAGTGCTGTTTCAGACATCTTTGTACCTAGCCTACCTTTGCAGATACTGTCAGAGCATCATAAAATCTGTTTATGAGACCCTCGAAGATGTGCCGCAAGGCAGTACAATAAAGGCAGCCTTTGCAGCCTTTATTCTCTTGGCTACTGAAGGGTAGGCTGCTTTCGCCTCCATATTTGGCCCCTCTTTTCCCCAGCAAAGGATTGCAATCTTGTAGAGAACAGGTAACTGAGCACTCCGAAGCTACTATGAGGAGGAGACAGATTTCAGGGATCCGCGTCAGCTTGGCACATTTGCTATGTGTGGCTGTCTGCTGGTGTCAGCCTCTGCAAATCTAGGCCAATTCCCATGTTAGCCATTCTCAGGGCCAAAGAAGCACAAGAGATCTCTCTGTTTGACCCAGCTGGCTTTGTCCTTCCCATAGAAGCTTCCTGTCCGCTTACCCTCTGTGTGCTATCCAGGACATCCAACTATTGCACACAGAGGTCACAAGGAGGCCAAACTAGGTTGCGTTGAAGAGATACAGAACTGCAGATGAAGGCCCAAACCACCCTGAACAGAGGACAAGCAGCTAAGAGCGAATCCTGCACTACAAACATAGTGGGGACTTAGAGAAAAGTTGATGGCAGCCAAGCGACCTAAGATCCTGCCAGCAAGCTGTACATACAAGGGTCACTACAGTTCAGAAGAGATTATAATAAATGTTCCCGGGGGGTGAAGGGGGGAGGGAGACATTCTTGCTATTAGTATCCATAAGCTGAAAGTACAGGAGAAAGCGCTTCTTCGCTTGCAAAAGGGGTGGAGGAGACTCTAAGCATTGCCAAATGGAATTCGGCTACAACCTGCAGCAGTTGTGGAGAGGAAATGTAAGGAGCATTATTTGCTGAGCAGCTCCATCTCTAAAAGCCACAGATTAATGAAGCAGGCTGTACTTTCTCCCACCCCTCTCCCCAACTCCGTCCTGGACGTGGGCCAAATCGGAGAAAGTGACTCAGATGCTGGGAACCAAGGGAAATTGTTGCCTTTTGTCCAGCACAGCCTTCAGGAAGATTTGCACTGCAAATTGGAGGAGAGCTAGCTGCGCAGCTGATTCATCTCTCAACAGGAACCCGGGGTAAGGAACCAGCCACTAAACTTGCACGTTAAGGACTATGTCCACGTTATTTTATGGGAGCCACTCGAACCCACCCTTCCTGGTAGCACCAGGATGCATTTAGTGGAGTTAGAATTGCATCTGCCCTTGTCTGCCATGGGCACCAGTGCATTTAGAATAAGAGAACGTTCACCTAGGTCCTAGGGCAAAAGCACACTGGCTGGGAAGAAAGTGGCAGTGTACCTTGTCAGCTCACAGCCTAGACTTTAGGCCAGCAATGGGGGAAACTCCAGTCTACGGACCCAACTATGCCTGTGAGGCTGCTTTCTTCAGATCACACCCACCTGCCCTACATATGTGATGTGAGGTAGGCAAAGACGTGGCTGCAATCAAGAACTCAAAGTCAAAGTGTGCTCCTAGTTGTACCTTGGCGATCAGGTGTCACTACTGCAGCCAACAGGGCTTACTCTCAAGCTCTGATCAGAGATGCGCCCCTTTGAATTGATCACCTGATGCCATAAAGACAGAACTTGCCTCCTGGTAAAGCTTAAGCTCTGAAATGCAGGCTTTTTGGTTGCCTCCAGCAGCCATTCTGATAAGGCCAAAGTCCTTATCTCCTCTAGGTCCCCCCCCCCCCCCGCAAGTGGCCATGATCAAAGACAGCAACACTTCCCTCCCCTTCTCCTGCACCTGATTTCCCATCCCTGTGAAACATGCTGAGTGGTTCCAGTTGCTTGTGGGACAAGTGCTCTCACCACCCAGAGACATGAGCATTTGTCTGTTTGCTAACCACATGACTCAAAAGAATAGGCAAACAAGGTTATGGAATTCAAGGCTCTTGGCTATCTCTGCAAGGGAGCTCATACAGGCCTGCAAAGCATCCCCCAATGAAATGCGCAGCAGTCTTTGGTGCTGGCACCCCAGACATTTCCACCAAAGAACTCTGTAATCAGCAACATCTCAGCAAAGGAAAATCAGTGATGGGGCTTAAACTCAAAAAGATGCTGCTGCTCTTGGGAAGAAAAGGATTTGAGTTTTCTGTATCCAGGTGAGGCAGCCCTCACTGGGCCCTAATTATGGACAGCAAGGAGGGAGAGAATTAGAAAGCACCTCCTGACCACTGTAAAGGCAAAGCTCACCTTCTTCAAACAAGATTATACTCTTCTGAACCCTGTGTAGGGACAACTGACAACAGGGAATCCTTTCTGGAGCTCAAAGGGCAGGAAGTGGCAAAAGCCCTAAACAAAGGCAGTGTGTTAATCTCCTTCCAACAGAAAAACAGTCACTGTCTCCCACGGCTGACCCGTATTCCACAATGTGGTGAAAGATTAACATTTTCATGCGTGCGCTAATACAGAGACACTGCAGAAGAAAAGGAATGCATTAGCAACAGAACGAAAAATTCCAGCCACCGAAGCAACAGAAAATGAAGCAGCCATCAATCTGGACCATGATGGGTAACATCAGAAGCAGTAAGGAGCATCTGCCTGGTGCTACAGGAGCCAATTTTACTATCCATGTTACACTGGAAAGCTGTGGTAATTAGGATAGGTCCTGTTCATAAACAAAAATCGGGTATTTAATGATTTTAAATTATAGCCTGCAAGTCACTGGGGCCATATGTTTGTGGAAAGTTTCAGAAATTAACAGGAAGAATTGCTATTGGAGTAGTGCTAGCCCTGGAAAGCTGAAAGCTTTTAGCTTTTTACTTGTTAAGGATATGGTATTCCTTACATGTGGAGGGAAAGCAGTTTGGAATCCAGCTTGTCACAGCAGCAAAGTGAATTCCCCTCTGATCAAAAGAAACTGTGACTACCAGCCAATGGAAAAGAACTCTCTCCTCTACTCTGGAGTCAGCCAAAGTGGAGTTACTCCCTAACCAAAGCTCGGGTCTCAGTAAAATCACAGTACCCTAGCAGTACCCTGTTCTTGATGAAGAACAAATTAAAGCAGACATAAAGGAATCATGCCTCTGGGGACAGGTTAAAAGATGAGAGAACTAACCTCAACGCTAACCCTGGTTAAATTCACAGTCACTTTACATATGCTTGTATTCAGATCATCCAACATCAGCCAAGGGGTTATTAGCAAAATCAAGCTTAGTATTTATTATTTCCTCAGCTGCCTCATGCAAATTGTTGTATTTGGTTCAATAGGACAGTCCCCCTTCTCAAACTGGGAGGTTTATGCATTTCCTAGACTGACATAAGGAATGCCTTTCAATGTATACCCCTCAAAATAAGTCTTCAACAGGGTCTACAAATGTTAGCAGGTCTTGCAAACAAGCCACCATTAATGGTCATCACACAAGCTGCCCTTTTTTCATTGCCCCTTCCCTGAGTTCCTTGGTATCACAGAAGGTCATAAAGTCCAACTTCATGCTGTGCTTCCGAGGTATTCTGAGAACTCCTGAAGGACAATATGGAAGTCAGAGATTAGGGAAGGAATTACTGCTTGGGGGAAAGTGAATGAATTTGTGAGCCCTTCTTCCAAGTATAGAATATAATGATCTCCTAAATTAGATGGTGAAATGTAGCATGCATGGATTAGCTTTCGAAATAATTCCTAATAATCCTGATACCCAGAGTTGGAAACTCATGTGTTCTGGCACAATTTAGGGCTCTTGCTTAACTACAGATCATACCACATCATAGAAACACAGAGTATATCAAAGGTGTGCCTCACACAAGTTTCTCCACTGGCCTGCATTTCTTCAACATTATAGACGGGCTGGCGATATTGAATCTCTTCAGGTGGGGAGCCCAAAACTGCCTCCTATTCCTCTTATCCAGCACACAACTGAATAAATCCAAATCCAGGGATTGAAGAATGTAATTACCTTATTTTTTCCATGTATAAGATGCCCCCTACTTTTGGGGACCCCAAATTTAGAAAATGGGCATATGCGCCAGCCGTGTATAAGGCACCCCCAGATTTAAAACCTTATTTTAAAGTAAAAAAAAACCCTAGTCTTATACATGGAAAAGTACTGTACTTTGATCAGAACCTCAGCCATGAAATGTTGGGCAGGAAAAACTGCTCATGCTCACTGGGTTCTCAAAGTGCAAAGCACTTCAAAAGTGCACAGGCATAAAGACAACACTCAGCCTGACCACAGAGATCCTCAGGTAGAAGATATTCAGAACAACAAGGAATTGTCAGCCAGTATGAGACCAGGGTTATTGGAAGGGCTAGACACTCAAGAGAGAACCACCTGTCCACAAAACAGCAATCGCCTTGGAAAGTTTTAGCCTGGTTTTGCTACTGGGCCACCAAAATGGTTCCCTAAGAATAGAGGCAACCCTAGCAACAAGAAGTACTTTGTATTCAAGGAAGAGTCTCATCCCTTCCTACACACACACACACACACACACACACACACACACACACCAAGACCCCAGCTACTTCTCTCTCCGCCTTATTGCAGGAAGCATTACAAAGCTTTGAGCATACTGTACACCATGTACACAGCTCTCTGCATACGCAGGCAAGGTTCTGCACTAAGCATGCATATTCAAAACATGCATACAGGCAAGGCCCTTTGTGGGCACATATGCTCCCTATTCTCCCTCTCTCTGAATTGCTTAAGCTCCCAGCATCAGTTTTTTCACAGCCCTGGTATAGCATTACAAGATACCAGGTTTCTGGTTTCAGTTCCAATTAATGGAAGAGACTGAATCAGGTGCAAAGGGCTTAGTTACCCTGCTGGCAGTTTTTAAACTGCCCCAGACCCTTGAATTTCAAGCCAACATAGCAGGCTCAATCCTGCATTCATTCACTGCCTGTCCTCCCCCACTCCACCTGAACCTTCCTTTTAACAATTGCTCCCCCAAACAGCTCTTCAGACTCCCTCAAACTTACAAAAAAAATAACTGGGAGATCTGGTGGCAGAGGTTTTAAGGGTCATACAGGAAAGGTTCTGCTAGTTCACATGATCTTCCTTCTCTTTTTGTGTACAAGGATTTGGTATGTTTTCTAATGTGAAAACAAATACGTGGGTGAACCTTTGTTAACAAGCAGGTTCTGGGAATGTGGCATGCACATGGAGACATGACACGGTCACACTTAAGTGATCTGTTTTTCCATTTTAGGAAAAATACTGACAACCTCATACACTGACACAGGTGGGAGTATGCAAAATATGTGACATGGGAATTTATTATTGGTGACTGAAAAAAGTTATTAACACTATGCAGATTTGCCCACACCAACATAAATTTTATACTCGTTCTATTTTCTCCTTTGTTAGACACTGAGGAAGTAGTAGCTTGGGGATCCTTGGACCTGAGGAGGAGCAACAGATAAACAAAAGGAAAGATGAACAGGGTGCTACACAGATGTATCAGTAGCGGTGCTGAAATCCCACTCCCCCCAAAAATTCACGCCACTAGACTCCTAACCAAAGTCTAGTCTTCAAAGCTTTTAAGTGAAGACAGACCATCACTTGACATTTCTTCAGAAGTAGAATGGCAAATAACTATTTTGTTTCCATGAACATTGGCCTTCTGCATTATAGGCCATTATCTCATGCAGATTCCAAGATCCCTCTGTACATAAGCAATGCTAAGCCTGACAATGTGCAGAGGACCTGAAATTCAGGTCCAATCAATTTCTCTATAAAGATGAAAAGAAACTAAGAAATAGTTCCACAAGATAAAAGGTCTAAACGCAGCTAAACAAGAACCAAAAGCTGCTTCTTTAAGAAGTGAAATTTCTTGATGGAAATCAGAGCCCACTGCTTAACAAGGAAGGTGACTAATAAGGTCACTTCCTGACTGATTAAAGTTGTCTTGAGATATGTCACCTGGCCTGCTTACTGGTTAAAAACAACCACATTCTTCTCTGTCCTGGGCAGCTTTCAGATGTTGTGCAGCACAATCCTATGCATATTTACTTGGAAACAAATCCTACCATCTTCAACGACATTGTCTTCAATGGTGCTCACTCCCCAGAACACTAGATCCCCAACCTTTTCCCCATGGCCTGCCTAAAAAGTGCTGGTGGTTTTGAAAGCTAATTAATTATTTTTCTGCCCATTGTAGAAACTGTAATGTGCTGCGCTAGGTGCTATATGATATTTTACAATTTGCATTATATGGAATGAAACTACAATACAGGGACATACTCTTTAGTCCCACATTCCAGGGGGAAAAAATTCCTGAAGGGATCTGGTAAAGGAATAGCAAAGCCAAGTTTATCCTGAACGGCCTGCTTCAGATCAAGAACCGCCTGAACGAAAAGACTGAAAATATTCTCATGTGGGACTTGCGAAAAGTTTCATGCAAGTACACAGTAGGAACTCTCGGGACTCACAGCTTCTTAGCATAAGTGCAACTCAGTTGGTCCTTACCAGGAACTCTACCCACACCCTGTGGATGCTGCCATAGAGATGTATAACCTTCAATGAGTCCCTTAAATGCATGGTTTCCTTTACGCTGTACACTTTAGAGGAGCACTTCCAAGCTTTTGTTATTTGCATACATTACGTTCAGACTCTTCTGCCCTTGCTTTGAAAAAGAAAATAATCCAGGTTAGTTTTAAAGATCCAGGAGTTAAGTTATGCCTCTGACCAAGGCCTAAATGAAGGACAGGTGGAATTACATGCCTCTTTCCCCCCACTCCACCCCACCATTTCTTATTTGTTTTAAATCCCAGGAATGGTGCATCTGAGTTTCTTTTTAATATCCCCTTCCCAGCTGCTTTCACATCTATGCAGGGAGGGGGGCACTCTTCGTGAAAGACAAACAAATGTTGGGAGGAGGCAGATGCATGTCACTGCCAAATAAAGTTTGGGCCTGAGATAAAAGGGACATTGTATACTGCACAGCCATGCAGTATTTTAACAGACTCAGAAGGGACCTGAATATTTTGTTTTTCCTCTTCAGGCAGGTAGTAGATGATCTATTGCTGCTGACAATTCAGTTTTTCACTGGTCAGCCTCAACAGTACATACATGTACTGATGTGAGGTGAGAATATTCTCTGCTAGAAAATTCTCCAGAGAATATTCTCCACAAACCATAAATTCTGTGTCGTCTACACAGCTGCTTTAAATGTACAACACCTCATTAATCAAGAATATTCTTGAGAATATTCTCCAAAAGATTATTCTCAAGAATTTAACATCACTACATGCATGCTTTTCATTCAGCCACCTTTTAAAACTACTTAAAGAGTAGCAAATTTGAGAAAAGTACATGCTTAACCCCAATGGGAGGCACTAGTTAGGGAAATATCCAGAGGCCTTTCAAGTCCCAGGCTTCTAAGTAGTAACCCTAGAAAACAAAGGGAGAAAAACAGCACCAACACTAATAAAGCTGAATGTGTTTTTTCAATTAAAAAAATTGCAAAGAAATTCAGTTAAATGTGGGCAACTGCTGAGGTAGGTATCTCCTTATTGCATGGTATTAGAAAAAAGGAGCACGTCTATCATGTTCCCTGTGGCCTAAAAAGATAAAGGATGCAATCCCTTTCCCACTTACCTGACAGTAAGTCCCAATTATCTCCCTGGGAATTACTTCCAAGTAGATATGTGAAGAATTGCATTGCAAGGGTTACATGTAAGCCAATTTCAAGCGAAATTTAATCATAATGGCTTCCACCCAAAGGACCCTGAAAATGTACAGGCTATTCTGTGCTGTAACAAATAAATCCTAGTACTTCCACAAAATTACAATTTCCAGGGTTCCATGGGAGACAACAATGAAAGCATTTTCAAACTGGTTTAAATGTATAGTATAGAAATATGTGAACTGATTTGTGCAAGGCTTATCCAGGAGCTTTCATCAGAACAGGAGCAGATTGAACACCATTTGCTGGACTTCTGCCAATGTTTGCACCACTAGGGCAGCCCCATTTGGACCTGCTTTTCAGTTTCTCTCTCTCACACACAGACACACACACACCCTGAGAACCATTGTCCCAAGTGTTTTCACACACCTCTTTCCTCCTAAGCCACAACACTGCATATTTTGAAGAAGAAATCTGGGAAAACAAAGGATTATGTAGCCCCACAGAAGAACGTTTCAATTCTCTCCATTATTTCAATCTGAATTATTCACATACAAACCTATTTTTCTCCCCTTGGTGAATTAATAAGATAGATTCAGTGCCATTCCCAGCAATTACACACACTGGTTCTGCTCAGCCTCCCCAGTGAGAGCTCCAGACAGAGTTCAGACTCTATCCATGGCAGCAGTCACCAAGCAACTGTGACACTAATAAGTACCTAGCAGCCACCACTTCCGAATGCACAACCAGCCATGGAAGGAAAGCAGTAATTTAACTTTCCCTCCAAATCAAGAGGAGGTTTGGCTCCAATAAACCAGACCAAACACATTCTTAGGTTTAGTTCACATGTCAGTCACCACAGAAGAGAAGGCTTCAAAGGATGCAATAGGTGAGACCCACGTGGCTCTCATAAAGACACTGCATTCTGGCTGTATTAGTGAATTAATTAGCAACAACACTGGCAAAAGCATAAGCTCGGGAAGAACACAAAACTACTCCTCTGAAGCATACTGTAAATCCACCTGGCTGCCCAGCAGCTGCACTGCATAAGGTACAGCAGCTTAGAGGTCACATTTCCTACTTCTGTTGCAACATGAAGCTTAGGTACATGCTTGAACATTATGTAGCAACATGTACCTGCTGGACAGAGTAGCTTTTCCGTTTCCATCCACACCAGGAGGGACTCAAAAGAAGAGCAGTGCCATTAATGCAATTTGGCTGAGGGTGGAAGAAAAATACACACGCACAGCTTTGTGTAAGTTTATTGATACAACAAACCAAACACGGAGTACACCAAAGAAAGGCCATACGTATGCACCTGACTGCACTTCCATTAAGCAAATGCACTCAAGCTTAGTAGCTCTACCTCTAGGAACATTCTGTACAGCATTGCATTCTGCAACACTGTATGGTTTTTCTAAAGCAATGCTTCTGTGGTCACTCGCAGTACTTTCCTCTCTCTGATATCACAAACAACGCTCCAATATCAACCAGCAAACAGTGCCTTTTGTTTTTAGAAGAACTTTTGACTGGGTTTTATAAACAAGGATAATAAACTAGAATGATAATAGATACAAATAAATAGACCAAGTCTTCTCATGTCACTTGTATATGACAAAAACAGCAAGATAAATTTGCAGTAGCGTTTACAACATGTGGTGCATTATTAGATATCAGCGTAGAAGTTCTTGGTTTGTGAATTGGTTCACACGAAAACAATTGTGAAACAGGATAGAAAAGTTAACAGATAACATTCAACATCACATAGCTAGCTAGACAGGAGCCCCTGTGGTTGCACTTAGATTTAGTATGAGTAATAGTCCTTTTCCTATTTTATGTTACCAATGAAATAATATAAAGTGTTGGTATACTGAATAATTTGGAGTGGAATTTGGGAGTGGGGTTCAAAGTGAAGATAATAATTTATGTTTAAATTTAAATTTAGATCATCCAGATAAGACAGGACTGCCAGCAAGTGGTCCCACTCTAGGCAGTCCAAGGCCTTCAGAATGCCAAAGGCCATGACCACTGGGAGGTTGAGAAGGTTGTCTATTTACTATGTATGATTATGTTTTAAAGTTTTCTGATAGGTTCAGTGGTGTTTCGATGGAGGACAAAACCAGCTTGGACTGGGGCTATTAGTTTGTGTAAAAATATCTGAATCCTGTTGACTAGCACTGACATGTAACACTGATTAATAAGAGAGATTGGCCAAAAATATTCTACCTTTTGGTGGTCTTTAAATAGTTTTGGGATAATTACTTGGAGTGGTGCCAAGATTGTAACTTGGGGAGGAATGCTACTCTCATTAGGTCATTAAATAGCCGGGCCATATACCGAATGATAATAATGTTTCTTTGAATTGTTTATAAAACTCAGACAGCAAAGTCATCAGGTCCAGGGGCTTTATGCGGTTTCAATTTTTAAAGAACATTGTCAATTTCTTCTAGGGAGATGGGGCTATCTAAGAAGGTTTTCTCATCATGAGTTGGTGAAGGTAAAGGTATGTTTTCCAAGAAATTGTGGGTATCGACAGTGCCTTTTATAATCAAGAGTCCCAAGTATCCTCCTCAAACAAGAATGAGAAGTCTAAGATTCATACAGAAGGTACTCCAATTTAGGGTGTAATCTCTAGCTAAGTTACTCTGATTTATGTCAGTTTTAAAGGAGAGATAATTTACCGTATGTCTGCACATGTATATGACAAAGAGAACACTGATATACCCACACCCAAAGAAACAAAATCATAGTTGGCTTAGCTATTGTAAATTGGCCTAAAGACACCAGCAGAAGGTACATCTGAGGGAAATTATCCTCCTTCCATTCCCCGCTCATTCTGGTAGCTCATTTGTCAAATGATGTAAATACATATCTATTCAGACTGCAGTTTTAGGGATGAAGAATGTGTGCTTGCACAGGTGTCCGTGTACTTTGAGTCAGGTTTGCCTCTGAAATAAACTGGGGACTTCCTAATGGAGGCACACTGGTACATAAGTCCTCCACACACAATTCTGCCCACTGACGCATGCTTTCCTGTTTTAGCACATATGCTGAAGCTAGAACACCGCAGAGAAGATTGGCATACCCGTGCAGAAGAAGGACATACAAATCCATGCAGTGTTTCATTATATCTGACAGCTGGCATAGCATAGTGGCTAGCAGTGCAAACTGCTCCTGTTCCAACCTTTCCTTAGCCATGAATTCAGCAGATAGGCTGTTCTGCACTGAGTCATAAGTTCCCCCATCCCCTTCTGCAAGCTAAGGATTATTGACAAAGCATGTGAAGCACTTTGAACACTTTTAAAGTACTGTATAAATGCTAAGCATTATGACACTCCCCAGACCCTATTAGATTAGGAATGCAGTCCCTCCCCACCCCCTGCTCTCAAAACAGAGTGAAAAATGAACAGATAATTCACTCTTTCCCAGGCTCCCAAGGACTCTACATCAAGCTTAAAATTTACATTGCAATCCAAACAATTAGTGTCACACTAACTTTTTAAAAAGGCAACATGGAAACAAGCTTGCATAAAAGATTCCCAGTTTGTTTCTGTAACTAATCTCCTCAACCTGTTCTGATAGGATTTGGGGGAGTTTCAAGGATAGTCAGCACAGTTCAGATTCTCGTCTTATTAAATCAACTCGTACTTTTTATCTCCTCCACCACCCTGACCCTGCCTCTAACATATATAGCACTAGTTCAAGCCCGATATCTTAGAAGTCCCATGTGTATTAAGCCATGTTCAACTCACATGATGGCCTCAGTCCGCAGAACTTCCTCAAATGGGCAAAATAAGAGAGTGCATAAGCACTTGCACGCTCAAAATCCTGAAATAGCTTTTAAAGGCTCCCAGCTACTTTCTGCTTTTTGATTTTTACCTCTCTTCTTGAAAAATCAGTCAGTTTCAGAAAGATCAGTTATCATTTTGTTTCTCAGTTTTGCTTTCCGGTTTGTGATATCCTATCCATGTTTCTTAGAAACAAGGCCGTCTGTGTTCAGTGGGGCCATACTCCTAGGTACAAAAGCTGAGGCTGCTGAACAGACTGTTGGGCTGGGATGTTGTTTGGGGGTTGTTGCGACTGGTTCTTTGTATCTTTATTATAGATCCTCTCGTGATTTATGTAGCAATTGTTCAGTTTAGTTGTGGGGTGTGTTGTTGTTTTTTAATGTTTTATTTGTTGTTTATTATTATTTTTGTTATGTCGGAGTTATGTATTCTTTCATGTTGTAAGCCACCTTGATCATGGATTGAACTGTGGAAAGGTGTTATACAAATTAAATTATGTAGGTAGGTAGGTAAAGTACACATGCACTGCAGCATTAATCCCATGTATGCATAGCAATGTAGTCTGGTTATTAAACTATAGCCTGCCATCTCACCAACCAGCCTTCAAGCATCTGAAACACTGAATTCTATAAATAAAATTAAACAATTTCAAACTGTTGCCAAAAAACACACAAAAACCCTTTAAATCCCCTAAACTTTCATGTTTCACTCTAAGCCTGGGATTTGTTACTGAACAGTACATTATGGAAGACCAAAGAGCTAAGATTTGAATCTGCAGAAGAGCTGACATTTGACCCGGAATTTAAGCAATGTCTTATCCACAATGCTTCACAGTGTGCATAAATATGCTCACAGACGATATAGAAGGAAGTCAGGTTTTCTAGCTGAAAGATGTTATACATTATTTTTAGTTGCGAAAGTTAGATTCATAAGTGAAAATGTATTACATCCAAATCTGTACATCCAAACTGTAGCATGAGTTAAAACTTTTTGAAAAATCACAAATATGAAAGATACTTCCATCATGTTGTAAAGTGGAAATCTGGGATGCCTTCTACCTTAACTCATTTAAAGGCTGCAGGCAAAACTAGATGTACATATGAACAATTTTCCTGACATGGTAAAGTGAAAAGCAATCCAAGGGTACCACAACTGGGAGTGGATGGGAGAGGGGCAGAAAGGGAGAGAGGGTATTTAACTTTCACAGCTGACTCTTTTGCCCACAGACTAAAATGTTTAAGCAGCCCCTTCCCCTTTCTAGTCTCCTCCCATTTCCCCAACCCCCAGTTACAGCACTTTGAAGCTGCTTTTCATTTTAAGAAACAGCAACTGTTACATGCATCCAGTTTTGCCATCAACTGAGTATATTCTCACATGTCCTTTTGCACGGGTGCAACATTTTAAGGGACTGAAAATCATCTTATATCTCAACACTTTTATTGCTGTTTCGCTACCGTTTGTCACCTGCAAGAACTCACTCTGCCCTGTGACCTATTGAAATGTGCTACCTGAGAGAAAAAAATAATAATTGTTTGTTCTTCATTTCAAGTGTCCAAGCTGAACAAAATACAAAATGCAATGTCAGAGCAAAAGCTTAATCTGATCTTTTTATCCCTTTTAGCTCAATGGACTTTGTTGACAGTGCAAGGTAAGGGGGCTGACAGTAATGGATTTTGTTATCAGCACTGTATCTTTAATAATTGAAAAGTTGTTAGCTGTACAGGCAAGGAGGAATGGTTTTAGTGCATTGATCTTTTAAGCTGGCAATGATCATTTAAACAAACAAGCAGCAAAATCATATATTGGCCAGAGTCCTCCTTATCTTGCAATTTACTTTAAAGAGAAAGGTTGCAAATGCCTTTATTTCCAAAACAACCTATTGCCAGACAATCTCTGCCAGGGAACAGGGTCTCCAGCCTGCAGTTCCAGAAAGCCCTTCAACATACCAGTCAACAAGGAGCCTCACAGGCAGAGTCCCCTGGAACTCCTTGGCAGGCTCAATTCCATGGATTCAACACAGGATCACAAAGCCCCAAAGGACGCTTGCCTGGCAAGCAGAATTCCCTTTAAGCAAAGTGCTTCCTCCCACAGAGCTCTGCTGCATGCCTCCCTGATTAAAAGTCTCACTTCGGCATTTCTTTATGATTGTAAAACTCTCATCTGAAGAGGGCTCCCATGGGCACACAGACAGAAACAATAAATCCAAACAGACAAGTGAGGTAACAGGGAAAGAAGCTGGCACCAAGGCCAACAACCACAAAATGTGAGAGAGACAGACGTGTAAAGGTTCTTGGACACAACCTAGCTAGCACAGGCTAAGAATCAATGGCCCATCTAGCCTAGAATTCTGTTCTCACAGTGGCCAACCATATGCCTGTCAGAAACCCACAAGCAAGACCTGAGCATAAGAGCCCTGTGACTGTGCCCCCCCCACAGGAGTTTCCAGCACCTGGTATTCAGAAGCATTATTGCAGCGGTTCTCAACCTGCGGGACTCCAGATGCTGTTGGACTACAACTCCCATCATCCCTGAGCTCTGGCCTTGCTAGCTAGGGGTGATGGGAGTTGTAGTTCAACATCATCTGGGGACCCACAGGTTGAGAAAGGCTGCAGTATTGCGTCCGACCATGAAGGCAGAACCAAACCATGATAGGTAACAGCCACTGATAGTCTTCTCTTCAATGCACGTGTTCAATCCTTTTTAAAAGCCATCCAAGTTGGTGGCCTTCACTAAATCTTATGGGAGAGAATTCCATAGTTTAATAATGTGCTGCACGAAAAAGTATTTTCTGTTATCTGTCCTGAATCTTCCAACATTCAGCTCCACTGGATGGCCATAAGTTCTAGTGTTAGGAGAGAGGGAGAAAAACTTTTCCCTAACCACTTTCTGCACAATAGGCATAATTGCATAAACTTCTATCATGTGACCTTTTCTCCAAACTAATAAGTCCCAAACACTACAACCTTTCCTAATAGGACAGGCATTCCATCCCCTTTATCATTTTGGTTCCCCTTTTTTGAACCATTTTCCCAACTCTAAAATATCTTTTTTGAGGCAACCAGAATTATACACAGCATTCCAAATGTGGCCAAAGCACAGATTTCTATAATGACATTGGGACACCTGCAGGTTTATTTTCCATTCCTTTCCCTAATGATCCCTAACATGAAATTTGCCTTTTTTCATAGCTGCCACACGTCGGGTGGACATGTACAATGAACTACAATACAACCCCAACATCTTGTTCCTGGTTAGTCACCATCAGTACATACCACATGAGCATATTTGTGAAATTAAGGATTTGTTTGTTTGTTTATTTTGCTCTGACATGTATTGCTTTACACTTATTTACACTGAATTGCATTTGCCATATTACTGCCTATTCTTTTGGTTTTGGAAAGGTCATTTCGGAGCTCTTCACAATCTCTTTTTGTTATGACAACGCTGAATGATTTACTATCACCAGCAAACTTGGCCACCTCAATGCCAAGTTTAAACAACTTCTGAAAGACCTGGAAGGGTCCAAGATTTCTAGAATGACCTGGAAGAAAGGTCTTTTTGAAGGTTCACAACTAGGAGGCAATCCCTTTCAGCACACTGGGATCACCAGCAAGAAGGGGCCATGGTTCCCAATTTTGAAGGCAGGCTCATAAGAGGGACTAGGTTAAATAAATGGAAAGAGACACACACACACACACTGCACCCAAGAAATAAAGCCTATCTAACCCAGTGGTTTACACATCGGGCATCTTGAGAGACTTAAATTGATGAGTGACAGGATGCAGAAGAAGAGCACATTAAAGTCCTGGATTGGTTTCCCCATCCACACCGAAAAGATGAAAAGATTCATTGTTATTTAAATGTTTAGTAGTACAGTACTTCATGCGCAAGAGCTTCGCTGTCGGTGGCCAAAACCACGTGATCATGAAGTATCCCAAGTTATTACTTTCTTTTTAAAAAAACAGAACTGATGAGAGAGATACGGCGACTTGCCCAAGTCCACCCTACAAGTTGGTGGCTAACCAGGAATCAGAAACCGGCTCTGTCGAGGTTCAAACCCATCCGACCCATATCTAAGGAAGCATGGCTCATCTGAGTCCTTCCCCACTCCGCCGCCCCGCTTTTGGTTAGCCAAACCAGCGCCGGGATCCGGCCTCGGGAGCACAGGCGGCAGCTTCGACTCTCGCCACCATCTGGACCGCGATGGGGGGAAAGAGAAGCGAGCAGGAGGTGGGGGAGCTCGCGCAGCCCCTCCTCAGCTGCACTCCCGAGGCGCGCAGAGACCGGCGCCTCGCTCTCTCTTTCCCCCCAGCACCCCAACCACCGAACCCTCCTCAGGCTGCGCGCCACCCCGCGCAGGAAAAGCGAGGACTCGGCTGGGGGTTTGTTTTCCTTTTTACCTGAAGCGACTCGTTGGCCATCTTCCCGCCAAGCCCCGGCTGCCTTCCTCCCCGCCTTCTCGCTGCTGCTGCTGCTCCTGGGGCAGCCGGTGCTGCTCCCCAGGGCTGCCCTTACAACAGCAGCAGCAGCAGCCAGAGCCGTCGTCGATCCGCCATCCTCTGGTTGGTGGGGCGTGTGTGGAGGGAGCCGTCGAGCCCCGAAAGGGGGCGGCCCACCCGCCCAGGAACAGACGAGCGGACGAAAAGGAAGGAGGAGTTGAGGGTTTTTTTCCTCCCTCTCCCTCTCTCTCCCCTGCAGGCAGCTCGACGCGCTGCTTTGCCTTGCAGCGGCAGATACCGCCGCGCGCGCCACTTTTTGCCCGCCGAACGTTCTGTCCGCGCGCCGGCCTCCCTTTTTTTGCCGCTCTTTATTGTTGTTGCAGCGTCGGCTCCGCGGGCTCGCTCGCTCTCTCCCTCCCGGTGCTCAACTGGCCGGGTTGTTGGTCACGTGAGCTGGGGGGGTTGAGTTGGGGGGGGTGTGTGTGAGAGAGAGAGGAGGAGACGGAGACATCGCTGCAGCCGCCGCCGCAGCAAGCTCCAGGGGAGGAGGGGGGGAGGAGGCCGTTGGCCGAAGCCGGAGATTTGCGGGGGTAGCTTGCAGCTGCTGCTTCCAACCCTCCCTAGGTTTCCCCCTTTCCGGAGCAGATTAAAAGATTAGCAACAAAGGCCGGGCTGGGGGATCGGGCTGGGGTGGGAGGGCCAGCTCCCCTCCGCCGCCCCGCCTGGCTTCCAGAAGCCAGAACAGCGCCGGGTTTGTTGCAGCCGGGAGGAAGGACACGGAGAAGGCTCGTTTGGACGCTGCCATTATTTGAGAGGCCGGCCTGGCTTTCATTCAGAAGCCCCTCCCTCCGCCCGTCCCCTCGTTCAAGCGGCTGCTCTTCTTGCCCAGCAAGCGCTGCCTGTTCTCGCCTCGTCGCTTTCTCCCCGCTCCCACCCCCATTACACTTCACAACTTCTGTGGTGTGCTTGTAGAATTCGTATTGTTGCCATACACGGCCACGAGAGGGTCGCCCGGGTCTTGGTGCAGATCCTGATGTTCTGGTTATCGTGTCTACTCGTGGGCTTAAAAGGGGGGGGGGGAGAGAAATGTCGTCTGGAGTGGACGAGAGGTGACTGTGTGTCCTACTTTATTGGGGGTGGCAATAGAAGTCCAGAGTCTACTTAGAGGGCTGTCCCATTCAAATATGACATGATCTAAGACTCGCAGGCACACTTGGTCACACAAGCTCCCCACTACCGTGCGTGCATTTCTGTTTCGGTTATAGCAATTTTCTAAATTTGCATCTATGCATTTAAAATACGGTATGCAAATTGTATGCAGTTCTGTGTCATCTGTTTCCAGTGATACATCTCCTCTTTTGGCAATGCATACCTGAACAATCCAAATGTACATTTGAAGTTACTGGAAAATGAGTCTGAAGGCAGTTCAGGCAGGGCTTGAATAACGGAGAAGGGGCAGACTTCCTGAAATGTATAAGCCCTACACCCACCTGACTCTTCCCAGTTTTAGCTGAGTCATGCTGGGAGAAGATTTCTAAAAACAAAAACAGAACAGTGAAAACAAAAACACAGTAAAAACAAAAAACAGGGGTAGCTGTTTTGAGTCCATCAGAAGAGGTTAAGGGGCAGACCTCTCTGCCCTTCCTGTAATTCAATATGGTTAATACATCTTGTTTTCAGCATTGGCCTGTGATAACAAGAACAGTCTTATGACTAATCACACCTGCTTGACCATCATTCTGTGGCTTAGTTCCAGCCCTATGTGGCAAGATCCCACTGTCCCCTCAAGCAGTCTCTCTGCACTCCAAAACAAGGGAAATTACCGGTATAGTGAAGGAAAGAGAAGCTACATTAATGGGGAAGTCTGTTTTGTCTATTTTTTACTCCCATGTAAGCACTCGCAGAGTTGCAGTGCAGCTGTTAGCCATCACAGGACCCGGCACAAGTTTCTCCTGCAGCAGTGATCATACACATGGAACTACAAGTTCCCTCTTGGAAGACAACAAAGGCAGAGGTAATTAAACTCAGTGCAACAACATCCCTATTACAGTAATAAACAAACATTCATTTAGAAAGGGACGATCTGCAAGGAAAAAGAAGACCAGAATTGCTATTTTAAAAGGTAACATGTAATTTCAATCTCAAATGCAAGCTTAGTCTACAGTTAACGTTTTATTGGTAAGATTACTAGTAAGAAATGTAACATTTAACACCTTACAAATTGCGCAAGACTCAAGTTTAGAATTCTGCTCCTGCACACAACCTGCTACATCAGGTTGGTTTTGAGCCCTAAACCCAATGTCTTGTACAAAGCACACATTTTCTTCCCTAGTGATGATTCTTACTTTCTCCACAAGCCCAATGGGGAAAACTACAAAATGTACATCCTTCACACAGCCTGGCTTTGCCACCTGCAGGGTCATTTCTCAGCAGGGAGCTATCAGTAAAACAGACTGAGATTCCAAACAGTCTTTATTACCAAGGGGGAGTGTGTGTGTTCAACATCAGAGTACAGCACTGATCTGCTAAGTACTGAGGGAAATCCATCTGCTCAGTGGTAGAGCATTTGCTCTGCAAGCAGAAGGTCCTAGGTTCATTCCCCGGCATCTCCAGGTAGGATTGGGAATGTCCCCTAAGTTAGATGGGCCAATGGCTTGACTCAATGTAAGGCAGTTTCCTATGTACCTTGGCTATTGGATTCCTGCATACTGTTCCAAGACAAGACTGAGTTAGATTACAAGCCAATGTGATGTGTTTGGGCATACCTAACCCTGTACAGGATCAGCCTGCTGTTAAAGGTAAAGGACCCCTGACAGTTAAGTCCAGTCACAGACAACTCGGGTTGTGGCGCTCATCTCGCTTTACTGGCCGAGGGAGCCGGTGTTTGTCCGCTGACAGTTTTTCCGGGTCATGTGGCCAGCATGACTAAGCCACTTCTGGCGCAATGGAACACTGAAACCAGAGCAGCGCACGGAAACACCATTTACCTTCCCACCAAAGCAGTACCTATTTATCTACTTGCACTTTTTGGCGTGGTTTCAAACTGCTAGGTTGGCAGGAGCTTGGACCAAGCAACGGGAGCTCACCCTGTCGCAGGGATTTGAAGCGCCGACCTTCTGACTGGTAAGCCCAAGAGGCTCAGTGGTTTAGACCACAGCACCACCCACGTCCCTGTTGTTACAATACACCTGTTGATACAATACACATATAAGGCTCAGTCTGGGAATGGGTGAGCACTTATGAGGAAGATGGAACAGCGCAGAACTGAAAACTTTTTGTCGCAAGCACAAAACACGAAGTGTCAGGCAGCGAACTTAACTCTGCTGACCTGCACTATTTGCCACCAACAGACCAATCTGGCAACCGGTTCACCAGAAATGTGATCCTCTGCTGCACACAATAGTCATGCGACATCAGTCTTTGGATGAGTCATACTGGCCTCATTCCATTTTGCTCCAGAGCAATATCCTCCAGTACAGCTATTCTGCAGTAAATGGTTTGAAACGCATAGTATGATTTCCCCAACCTAATTTAAAAACAAAAACACAACTCAGAGTGAACTATGCAGTCAGGAGAAAGAGGATCCAGATGTGCACTCCTAGATACTGGACTGGCCTTCAAACACAAAGTAATCTCAGATTTGATTTGATTTATTACAATAACTTATATCACACCTTACTGTATTTCCATATGCTCCAAGCCAGGGGTAGGGAATTGGATCCAGCTAGAGGAACGGACCCAGAAGTGGCCAGCCCTCTGTGGGCAATTTTGATGGGTGGACAAGGCCATCCACCTGTCAGGCACCTGATGTGTCAGGTGATTTTAACTTCAGTCCATGGCAGCAAAGGAAGAATCCTGTTCTTCCTTTGCTGCAGCTTGAACCTTTCTGGGACTCATGCCATCAATGACATCAGGTGCGGGGAAGGTGGGCGTGGCTTGGCAGGTCCAATTAGGTCCATGGGCTAGAGGTGCTTTAAGCTGCTCACAACAAAGCAACAAACAGTAATGCAGCATAAACAGTATGCCAGGGGTTAGCATGGATGGCCCTCAAGGTCTCTTTCACCTCCACAGTTCTGATTAAAGTGATGGTTTGACTGTGGACTAATAAGCAGAGGCTTAATCCAGACAATGGTCAACAGAAGAGTTGGTCCTGGCTTGGAAATTTGACATGTGTCAGCTGGGGCTGTACTCCCCTTAGGATCAGGTGGGCTGTTTGAGAGTGTTCCTGGACCCAGCCTTGTTCCTAGAAGTCCAGATGTGGCCAGGAGTGTCTTTGCACAGCCTTGGCTTGTGGACCAGTTATGCCCTTTCCTAGACCATGTAGATCCAGTCTTGCACTGGTTGCATCCAGATTTCATTCCTGGAACATGTTCTATGGGGAGTCACCCTTGAAAAGTGTTCAGAAACTCTACCAGGTGTAAAATGCAGCTGACAGAGTGGTTTCTGGCGGTGCTCGCTTTTCAGAACACATTGCAGCAGTTCTTTTTCATCTGTGCTGGCTCCCATTTAATTTCCTAGTACAATTCAATAGTGCGGGTTATTTTCTATAAAGTCCTTAATAGCTTGTAACCTTGTCATCTGAATGACCACCTCCTCCCATGTGAAACTGCTCAGACATTGCATTCAACATACAATGCCTTGCTCCATGTTTCACCTCATGTTCAGTATTTGGGGTGCATAAAATAGGTAAGAAGGGGCTTGTGGTACGGAACAACTGCAAGGTTAAAGATCTTCAGCCCCGTAAGATGAAGGACAGTACTTTACATATTTCCGAAAGGAAAGCTTCCCCACCTTTCTATCTGTAAAGAAAGAAAAGCAGAGGGGTAGCTATCCATCTTTCCTAGTCAGAGGTATGGAAAGATTAAAGGGGATACCATATATCCAGCTTCTGAAAATATCTAGTTTATCAGAGACTGCAGATCTGATTTTATTTTATTTATTTATTTTTTCATCATATGGTTACTGCTACCATTTCAAAACTATTGAGGTTAAAAGCCCCACCCAGGGGAGCAAAGACCAACTAGAATATTATCCTACCTTCAGAATAAAAATAGCTTTGTTCAAAGTGTCCCTAGGCAAATATCCATTTTTGAAAGCAATTTGTCTCATTTTACCCTTGAAGAGCAGTTCTGATAAAAGGCAACAGTCTGCCAAGGACAGTTTCTTATTTGGAACTACCACTGCAGATGTTTGAGTAGTCTTCCTTTTTTAAATGCACTTTAAAAGCTTCTGCATACTCATATATGTACAAGATATCTGTGTGCAGCAATCAGTGGCCCATTGCTTGTTCTAATCAGGAATCATCTGGGCAGAAGCTAATGTCATGCAGGCTGGCATCTTTGTAAGTCAACCCAATAAGCCCCAGCCCAATTGCTTAGCTCTGGATTTCATCAGTGTACGAGAGGCATACAAATCTATGCCTTCACACAATGCCTTATAAGTTACTTAAAACATGTTAAACACCAGAAATGGTCATAATCAAGCCCTCTTCCAACCAAATAAAATCAGGCACGGGGAGAATTGCAGATACCCACCCAGCCAACATTACATTCTATTCCAAAGCCACTTCTGCAATTACCCCTGAAGCTGCATATACTGTAACCATCACATAAAAGGACACCACTGATATATTTGATCACATAAAGACAGTAGGCCAGATTCAACTAACCGGTCTCCCTAGCAGAAACCTATCCAAGGACAGCCAGCACAATGGGGTTTCCCCACCCCGCCCCTCCCAAATTGGCTGGTGGAGTTCAGGGGACCCCCATAACAGCATGTGGAGAGGGGAGGTTGTTCCATCAAGCAAGCAGAAATCTAAGCACTACATTACATTCCTCCTAATGGTCAAAGTTACTATCCAGTGAAAACAAGCTGGTGGTGTAATAGTAAATTTAGAACTTCAGGAGTACAGAGGTATTGTTGGTTAGGAAGTCTAGGGTTAGCATCACCTTCCTTCACCTGCACTCTTGAGCTGCCAAAAAAGTTTCCACTGCGCGAGGTTCTCTCTGTTTTCGTTGTAGGCATGCAATAACTTTTCCTTCTTTCCAAATCTATGGTTAACAAAGAGATACATTTCCCTCAGGCTCATTTCCATCGTTGCCTACTTATGCTAAGCGTTAAAGAGGAGATTAATTTTGTGAGGTAGCATGGCATGGGGAGCACAAAGATGATGGTTGATTTAAAAATAACAAATAGGGGTTGGTAGAAGAAAGCTCTTCGTTTCAGTTTCTGAGCATGCCAACTATCTTTTCCATTCTATAATAAAATCACCCCATCTATTCAGACCTCTTGATAGTACAGGGAAGAATCACAGCACCTTCCCTTCTGGTAGGTTCAATCATAACCCTGCATCCCTTCACAGCAATGCTCACCTCTAGCTCTACATCTTTTAGAAACAAGTTAAAAAGGACAGGTCCCAAACTAATCCTTGGGGGACTTCACTATTGACATCTCTCCCTTCGGAGAACTATCCATTTATTCCTGCTCTCTGCTTGCTGCTACAGTAGTACCTCGGGTTACAGACGCTTCAGGTTACAGACTCCACTAACCCAGAAATAGTGCTTCAGGTTAAGAACTTTGCTTCAGGATGAGAACAGAAATCGTGCTGTGGTGGCGCAGCGGCAGCGGGAGGCCCCATTAGCTAAAGTGGTACCTCAGGTTAAGAACAGTTTCAGGTTGAGAACAGACCTCCGGAACAAGTTAAGTTCTTAACCCAAGGTACCACTGTACTCAAGCAATTTCTGATCCACAGGAGGATCCTTATGATTCCTTTTAGCCAATTCGGGTCCTGTTGAAAACATGGAAATGTTAATATGACATCGTACTCATCAGGGTCTCCTTTCGTACTAGCCAGTGGCGTAGCGTGGGGGGTGCTGGGGGGGGGCGGCCGCACTGGGCGCAACATCTGGGGGTTAGGGTTAGGGGGCGCAAATCCACGGGTTAGGGGGCGCAAATTACTTGCCTTGCCCCAGGTGCTGACAACCCACGCTACGCCACTGGTACTAGCAAGAGGCACAGAGATTATAAACCCTGGTCCAAATAATCTGTAGCGAAGGCTTGTTCTTGGCTTACTGATTATGATTCAAACAAACCGTGGTTCCCAGTTTGAATGCTAATATTAAGTCAGGGAGCATGGCTTCTTTCTTCCATATGCTAGCAGAGAGCAGCAAAGTAGGTGCCATCAACACATTCATAGTAGGTTAGTAACAATGGCTTATATTGAGATCCAAATGTACCAATATGGGAAGGAGTCCTTAAGGAGGCTCATTGGGGCAGAGGCTAATAACCCCTGGAAAACAGCCAAGGAGATTGTTCCAGCTTCTCTTTGTGTGGTAGCGCCCCTTAATGGCCACATCCTACTGCTATGGTCTTGAAAAGTGGTGTGAGCATTTTCCAAGTCAATTTCTTCTGTTACAATATGAAATTTTTAAAAATAATAATAGTTAGGATGGATTAGATTCAAGTAGTCCTCAACTTCTTCACAACTTCAGCTACCAGGAATTGGAATTTATCCCTCAGAAACACTGATTTCAGATTGTTAGCAAGTCTTGTGCTCATGTACTGCCTCCTCCCTTTGACTGCTCCATTTCAATTAGTTACTACCTTTTCAGTTCAAACCTCAGTTTGTCATTACGCTTGAAGCAGAAAACTGGCTTGCACTTGCCTTCCAAGCTAATACTACCATGGTTTAGTGCTGAAATCCGATTGGGGGGTCTAAGCTCAAACTACAGCTCGCCAGTTCTAGCCCCAAAGTACCGGTAACTATAGCCTAAGGTTATAGGCTCACGACAGCTAAACCTCAAGAACTGCTTCTCCCCATATGAACTGACCTGAATCCTGCAATCATCAACAGAGGCTCTTCTTTGTGTGCCTCTTCTGCAAGAAGTCCAGAGGGCAGTAGCATTAGAACAGGCCTTTTCTGTGGTGGCTCCCTGTTTGTGGAATGCTCTCCCCAAGGGAGGCTCACTTGGCACCTTCATTACATATCTTTAGGCACCAGTCAAAAACATTCCTCTTCTCCCAAGCCGATGGCTAATTAAACAAACCTATGGCCTTTTAAATTGGGGAGGGGTATTGTTTGTTTCTGTGCTATATTTTTGTAAACTGCCCTGTGATCCTCAGAAGGGCAGCACAGAAATTTAATTTAATTAATTAATTAATTAATAATAATAATAATAATTCCTAGCAACCAGGATGCATCTTTCCTAAGATAAGTTGATCCGCTATCAAGTTCTCCCTAGAAGTTAATTTCTGCAATACTACTACACAATAAACGTGACTTACTTCCAGCTAAGTGGATATAGGATTATTCTATAACATATTAAAAGGCTGTTGGTTATCTTAGTAGTTTTGTCACTGGGGCAGAACATTGGAAAGGGAGAGCAGTTTTTATTTTTTTCACTGCTCAGTTAGGAAAAATAATGATGGTATGCTTTTCTTACTATTTTACCTATTAAATGGGGTTTTTTTTGAAGTCACTTGTAAAATGAAATATTACTTTGTTATCTTAGGCTACAGGCCTAAGATAACTCCTCTTAGGAATCAATCACTTATGCACACTAACCTGGGAGTAGACTCAATGGAACTTAAGTGGAATTTATGCATCTAAAACACGCAATAATCAGGTCAAATGAAGATTGGTGGAAGCCTTGGAGCTGTGCTAATTTGCTGGGGAAATGCAGAAAAACATGGTCCTTTATACTACAAAGATGCTTTATTCTGGTTAAAGGAACCACACTTTTATGCCTATGATACAAGCACTTAATCCCCTTTGGCAGCTATTGTATACTGCCTCCTATAGCCTCTGAACAGCCATGTGAGCTAGTTTAGGCTGAGAGTTGGTGACTGGAACAAGGTAGAAACTGAGCAAAAGCAAGGATGAATTAAGCAAGTTTATAATGTGAAACTCCACATGCTCAGAGCATATTTATTTATTATTTATCAAAGCTGGCAATATATATATTTTTTTGCAAACAAAAGAGTTATAAAACTACACATGCTCAAAACCTTTCTCGTGCCATAACAGATTGCTTTATTTAGTGGTATCTTATTTGATCCTTTTGAGGGGAAGGTGGTTCCAATTTTGGGAACTGCACCAGGGGTCCTCAACCACCTTAATCTGGCCTTGAGTACTGGGTGGAAAGAAAACCCATCTAGGCTGTTGATGTCAGCTGACAAACAAGTATATAGCATCTTATGTAGCTGCACTGTCAAAAAGGGCATGCTATATACTGTGCTTTCTGCAACACTGCCTGGTACCACAGCATTTCCTAGTTTCAGCAGCTACCATGTGCTCTGCTTCACACATTATAAGTGACCAATGTCCTGGCCAATCGTGGCTCTCTTGCAGCCATGGTACATGTATTTTACAACACTGTATAATTATAAAACAACTCATGTTTGTAACGTGCACAGACAAAACACTTAGTACAAGCAGCAGCCCCGTGTTAGAATAGTACTCACAGAAGATTTCAATAGCAAGTGTCACTTTGTATGAGCACTTGCAATCCTGAAATCTGTGCTGATGCTGGCAAGATAGATGGTATTATCCCCAGTTTGCCAGTGAATAGTACTGCAATAGACCATAAGAGGAAGCAAAGTCATCTCCCCCGAACTGGCACATTTTATAAACATTTCAGATGGCATATTACTTCCTGAAGTCACACCGTTCCAAGGCAGCGAGTTCCCAGTTCACCTGTGCCGATTTTCATCCTGGGCTTCTGCAGCTTGTTTCTGCGAGCTACAAGGATCTTCAGCAGCCCTTGCTGGCTTGGCTGCCTCCTCAGCGCAGCTTCTTTTGTGGGATTCCATCTGGCTATGTTCAGTGCCAAGTGCCCAGATGCATTCCCCTGCCTCCTCCCCAATGCAGGCATCCTGGGCATATGGCAGAAAGTAAGCAGAAGGAATCAGTTATCAAACCACAAGATGATAACATAATGTCAGCAAACCTTTGGCTGGCCCCACAGGAGAAAAGGGAGGGAGGGTAGGCGGGAGAGAAAAGATCATTACTGAACCACAAAAAAGGCTACTATTAAAAACATCACTGGAAACTAAGCAGAATGAATGAACAGAAATCCTGGCATCAGAACTGGCAATATTGGGAAAACCAGCAAGAGCACATTTCAGTCTCCCGGGACACTCCATAATTGACCTTAAGGTGGCTATACAGTGGTACCTCAGGTTAAGTACTTAATTCGTTCCGGAGGTCCGTTCTTAACCTGAAACTGTTCTTAACCTGAAGCACCACTTTAGCTAATGGGGCCTCCTGCTGCTGCCGCACTGCCAGAGCACGATTTCTGTTCTCATCCTGAAGCAAAGTTCTTAACCCGAGGTACTATTTCTGGGTTAGCAGAGTCTGTAACCTGAAGCGTATGTAACCTGAAGCATATGTAACCCGAGGAACCACTATATTGGAACTTCAAAGGGAGAATGCTACATGAAACAGATAAATTATGCCTCATCAGTAAGTTCGGTGCTATCACTTGTGGATAGAATGGACGCAATGGATTTTTATCACACAATACAGTGGTACCTCAGGTTACATATGCTTCAGGTTACAGACTCCGCTAACCCAGAAATAGTGCTTCAGGTTAAGAACTTTGCTTCAGGATGAGAACAGAAATCATGCTCCGGCGGCGCGGCAGCAGCGGGAGGCCCCATTAGCTAAAGTGGTGCTTCAGGTTAAGAACAGTTTCAGGTTAAGTATGGACCTCCGGAACGAATTAAGTACTTAACCTGAGGTACCACTGTATATGCTAATTGATTTACTAATGCCAGAGCTTCTGTTAGCAACACAACTGTTAATAAGGTAATTATCACCATCTCTACTTTTCACATTTTATTTCCTTCTGACCTCACTGTTTACAACCCACACCAACTGTCTCTGCAACTAAGAGCAACACTGAATACACCTGATTATGTGAACTGTAATCTACGAATAGTTATGCCACAATAAATCTGTTAGTTTTCAAGGTGCCACAATAATTTGTTGTTTTTAGTAGAGATAGTAACCCAACAGAATCGGAGTTGATCCCATGAAGCATGAAGATTCTATGGCACAGGACAGGAGGGTTCTATGTGATTTCTGCTTCATGGTTTCTGAAACCTATTCACAAACAAAACATAAAAGGGGTCTTATTTCTGAATAATTCATAACCATAACATTAGCTCGTGTGGCTGACTGGTAGCTCTGGAACTCCTTCCACCTGGATGCTCAAAGTCCAAACCGGAAGCATTAAAAAACTTTACATAGGCTGGAAGTTCTGTTGACTGAGCCAATAGAGACGAAGCTTTCTTTCTTTTTACCTATATATTAAGGGTCGAATTTGCACAGCAAACTGTGAAAATACACTCATACACAGAGGTTTTCACAGTATATGCTGCTAAGAGCCATGGGCGTAGCCAGGATTTTTGTTAGGGGGGCAGGACCGACTGTCAGTTAAGTATTTCTATTGTTTTACTTGATCTGGGGAAGGCAGCTGCCCCTCTGCCCCCGCTAGGCCATCGCCCGTGCTAAGAGCCAGAGCAAAATAGGTATCCCAAACTCCTGCTATCTCACAGTTTGTTATTACGGGATATAGGCTTTCATTCGACACGCTTATTAAATTCTAGAGAAAGAGAGGTCCAAGATTAAAGCGAAGCAACACACACCTCGCAAATATAAGGGAAGCATAATCGAAGGCCACCAAAGCGCAAGCCTTCGGGGCGGAGCAAGACAAGCAGCCGCGTTTATACAGAGCATAGCGCCACCTGCAGGGTTCGTAAGGAGTGGGCGCAAAACAAGGCTCCGTTCTAACGACAACATGATCGAATTACGCTAAACTGCTGCTGGGAATGGAAAGGAGGGTGGCCTCTCTTCCTGGTTTCCTGTGCTGCATCATGCACGAACATCTCGCCTGTCAAAAAATTCATAGCGGTCAAGTCAAAAGCAGCCCTGGTGAGGGAACAGAGAAAACGGCAAATGCAGAAGGACTGGGGGTTTATCCGGCATTACTTGCAAGTTTATCACCGTCCCTAAAATTCATTGGTCTCTCTCTCTCTCTGTGCAGACAACCGGTTGAGAGATGCGTGTCCGGAATCAACTCTCACCCTTTCTTCTGTTCATAGCAGCCAACTCCTAGGGGCTGAGGTCCCTTCGCCCCCCCTAAAATATTTGAGCCCCCCCCCCAAAGTTAATAGGCATAGCCATTCAAATAGAGTGCGTGTGGTCGATTACGCAGGGCGGGGCTTACCTGCCCCCCCAAAATAATTATTCCAATTGGCACCCCTGCTTCTGTTATCCATTAAGCAAGAACGAGCGAGCCGCAGACACGAGTGTGTGAACGAGGGAGGGGACCCCTCCACTAACGACTCCGGTTGTGTGGAGCCACACGAGCGTGTCAGCTGCCCTCGTTCGCCAAAACAACAACAACAACAACGCCTGGCTGTTTATCTCGGCGGAGGCCCCGGCGGGGAGGCGGGCAGCAGCCTCCTTCGCTTGGGAAACTCCTGGCAGGGCCGTGCGGGGAGAGAGGGCGGGCCAGGCAGGCAGGCGGGCAGGCAGGCAGGCGGCAAGCGGGGCGGGGGGCAGAGCTGGGCGGCTTTCCAAGTGTCGCGAGCGAGGCAGGCGAGGAGGGAAGCAGGGCACTCGGGCAGTGGCCGCGGGGGAGCCGGGGGACGCGAAGCAGCCGAGGCCTTGCAGCGGAGGACGCGAGCGGCACGCCAGGCCGGGGGAAGCCCCACGAAGGGCCTGCAGAGCAGCCAGCATGCCCGCCTCCGGAGGGGAGTAAGTTCGCCTCGCGCGGCAGGACCCAACTTCGCCTCCGCCGAGAGGACGGCGCGCGGCGAAGGGGCGGCTCGGGCTCGGCACTCCTCCCAACTCGCCGCAGCCGGGCGGGCGGGGGGGGGGCTTTCACCTCTGGCCCGAGCGGGGCAGGGCTCGGGGGGAGGCAGGCGGGAGAAGCCTCTCCTTGGGCCTCGCACTTGGAGGAAACTTCCCCCCAAGTTCGGAGCTCTGTCCCTCGCTTGAGCAGGTGCTGAAGGCCATGGGCGCGTTTGTTTTGGTGTTGCTAATGCCTGTCTCTCCCTACTCTCGTGTCGTGTGAATAGCGGGGTCCCCCGTCCCCCGTCCCCGAAGCCTGGCAGGAGCGGGCCCTTCGCTCTTCTCGTATTTCCCAAGTTGGTTGTTTTGGGAAGCCGGACTAGGGGGCAGCTGATGTTTATATCCGACAATGATCGCACCACATGGGCATGGCTGGCCGGGGAGGGGAGCGTTGCTAGGGTATTTATAGGTTGTGGAATCCGACCGCGACGCGAGGCTGGAGGGGAAAACATGACCCCCCCTCCCCTCTCCTCCCCTCCCCTCTCCCTTCCTGGCCCTGCCTAGGTATTTGCGTTTCTGCTCTGTCGCTCAGCATCAGCTGTGCCAACAGAATGCAACAAAGAGTCTGGTGGCACCTTAGAGGCCTAGGGTTGCCATAGTTCAAAAAGTACAATTCCTGACACCAGCAGATTTGTTGTTGAGCTTTAGTTAGGAAGACCCCAAAATTGTTGAGCTTTTTGGGGGGAACCTCCCCTCAAAATAGTGATTTTAAAAAAAAGCTTTTGGAGCAGTTTCCGCTGCTTTTTCCGTCGCGTTGCCATACAACCGGGTTTCCCCAGACATTTTGCCAAAATTCCCCCTCACACCATTTTTACACCCGAAAACCAGGACAAGTCAGGAATTTTCTTGTGGTATGGCAAGCCTATAGAGGCCACAGTGTTTATTGTGGCATGAGCTTTTTGGGGGCGAGAGAGCTCACTTTGCCAGATGCATCGCTGAGAGGATTTTTGTCTGGATTCTCGTGCTACAATAAATACAGGACACAAGATTCGGGTTGGTTTTGCTGCGTCAGACTCAGTAACTGCTGTACCACCCCCACTACCCTGAATTTGCCACGGAAATGTTGTGTCTACTAGAGGACAATGGTGTAAGTTGATGAAGGCTGTTGTCCTGTACATGCTTATCTGGGAGTAAGTTCCACTGAAGTTGACAGGGCATGTTTCTGAATAGGCAACTTGCAGGAATTGCAGTGTGTATGAAGGAAGTTGCTCCCCCTAAAAACAAAAGAAACATCCAACAAAAATGTGCAAAAAAATTATTACTGTACTCATTTGTTGCAAAGGATTCAGATGTCTTTCTTCCAGATAGCTAATTTCTCCAGCCTTCAGGCCACCTATCCAAATACAGCTTCCAGTGCAATAAATAAGTGTTTCGTCTTGTGTCATGCCTACAATATCAGCAACAAGGATGTCATTTAGAGAGGGAAGCTCAGTTTTCTTCCTCAACAATTTCAGGGTGCCTTCATTGATGTAAAATAATTGCCAATTGTTATTCTTCAGGAAAAACTATATATTTATTGTTATGAGATATAAAAAGTATCCACAATAAATGCTCTTAAAATAATATTGTTTTGATGTTTTTTGTATTTATTTTAATAATTCCATCTGGAATGTATCCAAGACCAGGCCTTTGAAGTTTGCTGTGACTCGTGACTTGAAAGAGCACATCTTCTTCCACCAGTTCCCATTTCATTTTAAACGAGGGATGGGGAATGTCTCCAGCTGTTGTGCAACTGCATCTCCCACCATCCCTGATTATTGGCCATACTGCTTGGGGTTGATGGCAGTCAAAGTCCCAACAACTTCTAGATCCATTTGAGTCTGACTGAAGGCCTGGTTTTCAGGGTGAAAACAACCTTGGTCACCCTGACTGATGACTTAACAGGAGAGAGGGAGAACTGCAACCCTGTTGCTAGAAAAAAAGCTAGTAGCACACAGCCTGGGTTTCTGGTAGAAATGGAAACCTGCAAATGGCCATGATTCTCAGTGGATGTGGAGCTGCATTCCTGAACCTGGTGCCCTGCACATGTTTTGGACTACAACTCCTATCAACCCAACAAGGACTGATGGGAGCTGCATCCCAAAACATGGATTGCACCAAAGGCTGGTGTAAAGTGACATTACTGTATCTTCCTGCAATAGCTACGATGAAACCCCTATACATTGTAGTCCTCCTCTCTTCTCTGACACTTATCTCTATGTGAGCATCCACGCACCTGAGAGACCTCTTTGATGTTCTGTCCTGTAGCCCCAAGGGAGAGGATTATTCCACAGCCATCCTGCGCCAGAAACATCGTCCCAACCGCCTCATTGTAGATGAAGCGGCCAATGAAGACAACAGCATTGTGAGCCTGTCTCAGGTAACTATAAATCTACTGCTCACCTTTCCTGTCCATAGTGTCCTTTGCCCCACATTCCACAGTCAATTTAGCCGTTGTCACTGCTGCTTTATTCTAGACCATTGCCCTCTGCTCCTTAGCTAGTCTGGCCAGTCCATTTTCTCAAATCCTGCACCCAGTGAATATAATGACCCCATCTCACCATATAATGGCCAAGAACCAGTGCAGTACAGCATGGGGAGAAAGATAGTTCTACCATATAGTGGTGGGGAGGGGAAGTGGAATCAAGAGGAGGCTGTTGGGGTCAAGGGGTGCATGCGTCATGGTGCACATCCCCTGACCATAATCCTTTCTTGAATATAATCTTAGCCGTTAGGGGCTCGAGCAGGTCAATCCCCCAGCCCCTGCCACATTCCCCCTCCCCCCCCCCCCGTGTCCCATGGCTCTTGGAAGGCAGTGAGCGCACTCAGTCTATGTTGGGCCATCCTTCCCCTTTCTTTTCAGCTTACAAACTAAATTTATGGGGAAACTTCTAAATATGTCAAGCCACTCTGTGTGTGTCTAACTTTTTGGGAAGAAGGGCAAGATATAAAATTCCAAATAACCAGTGGTAGTTTGGGGTTGGGTCATGTGTGTGTATTTATTTTTTTGTTATAACTGTTAATTATTTGGTTGGGTTAACTGATTTTAACCTATAAGATAAAGAAATATTGCTTATGTCCATTAGACTAAAAAATGATTGCTCGTCTGCCTTTCCTAATCTATAGCTGAGAACTGCACGCATATATTTTGTGTCACAAACATGATGTGATTTGAATGTTAACATAAAGAGCACACAGAGACTGTTGAGAAATATACATAAGCAACCCATGTGTGCAGAATTTTGCCAAGGCTGATGTGAGCACATGATTTGAATTCAAACATATCTTAGATTTGCCAATATGCAACAGAGGTACCTAAACGGTGTTTTATTCTGTTTGATGTTTTATTCTATTTTTTAATCTGTTGGGAGCTGCCCAGAGTGGCTGGGGAAACCCAGCCAGAAGAGCAGGGTATGTATGTATGTATGTATGTATGTATAAATAAATAAATAAATAAATAAATAAATACTAAAAAAAAACACCCCATAGATTTGATTTTCTCCAGAAAGACAGGCAATAACACACACAATGGTTATGCAAAAGTATACAATTTCCGTTCTCACAATGCCTTACAAAACACACATTGCAAATGCATCACAGGCATCCCACCTGCACAAACAGATGTGCCACATTTGACCCCGCAAGAACCACATCATGAAAACACACACAGCTGCATGTCATCTATTGGAAAGTGACCTTGCCTCAGTCCCATTCTTGGTTCATCGCAGGCCAAGATGGAAGAGCTGCACTTGTTCCGGGGGGACACGGTGCTGCTGAAGGGGAAGAAGCGCCGGGAGACAGTCTGCATCGTCCTCACGGATGACTCCTGCCAGAACGAGAAGATCCGCATGAACCGCGTTACCCGCAACAACCTCCGTGTGCGCCTCGGAGACGTGGTCAGGTGAGGCCTGTCCGAATGGAACTAGGGGCAGGAAGAAAGCATAGGAAAGGGAGTTGTGCTGTGAATGTGCTAGGGTGAGTGTGCGCTGCTACAGGGAGCACCAGAGGGCAAACTGTGCCACACAGTCAGCAAAGGCTCATAGTGGAGCTATTTTAAGCTTTTGGAGGGAATCAGCCCTTGTTATTGGTAATTTGCATGTGCACATCCATCTGTATGTATACTTATTTGAAGTTGTCCAGCATGGAATCTGTTAAATTGGAATCTATTAAAATTGGGGACAATGCTAGAGCTTGGGAACGGCTGCTGTGTTGCACACCCAGTATGTTGCATACCCAGTAGATCCAGCTTGTTCCTGAAGAGTGTGTTTGTGCATGTGTGCGCGCGCTCTGCTACTTTACGGAAGCTAGCTGAGCCTTCCCTTGTCTAGTGTGCAGGCTTGTCCGGATGTGAAGTACGGAAAGCGGATCCACGTTCTGCCCATTGACGACACCATTGCAGGCTTGACTGGGAACCTCTTTGAAGTTTACCTCAAACCCTATTTCCTCGAGGCCTATCGACCTGTGCACAAAGGTGAGGAGGGGCAACACTAGGCCTGTCATAAGGAACAAGGCTAAATGGGAGGGAGGCAGTGCTGGAAAGAGGGGCCTTCGACCTGGAGGTGAAGGGGGCTGCAGTGAAGACAGCATCAGCACCCAGCGTGGTGGGGTAAATGCCAGGTTCCATGGGCCCCAGAGACCCCACCACAGCTGATGCCGACCTCTCTTTGTGCTCTTGCTCTCTCCCACAATTTCATTACAGTGGTACCTCGGGTTACATATGCTTCAGGTTACATACGCTTCAGGTTACAGACTCTGCTAACCCAGAAATATTACCTCAGGTTAAGAACTTTGCTTCAGGATGAGAACAGAAATCGTTCAGTGGCTGCACAGCGGCAGCAGGAGGCCCCATTACCTAAAGTGGTGCTTCAGATTAAGAACAGTTTCAGGTTAAGAACAGACCTCAGGAACGAATTAAGTTCTTAACCTGAGGTACCACTGTATTGCTGTAAGATAAAGCGCTGGGCTAAGTAGCCGAGGGGATGCGGGTGGCGCTGTGGGTTAAACCACAGAGCCTAGGATTTGCTGATCAGAAGGTCGGCGGTTCGAATCCCCGTGACGGGGTGAGCTCCCGTTGCTCGGTCCCTGCTCCTGCCAACCTAGCGGTTCGAAAGCACGTCATGTGCAAGTAGATAAATAGGGACCGCTCCAGCGGGAAGGTAAACGGCGTTTCCGTGTGCTGCTCTGGTTTGCTAGAAGCGGCTTAGTCATGCTGGCCACATGACCCGGAAGCTGTCTGCGGACAAACGCCGGCTCCCTCGGCCTATAGAGCGAGATGAGCGCGCAACCCCAGAGTCAGTCACGACTGGACCTAATGGTCAGGGTTCCCTTTACCTTTACCTTTAAGTAGCCGAAGCCACTGCTACCTTGGTGATTTGTGTTTTATTTATTACTATCCTTATATCCCACTTTTCCTCCATGCAGCTCTAGGTGGCACCCATGGTTTTCTCCTTCCTCATTTTATCCTCAAAACAACCCTATAGGCTGAGAGTGAGTGAGTGGCCCAACGTCTCCCAGTAAGCTTTGTGGCTGAGTGGGAATCTGAACCCCAGTTTCCCAGGTCCTAGGAGTTTAGCTGCTGCACCACACTCACCTCCTCCACACTTCTGGGCCCCACCTTTGGCATGTGCCACTACAGGAGTGGAGCCTAGAGGCATTAGAGATAATAAAGATGGTGGCTGCTGCAGCTGCCTCACCCAAAGCTTATCTTTACAGCACCGAGCTGAGGGAGACCTGGCCAGCTGGACTAGTGCCACTGCCCATCCCTTCTGCCCCCAGAAAACTTTGGGGAGGGCTGACAGGAAGATGCTGGGGAGAGGAGCTTCTGGAGGGCACCATGCCAAGGGACTAACTTGGCACTGGTTCTACTTCTAAGCACCGGGGAGATTGTTTTCTCAGTCTGAGCACAGTTTGGGGCTGGGTTTGGCAACCCCACTGGGATTTATATTCCCAGTTCTCTTGTTTACTTGCAGGTGTTGCCTTTTCCTATTTTGCCCCAGAACTGTCACTTTCCAGCCTTTGTTGTGGGTCCTCAGGTTAGCATACCAAATTCGAAACCTTTGGAGCTAGCAAGGTGCTTCCTCTTGTCTTCCCAGGTGACATTTTCCTTGTGCGAGGCGGGATGAGGGCTGTGGAGTTCAAGGTGGTTGAGGTTGACCCCAGCCCCCACTGCATCGTTGCTCCTGACACCATCATCCACTGCGAGGGGGAGCCCATCAAGCGAGAGGTATGTATGGTCTGAAGAGATGCACCTCAGGGATGGGAGAGCAGGCAGCTGGATTATGGTTGGGCGATTATTACTAGAAGCCATTCAAGCCATTTGGATAGTGTAGAGGCACAGGATTTTGAGGGTGGGATATGCTGTACAAGATCAGCACTGTCCAGTTTGTTTGGTACATGCAAATAACTGTGGTCCTCAGTAAAATTTTATTTTTTAGAAAATAATTCTGTGGAAGATGCACCTCAACAAAATTGAAGAGAGGCGTAAGGGAAGCCTTCTGACCTCTCAATGTTGTTGGACTGCTACCTCCTATCACCTCTAACCAGCATGGCCAATGGTTGAGGTTGACAAGAGTTTGTAGTCCAGCAACATCTGGCAGGGCCCACAGAAGAGTTAAGGCACGAATCCTGCCTCCTCAGTTTACTCAGCATGTTAACTATGTCATATAAGCTTTGTGGGACAGGGTGCTCTGTTGTTGAGATACTTTCCTGCTCACCCCTCCGCTCTGTCAGGATGAAGAGGAGAGCCTCAATGATGTCGGCTATGATGACATTGGGGGCTGCCGTAAACAGCTGGCTCAGATCAAGGAGATGGTGGAGCTGCCCCTGAGACACCCAGCGCTCTTCAAAGCTATTGGTGTGAAGGTACGGCAGGGGAAGTGGGAAGGCCAGGGCGTAATAGCTTCCAGAGGACCATTCTTCACTGTTGTTCATGAAATGTATTACAACAGGGGAAGCTGATGTTGTGCCCTCTAGGAACTGGAGGCTTCAACTCCCATGCTGGCTGGGACTGGTGGGAGTTGTAGTTCACAACACCATACTAGCTATCCCTGTGTTGCAAAATTCTTCCATAGGTTGCAATACTATAATCAATATGATAATCTTTATTGTCACTGTCCCTTACAGAACAACAAAATTGAAAAAATCTACATCAGACATTCAAAAATGTGGACGAGTATTCCTTCTGCTTTGTTCCCACCACCTTTCTCTCTAAGCAGAATTTTCTGTGTCATTCATACTTCCACTCCTAAAATAAGCAAGCACCCTTTTCCTGCCTCCCACATTGTAGGCTCTCTTGGCTTCATTGGCCAAAGCATCTTTTCTGGCCCATTGACCTCTCACCAGGGATGGACTGAGACATTTTGACACCATGGGGGGGGGGGTGGCTCATGAGGCTCTGCAAGGGCTTCCCTTCAAGGAAAAGCCTTTGTGAAGCATCACCACCAGGGGCGGGGGGGGGGGGGACGTGCAAACTCTGCAAGGGCTTAGCTGGGGTGTAACACTGTGCACTGGAATGCCTCCCTCTTGACAAGACTCTTGGCAAGCAGGGATGTTCCACAAGGCTTTGCTGCTGGTCTGTTTCTGCCCCTAGGGGCAAGGGAGACCAGCAAGCAACACACTGCCGCTCTCCTGCTGCAGAAGCCTCCTTTACATGGTTTGTGGTGGGAGCAGTGTGGGAAGGCAGGGTGTCTGTGAGGGCACCACCCTCACCGCTTCCATTGCCTGAGGCGACTGCTTCACCCGCCTCATGGGTGGGCCAGCTCTGCCTCTGTCACTGTTGGAGGACCTAATTATTTTGCACAGACTCTCCTTATAGGACTCCTCTGCCTTCCCTCCTTTCTTTCCCTAGCCTCCACGAGGGATTCTTCTTTATGGTCCCCCTGGCACTGGGAAAACACTTGTTGCCCGTGCTGTTGCAAATGAAACCGGAGCCTTCTTCTTCCTTATCAACGGTGAGAAATACTGTGTGAAATGGAGGGAGGGAAGTTGTGTGGGGGATCTTAGCAAAACCTATCCATCCATTCTTCATCCATTGAGGACAACCACTCTAATCCTTCTTGCCACCCAGAAATAAATGATAGTTATGATTAAAGTGAAGCCGGTGTACAGGAGATGTATAAACTCTGGGCTGTGTCCAAAGCAGGCACAGCAGAACTGGCAATAGTATTTTTGATGCCATGCCATTTCATTCTCCAACTGTCCTCTATAGCTACTCTGAAGTATAGAAGAGGCTGTTTTATAATCTTAGACTAAGTATTGTCTTCTGTTCTTCTACAGGCCCAGAGATCATGAGCAAACTGGCTGGGGAATCGGAGAGCAACTTGCGCAAAGCCTTTGAAGAGGCAGAGAAGAATGCTCCAGCCATTATCTTTATTGATGAGCTGGATGCCATTGCCCCTAAGAGGGAGAAGGTGAGAGATGGCATTATTGGGAGCAGATAGTGAAGTTATCCCACTTTGCCGAAAGACAGCTGCCTGTTCAAACTGGGATCCTTCTATGATTGGCTGCTCCCATCTCAGATGTGTTGGGAAGGTATCCTCAATGCAATAAACTGCCTCCAGAAATGTCAAAAGCAACTATATCTCACCATTAGGTGAAATATTAGTTTAAACGAAGCCTGTGTGTTTTCCCTCAACACACACACACACACACACACATGCACAGAGAGAAAGAGAGGGGGGGGCTGAATTTAGCCAGAGGTATGCTGGTCTTTCCCCAGTTGTATTACTTGGGAAATGCTGGTGTGTGATATTCTTTGGGGCTGTTGATAGCACTGGCACATTCTGTAAAGCTGTTCAGCGTGAAATGAGAGAGGATATGGCAGAATGGAATAAACCCGGTTCTGGATGTGCTTAATGCTGTGATGGAACAGAAATCATTAAGTTTTGTACAGTACCAGGAACAGTGACTCTCTCCCAGCCTGACACTAGCAGGAGCCATGCTGAGAGAGCCCAGTTCTATTCCCATCACAGTTATCTTCAGCTTGGCGGTAAGTTTGTGTAATGTAGAATACGGTAATCCTTTCTTGGCATTATACTGCTGGTGGAGGAAAAGGTGCTGCCAAATACCTTCCCCCTTCCTCTTGCTTCTCAGAATGCTGCAAAATCCTGTCCTATGGATCCAAGTACAAGAGATGCTGCAAGGGATGCAATTCAATCTTTTGCCCTGTTATGGTGCTCACCTTGGGCCCCTCCTCCAGATGTTTGCATGTCTTCCCTTTAATCATGCATCCCATACTTTTCAATGCATGTTACTTTCCAAACTGCAGAAAGCCCTTTTTAAAAATAAAGTGGATTTTGTTGGGCTAGGGCAATAAACTGCTCTAATCCACTCTAACTGCGCAAACTTGAAATTCCTGTGAGGTCTTGAATCTTTCCACAAAATCCTGACCACCTGGAGGCAGCCATACATTGCTGTACAGTGGAACCTCTACTTACGGACATAATCCGTTCCGGAGGTCCATCTGCTGGTCTAAACAGTACGCTAGAAGAGGCTTCTTGTGCGCATGCGCATTCGGCAGTAACACACTTGTGCACATGCACAGATGGCAGAAGCCGCTTCCGTGCATGCGCGAATCGCGGCAAACCTGGTGTTTACGTCCGGGTTTGCCGTGGATGCAACTTGGAATGTCCACGAGATGAGGCGTATGTAAGTCAAGGTTCCACTGTATCTCCCAAGTTTGCTCTTGTGCACATTTACCACCACTAGGGGTAGCCGTGTCCAAAATTTTAGTCCTAGGATGGATTTGTTTGACTTCTAAGCTAGGGTATGAGAGCCAGTTGTTGTTCCAGCGTTTCTTTCAACTTTGGGCTCCCGTTTCAGACACATGGAGAAGTGGAACGCCGCATTGTGTCCCAGCTGCTCACACTCATGGATGGCCTGAAGCAGCGCTCACATGTGATAGTCATGGCGGCTACAAATCGGCCCAACAGCATCGATCCTGCACTGCGCCGGTTTGGTAGGAGACTGTCCTGCATTCTCATCCATCTGCTCTAGGAACTCTCCTCCTTCTCCTCCCTTGGCTGTGAGCCTTAAATCCATTGAGGAAAATGCCAGAGTCCCATTGTCACAAGTTGCTCCTAAAGGTGCTGGCTGTAACAAGAGACAAGTTTCTAGCTCTCTTGTTTAATCCATGGGGGCCTTAACCTTCCCAGATGCCAACCCATCTCCAGGGACACATCCTAACTACTTAGTCCCACTTCCCATTCATTGTTCCCTCATCTGCAAGATATGATAGTTATGAGGATGAAAACAGCACACTCAAGGCTAAGGAGTGTCATTTTTGGTAGTTCTGGGCTCAGTGCTCCTTTACCCTCTGCAGGGCGCTTTGACCGAGAAATTGACATTGGGATCCCAGATTCTGTGGGAAGGCTGGAAATCCTGCAGATACACACCAAGAACATGAAACTGGCTGACGATGTGGACCTGGAGAGGGTGAGGAGCAGGCAGTGGAGGCCCATGGGGAGGCAGGGTGGATCCAAGGGACACTTGGAGATGCATGGGCTCTTTAGAGCTTGGTAAGGGCTGCATTAGGCAGGAACACTTATCTCTTGATTCTGCTACATGTCTTAATGAGCTGTCACAGGTCACACACAATAGGTGGAACACTCCATCTCACACTCCTCAAGCCATGCCTTTCAAGGATGCCACTTCCCACACTGACCAAGAGGTTCAACATCAAGGGACGCACCTCATATGTGACCCAGGTTGGGTGGGAGGATGCAGGTTAAGAGCCATGGCCCTAGGTGCAAAGATGTGATGCACATGAATTATAGTAGCTCTCAGGCTACTAGTGGATAACAGGGTATGCAGGAAACCTAAGGAGACAGCAGCATGCTTTGGGGATTGCCTGTGTGTGCTTGTCAGGGCGTGCTTATCCTTGCTCAGAGACTGGGTATGAAGAGTAGAATGACAGTTCCAGAAAGTACCCTGTATAAAATGCAGGGTGCGCTACATTTGCCTGAGATCAACTGAGGACTCATCCACATTTCCATTTGCCCCACTGCTTTCCCCTTGGGGAAACCTGCAGTTTAGCGCTGAAATGGAGCAGACGGCAAACGTGTTTTCTGCAGATTGGCGTTTGTTCAGTGCTAAAAGAGCAAGTTTGCCAGCAGTCTATTGTTTGGGACAGCTGATTACACCTCTAGCTGCAAGGAAAGGCTCTTTGCATCATTAGGAGAGGCTCACTTTCCTTAGAAGCTGCTTCAGGAACCCTTAAGGAACTGTCCTAGGGAATGACACCCCATAGAAAGCCCCCTCCAACACACAGTTTGTGATTACAGGTGGCCAATGAAACGCATGGGCACGTGGGTGCTGACCTGGCAGCTCTGTGTTCTGAGGCAGCGCTCCAAGCTATCCGCAAGAAGATGAGCGTCATTGACCTGGAGGACGACACGATTGATGCTGACATCCTCAATTCCATGGCTGTCACTATGGATGACTTCCAGGTGGGCCAGCTCTTGGCAATCCAATAGCAAGAGCTCTTAAGCTAAATATATGTAGCTATCACCCTTGTTCACTTTGTTCGCCAACCCCAGTGGCCCTACCAAACCCACTTCCCCCTTGCTAACCCCCCTCCCTTTACACCCCCAGTCTTCCTGTTGATCCCACTGTTGCTGCTGCTGCTTGAGACAGGAGGAAAAAGCCAGCGTTGAAAATGTGGGCTTCTTTCTTGTGCTTTCTTCAGCTGCAGCAGGTTTTGTGTATGTTTGTGTGTGAGAAAGTGAGTGAGTGTCAGAGCAAAGCTTCTTTCTCCACTTTGTCCTCTCCCCCTCTTCCCTCCATCACTGCTGGTGTGCTGGGAAGCCAGAAAAGGAAGACGGCACTTCAAAATGCAGGCTTTTTCCCTCCTGTCTTCCACAATGCAGAGTGACTTAGACCTTCCCTTTTCCACTGTGCCTTCCTGCCTTCGTGCACCTCTGGTTCCCTCCTCCTCACTGGCTTTGGTCGCCCACATACTTGCTCACTTGGCCAAAGTGCCCTGGTGTTCCTGGGTTGCTCTTGGGGGATTCTATGGGAAGCAAGGAAGGAACCTGCTGCCTCTGTCCAGGGAGGCGCAGAACTTCAATGCTTCATGTTCTCTTCTGCTTTGTAGTGGGCCCTTGGACAGAGCAACCCGTCAGCACTTCGCGAGACTGTAGTGGAGGTTCCACAGGTCTGCTGGGAAGATATTGGAGGCCTGCAGGAAGTCAAGCGTGAACTACAAGAGCTGGTGCAGGTCAGTAGCAGCATGGTGTGGTTCAGCCCCCAGATAGGAAAGAGAAGCATTAATGTGCTGCTTCAAAACTGGTACAGCAGAAGAGTGTCCTGACTACATGGTCAGTAAGGGGGAACAGTCCCAGTTCTCTAACACACACCCCACTCCCTCTCACCCTCAACAGTTCCCAGTGGAGTATCCCGACAAGTTCCTGAAATTTGGAATGACGCCATCACGAGGTGTGCTTTTCTATGGACCTCCTGGCTGTGGCAAGACTCTCCTGGCCAAGGCAATTGCGAATGAGTGCCAGGCCAATTTTGTCTCCATCAAGGGGCCTGAGCTGCTCACCATGTGGTTTGGAGAAAGTGAGGCCAATGTCCGCGACGTTTTTGACAAGGTACAAAGTGGATGCAGGGTGGGACAGATGAACACTCACTTGAAATCAGGTGGGCTCTGACACTGGATAGCTTTCAGCTTCAGATAAAGGCATTTCTCTCTTACCAGGCCTTTGAGAAACAGCAGCAAGCCATTTTTTAGTGTTGTCAAATGAATGGGGATGTATACTGAATTCTAAATGCGGTATTCTATAGCTTTGTAAGTAGTTTTTGGATTGTTTTATGTATCTTAGTTGCAACTGGTCCTGAGGCCATGTAACAAAGCACAGGATATACATTTTATGGCTGAATGAAGAAGCAACTAAGTAATGAGAGGGCAGCAACTGGAAGTTCCAACTACTTTCCAGTAGCCCATATGAAGAACTAAAAGCAAAGGAGATTGTAGCAAACCTCCAGACTTTATTATCATTTTTAAAAACAACAACAATTGTTGTTGTTGTTAAGGGAGGCCCCTGGTGGTATGTTCAATAAAGATTTGCCTATCAGTCTTCCACAGGGAGCAGATATCTATATAGTTTCTATATGGTCTTTGTGGAATACAGTTTCTGTGCTGCATTCTTATTGGCAGCCTGAAGATCTGCCCACTAAGCACCCAGTGTTAACTAGGTCCTTCCTAACATATTACTTGGGAACCACTGAGCTAAGAGCCTCCAGCTCTTCGTTGCCATTAGGTGTGGGTGGCTACCATGCAGCCCTCAGTTCACCACCTTCACCCTATAAATAGGGACAGGCAGCTGGTGTACCTACTGTTGGGGATGCACTACACAGGGTAGACGTGGAGCCTTTGAGCTCTAGATCACACTGGTACCTTGCATCCCCCAGGCCAGGCAGGCTGCTCCCTGCATCCTCTTCTTTGATGAACTGGACTCCATTGCCAAGTCCCGTGGTGGCGGTGCAGGAGACGGCGGAGGTGCAGCTGACCGTGTCATCAACCAGATCCTCACAGAGATGGATGGCATGACCAACAAGAAGACAGTTTTCATCATAGGTGCCACCAACAGGTAAAGAGGGTGGGGAAGGGAGGGTACAGTTGGGTGGCCAAGTCGTGCATAAGAACTGTGCTGGGTCTCCTCTCAAAGAAAGCTGCTCTGTTGACATATGATCAACACCAGGCTGTTTGTCCCAGTGCAAACTCAGCCACTTGGCCCCTTTGGAAGGAGGGTTCTTTGGAAGGAGAATGTTCTGTATCACAGCTTCCCTTCATGCAAAGTTACACCTCCTTCCTTGCTAATTCTTATCCGTCACGACTATAGAATCTGCTCTTTGCTTTAAGCTTGGTTACCGATGAAACTAAGAGCTTGAGTGAGGAGAGCCATGTGTCGCTGCCTTGGGGGAATCAAGAAACACAGTTCTCTAAGGGGATGGCTAGTCCCGTTGACCATAGTGAATCCATATTCCTTTTTCATCCCACAGCAGGGAAGCTAAGCGAGGAAACCCTTAACAAGAGTGATTGTTGGTATGCAGACCCTGACTGCTTTGCTCCAAAGGAATGTGTATCTCTGGGTGAAAAATATTCCCTTTCCCTGCCTTGACACCTGTGAATGGATACCCCCGTCTGTGCTGTTGCCGAGCTGAGCTGAGATTATCTAGTGCCTTATCTAGGGTGAAGCAGCCAATATACCTTGAATATATTCTCTGTCTCTTTGGCCTCCAGACCAGACATCATTGACCCAGCCATCCTTCGTCCAGGACGCCTGGATCAGCTCATCTACATCCCCTTGCCCGATGACAAGTCTCGCATAGCTATTCTCCAAGCCAACTTGCGAAAGTCACCTATCGCCAAGGTCAGTGAAAGCCAGGACTGAACACAGGGGAAGGGAGGTGAAACAGCATGGGAAGTAGATAGTAGAAATGGGGATAGGATTCTGAGACCACATCCTGGCCTCCACCACCACAGTCTTCCAACAGAGGAGGATGTATTGCACGAAAGGTATGTTTATCTTCTTCAAACAGGGAATGTTTTTTCTGTGTTGGCAGGATCTTTCCAGTAAGCTCATGTTATCTTTCTCCAACAGGATGTGGATTTAAATTACTTGGCCAAGATCACACATGGCTTCTCAGGTGCTGACCTCACTGAAATATGCCAGCGTGCCTGCAAACTGGCCATCCGTGAGGCCATCGAGATGGAGATCAAGGCAGAACGGGAGCGTCAGCGTCATAAATGTGCCGCCATGGTATGGTAGCGAGACTTCCCCACATCCCAACAGGGCCAGGCAGGATTCCTTCCATTGCCTCATGCCCTGTTCTTCCCCATAGTAACATATTCTGCATAGTATTCTGGGAACTTTATGGCCACCCCCCATCGTGGGGCCACAGTCTCCTCGATTGCATTGATCTCACAGGGCTTTGGAGCTTGTAAGGATGCAGCTCTACAACATTTCCCCCCCCGCCTGCCTTTTTGTGATAGGATGACGATTATGACCCCGTGCCAGAGATCCGACGCGATCACTTTGAGGAAGCAATGCGCTTTGCACGCCGCTCTGTCAGTGATAATGACATACGCAAGTATGAGATGTTTGCCCAAACATTACAGCAAAGCCGTGGCTTTGGCAACTTCAGGTAATGTTGGAGAACTTTTTGCTTCCTCTGCCCCAAGCTAGAGTTTCACTTCAGTGCAGTGGACAGGCCCTGGGTGAGGAACTTGGCCCCACAGATGTTGTTTGACCAGAACTCCCATGGCTGGGATTAGTGAAGGCTGAAGTTCAACAACATTCCTAGGTTCCCCTTTCCTAGGATAGGGGGAAATTTGTTCTTTGAAACAAGATACAGGAATCTCAGCTTGACTCTACTATGTAGCTTGACTCTCTACTATCTACCTTGTCACTCTGCTAACTTTTCTAAGTTGCTTTGGGTTGCCTTGGGCAGGATAAAGTGACTAACAAATTAAATAAATTAAATAATAACAGTACTATCAAGATTTCCGAGGGTTGCATTCCATCATCCCAACCAACTGAAAATAATACTTTTTATTATTAAGTATATGACCCAGTGAGGGCTCTCAAGTTAGTTTAAGATGTTAAATTCCATATACAAAATAAAGGGTACCATTCAAAATAAGTGCAATAGAATTAAACACACACACACTAGCTAAAATAAACAAAAGACCATTCAAAAACAGCATTGCCCTGACCCAGCTATGGAGATCCACAGGCGGTACCTGCAGACTCTGAATTGCAGGTATAAATTAGAAGTGCATTCAGATGCACATTAGAATTAGCACCCGAGTGAGGATACAGTCCCTCCATATTGCATTACTTTAAACGGGATGGGTTTTTATGTGCATTGGGATGTGCATCACATCCACATTATTTTAACACCTTGTTTATGTAGAGTACAACCAGATCAGTGCCCACATTCATAAAACAGAATAACCCAACTTTCTCTTGCATGAAACCAAGGCCATTCTTTATCTCCACAGGTTTCCATCTGGAAAGCAGAGCACCAGTGGAGAGGGAAACAGTGGAAGCAGCAGTGGCCAAGGAAGCCTCTTCCAAGAGGAGGGCGATGATGATCTTTACAACTGATTGTGCAGGAAATGCCTCCTTTTTGCTGGCATCATTTACCCTGTATTCTCATAGTTATTGTGCTCTTTAATGTCAGGGCTGGTGCTTGAGCCCCAACTCCTACCCTCATCCTTGTATGTGGAATCTGAGCTACCAGAGGCAAACTCCTCGTCCCTGATTTGGGGGCCAGATGCCTCTTTCAGTGTTTGTGCCTGTCTCGGCCACTACCAGGAACCTCATGGCACCAACAGCCCTTGCATTTGTTGGGTGTCCAAGGCAATACCCATGGAAGTCACCAGGGGGCAGCAAAAGCCTAAGCAGCTGCTGGATCAGAGGCAAAGGTCCATCTAGTCTGGCATTCCGTTTCCGCCAACCAGCCAGATGCCTCACAGGGTGCAAAGCTGCCCACTTATCCCTTGATCTCATCTCAAACTGTCCCAAGCTGGTGCCTGCACCTTGTAGTATATGTATTGATGGCTCCCACTTTTTTAGAAACCAGGGAACAGGAGGATCCTTTTGCAAGCCGACCCAGCCTGCTCCCATTAGTCCTTTCTTATTCCACAGCAAAGACAGCTTTTGAAGTCTGCAGTTATGCATGAAGCCAATGAACTCCAGTTTGTGATACCAGTTGACAGAGATTTCTGGATGTCTTAATAAACTGAAAGTGCATGCCCCTTATACTGGGAGGAATTTTATAAAAGCCTGAAGTGTAATGTCTTGTGTGTGCAGACTTCACATCTGCAGGGGCTGGAATGGCTTGGGGCAGCAAGCTCCAGAATTGAACAGGCAGGGCATGTTGGCAGACAGAGAGGGATCTATGATTCTGCTACTAATTCCCATCTATGCTGGGAAAACGTTAAACTTTCCCTTCTCCTGTTGTGCACATTTGCCATATTTCAGCCAGGTTTCCAGAGGCCCAATCACACATGCCCCATAGTCATCAAGTAGTTCTAGGAAGAGGCAAGGACAGGCAGAGCAGAGAAATCACAGAGTGGGAAAAGAGTAAACACACTATGAGATAAATGGAGAACTCTGCCTACCAGATTAGTAGGGCTGACAGAGCCAGCTGACAGCAGGAATGCTGGGATTTAGTCAGTGGCATGAAGACAATAAAGTGCCATAGGACAGAATGCTCCACAAAAATACTTTATTGTAGAATAGTCAGCGCCAATCAACAGCTCTCTCAGGCCAGAGCACCAACAAGCAGTAGCCTAGATCCCCTGCCTGCATGATCCCTGCAGAACAAGCTTCTCAGGATTTTCCCACTGTCCCCTGAAAGTCCCCGGAGGACCATTATCCTAAGTCCAGAGCATAACAGCAGCTGGAGGCACCCCACTTATGGTCTGTTGGCTAGTCCCACCTACCTCTCCAGTACAGTAGACTACACTGCAGGGCCTTTGGCAGCCTCCCATCTAATTGGAATTCATGGTAAGCCAGATAGGCTTCCATCTGCCTGGTGCTCCGCCAACTCTTTCCTGTCTATGGAAGTAGCTCACTTATAAGTGCTCAGTTCCAGGAGGAGCTTCCTCGTTTCCCATTGAGGGTGGGAAGCTGTGTGGAAGAGCTTTTGGTTATCACATTTCCAACCCTCTCACCCCATTGAGCATCCCCATTTGCATGCAGGGGTTCCCTGGAATGACCAAGTTTATATCTAAATTAAATGCTGTCCTGAGTCATCATTACCCTGTGCCCTAGTTCTGCTCTCCTGTTTTAGGAAAGGACATTATGCAGGGATTATGTTTTTTCTTGGACAGATATGCTGCTGCCTCTGAGGAAGGGTGCCGATTTATGTATGTGTTCCTTTGCACGGCACTGAACTGCAGCAGCCTCTAGAGTGGGATGTGGAAAGAACATTGTGGGCCCAGAGTGTCCAGGTCACCGCGGATTAAACATAATGCTGTATATCAACTGCAGCTGGATAATAAAATGCCTAAACCAAATTATCCAAGAAAGGATGCCAAAGGTCTCCCCCTCTATTTTTATCATCGCAGAAGTTGTCTCCTTGCCTAGTAATGAATCCACAAGCAAGCTTTATGCCCCTGAGAGGTTATCATTGAAATATGGAATGGGGGGGGGCATTCATGGATGCCATTGTGCTCTGAAGCACTGACAACTCACCACTTTGGACTAGAACACTAATAACAAGTCAAGGTTTCCATTCATACCACATAGCTTGTACCAAGAAAGTGTTGGGTACACTCAGAACGCACTTAATCATGGCTTTCCTCCCTGTCATCAACAAAATTACCAGAACATATGAAGCTGTTTTATACTGAGTCAGACCATTGGTTCATCTAGCCTTGAGTACTGGAAACTCCTGGATCTGAGCCACAGTTCTTCAGCCCTGCAGAACGGGTGGTGCCAGGAGCTGAACCCAAGACACTTTTGTAAACACTGCTGTGGGGCACACACACAAACACACACCCCGCCAAGAAAAGATGATCACAATTCCTTCACAAATCTCCAAAAAAAGATTCAGTGCCCCTTGTCCACCGTAAAGTCCCAACTAGGTAGGGAACTGGGCCCAGCAGCATGCTCTTCTCCACAATCTTGAATCCCATCGCTCTTTTGGCCAAGAGGGTAAACTGAGAATGCCATATCCGCTCCTTGCATACAGCACTACCATCCAAGAGCCCTGGATGCTGGCTGAATCCCAGGGGAGATAATTCTGCAAACAATGGAGAATGTGCAAAAAGTGCTCCTTAGGGGGTCTTCAGAGTAGAGGTTCTCCTGCTTGCTCCCGCCAGCCCTATACTGCGCTCAGAGCTTTGGAAGGAGCTGGCTTCCCAGCGGTCAAAGCGGACTCCCTTGAAATAAGGGCGCCGAATAACTAGAGCAAGCAGCTTGCGTAGCACAGCACGCCGAAGCAGGATATATACCCAGGGGTCTAGGATCTGGTTCCAGGAGGCTAGTCGCACACCCAGGAATAGCAGCTCCTTATAATTAAGGTCTCCATGGGAGTTGGTCACTGACAAGATGACAAAGACCTGGGAACAGAAAGAGGCAAGAATAGCAGTTAAGAGGACAGTAATTCTGCTGCGGCCTTTTAACTTACTCTCTCAGTGATCCTAACGAAAATTGGAAACAGAGAAATAGGAACTATGCACACACCAAACTGTCAGTATAGTCATTGCACCATCCTCACTCAACCTGCCTACATTTGTTCCCTGATAAGAGCTTCCCAGTCTCCATAGACTCATTAAGGGGACAGCTGCTTAGTTTGCTGCCTGGACTTTAAGAGAAGAAAGGACCTACCAAATCTGCTTCATGGAGGCCCATGCACCATAATAGTTTGATTAGCTGATGCTTTGGCCTCCTGGTGGTATTGACCTCCAGAAATCTTCCAATTATAATTTTCCCCAGGAAGGCACCTCTGTGGATCACAGTCACATTACTTCAGTGCAAACATCAGTGCCGTTAGAACTTTGGTGAAGGGTCATAGCTTTAGATGTGAAAGGTTCCAAGCTCAACCTCTGCTATCTTTAAATAGGGCTGGAAAAGTCCCCTGTCCAACACGCCACTGCCATGCAGTTTGGGCAAACTAAATCCCGTTCCTCATCAAGGCGCTGCACGCCCCCTGCAAGATTCTATCCACCCATGCTGGAGACTTCACTGATGCTCACCAGCACACGAAAGTCCTACTTTCATTCTATTGCTGCTACTCCTCCCTCCCAGCTGCCTCTTAGACATTCCAGCATTTAAGATGGTCCCAATGGTCCACCTAGACCAGGATCCTGTTCTCACAACGACAAGTTGGATGCAAAAGCAGGACTATGATTTCCACTAATCTCCCCTCCCACCCCACCCCACTCACCAGTAAGGGGCTCCAGCAGATGCAGGAAACCACCATGATCCCCACCAGCTGCACAACCATCTCAATGTCATGGGCTTTGGCCCGCCGGTGCCCACACTTGCGCTGACTGCGGAGCCGAGCCCGCACCAGGTTGAGTCCACTGAAGGTGTTGCAAAAGAGGGAGGCCACCAGCGAGGCCAAGCCCAGTGTGGAGAAGAGCAGGGCAAAGCCCACGTCAGGCCAAGCTTCTGCCTCTCGCACCTTGATGAAGCACCAGGTGCCTTGGGCCTGGACGACATAGCTCCCGAAGCTGCAGAGAGGCAGCAGGGCAATGGCGAGGGCAGTGCCCCACAGTCCCAGCAAGGAAAGTTTAGTCCGGCCCGGCGTCACCAAGGAAGCATGCAACAAAGGACGAGTGATGCCCACACAGCGCTCCACTGCCATGATGCAGCCCAGGAAGAGCGGGCACAGTCCGAAGAATACCATTGAGGCTCCAAAGAACTGGCAGAGGGATTTGGAAGGGTCCATCTTTTCCCAGTTGCTCTGTGTGGCATAAAGACGCAGCACGAAGGAGCCTGGAATGACGTGGCCTGCAAGGTCGGTGATAACCAGGCTGCTAGCGTACAGCAGAAAGGTGGCCTTGGAACGGCGCCGGAAGCGGGTGTAAGACTGCACCAGGATAGCCAAAGCCACCACATTGGAGACAGCACCCAAGGTCATAGAGAAAATGGGAGCGGCAGGTGAAGATGCCCTTGCAGAGCTCTGGATCTTTGTGGGCTCTGTGCAGCATGAGGAGTGGTTCACAGGTGAAGCCTGTGAAGCATTGGGAGACTGGATGCCGGACATCATGTCAATGGCTACCTCCAGGTGCAGGCATCTGCAAGGGGAAAAAAGGTGTCAGAAACTAATCTGAGGAGGTCCTTAAAAGGTAAGAAGTCTCCCTAAAAGCATTTGTTTAGGGAACCCAGCACATTTCCGTAAAAAAAATCTCCTTTGCCCTGGATTCTGCTCTGGAGCAGAGGGAAGAAGCATGCCTGAGGAGGTTGAAAGTGCACTTCCTACTTCCGGGTTGGCGCCATCGGTAATGGCGGACTCCCTCTGAGTTTCTGAGGGACCAGCTCCGTGGGATCGGGTCTGACCGCTGCGGCATGCATTTGGATGGCATGCATATCTGTGGTATGATAAGGTCAAAGCACATAAAGCATTTAAAAACCATATTGTCAGGAAAGCATTGTTTAATGTCTGGATAAGATACAAGGACTTATTGGAAAATAGAACTCCAAGGTGGTTGTCACCGATGGAAGCAAAAGCTCTGAAAAAGCTCAATATGGAGGCCAAATGGCCGAAATATTGGGAAATTCTGGAACAAGATGGAGATAGACTGAAATTGCAGAGTTTTCAGAAATTAAAAAACAAAGTGTGAGACTGGCTTCATTATTATCAGATAATGGAGGCATACAATTTGGACAAGAAAATTGGCTTCCAGGTGGAAAAATCAAAATTAGAAACAGAACTGTTAGAACCCAAAACTAAGATTTTGTCAAAAATGTATAACTTGCTGTTGAAATGGAATACTCAGGATGAAACGGTGAAATCTGCTATGATTAAATGGGCACAAGACGTTGGACATAACATAATGATGGCTGACTGGGAACAGTTATGGACCACAGGTATGAAGTTTACGGCATGCAATGCCTTAAGAGAGAATATTATGAAAATGATATACAGGTGGTACATGACCCCAGTCAAGCTTGCAAAAATCTATCATTTGCCCGATAATAAATGCTGGAAATGTAAAGAAACTGAAGGTACATTCTTTCACCTTTGGTGGACGTGCCCAAGGATTAAGGCTTTCTGGGAGATGATATATAATGAATTGAACAGGTATTTAAATATACCTTCTTGAAGAAACCAGAGGCCTTTCTCCTAGGCATAGTCGGCCAATTGGTGCCAAAGAAGGACAGAACTTTTTTTATGTACGCCACAACAGCAGCAAGAATACTCATTGCAAAGTATTGGAAAACACAAGATCTACCCACTCTGGAAGAATGGCAGATGAAGCTGATGGACTATATGGAACTGGCAGAAATGACTGGCAGAATCCGAGACCAGGGAGAAGAGTCGGTGGAAGAAGATTGGAAGAAATTCAAAGACTACCTACAGAAATATTGTAAAATTAATGAATGTTAGAATGATGTTGGATAGAAATTAAGTGGTTTCCAGCTGTAATGCTTTAAGGGAATATGAAAAATGGGTTGTTAATAGGTAAAAATCTAATGTTACTATTTTAAGACCAAAGATTAGGATAAACAAAGAGGGTAAGGATTTGCTGAACCAACAAATTGAACTGGAAGACAACAAAGGGAGGTATGAGGAGGTCCGGGAAACAAGCTAAGGAAAAATAAGTAATGGAAAAATTGAGTGGTTTTTTAAGTATTCTTATTTTGTATTTTGTATTTTTTCTTTTTTTTTCTTTTTTGTCATTTTTATATTGTAACATTTGGAAAATCTCAATAAATATCTTATTAAAAAAAAAAAAGTGCACTTCCTGCCCACCAGAATCTTCCGTTGGGAGCTACAAATCCAGCAGATGAGAATTGCTGTTCCTTCCCAGCTCCTGCGGAATCCAAAGCAAGAAGAAGCCGGTTTTTATCCTGTCCCCTCAGTAATTACTTTTCTGACTATCAAATTGATTCTCCTTAAATCCTCTTTCGTCTTGCCATATAATCTGATGGATTTTCCCTGACTTTCCACCTCCCCATTCCTTGTGTTTCATGTCCTCAAATTTGCAAGGAAATGCTATACAGAACTATGTGCATTTTAGATACTTTAATTAAATGGTGATGGTGGTGATAAGGAAGGAGACTGGGGGAGGGAGGGAGAGACCTTGAAAGACTTTAGCAACTGAAAGTCAAGGTGCTGCTCCTACAGTGCTGAGGAACTAGAGCACTCTTGGCCTTTTTGTAAAGAAATACACTTGGTTGGTCCTTCCCCTAGCAGTTTTGGATCAGGGATTGTACAGAATGGAGACCCACACATGAGAGAAAATTGGGGAATACTAATTGGGAGAATTATAATACTGTGTCTCATTTTAACTAACATTTTTTGAATTGTCATTTAAAGTTACTGCTTCTCCCACCACATTTTTGCCAGCTAAGAAATATAAATGGAATGCTGGTTAGTTTGTTATATTATCATTTTACATGTAAACATGTTTAGCTTAATATAACAAACACAAAGCCTGCGACACATTCTTTATCAAGTTTTTGGATTGTACGTCATCACAAAATTAAACAAAAAAGCAAAACATGATGCGGACAAGTTGGGTCTGTTCCTGGGAACTGGCATCTACTCTCTCAACGGTCATCAGATCTCAAACTTTCTGAAAACAAAACAGAAAAGCCTGTAATTTGTAATAAGGAATCCGGGGTGGAAACCTGGGGACTGCAGGCCAGTTAATTTAATGTCTGCCCTGGGAAAACTGGTAGAAAGTATTATTAAAGTAACCAAGCACATAGAAGAACAAGCCTTGTTGAAGCAGAGCCAGCATGGCTTCTGCAAACGCAAGTCCTGTCTCATAAACCTATTAGAATTCTTTGAGAGTTTCAGCAAGCATATAAATAAAGGTGATCTGGATGACATAGTGTGTTTGGACTTTCAAAAAGCTATCATCAAAGACTCCTAAGTAAGTTTAGCAGTCATGGCATCAGAAGAGAGTTCCACTTCTTGAACAGGAATTAGTTAAGTAGCATAAAGCAGAGAGTAGGAATAAACAGACAGTTCTTCCACTGGAGGGATGTAGAAAGGACCCCCCAAGGACCTGTGATTTTTAACCTGGTCATGACCGATCTAGAGGTAAGGGTGAACAGTGAGGTGGCTGATTATATTAAATTGTCCAGAGTAATTAAAAACAAAAAGAGATCATGAAGACCTCCCAAAAGACCTATACAAATGCAGTGAATGGGTGGTAAAATAGCAGATGCAATTCAGTGGAAACAAGCATAAAGTGATGAATGGTGGGACAAAAAAAACTTCATTTCTTGTATACGTTCATGGGGTTTGCAGCATTAGTGACTGTCCAGGAATGACACCTTGGTCTCATAAGTATATAGCTCAATTAAGATGTCAACCCAGTGTGTAGCAGCAGTGAAAATGGCATATTCCATGTTAGGAATCAATAGGAAAGTAAAGGGAAAATGTCAGGGATCAATAGAAAAGGAAAATAAAACTGCTAACATCATAACGTCGTTATACAAATCTATGGTGCGACAGCATTTGGAATGCTGTGTACAGTTCTGATCACTTCACCTCAAAAAGGATATTGTAGAGTTGGAAAAGGTTCACAGAAAGGCAACCAGAGTAATCAAACTCCCCTATGAGGAAAGGTTGTGGTATTTGGGATTTCTTAGTTTAGGGGGAAAGCAAGTGAGAGGTGACATGATAGACATTTTATAACATTACAGTATGCATGGCATGGATGCATAATTTATCCTTGTCTCATAACAGAAGAACTCGTGGACATTCAATAAAGCTGAACATTGGAAGATTCAGGACAGGTAAAAGAAAGTGCTGATTCCTGCAGGAGGCAGTGATGGTCACCAACTTGGAGCATTAAACTATTTAATGGGGGATAAGTCTATAAATGGCTACTAGCCACAATGGAGGCTATGCTCTGCCTTCATGTACCATGGATACAGAGGACGGTCAGAGGCATTATGCATCTGAATACTAGTTGCTGGAAACCACAGGAGGGGAGAGTGTTTTGTGCTCAGATGCTGTCTGCTGATTTCTCACAGGCATCTGATTGGTCATTGTGAGAACAGGATGATGGATAAGGTGGGCCAGATTGGCCTGATACAGCAGGGCTCTTCTGATGTTATATAACAGTCTTAAAATGGGGTGTGTCTCTGTGTGTGTATGTAACTGAAAATGAGTTTATCACCTAGCACAGCATTGAGTTGAACTTACTCATAAGTAAGTATGTGTAGGACTGAACATCAACTGCAGACTTCAAGTCTTCAACAGAAGAGCTTTCTCTTTGACTCCCCTCTCACCATTTACATCTAGCCTGAGAAAAAATTACTGGGAACTGGGAAGCTTGCTCACTTTTTTAGTTGGTTCTAATAAAAGTATTGTGCAGCTGTGGATTTTAGATATTTACTAATAGTTCAACACATGTACCTAACATTTGCATACAGTCTGAAAGAGAAACATGCTTTTCTTATGATGGATGGGGCGTAGCGGTATAAAATAATATACTAGTACCAGAAGCAAGTTTTATTATTAAGCTATAGCCATCATTGCCACTTACAGCAGAGGGGTGTGTGTGTGTTTAAATCAAGAGCTCTCTGTAGTAATCATATGTAGCATAACTGAATCACTCTGCTTTATTTTTGTTTTATTCCTATTGTCTGGCTCAACTAACCTAGGGCTATATTCAGAACCGGATGATTGAGTGAGTCATAACTTCTAATATACTATAGCTCCCATTTGTCTCTGTGAATGAGAAACAGCATCTAGAGAGGTACACTTAATGAGAAATTGTTTTGCTTACCCCTCCCTTAACATCCTTTAACTGCCCAGTAGTATTAACAGGAGGGTAATGTTAGTAAAAGGGAGGTAATATATTAATTCTTTCAATAAACATTTGAGGGGCACAATCACTATCAGGGGGAAAATGAGTTCTATTTATTTACTACATTAGAAATAGTTAATTAATG